AATTATTTTCTTTATTAATTTATTAATTTTTTATTATTTATTAAAAAATTATTTATTAATTATTTATTAAAAAATTATTTATTAATTATTTATTATTATTTTTTTTTAATTTTTTATAATAATTTTAAAAATTTAATTATAAAAAATAGTTTTAATAAATTATTATTATAAATTATATGGTTAAAATTTAAATAAAAAATAATTTTATGTTATAAAATTAAAATTATTAAAAAAAATATTTAATAAATTATATTTTATTTTATTTTAATTTATATATAATTTAATAAAATAAATCAATTAATTAAATGTTATTAAAAATAATATAATAAGTAATATTAAAAAGGTAATAAAATATTGGGTTATTATATATTATTAAATATTTATTTTATTATATAAAATTATTATTATATATTTATATTATTAAAATAATTTTAATTATTTATATTTTTTAAAACATAAACCTTTTTATTAATTTAAAATCTTATATTATTTATTTCATAATATATATTTTTATTTTTATTTTAATATTATATTTTATTTAATATTTATATATTATATTTAATTAATTTAATAGTAATATAAAATTTTATAATAAATTTTTTATTTAGTTATATATATATTTTTTAATATAAAAATGGTAAAAACAAAGTTTTTAAATAATATTTATATATTAAATTAGTTAAAAAATTAATTAAAAGGTTAATAAAAAAGTTATGGCCAATAAAATTAGTTAATTAAAAATATATATTTTAAATAAATTAAAAATTTTTATTAATGATTATTATTATTAATATATTTTTATTTTATTATTGGAGGCTTATTATTACACCTTATATAATAGGTACATCCCCACTAATTATTTTAATTAAATTAATTTAATTACATTTTAATCTATTAACTTTTATCACTTATTTAATTTAATAATTAAATTTATATAATTTATATTATTAATTTTACTTTAATTAAAAATTTTTAATAATATAAATTTTAATTAAATATCTATAATATTTTAAAAATTATTTAAATATATATATTTATTTAAATATAAATATAATTATAAAAAAATTTTCTATAAAATTTTATTTTAAAACTTTATTAAATATGTTAATTTTTATAATTTATTTAATTTTATAACTTAATATATAAAATTTATATCATTATTTTTATTTTAATTAAATTTTTTTAATAATTTAAATATTAATTAAATATATACATTATTTTAAAAATTATTTAAATATATATTATTCAATTTAATATAAATATAATTGCGTAAAAAAATATTATATAATCACTTAAAAATTATTATTAAATATATTTAAATAACTTTATATTAAAAGTTTATATTAAGTTAATATTTATATTAATAAAAAACTTTAATTAAAGTAAAAATAATGATATAAATTTTATATATTAAATTGCAAAATTAAATAAATTATAAAGGTTAATTTATTTAAATATATTAGATGTATTAATAAATTTTGATAGTAAAACAAGGATGTATTAATAGTAATAGTTAAAATAAATATTATTTTAATATTTTAAAATAGAAATATGTATGATTTTTAATTAATAATAAAAAATAAATAATAATATATTATTATTTAATTAAAAGAAATTATAAAAAATATATAAACGTTTTAATTATTTAATTATAAATTAATTTTATTACGTTTTTATAAAAGGTAAATATAATTTATTAAAAATATTTTTTACGTTTAAAGTTTTAAAATTTTTTATAAAAAATTAATAAATGATAAAAAATTAATAAATAAATAAAAAATAAATATCTTTAACGGATTTTATTATATAAACTTATAATTACATATGTTTTTTTTAAATTATAAGTTAAATTAATTTTTTATATTATTAATAAAATTATATTATTTTAAATAATAAAATATTTTTAAAATATATTAAAAATAATATAAATAAATAATTATTTTAAATTATTTAATAATTTAATTTTTAATATAAATATAAATTTTATAATTAATAATTTAATTTTAAAAATAAAAATGTTAATAATTATTATTAAAAAAACATTAATTAAACTTATTTAAATATGTTAAAATTAAAATTTAAAAAGTAGTAAACTTCGTTTACTTTTACTTTTTGCCATAAACGTTATAAAACATTTAATCCGTATATTTGTATTTATAAAACGTAAAAAAAGCGTTTTTCGAATTTTAATTTTAAATATATTTAAGGTTTTTAATTGTATTTGGTATATATTTATTTAAACTTTTATTAAAGTATATAAACAATAACATAATAAGTAATAATAACGTTTAAAATATTTTTATTTTATTTTTCTATTTTTTCTATTTTTTTTTATTTTTTTTATATATTTATATAATATTATATTATAATATTTATTATAATTAATATGTTAAAATTAACGTTATAATTAACGTTATAATTAATTTTAACTTAAAACGTATACATATTCATTTTATATATAAAAACTTTATTTATTCTATTTTATTTAATTTAATTATTAATATATTAATTAAAAAAATATCTTTAAAATTATTTCAAATTAAAAATTAAAAAATATTTTTAAGAAAATATATTAAAATGTAATTAATTAAGGAAAATTATGGTTAAAAAATGTGCTTTTTTAAACCATTTTTAAAATTTTAATTTCAAGTTATTTAAAATAAAATTAAGCGGTAAAAGTCGTATTAAATAAGTAATATGTTAAATTATTATATATTGTTAAATACTTGTTTTATTAAACAAAATCATTACTATATATTTATATTATTAAAATAGTTTTAATTATTTATATTTTTCAAAATATACACTTTTTTATTAGTTTAAATTTTTATACCGTTAAATAATATTTTTATTTTTATTTTAATATTATATTTTATTTAACATTTTATTTATTATTTTAATTAATTTAATTAATTTAATAATAATGTAAAACTTTATAATAGTTTTATTTAATTTTATGTATTTATTAAACATTATTATTTAATTACATACGTTTGTTTTAATAAAAAAAAGTTAAAAAAAGGTTTTTAATTAATAAATGATTTTTAATATAATATAAGTTTAACTGGAAAAAACCAACTAAAAAACCAATTAAAGGTGTGCATTTTAAATTGTAAAAATAAAAGGCTTAATTAATATATATAAAAATAAATAAAACATTAGTTTTAAAATATTTAATCAAAGATTATATTACTTTTATAATTTAATTAAAAATTTAAACATTATTATAAATTGTTATAATAAACATATAAAATAATATTAATTTTTTTAAAAAATATTAAAATTAATATTTATTATATTTTATAAATAATTATAAAATTATTAATAATATAATAAAATTAAATGGTTAAATATATTTAAAATTAATAAAAAGTTATTTTATTTATAATTATTTAAATTATAATAATTAAAAAATAATAAATTTATAATAAATTAAATAAATTAAACTTTATAAATTAATTATTTTTAAAATAAATTTATTTATATTTTAAATTTTATAATCGAAAAATTAAACTATAAACGCGGTAATAATTATAAAAATAATTTTTTAAAAATAAACTTTTATAATAAAGTTTACATATGTTTTAAAAAAATAATAAGTATAAAATTATTATTATAATTATGTTTAAAAAATTACTATTTTAAAATAAATATTTAAAAAATTAAATATATTAAAAATAAAAAAATTTTAATAAAAAAAACCAATTTTCGATTAATCATTTATTAATTAATTAGTTTATTTTAATTAAAAAAGATTTTGTTTTTTTTTATTTAATACATTAAGTTTTTACAAATCAGTAATTTTTATAAATTTGTTAAATAAAAAGTATTTTTATTTAAACAATATAATTAAAAAATATAAAAATATTTAATTTTTTAAGTTATAAATTATTTATAAAAATAAAAAAAATTAATAAATTATAATAATAATAATAATAAATATTTATATAATTACTAATAATTTAATATTTTAATTAATTAATTATTATTATATTTATTTATTTTATAATAAAAAATAAATAAAATAATTTTATAATTTTATAATAATATATAAATATAAATTTAATTAAATATTAATTTAAATTATATGTTTATTATTAAATTATTTAATAACATTAATAAATAATTTTTTTAAATATATTATAATAATTATTATAAAATTAATATATAAAATAATTTAAAATTAAATTTAAATTATATTTTAATGAAAATATTTTATTAATATTTAACAATTATATTATTTTAATTAATAATAATAATAATATTTATTTACGTTAAAAATATCGTTTAATAATATATATAATAATAAATTTATAACGTTTATATAATTTTAATTTATTAATTTAAAATAACATTTAATATATATAAAATCGTTTAATATTAAAAATTCAAAAAAGTCAAAATTAATAAATTTAACAAATAACTTTAATAATAATTAAATAATTTATTATAAAATTACAAAAAATTTATTAAACGTGCGCTGGTGTGTGGCTAGCTAATTAAAAGCCAGATTTATTTGTGGCGTAAGTTTTGCCCTAAAGTCCTTTTCCCCCGTACGCGCTCTCGCAAACAAGCAACGCAACTAATAGAAACCATATTACTATTTTATTAACAACTCTTAAACATAATGTATTAAAAGGTACATAACAGCGAAATGGGAAATAAAGCTACTACATCTAAGCCTGGTCTACCAAATGTGGGTACTTTAAAAATGAACCAACTCATATAAAAGGCTTTACTAGTAAAAACAAGGGCCAAGTGCATTGGGTAGGCTTATCTGGTTATAAGATGGATTTACTTTAGTCACGTAAGGGTCAATCACATCTCGGGCAAACATATCGAACCTGTACATACGTTTATATTAAGGTTACAAATTAGATATAATAACACCAACATTCCCAACCAGAAAACAGAAAAATTCCAAAACACCACGTCCGTTAATCTTAAAATCCCAATAGTACAATAAACCTACCCCTAATTGAACCGCATACGATTGATGCTCATTCTCCTAGCCGATAGCTAACCAACGTCTCAACCCGGTGGCTGGTGGTACTAAACCCCCGCAGCTGTACCCTTTCGCCGTTGACGATCTCCTTGGCGTCGCTGTCGCCCCATTCGACAGGCACGTCGCTATCTGCGTCGGCATACACTAGGACGTTGAAGGTGCAGTCGCCGGCTAGTTGGGGTAGAAAAGTAACAGAGGCAGTGATCTGGCGGAAGAGGGCGGCGATCTCGGCTTGGATCTCGGACTCGGACTTGGAAGAATCGGGGAGGGCCGTGTTGGAGGCTGACGGAGGCGCGTCGTTCTCTTGGTTGGAAGACGTCTTGGACTTTTTAGATTTGCCGGTATTGAATATGTGAACGTCGAACTGCCATCGTTCGACGTGCTCACCCGTGTCTTTGTCGGTGATGACGATGACTAGCTTGCTGATCTTGCCACGCTGCATCCATTTGTCGAGCTGGGACATGATCTTTTTGATGTACGCCTTGACTTGGTCGTCGGCAGAAACTAACATGTTCAGACCATATTTTTTGACGCTGGTTCCGTTAGTCTGAGCGGTTGATAGAAGCGAGATGGATCGGGTCGGGGTATTACGTACGCTGTGAAATCTTCGGCGGGATAGACACCTCTTTGAAACCTAGCATAGTATTAGTAAAAGCGTATAGGATCGCATGGAGGTAGTCCTGTTACGTACAAGATGGTATGGATCGAGTATTGAAACTGGAACATGGACTGTTAGCTCATCGCTGCTTCATGGGAACGCCTTTACATACGAATTCCGCAACAAGTTTGGCGCTTCCTTTGAGAGCTAATTTATGAACCTTGGATTTGTCCTTGTCCTTTTCTGGTGCGGTTGGCGCCATTGTGATAGATTCTCTGTTGTATATGCTGCTATTCTTCAGTTTATATTCTTCAGTCTAGAGGTTGTAAGCGTCGTGGTTTGTTTACTTTCAAAAACTTTGGCGGGGTGACGAACTACTATGTATAACGTTATTGTAGATAGCGATAAGATAAGATAATATATTTATCGATAAGACGTAGCTAACCCTTCGAGTTTGGGATTTTTTAATACATTGCACCGGCCGGGAATAGCTTCATACGCTCTTTATCTAGGTACTCTTCCGTGTCTTGATCCAAAGTTGACAAGGCCTTGAAAGCTCAATTCGTATGGATGGGTGGTAGATTCAAGTCTCCATTGGAGTTCGTTCTCATGCGACCATGTCTCCGCTCATCTTCCTTTCGCGCGGCTTATAACGCCGGCGCCTACTTGCAGCTAACATGGCCTTTTCTGGGCTCGAAGCTACGATCCCAACGGTGTACTGGATTGAAAAGATGGCCAACTATTGGAACAGGCACATATAATACCCTGCGACGATATAGTAGCTTGAAAACAGGAGTAGTTGGCGATCTCGAACGTCGCATCGCTGCGATTCCTATCGAGCGATTTCGGAACTTTTGTATCGTGGCGCATATCGACCATGGAAAATCCACGCTGTCAGACCGGCTGCTCGAAATTACGGGCACTATATCATCTTCTAATACAAACCGCCAGATCCTCGATACTCTCGAAGTTGAGCGCGAGAGAGGCATCACCGTCAAAGCTCAAACTTGCACCATGATCTATAATCATCACGGACTCGATTACCTGCTACATCTAGTTGACACGCCCGGTCACGTTGACTTCCGCGCCGAAGTTACGAGGTCGTACGCAAGCTGCGGAGGCGCTATTCTGTTGGTGGACGCGAGCCAAGGAGTACAAGCCCAGACCGTCGCCAACTTTTATCTCGCCTTTGCTGAAGGCCTCAAGATCATACCTGTCATCAACAAGATAGACATGGTTGCTGCTGATGTTCCAAGAGTTCTAGAACAGCTCGAGTCTACTTTCGAATTAGATACCAGCAAGGCCATCGGAGTAAGCGCAAAGACTGGTCTCAACGTCAAAGACTTACTACCAGTCGTTGTAGAAAACATACCGGCGCCTACAGGTGACGAATCCAAACCGCTAAGGATGCTACTAGTGGATTCGTGGTACGACAGCTTCCGCGGCGTTATATGTCTAGTCCGGCTTTTCGACGGTACCGTAAGGGCAGGAGACAACCTCGTAAGTTTCGCGACGGGAATTAAGTACACTGTCGGTGAGGTGGGCATTCGATATCCAACACAGGTTCCGCAGACGGTCTTACGCGCTGGCCAAGTCGGTTATGTATTTTTCAATCCTGGTATGAAGAAAATCCAGGATGCCAAAATTGGTGATACGTTCACCACCGTTGGCTCAGAAGACATTGTTGAGCCGTATCCAGGCTTCGCGGAGCCTAAGCCTATGGTCTTCGTCGCCGCCTTTCCTACGGACCCTGCTGACTACAGCCGCCTAGCAGACAGCATCGGTCAGCTCGTGCTGAACGACCGTAGCGTGACCCTCTTCAAAGATCACTCTGAGGCGCTGGGAGCAGGCTGGCGGATCGGCTTTCTGGGTAGTCTACACTGTTCCGTATTTCAGGACCGACTCCGCCAGGAGCACGGCGCAAGTATTATCATCACCGAGCCTGCCGTCCAGACAAAAGTAATGTGGCGGGACGGCACGGAGACGGTCCTTCAGAGCCCTACGGATTTCCCAGATCCCGACGACGGGCGCACCCGCGGCGCTACATTTTACGAGCCTTACGTGCTGGCAACCCTGACGGTCCCAGAAGAATATCTTGGCCGCGCCATAGAGCTATGCGAAGCCAACCGTGGCGAACAAGAGAGCATCGAGTTCTTTCACGGTATGCAGGTTATCCTAAAGTACCGCATCCCTACGGCGCAACTGGTGGATGATTTATTCGGCAAGCTTAAGGGCGCAACTAAAGGGTATGCGACTCTGGATTACGAGGACGCCGGGTGGCGGGAGAGTAAGCTAGTCAAGCTGCAGTTATTAGTTAATAAGCAGCCGGTAGACGCCATCTCGCGTGTAGTGCACCTATCTCAGGTGGAACGGCTGGGCAGGCAGTGGGTTACTAAGTTCAAGGAGCACGTACAGCGGCAAATGTTCGAGGTCGTGATACAGGCGGCGGTCGGCAAGAAGATCATCGCGCGAGAGACTCTCAAGCCCTTCAGGAAGGACGTGCTCGCCAAGTTACACGCCAGTGACATTACCCGTCGCAGGAAACTACTCGAGAAGCAGAAAGAAGGTCGGAAGAGGCTACGCTCGGTCGGTAATGTTATCATCGAACAGGAGGCGTTTCAGAGGTTCCTGGCTAAGTAGGCTGCCAAGTGTATATTGTCTAGATATATCTATGCGAACCCCCGAAACCCCATATATATCTACCAAGCCAGAATATCAACTCCAGAGTATATCAATAGTCAGTACGGATTAGTATATAAGAACAAATGTCTTTAATGGGAGTGTCGAGATGGTACCTAATTGAGATACAGTTATATATGATTCTTATGCTTTAGTCCTACGTTTTCCCACCAAAACTCCAGCCCCTTTTAGTTCTTCGCTATGAATATCATCAGATTTAAGACATATATAGAATTCTATAGCACTAGATTTTGATATAGCCTATGTATACTTCCCGCCACCTGTCGTTCAAATAGGAGTAAATCAAGGATTCTGAAATTATAAATAGCTGATCATTAGGTTTAGGTGGTTACGAAGTCCTCGCATTAGAGACCGAGCACCACATCATCCACACTACATATCCTAATCAAGTAAACAAACCACGGGCCATAGTGAGAGCGTGTATTAACGACTGTCTGCTTCGGAACAAGCGGCACTAAAAAGAAGAAAGCTCGTACTTCTTTAGGGACTTTTATGGTCTCATTCGCAGATCTGACTTGAGTCTAAATCAATATAAAGACAGAGAGCCCGTCAGACATCTAACATCCTAACCGATACTGGCTCGCCTTCAATTCCGCACGGCATCGTGATGCGTTACCTAACGATACAGACAAAGTTGTTAGGCTGGGCATCGATATAGGAACTAAATACTCGGAAATAATATAGATAGGGGTAAACAGGTAAGCTTTATGTAGGGAAAGAGATTTTGAGGAAGCACTGGAATAAATAAACATTCGATAGCAAGCTTGATTTCGTGTATATGCCATTAATTATAGGAGAAACTTCCACTAGTTCGTTTTAATATAATCCTCACTTCTAAAATTCTCACAAATATCAGACTGGGCATAAACCGGAAGAGTCCCCATGAGTTACCTCAATCGTAGCGTGCCGAAATCATAAGAGGCTCTTGTATCATACAATTTTTCCTACGTGTGCCAATCATATGTTACGAATTACTCAATCTCGAGCCACAAACCCCACGAGCCATCAAGGTTCACTGACGTCCCTGCATGAACATTACCATCAAGGTTCTCCATACGGAAGCTTTACATTACCAATCCTTCATGACATAGAAGTCATAACCTCCCCCCAGGTAATAAGCCGGGATGCCTGTGAGGCAAAATATACATAGGAAAGCAGGTCTGATTTGGAGACGTTCCTTCGATACATGTAGGCTGTCTCCAAGATGCCAACAAGGTGCTACAAGTTGTCCCATCAGTTCACAAAAGGAAATAAGCACTCAAATACTTGTGTCTCATAGGCCGATAGATGTATTATCGGTTATAGTCTAGCTCTGCCCTAGCCCTTTTATATTCTAGCGAGGGAAGATTGTAGATTATGATATAAATCGTTCAGCCCCTTGTAGGCGAAAAGAGATTTGTAGTGACCCAAGCCTTGACGTTTATCCTATCTTATAGATTTTCCATAAACGCCCCCCATACTCACTGCGTATCAAATCTAGTGTAATGGCTCCCGCACTGCTCGTCGATACACCCAGCAAAACCGAGAGGCGGCTCCCGGTTACCCTTCTCAGCGGATTTCTCGGGTCGGGCAAAACAACTCTTCTCGAACATATCTTGACATCTCCTGAACATGGCCTCCGAATAGGCGTCATAGTCAACGATGTTGGCGCGCTGAATATAGACGCGGCCCTACTCACCTCGCACGACGTCACTCGTAAGGAGGAGCAGATAGTTGCCATGCAGAACGGCTGCATCTGCTGTACCTTACGAGGCGACTTGCTCGAAGAAGTTGCAAGGCTTGCAGAGGAGAGACAGGTTGAGTATCTCGTCATCGAGAGTTCCGGAGTTAGCGAGCCAATGCAAGTCGCCGAGACCTTCTCTGAGGAGTAAGTGGAAATTACTATTTATAACATCAACGAAGCTTTGATTTACTAATAGAGTGTATCAGGTTTGCCGACATGCATATCGCCGCAGGGTACGACCTCGAGGCAGAGGATCAAGGAAACAAAGAAAATAATAAAAAACTTGCCGAAATCCTAAAATCCGGCGGGCTCTCCAAGGTAGCGCATCTCGATACTTGCGTCACGCTCGTAGACGCCGTAAATTTCATGCAGGATTTTGCAACAGCTGACTTCTTAGTGGACCGTCAAACTGATGTCCCACAGGAGGACGATAGGAACATTTCGGACTTGCAGGTTGATCAGGTAGAATTCGCAGATATTGTCATAGTCAACAAGTGCGACCTAGTTACCAAGGACGAAGTGAATCGGATTAAAGGGGTCGTGAAAAAGCTTAACCCTAACGCCAAGATCGTCTCAACTGTCAAATGTCGGCTAGATATAGGCGAGATATTGGATACTCGTTTGTTCTCGTACGAAAAGGCGGCCCTCAGTGCCGGATGGCTAAAGAGTCTAAACGAAGAGATCAGCCCCGAGACGGAAGAATACGGGATAGGTACATTTGTCTATCGAGCTCGTCGTCCCTTCCACCCGGCACGGCTCTGGGATATGATCAAGTCGGTATTTGTCGTTATTCAGACGGAGTACCAGATCGAAGGAGAAGACATGGATGTCGATGATATAGATAGTGCTGTCGAAGACAAGGGCGAGGACGATGATGAGGACGAAGAGACTGACGATGACACCGATATGGAGGACGAGCAACCTCAACTTGACCCCAAAGCACGATTGGCTTCGAAGATGGCAGACGGCACTTTCGGGCCGCTGCTACGGTCAAAGGGATTTCTGTGGTTAGCAACTAGGCCTAGGATGGTGAGTACCTCGGTAATCTATTGAAACTCCCACGTTAACATAGTTATCACCTAGTATGGTGAATGGTCACAAGCAGGTGTAATGTTGACCATATCTGGGCAAGATCTCTGGCGCTGTGAGATTCCGGAGGACGAATGGCCGTCGGACCTAGAGACGAGAAAAGCAATAACCCGCGATTTCGACGGAAAGTGGGGAGATCGGCGACAGGAACTTGTCTTCATCGGCCAGCAAATGAGGAATGGTGGTGAAAAGCGTTTACGAAAGGCTCTCGACGTCTGTCTCTTAGACGATGAAGAGTTCCTCGATTGGGAGGCCGCCATGGAGTCTGATGATATCCAGGAGAAGTTGGACGAACTATTCGAGGACGGATTCGAAGATTGGCTCGAGACTAGCCACGAAGGACATGACCATAGTAACGGTCATAGTCACGGAGACCATAAGCACTGAGAGTGGTTCGGTATGCCTTTTACGTTTGAATTTACACTTGCGTGGCCAATATTATTTATGAGAAACTGGTTAACAATCGGTATAGTTGTCGATCGAAGTTGTAGGTTAATCCGCATAGAAGTTAATGTGCACTGTAATTAAGACCTGCTGTAAATAAATAGTAGCTACAAGGGGGTATAATAGTTGGCAATAGTAGCATTCATTTCGTACTAGGTATTCGACCATTTCCACTTGCGTACCTAGACGACCTTGAATTAGCAGCTAACACAGGTACTCATGGTATTAGCGTCATTTGTTCTAACCGCAGTCAAAATATCGACAAAGACCACGGGACCAAGTTTGCTATATCTAGGTACGAACTACGAAAGTAGCGCATGAGGTACCAAGTTATCCGCCATCATATCCTCGAGCTGTTTGATAACCCATTCCTGACCCCGCGGGCTTGCGTTGAATACGCTACCGACGTCGACTTGCGTACCCCCCTGTGAGTAGGCTTGGAGAGACTGTGCGATTGTTGACTTTATCGAAGCGACATCTCTCTCTTCATCGTCTGGAGTCAGCCTGCTCGCATTGCGGTAATATACCTCTGCGTTCTTAGCATTCTGAGAGGCCGTGCTTACGGCTGTCTGATACGACGTCGGCGGGAACGCCATAGTGTAAAGATATAAAGACGCGTCACCGCGTAGGAGGTGCGTAGTAGCTAGATCCTCCTGAGTGATTCCTCGTATAGCCGATGCAGACTTTAGGCTTGCTATACTCGCCGTGAGAATATTCCACCGTAATGTTGACTGTGATTGGGCATCCCCGTTGTTAGAATCTATTAGTGCCGAGTTGAGTGCTAGGAGAGAGCGAGCATTTGCTATAAGGCCCTCTGCGGAATTCTCAAGCTGAAGTTCCGAATTTGCGAAAACCGAGTTTACTTCTCGACTATAAGTTTCGGCATCAATCTTCCCAGACCTATAACCGGCTTCTAGCATCACCGAAACAAGATTGGCTCTCGCTAGTGCGACTTCCTGTAACCTGTCATGCTGTTCACACGAGACGGCCTGTACCTTTTCGACGAGACCTGACGAAACTTCCTCGACCCAGGCGAGCGTGTTTGTGGGAGCAGCTTCGGGCGAAGAGCTCAGAATGCTACAGAAAGTGGTGAGAGTAGCCAGCTGAGCGAGAAGCGTATCGATAAGGGTGTCGTTGGTGACCGGCTCAACTACGTTGAACCATTCTTCGTCTTCCTTAGCACCACCAGACGAGCTGTTTCCTGATCCGGAAGCCGGCACGGCTTTGTCACTAACGTCTTCTCCTTGCTCGTTAGCAAAACGTTCCTGCTCGAGGAATTCCTGATATTTTTGCTCCTGTAAGCCGAGACACGCGCTTTGCAGGTCGAGCGCTTCTCGGAGAGCCTTCAAAGCTTCAGCCTCGGTTCCAGCAGCGTCTTCATCTTCATCGGTGGCAATCAACTCGGCAATAGCCGTAAGAACTTGCGACGTATTGAAGAGCGCGTCTGGATTATCCGGGTCTAGCTTTAACGTGTACCGATGCGACGCCAATGCCTCGTCTAATACGCCTTTTAAGGGCTGCTGCAAATTCTCAACAAGAATGGGATGCGTAGCAATCTCTAGCTGCACCCGGGCCCTGCGGAAATTATTAGCAGATGCATCATCAGACAGAAAATGATGCCACTATCGCGCTTCAAACCGACTAGAAAAAATAGGTTCGTCGTTCGAGAAAGAATCCTTACTTGTTGTAGGCGAGGTCGATGCTTTGAGGGAATTTGCGAAGCCCTTGATCGTAGACATCAATAGCACGCTGAAAGAATCTCATGGATTTAACAGCATCTCCCGCACGCCATTTTCCAGCGGCTTCTTCAAAGTCGACGCCGGCAGATTGGAAGTCGTCTGCCGTGTCCAGCTTTTGCTCTTTCTTTGGCTTCGCTTTTGATTGCTTCGTAAATGATTTTGGTTTGGCCATCTTAATGGATATAAAGGTAGTTATTTCCTTCTATGATGTATGGCTCCACTGATTGGGACTGGTTGGGATGATGATTTTTCGGGGAGATTTTTTTTTTTTTAATTCGGGAACGGGGTAGGCGTAATAGGTAGATAGAAACGGGGTAGGTAGATTCGGGGGCCGAGTTTTGGCTAAAAAGCCCCACACCGTACGCGGAACGGCCCGTCTATCTAATGCTACCTTAGGTACGCTTCAGACCCGGTCGTACGCAATATTTGCTAGGTAGCATATATTGATTGTACTGCAACTAGTAGGTGTAATAATAATAACGACGAGGCAATTCTCTAGAGGATATATATTGTAGTTTGTAAATAAGAAATAAATACACGCATCTACTCTTTATGCGGCATTCCCCGTTGCCACCCCAACCGATCAATTTATGGAGAGCTGAAGCGCTTGATACCTAAATAATGAAGATATCATTCAACTTATCATACTATATTCTGCATGTCCTCATTTCCAGTCAACATTTAAGAGCCGCTTTGTTTTATTTAGTGAGGATTAGTCTATGTCAAACATTATGCGAGAAAGTATTATTGTAAGAACTATTGACCTATTTTAGGTTGGTCCATTAATATGGTATTTCCTAACTTCTTCAGGAATCCAGAGATCCGGTGGAGATAAGTTTCATGAAGATAGTATTTTGAATTGGACTATTCGTAGGTACGTCTTGGAGGAACTCGGATACAGTTCTCAACACAATTTATGAGAGACACGACCAAAAGATCCAAGTCCCGATAGATCTTGGTTAACCATTGGTAATTAAACATAAGCTTGTGATGAGCGAATCTCGTTCATCGTCCCTAGATTCCTTCTTGATATAAGTACCTACTCATAACCGCGTTAAAGAATCGCGCGTAAATTTTAACTACGCTTAAGCAACAATCTCTTCACGTCATCAATATCTGACAACTATTGAACCTACGATACGAGGCTGACGACACCAAAAACTTCACGTGTGCTAGGCTTTGACTTAGCTGAGTTCATAGTAATAATCGAGCTATTCAAGACGAGATTATAATCTTCAAGTAAATATCAAAACTATCTAATGACTATCTAATGAGCATAACTAACTTTAATTACTCACTAAAGTCTACGATGGAAATAGCAGATAATAACAGAAATGGTTAACGAATAATATATATAACACGTCTGAAAACTGATTGCCTCGTATGGTTCTCTTTATTGCCAGTCCATACGGTCAGCAGAGAATGTTTCATCATGAACTCCGTCTAGGCTTGTAGGACGAAGTAACAGTGAAGCTAAAAAAAGAATTACTAAAAGAATCATCATGCTAATTCGAACTGGAGATCGCGCAGAGCGTAGTGTTTTTTCTACCCAATAGTAAGCTGATTTTCGCGCTCCATACGAACCAAAATCCGGTTAGTTTCCTATTCGAGATCCGAATCCTATAATATATCTGCCGCTGGGCTGAGCCAAGCCTCATTTGGTGGCGTCAGCTACATTCGCATGACCTTACATTGACCGGTATCCTATCTCAGGGGCTCTCTTGCCCTTTCGAGCCTCGTCAATGGCTGATGAAACCATGGCAATAACTACAAGGGAGAGGTTTTGTCGTCAATGGAGAAGACTTAAATAGATGGATATCCGTGAATAATATTAAGGTCTTGAAAAATATTCAACCTCAACTTTCTCTAGCACCATTAATATCTATTAAGTTTTTACAATTGAACAGCACAAGAATGAAGGCTGTTACTACAATCATCGCTACGCTAGCATCAGCCGGCTCCGTCCGAGCTCATGTTGCAGCGTTTACAAAGGGCATGTACTGTCTGGTAAGTATTCTTTTCGTCTGTGATCGTTGTTATATAATAACCTAGCTAGAACGGTACTCAACCTGGAGTGGAAGATTTAAACACCAACACGGTCGTAAATCCCCTTTACGAAATCCCGAAAAGCGAATGGTGGATGCAGCACGACCGCGGCTGCGACTCGGATCAGTTCCGTCCTAGCCCAGGCGACTTTCTGGAGCTCCCGGCCGGTGGATCTTTTACTGTCGAGTTAGCCCACAACCGTGCCCAAACTACTCTCTCTTACGATGGGAAATTTACGTCGGAGTGGCCGGATGGACAACAGCATCCGGAAGACTGGCACAGCCCGACTCCTAACGACTGCCTTGGCGATAACCCTGATGGTTTAGGGGGCGCGATGCACACCCACAACGAATCGACTGCCGCCGGCACTGCTTTCGCCATCTCCTACAACTCGGATATCTCCAAGGTGACGATGGAGAACTTGGCGGTATTTACCGTTCTGGAGCAGTACGCACATCTCTGTAACTAGACGACCGCGTACAGACGTAATAGCTAACAGCGGTGACAGCACACCATGGAAACGCTTAGCCACTTACCAAGTGCCTCGCGACTTACCACCATGCCCTGAAGACGGTTGCTATTGCGCGTGGCTGTGGGTCCCGGATGGATGTAAGCCAAACACTTTTACTTTTCATTTATCCAAGTACTGCGTACTAATAGGTATTTATTAAGGCGGCACACCAAACATGTATATGCAAAACTTCAAGTGCCGCGTTACCGGCTCTACTTCTACGAGAACTGTTGCTCCCGCCAAAGCGCCGGTATACTGCGGCGATGGACAGACCCCCTGTATTGCCGGGGCAAAGCAGATGATTGCTTGGAACCGTACGTGCATTCCTTCGTACCCTGTTATTCCTTCCCCTATTGACGTGACATGCAGAGGCCGATGGGAACAACGTCGAGACACCGGCTGGCGTGTCTCCCGGTTACAACCAGAAGATGGGTTGGCAGCCCGGTGCGCAGAATGACATTTTCCAGTAAGCGCAGAAGTTCAATCCTCTGCTCGAAAAGAGATAGAAATCAGTCTTGGCTTTCGTTGTTTTCCAATTAGATATAGATGCGGTACTTTGGCTGGCTGTAGCATATTCTTTCTTGTTGTTATACTTCCATCGTATATTTTACTCTCAAGTATATAGTTGATCAATAACCATTATGTCTACCTAAATAGCTAACCTCTGCTATGGTGTGTGGCATCGTCAACGCGGTACCGAGCGAGATCCATGGGTACTTTCATGGTGCCATGTCTCGAGTAGGCCCAGAGAAAATGTCTTTAGCTTAAATAAAATTACAAAGAGAATTCAGCCACTGCCTGACCTTACCTTTGCCTAACTCTCCGTAAACAACAATGAGAAGTGCCTTTCAAGCTTGGAAGACCACTATTTGGCGGCTCAAAAACCTATGGAGGAATTTTATTCTGTAGTGAGAGTGACTTCAAGAATACTTAATGCTGTAATAGGTGTATGATCTACTCTGAGTTGAAGAGGCTACTATCTATCGAGGAAAGCGTAAGGAATCTCGTTGTACTCTCGTGGTGGCAGCAACACTCTTTGATCTTCGAAATACCTAGGAGTTGCTGTATATGTGACCGTGAACAGTGATCTATTATCTATTATGATATCTTTACTTGCGGTTATTCCCTATAATCTTCAAATGGTATGGTGGAGGGTGACGCTTCATGATTAGCTAGCTAATCGGACCCTTCAAAATCGCTGCTAGGAGACGGATTAGGGCTGGTTAATTCACATAGTTAGGGTTATAGGCAGGAATCTGTCACCGACTAACTACTGGATAGTAAATAATTTGCACTAGTAATAAATGGATAAATAGACCAACTGGTTGGGTCCAACGGATGACGACGTATGGTCGGTATGAGGTCTATTGGACGATTCCCGAGTATGCTTGGCAATGGCCAATCTAACAAAGATCAAAGGCAGCTAAGCCGCCAGGTAGCCCTAAACTATCTATGCCGGTTCGGCTCCGTACCTCGTCTGTCATGCGTGTGTTCCTCGAAATCTAAAAAAAAAAAAAAAACGCCGTGCGTGGCTTCTAATAGCTATGTATGCCCTGGTTATTCGTAAATACCATCGTCTCGACTAGCTCCAAAGCCCGCTCCGCTTTATGAAATGCCTATCAGTTCACGCGGTTGAAAAAGTAGACGTATGCTGTCTTTTTCATCTCTTCTACGTCGCCTGCTTCTACTACCTTCTCATCGTTGAAGAGAACCCACTTCGGCGTTGTCGTGTCGAGCAACTTGCGGATGAATGCCACATAATGTCTTTAGTTATATTAGCGCCTTATTGCGTATATTTGAAAATAATTAGGTGTAACTTACCCTGAGTGAATGCTGGTTCCCTTATGGCATACGATGCTTTGCAGTTGGAACCTCGCCGGAACATTAGCGCTACCTGTGGGGACGGTCTCCTTCGAGGACGGCGCAGTATCGTCGCCAAAGTCGCCATGGTCATCTGGGTGGCTAAACAACCATTCAACTGCGCGCTCTAAATCGCCGTTGGTCTCTTTTAGAGCTTTGCGGGCTTGTGGCGCGCCGAATCCCATAGACCCTAGCATCTCGATCTTCTCAGGATCCGCCGCAGCATTGCTTCCGGCACCGGTAGAGGCGATGACCAGAGGCTCGTCGATGTCGGCATCTTCCATGTGGCCAAACAACCATTCCATCGCCGCGTTGGTATCCGAGTTACCAGTTGCGTGAAGCGCCTTTTCGCATCGGTTACGGGGGAATCCCATGGCCATGAGCCCGTCCAGCGCGGCCTCGTTAGGCGTAAAAGCTGGAGCGGCAGAGGCCTCCTCTTCCGGCAGCAGTTCTTCGGACGGCTGGAGCCCGGAAGAGAGATATTCGTCGAGTAGGAACGGCTCGTCTCCCACTATGACCGGGACATCGACCTTGCGGGGCACCCAATTCTCTATCGTCATCTTCCGCGCATTGACGACGAGAGTGGTTGGTAAGGTCTTAAATAGCGATCTCTTGGTGAACCCGTCTTTGCTCCTACACGACGCGCATGTCAGCTCCACCATTTCCATGGCGGTGAAGTTGTCGAGACACTGCTTAAGCGTAACCGGCTTGTAGCGATCTCCTTCGCCTTCTACGACTGGCAGCTTCTCCAGGGGCACGTCGATAAAGATACCGTCCTGTTCGTTGCTAGTGTAGCGGACCTTCTTACAGCTCATACACTGCAGTCGCTGTTCAAGAACGAATCTAAACGACTGGGTAGGATCCTTTAGGGGTGCCGAGTGTTGAGATCTGGTGATAAACTTGACTAGGTGCTGTAAAAGTTCGAAGGCATCCTGCTGGCGCATCGTTGAAAATTCGGCGTGCCCGCGGCCGATAAGGTGCTTTAGCATGCTAGGCGATAGACCTTTCTGGTGCGGGACCTCGGAGGCTATGATATCGGAGTCTGGCTTCGAGTAGCGACCTGATAATAGGCCGTCTCCTAATTTGCGTAGCTGCGTTTCGAGATCCTGAGCTGGGTCAGGCACGATAGGTAGGTCAACTTCGGGGATGTTGTACCGCTCTTGAAATGCAGGCAGGTCGAATAGGCACTGAAGTATGCTCGCGAGGTAGCAGCTGTTGCCGAGATTCTTCAGTCCGGTTAGGCCAGGTCCGAACAGCGGTCTAAGTTCCTTTCCGTCTTCGGTGGTCATAGAGAATTCCCATCGTAGATTTTGTTCGATCTGCATCTCGGTCAAGCTCTTCTCCGTCTTGACCTGGTCAGAAACGATGATGCCCCAATGCGCCAGATGGACCGCGAGGTCGTTGTCCACGCGTTCCTCGTCGCATTGGTAGCAGTACACGTCTGCTGTACCTTCCGGGCTGATAGATCCTAGTTTGACGGCGACCGCGTGTCTCGACTCGGTAGCGTGTGCCAGCCCGTGAGAGTTTCCTCCAACACCGCCAAACTGGGCACGACCGCAACCCAAGTTACCGCATTCTAGGCATAGCCAGAGGTTCTCTTTTAGATCGCACTTAGAACAGTGACCTAAGTCGCTGTGGAGCTTTCGGCTTTCGTGTTGCTGTAGGAGAAGGATATGCTCGCAAGATGTCAGCTCCTGCTCCCAAGCCTTGACCTCTTCCTGCCGCGAGAATGTATTCGCTTTGAGGATCCCGTCGACGATAGGTGCGAGTTTCGGGCTGGTCTTGTCGAGCTCGGTAGAGCACTCGTGGCACTTGACCGCGGTTGTGATATCGTAGCGGTCGGCTTCGGTCTCGGCCGCGATGGCTAACTTGGTTATTTTTGTGGGAGGCTCGTCTTTTACGACTCGCTTCCGAGTTCGGCGGATATTTAGAGCGAGCGGGTGACTGCGGGTGACGTGGTGAAGGTTGGAATGGGTTCGAACGCCTAGACAACCTCCGTTGAAACACTGCAGACAGACGTCGAGGCCTTGGGCATCGTCCTAAGTGCGTAAGAATTGTATTCTGATGGTAAGGCTGGCAGGCAGATTCCGATGCTATTTCTAGGAACTTACGATAGAATCAAAGCATTGAGTGCAGTCTTCACGATAGACCGACTGAGCTGGGGTTGGGGGATGTAAAGCTGCAATATAAGACAGGCACGTAAGCTACAGGCGAGCATGAGATTTACGCTGTTCCCGCCCAAACTTACAAATAGAATCGAGATGTGGACATGCCATTTTAAAGGACGAGAGAGAGACGATAAAGGTGTTGGGTTAGAAGAGTGCTGAAATGATAAAGTTGTATAACGGAAGACGGCGTAGAGAATTGAGAGTAATTGTGGCAGGGATACGGTGATAAAATCAGAATGTTCCCAGCGAGGCCACGAATGATGTTTATTTGCTACCAAATTCCAAACGTGAAGCGTGGAAGCGTGGAAGCTACCTCATGTACGGCGGGGCTAAGGCTTTGTCGATGGAGGGGTACAAGTACAATCTGCAGTGCGAGGTCAGATTGCCCCACGCTGCTAATAGGTACATGTATGTTATGTACGTAACAGGTACTGCCATTTGCCAGCTGGCAGCAGGCGACAGACCTAGAAAGTTCGGTCGAAATTATCGGACTCGGACCATGTTTGTGCAGCTGCAAGAACGGATCTGATAAGGTGAAGAAGTGGGGATAGCTACAACCGACCCCCTCCTTACAGTGCATATACAATCTCCGAGACTTATGATTTCATCGCTAATTTGGAGTTTTATGATTCGCCACAGAATCCAAGTTCCATTTTAATACCGAGATCGCCGACAAAGACCGCTTCATTTTTTTTGGGGAGGGCTGCGTTTTACCTCATCATCTCCGATTCATAACCCCCAACCTACAAATTTCTACGTCTTCGCTTCCACCTCATCCGCAATATAGCCCTTTCATAATCGCCATCGCCTGTTTAACCAAGGACACATCAAACGAAAATCCATTTTCTATTGCCATTAATTTATCTCGACCACATTACAGCTCGCATATCTCATATCTCAAGATGCTGTCGCGGACGCTAGCAACCGCTGCTCGACGAGTAGTCGCATCAGCAGCTCCTCGCGTCGCCACCCGCCAGATTCTCAACCCGGCCGCCAGCATTGCGCGCCGATCGTACCACGAGAAAGTGTTGGACCACTACAGCCGACCGCGCAACGTAGGCTCTATGCTCAAGTCTGATGCCGACGTTGGTACCGGCCTAGTCGGCGCCCCAGCATGTGGCGACGTCATGAAACTTCAGATCCGGGTCGATCCGAAGAGCAACACCATATCCGACGTAAAGTTCAAGACCTTTGGCTGCGGCAGCGCTATCGCAAGTTCGAGCTACTTGACAGAGCTGGTGAGAGGCATGACGCTCGAGGAGGCAGGCCGTATTAAGAATACCGAGATTGCCCAAGAACTTTGCCTACCGCCCGTCAAACGTAAGTTTTCACATCTCTATATTTTATGTACGAATGAAATGATTCGTGTATATATGCTAACGCTTTGGTAGTTCATTGTTCTATGTTAGCCGAGGATGCCATCAAATCTGCTATCTCCAACTACTACAGCAAGAACCCTCATGCCAAGCCAACAAATCTCGCTGGTACTGGAGCAAAGATGCCCAGTATTAGCGAGGCCGCGACGGCAACTGCTTAAGGGTGAACGTACCAAATCGAATTTGAAGGATACATTCGTTACTTGCATGGGATACGGAGTTCAGATAGGGAATTAAAAGTCGCAGCTTTAATATGCAGTCCAGATGGGGATACTGGTATGTGGCTGTTTATGATAATATGATATCGCTGTGCGTTGTTCTGTTGTGAGGGATTTTTGATGTTACGGCTATTTTCAACTCTGACTAGAGTTGAATGCGATGGACTTTGATCTCCTCAGTAATCGAGTTATCAAACTTGGGTAACTTGGGTTTTTCGAGCGCTCATTAAGAGATGTAAAATAGTCCTCACTCGGAATAAAACCGTAAAACCACATGGTTGTTTTATATTTAATCATTGTTCAGTGAGGTGTATGGCCGTAGTATTTACTATATTCTAAATATTAAGATCCAAAGGAACTTGAGTTCTTTCTATTCTCAGTCCACCTTTATGCGATGAACTGTTACCTCCTACTCGAGCCTCGATAGGAGCGTATCTAAATTTAACTATAGTCGTCGAAAACAATATCATGAGAATAAGTTGGTGTATTGCCTATTACTAAGCCACCCATAAACTAAGGTATGCCAAGCCGTAGCCGCTAACATATTTGCCTTATCAAACGTTATCAGGAGCTTATCTTATCAGATTCAGGGTCCTCGATTGATTTTTTTCTCTTTTAGTTCACCTCGATATCCCCAAAGTTCTTTCATTTGGCGTGGTGTTTTCTTCGGCGCCGCAACTTACAATTTTATTCTACTCTGGTTGTTTAAAGGTCAATTAATATATCAAAGTATACTCATCTAGAGAGCTTCTGCAATCATGTCGAAACATCGTCTCGAGGATGCTGAAGTAGAGGCTGCAGCCCTTCCGCGCAAGAAGTCTAAGAAGGAAAAGAAGGATAAGAAGGATCGCAAGGAGAAGTCGCAAGAGGCCGATACAGTCTCGCCAACTCTATCAGATCTAGTCGTGGAACCGATAACATCAGAGGTTGACGGGGAAAAGACGAAGACGAAGAAAGAAAAGAAGGACAAGAAAAAGGAAAAGAAGGAAAAGAGAAAGGCAGAGAAGAGTAGCAGCGAGGGCGAAGTTATTAATGAACCAAAGGACGAGGATACCGCTGAGCAAGATATAGCAAATGGGTCTTACGACGATGTAGACGCGGACCGCAAATCTAAAAAGGAGAAAAAGGATAAGAAAGATAAGAAGAAGCGCAAGACTGAAGAGCCAGAGACCAACGGCGTTAATAGCAATTCCAATGGCTCTAAGGAGAGAACTACAAATATAGTCGCCAATGCCTCAATCGCTTCCGGTACATCACAGACGTATGAGGAGAGTGCGGCACTCTCTGCCGTGCCCGAGTCTGATATCACAGCCTTCCTTAGCACGCATCAGATTACTGTTACCGACCCGCTCTCTGACAAACCTTTCCGACCCATCGTCGAATTCTCTCACTTGCCCTCCTCGGCTCTGATCGCCAAAACCCCTTTCGCATCTTTCAAAGCTCCGACGCCTATACAGGCGGCTTCTTGGCCTTTCGGGCTCTCGGGTCGCGACATTGTCGGCGTAGCAGAGACGGGTTCGGGCAAGACCATCGCTTTCGGCCTACCGCTCATATCTGCCGTGCTAGGAATGCCCAAGTCCAAGGGCAGCGGGAGTATACGTGCGGTCGTAGTGTCTCCCACGCGAGAGTTGGCAATGCAGACCAACGAGCAGCTGGCGAAGCTCGGTGATCTCGTAGGCTTGAAGACAGTTTGTATTTACGGTGGCGCGTCCAAAGATGATCAGAGGGTACTGCTACGCAAGGCGGACGTCGTAGTTGCGACTCCTGGCCGGTTAAAGGACTTCCTGGAAGAGGGTTCTGCCAAGCTCGAGGGAGCTAAATTCGTCGTACTAGACGAAGCCGACCGCATGCTAGATAAAGGGTTCGAGGACGACATCAAGAGGATCATCGGATGTACACCTAGGAAGGAGGACCGCCAGACTCTCATGTTCACAGCAACATGGCCGCAGAGTGTGCAAGCTCTCGCATCCACCTTTATGGTATCACCAGTCAAGATCCAGATAGGCGGAAACGCGAGTGGCGACCTACAAGCGAATATAAGGATTGAGCAGCGTGTCGAAGTTATAGACCCCCGAGGCAAGGAAACCAGGCTATTGCAGCTGCTCAAGGCACAGCCCAAGAACGAGCGAGTATTAGTCTTCTGCTTATACAAAAAGGAAGCCACTCGGGTTGAAGGTTTCCTGCTGCAGCGCGGCATCAAAGTTGTTGGCATACACGGCGATCTCAAACAGGAACAGAGGACGCGAAGTCTCGAGGCTTTCAAGACGGGACAGACCCCTGTTCTGGTTGCTACGGATGTTGCCGCCCGCGGTCTAGACATTCCCGAGGTGAAGCTGGTAATTAACGTCACGGTATGATGCACCATCTTTTCTATTGATATGCTACACTTTTATAACGCATTTGGTACGCTAACCTACGAGCACGGATTCTAGTTCCCTCTTACTATCGAAGACTACGTCCACCGTATCGGGCGTACTGGGCGAGCAGGCAAAACCGGACTGGCCATCACGCTCTTCACCGAACATGACAAAGCGCATTCAGGAGAGTAAGTCCAACAGGTTCTCGCATTCCACGCATCAATTCACACTAACGCTTCCTCTAGACTCATCAACATACTTAAGGCTGCCGGACAACAGGTGCCGGAGGACCTCCTCAAATTCGGGACGACCGTCAAGAAGAAGACGCACGGCACGTATGGCGCCTTCTATAAGGACGTCGACATGACGAAGAAGGGTACGAAGATCACATTCGATTAGACTGTATCAAGCGCGGTAGAATTGGTGTCTATATAAATTAAGCTATGTCTATACCTAAGGTAGATGTTACCTTGACGCTTCGCCACGGCCGCGGATGGAATTATAGCAGCCCAGCAAGTATTTGCGTTCGGCATAGGCACTGGTTGACCAGTTAGAAATTTACATATACGCGTATAGAAAGTAGTTAAGACACTTACATGATGATTACGAAGGGCACGGCTCTAGTTGCAACCGTGATTAGATCTACAAATACGTATGGCGATGTGCTACCGATAGAAATGCCGGCTCTCCTCAGAGAAGCCCAGAACGCCGCAGCAGCAACAGTCGTGAGAGCCAAGTTACCTGGAAGGATACTGTTCCAGCTAAAGTCGATTTCGTTAGCCCGAAAATACTGCGTGATAAAAGTTCCGCTCCAGATGATGCGGCATAGCATATTGATGCCGTTTGCGTACACGAGACCAGCAGCACCCAGGTCCAAAACTCGGAGTGAGACAAACCCGGCAACGCCAAATGCCACGCTGAAGGCGCCCATCCACAAGCTCTGGCGGTGCACCTCGGATTCCGTGGCGATCGACGATACAAACGCTTCCGCGACGCCGTTTATAGCTAGGAGTGGGATATATAAGCAATACCGCGCCAACACTGCCCCGGCTCCGCTGGCGGACCATTTAGTGCCTGCGACAATCTGAACCAGCAAAGGCGCAGCGTAGGGCCCTATGGTAACGACCATCGTACTTAAGAGGACGTAGAACTTCAGGAGCGCCTGTAAATCTGAACGCGCCTTGGTGACGGCTTGCTTTCCGGGAGAGCTTTTTGCAGAAGAGAGTAGCTTGCTGAAATAGTTGCGACTGCTCTCCTCGATAGGCTGGAAGACTAAGCGTGCAAGCAAGCTCCCGTAGTTATTGGCGAGAGCATAAACGCCTTGGGATCTCGAGTCGGAGAGGATGGAAACTAGAAATGTATCGCCCTGTGTAAGTAGGTGCTTTACAAACGACTGAGCCGTCAAGCTGTACGCAAGTTGTAGGGTCGGTCTGTAAAAGTACCCGAGCACATAATCAGTGTCGAGAGCCCGCGCCGTCTCTATTTTCTTGTTAGTCCCTTTCTGCGAGGGGGCACTTGTCCTTAGGAAAAGGGAGAAACCCTCGGTAGACGCCAATTGTGCGCCATACCACGCGTAAACAGCGAGGAGTCCTGTGCCGTAGGCTAGCTGTCCGAGGGCAAATGGTAAGACGCCAATCTCTAAACCCTTCTTCCAAGCCCAATTAGCCGCCCCGAAGGTTGCGAAGCATCGAAAGAAGGTAGCTACAGACTCGGCTGCGGCACGAGGCCCAAAGCGCAATCGATGTTGCAGTATCACGAAGGCGGGCTCGGAGAGTAACTCGACGATAGCCGCTACAGCGTATATACGGAGGGCGACATCGAGGTAAGGCGTAGCAGCGGTAGCAGCGTCGACATAGCTAAGGTAGGCCCAGCCCAATCCGACAGAAGCTCCCAGACCTAACAGTAGAGATATATGAGCAATGTTTACGACAGACTGGCTGTCTCTTGCATTCTCAGCTAGGGGTTGGCCGTCAGCAGAACGCGAAGTGGACGGGCTCTCCTGGCGCTGGATAGCTACGCGCAAACTCTCGCGGGAGAAGAATAGAACAGACAAGTAGTAGACTTCGAGCTGTGTTGAAATTCCTAATAGCTGAGCGGTTAGGAAGCGGAGCAGCAGCTGGTTGGCTACGAAGGTGATGGCGCGCGACGCGATTTGGAGGACTATGAGCAGGGATGCGCCGTGGACGGCAGAACCTTGCTTCGGAATGGGATTGGTATGCAGCTTTTTGTCATTGGCATCCTTCGAAGCGTCTAGTTGGTCGATCATAGTTGTACCGCATCCAAGGATTTAATGTTCCATTTTGGTACAATTTTGACACGCGACGGAAAGGAAATGATGACAAGTTTCTGTTTCAATAATTACGGTCCGGCATTCGCGATTACCTACCTAAATTTTCGGGGTCCGGGCACTGATAGAACCGCTACAGCCGCTACCATCTAGCGCCCTGAGTTGCGCCGATAGGTACCTAACCTAAGGTATCGATAGGCACCGGAGGAGCTGCGGAGTTACATCACCCAAATAAAATTAGAACTTTTTTTTTTTTTACTTTGACGTGCAGCTCTTCCGCTTTCTTCTCGAAAAACCCCGTGGGGGAGTTATTGTCAAGAAATGCCCCATACTATGACATAATTCCTGTTAGATGCAGATTTACGATCAAAAATTTGCTGCGTATATCAAAACATACTAATTGAGAAGGACCGATGACAATCCTGACCGCTCGACACTTGATACCGCAATAGAATATCGGACCGATGTCTGTATGGTGACTATTGCAGTCTAACCCCATAAGACTCCATAAAACCCCGTAAAACCCCATCATATTTTACTATCCAAACTACAACAAACCTTCCTCTACCCCACTGGCTAGCTCCCCAAAACTGCAGATGATGTAGCCTCTAATCGTCAGACTCGATCCACGTCGAGGCCAGCATATCCACAGCAGTGAGAGACTTCAGCTGAGCGACATGTCGCATCAAGCATCCCTCTGTACGTCATGGGTAACCAATCCTACACCTTTTTAAAAACTATATGCATCCCTAACACTTCTGCTTACTGTTCAGGAGCACCTTACGGATTACTGGTAGGGACTTTGGCTGGTGGTCACGGCAAGCCTATCGTTCAAGGTTGCAGACATGTGTACGGGTTAGATTTCCAAAGCATGATGTATCGAACTTATGTTTGCTCGGCGTTATTATAGTCAGCTCCTGAAGCGATGAGCCTTGGTGTCGGCGAAAATGCCTACATTAGATCGGTGGCGTCTCGGGGAACGTGGAGAATGAATGGAGAATGAATGGGGAATGAATGAAGAAATGGAGAAGAAATGGAGAATTGGGGAAGAAATGGGCCGACTTATTAGCCTTTGAGGCTGGAATTGCTCTTCAGAATATCTCCATTTTCCCCCACACACACGCCCACATACGCCCACACATACTCCCACACATCCTCTCCATGGTCAGACCAAGCCAGTTAGGATCGTGGAATTCGCCGTGGCTGCGTAGATTTTTAGTTGACGGCACTTGTCGCCTCCCCTGCAATAAACCTACAGGGTAGGGTTCCAGGCACCAGCTAGAGTCCCGAACTAGAGTCCCGAACACGGAGGGCTAACCCATATTGGAGATTTGAACCTATATCCTACGACGACGGCGATACGGTACCAAGCCACTAATGCAATGGAGCTCTACGTCTGCATCCATCCCGCCTAAGCTTCATGGGAAATACCGATGATCTGCTGCTGTCCGCATAGTACAGCATATACGCTTGAATCAGGAATATTTCGACCTGGTTGGTCATGTACTATATGCAAACTTTGTGCTTCAACGTTGCTTGTAAGACAAGTCTATAGAGTGAGATGAACATTTTTCTATTTGAAGAGTCTCTGAAACGTCAATTTACACATACTAATGTAATTTTTTTATTTTCTTCTTAGTTTCGTACAGCTCAGCTCAGCTTCTACACGTGTAGGTAAGGTTAGGTTAGGTAGTCTTGCATTATGTAGTAGGATTTGCGGTGCTATCAGATCGTAGGAGGTATCGAGCCTGAGTCTCTGCATTACAATCGGACCGGCTACAACTTGTCAGGCCTCGTGAAGTACAACCTTGCCAATAATCATGTCTAGATATGAAAGAGAACTTTGATACTAGTGATTTCCGGGGATCGAGTTCTACTAGGTACCCCTCCTTCTATCCCCCCTATCCCCAGCTACAGCCCCATTAGCTTAGAATTTGCGAGGCAATAAGAACGACATCAAGGGTCTCGACGCTACGTATGGCCTTGGTACCTCATGCCTTCTTTTAGGTAGTAAACCCCTCGTGACTCCCCACTCCATCTTATTTCTCTCTTGGTGAGATATTTCATCATCCCCTTACCCCTGTTACGTGAATTAAGATCGCGTCTACACCAAATCGGGTTTGCCTTAGATTACAACATATAAATTTCAGCATTACTTAAACTTCCCTCGCCCCTTCTGAAGGACAGCAACCCATGTCCTCCTATCCGTGCGACTATACGTAGTATTAGCCGATTTATAATATCGAACGGCGCAAAAATATCTTCGCAATGGGTCGCTTCACTATCCAAAAGCCCGAGCAAGATGCCGGCAAGGCGTGGCCCGCCATCGCCATCGGTCTATTCGTAGCATTCGGTGGTATTCTATTCGGGTATGTCTATCAGCATTCTTAGGATATGTGATAGTTCACATTGTTCTTCTTTGCGCTAACATACAATCTCAGTTATGATACCGGAACTATCAGCGGTATTCTAGCTATGGACTTCTTCCAAAATCTCTTCTCAACCGGTTACGTCAACACTCACGGCCATCTGGACGTCTCACCCTCCCAATCCTCTGCCATCGTGTCGATCCTCTCCGCGGGCACTTTCTTCGGAGCTTTGGGGTCGCCACTCATCGCCGACACTATAGGTCGCCGCCTATCTCTCATCGTCTCTTCGTGGGTCTTTATTTTCGGCGTCATACTCCAGACCGCTGCTACGGCCCTACCTCTGTTCCTGGCCGGTCGCTTCTTTGCCGGCTTCGGAGTCGGTCTAATATCTGCGCTAAGTATGTCTCTCGCAAGTCTTACTCGGCTTTTAACTGAGCTTCAACTAACATGTGTTATAGTCCCCTTATACCAAAGCGAAACGGCACCGCGTTGGATTCGAGGTGCCATCGTAGGCGCGTATCAATTCGCCATCACGATTGGTCTACTCCTCGCCGCAGTTGTAGACTACGCCACGCAGTACCGTCAGGATACCGGCTCGTACCGCATCCCTATCGCCGTGCAGTTCGCTTGGGCCATCATCCTCATTGCCGGGATGCTTCTACTACCAGAGACTCCCCGGTACTTGGTCAAGAAAGGACAGCAGGACAAGGCTGCTCGTTCTCTTGGTAAGCTCCGAAGGATCGATCGCAACCATGCCGCTATCCACGATGAGTTAGCTGAGATTAAGGCGAACAATGATTACGAGCTGAGCATCGGAACGGCCACTTATCTTGACTGCTTCCGCGGTCCCATGCTGAAGCGACTTCTCACCGGTATGGGAATACAAGGGCTTCAACAGCTAACAGGTAACGCACGCCGGTTATCCTTCTAATGCTTAAAGATTCCTTACTAACATCATCGTAGGTGTCAACTTTGTGTTCTACTACGGCGTAAATTATTTGTTAGTATAATAAACATTGTTTCGATCCTCTTTACCTAGTCGTAGTGCAAAGCTAACATAATAATCTTCAATATTGTAGCAAGAACTCGGGCATCCAAGATCCGTTCACGATCCAAGTAATCACGTCTTGCATTAACGTCTTCTCAACCCTCCCTGGTCTGTGGGCTGTAGACAGGGTTGGTCGTCGCCCCCTTCTCTTATGGGGCGCAGTCGGAAGTAAGTAAAATTTGGATTTATTTTCTTATCTCGTGAAATGATTACTGACTTTTCTTGCTGCAGTGTGTATCAGCCAATTCCTTGTGGCCCTGCTCGGTACCCTGACGACGGGGCAAGACGAGGCAGGTAATGTCGTGGTCTATAACGTCGCGGCGCAGAAGGCTGGTATCGCCTTTATTTGTATCTATATATTCTTCTTTGCCAGTACCTGGGGACCTCTTGCGTGGGTAGTGACGGGCGAGATTTTCCCCCTGAAGATGCGAGCCAAGTGCCTTAGTATGACTACGGCCACTAATGTAAGTTGTTCTCGCCTATATAATTATTATGTCTCCTCTATCCGATATGCAGTGCTGACTGCTTATACAAATAGTGGCTCCTGAACTGGGCGATAGCCTACGCAACCCCGTATCTCGTCAACTACGGCGAGGGTTACGCCAATCTGCAGTCCAAGATCTTCTTCGTGTGGTTCGGCGCTTGTTTCATCTGCATCGCCTTCGTGTACTTCCTCGTATACGAAACCAAAGGATGGTCGCTTGAAGAGGTCGACGAGCTATATAGTGAAGTGAGTAGTGCGCGGAAGAGTGCTGCGTGGACCCCGAGCTCTACATTTTCGCAACGACAAGGTTTTCCCACGACGGCTTCTGGTGACGTTGATAGTGCTACAACTAATGGGCAAGCCGAAAAGTTGGCTGAGAGTGAAGGACATACCGGCGTTTCGCATCACGACGAAAAATCTTCGGTGTAAATTTAGCGGCACTTTAGCTTCATCAGTTTAATATCCGTCTGACTTGTAGCATATACTTCAATAGACTTCAAAATACGTCGTTTTTCAGGTACCTCCTGAGCTAGTCTTAGCAAGAGGATTTGCTTAAGGGCCGTGAGAAAGTATGTGTTTTATGAACTGAATACTAACCAGGCTCTAGAATCATCACTAATAACTAATCCACATTCGCCTATTTATATCGGGTTCTCGGTCTGCAATCCAATTGCTTATCCTTTACGTCCATCGATGGTTTATATGAATTGCAACTGTACCAAAACTAGGACGTTGTAGGGACCGCAGCAGGCCAATGCATTCCATGAAACCCAAACCCTATAGCGAAATCACACTCAGCGCGTCCTAGTTCGTGTAGAGTCTTGGCATCCAAACATAGCAGATAACTCGTCTTACCAGCCCCGTCGAGCACGACGCTCAGGAGCACGCCGTCATCTTCGTCCAGGCCTCCTTCTCCAGGTGACCTCGGACGCGGTACAAAGATAGGTTCTCCCGGCGTGTGTCCGCTTGGATTGTCCCAGAAAGTCGTCCCATGTGTTAACACGTCTGTCTTCACGATAGTATCGAATAGGGTGCTGTAACCGCGGTTGGCTATGCTATATATGTAGCGATGTTTCTTGGTTGCGTATGTCGGGTTGATCGTAGGTAGTTCGCCAGCATGCGGAGCTTTGATTTCGAACATTTTCTTTGCATCCCGTCGAGTTTCTAATGCATCCGTATCGTTTGTGTCTGATTTGGGGATCCCAAGTTTCCATCGAGTAAGTCGAACGTGACAGCTGCGATTACGCTCTTCGTCGCCCCAGAATTTCTTGGCCGCGCCGTTCCTCTGAAGCATGACGTCTACTTCATACGCTCTTATCACGTCAAGATTAGGATACTGCATCACGTCGCAGTACACGTTAAGGTCGCCCGTCTCTTCGTCGCGCTCCTCGAATGAGTTTACGCTGTGGAAGTAAAAAGCCGCCGGGCTATCGAACATCGCAACTACACCGCGGTTGCCGAGACGGTCGACGACGAACCACCTACATAATTTCGACGAGTCGAAATTCTCGATAGCGTCGACCATATTGCCCTTCCAAGGGACTTGAATGCCGTTCGTACCGAGGTGGGATGATGGAATACACAATATGGCAAATGAAGATGTGAGATAAAACGAGTGAATGTACGCCGGCTTCACGTCGACGGCAGATATCGTAGCTATAATTTCGGTTACTCCGGTTGACGCGCTTGTGCGGAAGACACGATACGATGACTTGTAGCCCATTTCAAGATTATAGTTGTAGTAGTCGCCGGTTTCCGGATCTCTCTGGGCGTGGGCGCAGCTCAGCGGACCTCTAAGGAGCGGGTGGAGCGCCTGCTGTCTGGCTATACCTATCGGCTCTAAGGTATTCTGGTCGATCTCTTTCATGTTTCCGTTATCTGTAGTCAGCCATAGAGTCTTGATACCTGCTCGATGGCCAGACTCCGTGGTCGTCTTAGTTTTCGACGGCAAACCGGGCACGTTTGCTTGGAAGGCAACGGAGACATTGTCAAAGTTGGGATCTTCCCGTTTCGGTGATCCTCTCCAGACGCTCATGATCTTGCCAAATAGTCCGATGCATGGATCCATCTTTTGCCCGAAGCCGATATCAGGTCTTTTCCCATCTTTCTTAATAGCGTCATATAGAGCCTGGCTCTGACGTCGAGATGTATATTCGACCCTTACAGCGCTATCGCTATTCTCGAAATTGGGAATAATACTAAATTTATGTGATTGGCCTAGGCCGTCGAACCAATGCGTGGTACGGAATGTGCCTTTCGGGGTATTTTCGACAATATACTGCCCGGGGCCGGTGCGATACAGCGTGCCAGAAGCCCACGCCGGGATGGAACCTTTGATAGAAAGTTCTACTGGACCGCGTATCTCATTTAGCCCTTCGAACTTATAATATATTAGCATATCATACGGGTGAAGGTGGTATAATGGGGGCTTACTCCTGCTTCGTTTGGCCAGTCTTCAAAATCAGCTTTCAGCATTCCTCGTACTGTAGTTTCGAAATCGGTATCTTCGTTTTCAGGTCCTCCAATAATTTCCCTATTTCGTATATCGTTTGTCTCGGTTTCTGTAGCCATGATGCTCCGGAGGTTGTTAATAGCGTACCACGTGTCTCAAATTCCAGAAAACCGAAAGGCTATTGGTATTTCTAACCAGCGTATAAGCCGAGCTGAAGTGGGCGGGTGAGATTATATAGGCACTTAACGGCTATAAATGGACTCGGTCGTCTTTAAGCCAGGGATTCGGGCCCGACTCATTCAAGTTGTTTGATTGCTTGTTACCGTAAGGAGAACATAGGACGTTCGATTTCGTAGATATGATCTAACGAAGTAGTTCGTCTCTTGAAGATAACCGAATGCGAGACCCGGTATCAATTCGTCAGCCACGCGACCAACTGGTAGTGAATATTCGATAACTTAAATGCGAGGGAGTTGCGAGAGAGTCTCTGTATTGCTTAGCAAGTTGCTATAGATATCGGCCAATGGAAATGCTGCTATTACTGTTTGAGGCCTAAAGATCCGATAGACTTGGTGGTCAGATACTCTACGTCTAAATATGTACGTAGCTCCCTTGCGCAGAGCTCTTTCACTCACGTCCACCAATGACGAATGCGAGTTGACGATCGAGAAGGAACGTAGACTAATAACGACGGGCCAATCATAAAAGATAAAAGGGTTAAGGGTTTCGGATTCGTTGTCGAAGGAATTAGTAAAGGCTAACTAATAGATACCTGAGGATCTATGATTAGTTTAGGTACCTATGGAAGTTTATATGAATATCTAGAAAACTTTCTTGCTACTCAAAGCTGTGATGTACCGGGCCATATTTCCAGGTACATGATAGAATGACAAAAAGTACTGAGGCTCTAAGTCATGATTCATGAATCACGCAGGTGTAAGTACCTACATGTCAAATCGGTCAAATTAGTCAAATTAGTGGCTGCAAGTCTGCAGACTGTAAAAGACATGTACTTGCCTTATTCAGGACTTGAATCCATTCGTCATCCAATAGACGTTTAGTGGCTTTTTAATTATCCCGAAAGGTTGGCAAGGGATATTGAATGGCTTTCCCGATTGGCCGACTTTTTCGGTAAGTTCTGCGCTACAGCGGTACCTCACTAAAGTACTTTGACTTAGGAACTTCGCATTCGCTTAAATTGATATCTACCCGTCTTTAACTCGTCTTTAACTCCAAGCCTCTTTATCATTCGGCTATTCGTTACTACCTCTAAGTACCTTAGGTCTTTTCTCTAATCATTATAGTCAGCACTAAGCTGGTCTCATAAGAGGATTCTTAGTAGAAAATTTACGAAGATAAGTTCTCAATGTCATAATAGAGCATTAGGTAATATATAAGATGGTAACTCCGTAATCTCCGCCACCTCAGGGCTGAACTTGTAACTGTAACCTATACCTAACCTGTAACTAAATCGTTCATAATCCAAATACTATCCATTCTTATAGACCAACAGCAATATGGTATTTCCTAGCCGCGGCTGTATTACCTGTAAAACCCGGCGCATCAAGGTGAGGCGTAATGAGACGAGAAAACTACCCGATCACCGCAAACTAAAAAAATCTAGTGCGATTCGGTCCATCCATCGTGTGGCCGATGCCAAAAAGCAAGTCGAGATTGTCTTTGGGATCAGAACGAAGAATCTGGTTTACTATTCAAGGATGAGAATGCCTTTGCTCAAGGCAAACCTCGGCGTCCTTGGAAATCAAAGGTACAAGAAATATCAGGACCGGAGGCCGAAGTGGTCGACTCAGCAGCATTTTCCGTGTCATCCTTCGTTCCGGCGGAAGATAAAGCATTGCAATTCTGGTTTAATGATTACGTATTCCGAGACGACGAGATCCCCGAATTTGCTCGAGAGTATAACCACTACTTAATACCTTACCGTGATATAGACCAACATGACTCGAGTCTTCACCTAATTATATCGGCCCTTTCGCACGCTGTATTCGGTCGTGTGATGCAGCTAGACAAGCCGATTGAAGAAGCCGAGAAGTTATTCGCACGAAGCATCGAGAACGTGCAAAACGAGATCCTCCAGCTATCGCAAAACAACATCGACGAGCTTCTCCTTGCGACGATGCTGACGGCTGACTACAAGGTATGAGTGAAAGTCTACAAGCCCTCTAGCAAGCACGGCCTAATACATCTTTGCTATAAGAACGTCATGGATAGATGCTATAGCCGTGACCAGGATGAAGTTTCGCTTTTGAATCTCGACGTGACCGGATCACGAATCTGGAAGAATACTTGTCATTACGATAGAGCTACAGATCTCTTGAGGCAACGGCAGCAAAAAAATTGGACGCCCAATCTTTTTCTAGACCGAGCCGTGCGACGACGATTAGTAAGTATCCAAACATGCGTAATAGATACATTGCTCACCAAGCCTAGATTCGGGTGTGTATTCTTCGAGGCATGTTCGTTCCTGAGTGGCTTCGAGACGGGGTCGAGTTCGGTGAGGAAGGTCCCGTTCTAACTCTTGATTCGATCATGGTCCGCGTAGCCGCCCTCCGTCAGAGGTCGCTTTGTCTTTTCCTTCCGAAAAGTGCAAGATTCTCAACTCAACCGCATCCGGGCGACCTTGCAACCGAGGCTCGATCGCTTGACGATGCATTGGAATCGTGGTCTACTACACTCCCTGAAGATTGGAAATTTACCACACTATCGAGTTCTGAGCCAGATTCTACCTTTGATGGGGTAATTCATGTCTTCGCCACGTGTGGCCACGCTACTATATGGTGTCGATACTACGCTATCCGTTTAGTTGTCAACAGCATCCGCAATAGAGCGCTCTCCATTATGGCCCAATGTTCATCTCAGATGTTATCTGTAGCCCCAGAGCAGGATATATGCCTAAGAAATATGGCGTCCCTAGGAATAGACTTGTGTCGTAGTATTGCGGTCTTCTTCGCCCCTGTTACTACGGAGAGAAATCCCACAGCTGCAAGAGAAACTGTGATGAACGATAATATTGTTCGCGTTAATCAAGAAATCAAGCCTAAGCTAGCGACGCTTTTAGCATGGCCGCTGATACTAGCGATCAATGCGGATAATATCCCAGAATTCCAAAAGCAGTGGCTAAAGAATAAATTAAAGTCTGTTGCTAACACTTTAGGAAATGCCATTCTTGAAAAAGTTATGGAGCAGAATGAACTGAAGTTCTAGATACAAGTACAGAACCCCCTACTTCTCAAAACGTAGTAGACACTCTAAAATAGAAGATAAATGACTTAGTCGAAAAGCCCAAAAACGGGCTTGGGAACATAGGGTTCCTCGAGGAACTTGACGTCTTCAGCCGTTAACGTCTTACCTCGCGCATCGCATGCCTCGTCAATCCTAGCAACCGAGTTGAACCCGACGATCGGTATAGTGCCTTTCATATGATGCCACGCCAGATTGACGTTGCTCATCTTCCAACCTTTCTCGACAGCAAGCTTCTCTACTCGGCGAATAATTTCCTCCTCGTCAGGTCGGAGATCTAAGCTGATGGGACCGGGTGTCTTGGAGCGAGTCGAGTCATCCTGTCCCAAGGGTCGGGCTAGCTTACCGCCGAAGTTAGGAGAGTACGGCAGGATACCAACGCCCGTGTCATTACAGTAACGAATCATCTCACGTTCCTCTTCGCGATAGCACAAGTTGTACAAGTTTTGCATACTGATGAACTTGGTCCAGCCGTTGCGTTCGGCGACCGCCTGCATGCGCACGAACTGCGTAGCCCACATCGAGCTCGCACCGATGTAGCGCACCTTGCCGGTTTGTACAAGGTCGTGTAGTGCCTTCATGGTCTCCTCGATAGGCGTGGTTGGGTCGAATCGGTGAATTTGGAATAAGTCAATGTAACTCGTGCCCAGACGCCTCAGCGACGCATCAACAGCGTTAAAGATGGCAGCGCGAGAAAGACCTGTGTTGTCGTTAGCCTAATGCTCGGATTTTTTTCCCCGTTTGTTATGTATGGATGAATAAATGCGGCGCTACTCGAATCGAAACTCGCTTACCCCCTTGGTTGACATAGTCCTTGCTCTGGCTAAGTACTCCTCCAAACGGAGCGGTGAATACGCTCGAGTCTTCCCCGACGTATAGGAAACACTTTGTCAAGATGATGACCTTCTCTCGCGGGATAGAGAATTTCTGAAGCGCTTTTCCGACAATCTCTTCGCTGATGCCGTTGGAGTAGGCGTTTGCTGTGTCCCACGTGTTAATGCCCCTATCGTAGGCGGCCTTGAGAATTTCGAGTGACTTCTCTTCATCTAGTACCCACGGCAGCCACTTTGAGGAGCCCAGGGACATAGCACCTAAGATGGGTGAGGACACACGAAGCCCGGAAGAGCCTACCCTAGCATAATCTACATTGGTATTGTCGATGCTCTTCTGGAGAGATGCCGGAACTGGGAATTGAAACATGGCTAAGCTGATGTTGGAGTCTTGACTTAGGTTGAATAACGAAATATTAATCTTCCTTGATACTCGAATATAGTAAATTATCTGATCTGTTTTGATGAACGAGTACATGAAAGGGGTGGGCTTATTCCCTTTATATATCTATTCTGTTCCTCTTGATCACCCCTCTCAATATGCTACGCAAAGCTCCATAGCCTACATTCTCCAAGGCTAGATAGACCTTTCGAGTCTCCTAAGCGAAATATTCATAGTCGAATGATATTTCCCGTGGACGGGAGTTAAGATGGTGTTGTCCGAAGTCCGCAACGACCGTACTCCTACTTTTATTTCTAAGCAGCTCGTGAGATTTTCCAAAGATGGTCTAGCACCAAGAGCTCGCGGGTTTTTCTCCAAAGGGAATAGTCCCAAATAACTATTCCTGGCATACTAAACAGATTGAATATCCTTAATGAATCGAAATGCTCATGCATGTGTATATCTTGGCATATTTTGGTGATAAGATATGAGGTTAAGATACATATAATATTCCCCTATACAAATTCAATAGCTTGATGCATTCAAAAGAATTACAGGGTATTTCTACTGCTTTCTGCCACTATCCTCCCTTGCCTTATAATATATACTATGAATGTATTACATCAAGACCATCAAGGTACTCATTCAATCATCATATCCCATATTTATACATGTGTCCACCCATCCCGAGTTCTCAACCTAGCTTCGTCCTCTCATTAAGACCAGGTCAAGCACTTCAATATCTCGTCAACTGAGGACTGCCTGCACACGCCGGTAGTGAGAATTTAGTCTCGGCAAATACCTTCTGCATGCCATCCTCGTGCTTCTCGAACTTGACATACACCTTATCCAAGTCATCTAAATGAACGCGATGAGATACCATCTGAAGAGGGTCTAGATCACCGTCCCGGATCATCTTTAGTAAGTCCTCCCAGTACTTGTGTACAGGTGCTTGACCGTTGCCGATGAGTCGAATACCCCTTTCCATAAGAGATCCGATGTTGAAATGGTTGGTCTAAGGTTGTTAGCATGTTAAATCACTAAGACGAATAGTATTACGAAAGGGATAAAGAGCCAAGAACTCACGTAGCCGACGTATACACCAGTAACTCCGCATCGACCAAAGTTTCGAACACTCTCGATCATCTCGTTAATAATTTCGCTCGTGTCGGTCTCTGCACCCAATGTCATCTCGAGCCAGTGCATCCAGCCCTTGGCATATTCGCCCGCGGCACACTACAAAATTCGGCGTCAGTTAACAGCTCATATCTGTGGCAACTAAATTTTGAAATGGGATGAACATAATATTTACCTCGATAGCTGCATCCGGGCCCCTTCCACCGCAAAGATCCTTCAGCTTTGACACGACGGTCGGCTTATTTGTTACGCCGAACGATAGCTTCTTATAATCAACCAGCTCCAACTTCTCGATGTGGTCTGCGGGCCAGTGGTTTCTGATAAAAGTGAGACGTGGCTCGGTGTCGACGAAGATGATCTTGGTGGCGCCGGCTTTGATTGCGAAAATTCCAGCCATCTGACCGATGGGACCGGCACCAAATATAGCTACCTGATCACCGGGGTAGACGGCAGTGTCATGCACAGCGTTGTAGCTTGTTGCTAATACGTCACTAAGATATAATGCCTTCTCGTCGGGTACGTCATCGGGTATCTCTAGGAGATTCACGTCGCCGAGCGGCACGCGAACATATTCAGCCTGACCGCCCGCGAAACCGCCCGTGAAGTGCGAGTAACCAAACATCCCGGCGGTCTGACCGCCGTACATGGCTCTCTCGGTAGTGTTGGAGTTGGTGCGCTCGCATTGAGATGACAGCTTCTGCTTACAGAAAAAGCAATCACCACACGCGATCTGGAACGAGGCCACGTATCGCTTGCCTTTCTGAACTTTCTTGACCGCCGACCCGACCTCATCAACAATACCGCAGAATTCGTGGCCTAGGATGTCACCTTTACTTAATTGGATGACAGTTCCTACAAAAGCCAGTTAGTATGACGAATTCGTAAAGAGGAAGAATACGAATTCTAGATTGTAGCAGCTTACCATGGTATAAGTGAAGGTCGCTTCCGCAAACCGTGCTACCGGTAACTTTGAGAATTACATCGTTGGGTTCGATGATACTTGGTCGAGGTACATCGCGAATTTCGACAGTATTTTTACCCATCCAGCATAACGCCTTCATAGTCTCTGCTCTTTCACCTTCTCCGCTGTAGTTGCTAACATCTTGTGCGGTGATTGAGCTTCCGTCATGGCCGATGGCCTTCTCAACAAGGTATGCCCCTTGTGTTACTGACATTATTTCCTGATTCTTATTTGGTTATCCCTTAATATTGTGCTTTGTCAGACAGGCGTCTTGAATATGCAGCCTTCACCGAGCTCTCTAATGTAGGTCGCAGTCTTATAACGGACGGTACACATCGTGGCAACGACATCAGCGCATCATCATATAGCCAGATTTACCAGGATGAGTTCTAGCCCCCCACACGTCGAGATCGAATAGGAAAGCTTTGGTATTGCCAGTGTATGACGTTGTGATTAGATATTGGTTCAAGGCACATGGAACTGGCATACGTCATGACTTCTAAGGCGTGGACACAAGCGCGGATGCTAACTATGATGTATGTATAATATCAACCATACGAAGTACTTTACACAACTCAGGAACATATTGATAATGAGATATAGGTAATAAGAAGCTTCACAAATTATTCGATATAAGAACTAAGGCTGTTCTCATATCAGCAATTCTACTCAAGTATAAGATCGATGGTGATGTTGAATATTCTTTAAAAATGGGGTTAAGTTGAATCCCCCCTCCCCCCACATGGCGATCCTATATCCTAACTCCCAGACATAAAGCTCAACTACCGAATCAGTATGCCCGTTCTATGCCTGTATGTGCATGCGAAATTCTTAGCATATCTACATAGGTACCTACCTGGGCAAGGCATCTATTTCTTTAATGTTTTGGCCTCTGGCTATCTAAACCCGTTTGTGAATGTCATCAAGTGAACAGGGGGCAAAGAAGATGAGAGCATAATAGCCAATTCAAACTAAGACCTTAGCTAATTGGACTACTGCATCATCATGGTTCCATTCAACCAAACTCCGTTTCTTAGTCTCTTCCATTTTCATCTTGATAAAAGGCTCCATCGCCTCGATCTCTTGGTGAGTGAGGAGGTTAAGTCTAGCATGGTGATCGCCCCCCTCATTATCTCCAAAATAATCCATGTCTAAGAACCTCCAGAATATGAAATCAAATGCCCAACTGTTTCTAGCTGCGTAATTAATCATCCATGTTCTCTTCTCCCAGCTGTTTCTCATTCTTTGAGAGAGAGGTACATCATCTTCCAGGGACGAGGATATAACCGTATTTTCTGTGATTTCATGATGACCCTGCTTCTTCTTTTCTTCAATCTCTAGTACTCGAAGGAATGTTTCTAGGCGAGGTTCGCATTCCTCCATCCAAGACTTATACCCACCATCCCAGTATTCTGGACTTTTTAAGAGAAGCCACCAAGGGGGATCAAATGAGAATTGTGCCGGCGCAGCGTAAGCAAATTCCCAATCGATCACGCCTACTACGTGGTCATCTTTATCGATTAAAACGTTTGACGGACGCAGGTCTTCGGAATATAATCGAAAGCTGGAATCGTTGGCGCCCTTTTCCCTAGCATCCAGTCCCAATGTAAGCCGCCCTTCTGATGCGAGCCGTCGGAAAAGCTGACGTGCTACATACTTATCCCGCGCGTCATCTTCATCGAAGATGGCATCGTTATGTTGAAATGTAAGCTGTGCTAGATGCATGTCGGCTAGGGCGCAAAACCATTCGTTAGAGGTATCGTACGACCGAGATGGTAGTACTGTTGGAGCGACGCCCGTAAATTCTAGCAGTGAGTTCATATTTTGAATGAGAGGTCTCCCGGACACGGAAATATCACCGTGTTCGTCTTGGTCTAGCGAGCCAATTCTGGGGAATTCCAGTGTAGATAACTGCAAGATGATATTAGCCATCTGCCCATAGAGAAACTCAAGCCGTCCCTTGTCGATAGTAGGATCTAACACAGGAGACTCTTCAGGTTCGAGAGCAGGGTCCTTAAGGGCATCAGACATTGTCCTCTCGTGCTCGACATAGTCCATAATGATAAATGGGCCTAAGCCAACCGGATTTTCTGCTGCTGTTCCGAAGTGATATATTTTGGGCACCGGAATAGTTGTATTCGCTGCAACATAACGCACTGTCGCGACCTCATAACGGATCTTCTCTTCTGGAAATTTAACACCTATTCATTCTTGGTTAATAGACTTTAATATGTAAAGGGGGTCTATAATTCAATACCTTTACAGGGGATTCTCATACCAGCGGACGAGCCATCTTTATATTCTAGCCGATAAAAGATGTTATACCCTCCTCTGATCGGCTTATGCAGTTCTACAGCCTCGCCCGGCCGATATTTATTAATGAGACTAGCGATTCCGCGGTATATGTGTGACTTGTTAAGTGACCTCTCCCATGCCTCGATCTCTCGGTCACTTTTCTCCCAAGCAAGGTCATCCATGTCCATACGGACATATCTCAGTTTTGGTGGCATGTCCGGATACCAATGTTTACTCGATCGATTCGCTATATTTGGGAGCTTGAGGTTGTAATGTATAGAAATGCAAAATGTGCTGAGTATAAACGAAGACTGTTAAGCTACACACCTTGCTACACACCTTGCTACACACACGTACAAGGGATGTATCAGCTAGTGTCAGATAGTAACGAAATAGAAAAAAGATATTACGAAATACCCTTGTAGTGGTGCAGTGGTATATTCGACAGTTAGGCTTCTTAGGGACGTGGTTGTACAATCACACTTAAACGCCTCTACACAGCTGAGTTATTGAACTAGGAACCCCTTCCGGATAAAGGGGTTATATGCGTGTATATCCGTAATCGCTGTTGGTTTAAGCTTGTAATTTTCGCTTGATAATTGTCCTAATTATGTTGTTTTCTCATGACATAGAACCAAAAAGAATGGAAACAACTTCGTTGCTCGGCAAGGAACTCTAACCTAACTACGGGATCATACGGCTATACATACTAAACATGTTCTTTGTTTTAGATGTTCCATCTAGTAACTCGAGTGCAAAAACATCAGACTAACAACCAGCTACATGGAAATTCAATTCAATCGTAATATTGATCCGAGATGGTAAGACTGTATTCAAACTGAGACTCAGTGTGGGAGATGTATATACGCGACTGAAGTCTCTAGGGCTTGAAAATTGAATTACGAAGCAGATTGAAATTTCTCATAGTCCCGAACTTTCAACATCTAAAGAGTGACATCAACCCTAATTCTACGCCAAAGGAGTATAATTCGTTTATCAAGTACGCTAATTAATCTACAAAACAGTTCAGAATGGCCGACAACATTAGAATCCCTAATGATAACGAGGAAGCTCTTATGAGGGCCTCCTCTGAAGCTTACAAAAAGCGTCGGGAGGAAGAGGCAAAGCGTAAGCAATCTGAGGAATTGATGAAGAGAGCAGCTGAAAATTCTAAAAAGAGACGAGAAGACAACAAAGTGAAGATGATCTAGTAGTACTAACCAAAACTGCCACACTGAAATGTAGAGATTGCTACGAAGTCGGATGCGATTCTTCATAGCTAATAGCATCGAATTATGTTCGCTTGCTTAATAGTATGTAGCTTAATAGTAATTAGGACTTAGAAATATATCCTTGTGAGTTAAAACTTATCGATTCGTCTTAATAGTTTTAATAGAGTAGGTTGGACATAATAAAGGCGCGTTTCTTTACACTTTTTATTTAACTAATAAAGAGCTTAGCTTCAGAATACATGAAAGACTTTAGGGTCACTTTCAAGCAAAACAAAGATCAGGTTGCTCGACTAAAGCTTTGAGCCTCGAAGGACTCCTAATATACCTATCAAACAATAAAAAGATTTGAGTTCTTAGATAATAGCGAACTGGGTATCGTTGCATTGCTAAAGTCAAGTATGTATGCTACTTTTCATATACGTTCCGCAAAATTATAAACTTCTACCTCGACCTCTTATAGATCTTTCAAGGAATCCCCCCTTCAAACACGCTAATTTCCATCTCTTCAAGGTATCGCTACCGTCTTCTATACTACCGCACCTCTAATCAATTACTAGAAATTCGTTTTCTTGCCTCCTAAACTTCACCTAGTCGGGCTAGTATAAAGCACACTCCTACGCTTACGCTCCAAGAGGCATGGGAAACCCGGACGGGCCCGTATACCTCTGAGAGATAGAAGCCCCGTGCTGCTCAGCGACGAGCTGGTCCGAAGTTATTTCGTACACGCCGGTGTAGTTGCCGTGGGAGTCCTGGGGCGTTGTGACGCGGAGCTTTAGGCCACCCTCAACCTTGTCAACGGCCCACGAGTACGCTCCTTTCTCTGCGCACCCTGTCCAGCCAACAGCCGGGAGGAAGTCAGGGCCCTCTGTGAGAAATTAGTATTTATGAAAATTCGGTAAATTTAGCTACGTCTTGTAGTAATGAACTCCTCTGCCAACTTGACAGGGAGTGCATAAGACAAGCCGAATAAGAATGGTACGTACGGAGCATGAGACTGCACTTTGCCGGTTCTGGGTTACCAGAAGGCGATGCCGACGCCGGATCAGTAATAGCAAAGAACTCGTAACTAGTCGTGATGTTAGTTTATAGTCAACAATGCTAATTTGGAAAAGCTTGACATACGTGCACATGACGCTGTGAGGAATGCAAGAAGCCGTGAAATTAGATACGGTGAATCCAGTTGCGTATCTCGACTTGATAGCAGCACCTGAGGCGGTAGCCGCGAAGAGGGTTGCGAGGATAGTGTTGAGCTGCATATTGAATAGCTGAATTATTAAGTATTAAAACTATGTAATTAGTTATTTGGTTCTTGTTAAGCGAGTGTAAAAAGTTGAAAGATGATATAGAATAGCGAAAGATATCACGATGTGCTTCTCGATGTGATGTAATTATATATACAAGCGGCGTTGTCTATTTTATATAAATGTCTACTCTCAAACTCAGCCACTTTCCCGTGTTCAGTAAGGCTTGGCTGCGTTGTTTGTCTAAAAAGGGATAACTGTCGATAGCAAAATACCACGTTGCATGCAACTGTGTTAAGCGACTTCACGCCGCGGATCTCAATTGGGTAGGCGATCATCTCGTATTTGTGCCCGCAGGGTCCCTCAGGCGCCGAGTGCACAAGGATGACGACATCCCATAAACTTCGCTACCCTTCATCTTAATATTTAGGACATGCTCAAAATGATGAACGGAATTTATCGTCACTTGGTTGTATTGCGACTCAAATAGGGGTAGACTCAAATCACATACAGTATGAAAGATATATGGATGTTAGCGAATCAATAAGATAGGTACATTCATTATTTCATCCGTCGTAAATCATGGAAGAAGTTAATACTAATGCCGATGCTTACTCTACCACGAAACTGGTGATCTGGTAGGGCGGATTGCGGCCGAAGCCGCGTTGAAGCCCAAAAATAGGCTGAACCAAATACGAGAGAGAATACTTCATCGTATATAGACAGCAGACAGCAGACATCAGACAGCAGACATCAGACAGCAGACATCATCACGGGTTAGATGTTACGAGCAATGTTACGAGCAAGCCTACCATAAACTTACCATAAGGTAAATACTAATACTTGCCCCCTTAACAACGTATATCAGATTATGAATCCCGGTCTATATGACAATTGATTATTCACCTTATTTACACTGATAATCCCCACTACAACCAACACCATAACCAACAAGTCTTTCTCATCGGGCTTGAAACATCGTTTATTTTGTCAGGGGTCGGTTTATGTGCCGAAGCCTTGCATCATCGTTTGCTTTTCAGGGTCTTCCGCGGAAATTCTTCGCTCTCGGCCGAACCTTTTGACCTCTGAAATCTCGTGTTTCCCACCTATAATAAACATATGGCCTAGAACATCTCGAGCATCGCAGCACCGGAGTTCGGAGCGCACATTCTCCATCGTCTGTTCATACACAAATCCTAAACAGCCTTGGCTAAATCCCAATGTTACTACTTCTCCTTCCTCGCTCTCTTCTCGTCCAGTCTTTGTCGACGTACTTTTGTGAAAATATCCAGTTTGCTCCTTCAAAAATTACAAGACAAGATAGTTACATATAGTAGCAAAATTTGCTATACCATAGACTGCTACTGCTACCGCTACTAGTTAGGCTGTTTATAGAGCCAGTCGCTGTTGGCATCAACCATAAAATTCGTAATATTAAATTCGTTCGCGACGCCGTTTGTATTACCCATGGCGCCGCTGCCGCTACCGCCTTCGTTATTCGTCGCGTTTTCCGAGCTCATTTCGATTGAATTTGGTGGACCCGAAGATGCCTCATGACTGAACGGTAACCGTGGTACGTTAAAGAAGTCGAATACGTCCAAGTACTCCAGCTCGTTTGGCGCCGGTGTGCGCGCTGGAGTTACGCTTGGTCGACGGCTCGGAGCGCCCGCCAGGTGACGTGGCTGGCGGCTAATCAAGAAGTCAAGATCGAATGCGGTCCTTCTCATGTCTGCAAGTATCTTGACCGAAGACGGTGTGATCCGCTCACCGGTCTGGCCTACTGCACGCTCGCTGTCGCTATGCTCGTCGAGAACTCGTTGGAGTAGCTGACAATACCTCCCGGCTACCGGCCAGTACCTACCCATGTCGCGCAGCGTATCGACGAGGAAGGCGATTTGTGGCGCTAATTTATGTTCTACTGTCGAGCCGTGGACGAGAAGGAGTCGGGCGGCTACCCATAACGTGAAGGCGAATGGAGGGCCGAGTTTATTTAGCATGCCGTTTTGTACTACGAACTCCCCGAGAGCGGCAATATTCTCTACGGCGCTGAGGCAACGTTGACTTGCACCATACGAAGGAGTAAATATGGGTGATCTAGTGGTCGGGTACGCGGCTGACGAATGTAATCGAATCACGGCCGTATGATAGGTAGCATGCAGCATAACCCATCCGCAGTTTAGAGTCTTGCTACCACTGGGTTGAAACAACTTAGCCATATTGCCGTATTCTCCCGGAAGACCGAATTTCCATGATGCGAGGAGGTTATCGAGTTCCTTGTATCGCAGCTGCCATTGCTCAACGTCTCCCAGCGCTCCGATGTCTACGGGCTGCTTCAGAAATTCGTGAATCTTGGATAGTATGCCGAGGATCTCAATATAGTATGAGAATGCACCCAGGTTTTCCGGCTTGTTTTGTTCATGCTCCGGGAGGTCCGGAGGACGATCTTGAGTACGAAACCACCTTGTTTCCACCTTTTGATTCTTAATCCACAGGTCATCCCTGCAGGGAAGTGTCCGGTCAATCTCCTTGTCGTTTAGAGCGAAGTCGAAGGCTGTAGCGATTGTAGCGTACCGATCCAGTAGGTATATCATCCAGAATAATCGTCGCCTTGACTCTTCTTCGATGAAATCTTTTGGCTCTGGTAAGACCATTGCTCTCAAGGTATATATCGAGGCATAACTTGGTGATACGGAGAGCGAGTTACTCTCGACAGCCAGACCTAGCTGCACGACAGAGCGTGTAATCAAAGCCATAATGTTCCAGCCTGGAGGGCCGTTACTGCTACCACATAAGTCGAGTGCCAGGATGACCAGAGCCTGTAGCGCCTTGACAGACGAATTTTCCATGCCGTAGAGGAGAACCCTCTCTTTCGAGACGTCGTGGTAATGGCGCCTTTTTTCTTCTGTGAGTCGGGCATCCGTCGAGTACCTTAGAGTAGCTGCGACAATAGAATGTAACAATACCTTATCGGTGTCGTCTAGCGTCGAGGGTCCGAATAGTGAGTCTAGGGTAGATTTCCTGTGTAGGATAGGGCACCAGGTGTTAATATGCTTGAAGTATAAATCTACTAACGCGTACAGGAGATCGTATGGTGGAAGATCCTGATCTGACGATATCTGTGTCTGACTCTGTGTCACGCTCATGCCGGGAGATCGAACTGGCTGTTGTTGCGACTGTCCGTAATATTCCTGAGCCGTGGGACCCGGTTGAAGGCCAGGTCCTAACTGATTAGAGGGAGAGATGCCAGCCATAGGCATCTGTGATTGGAAGCCATCATGCACAGAGTGAATTGACGGGGTCGGAGGAGGTAAGCCAAAGTCGACATGTTGTGACGTCGTAGGAAACGTAGAAGGCTTCTGTAAAAACAATGCGGTCTCAGCTTGGGGAGTCCTAATAGATTCGCCAGGCCGGAACAGCGACGTTGGCTCACGCGGCGTGCCATGGTCGCTTGGTAGACTTGAGTTGCTGTTGCGCACGCTCGGGGCAATATTGTGGTGAGCGTGGTTGATAAAGGATGTCTGCAAGATCTCGGAATGAGATCTTAGTATCTCCTCAAGCTTATCGAGTCTCTGCTCCAGCTCCCGGCCGTAGCCAGCTCTCAAACCGGGTTTCTTGCGTTCCCGATATTCGCAAAAGACAGAATTTCGCCTGCACCAACCACATGATGGTTGTCCACGATCGCATTTTACCTTTGAAAGAGTAAGTACATATATCTAGATTTGCTAAGCGGGAAATGCCGGGTAGTAGGTTTATATGAAGGTAAAGGTGAAGGTGATTAAAACAAACCTTTCTTTGCTTGCAAGTTTCACAACTTCAATTTAGCATATATATGTTAGCGTATTTCGTTCGATGTGAGACGATAAATAAGACGATATAAATGTATAAGACCAGTCGATATGCGGTAATGAGCTGATAGGGGAAAAGGGTTGGGGGATGCGATGATCTGAATGCGGAGATGAGGAGATGAGGGATATCAGATGGATCAGACATCGACAGGCCAAGACCAAAGCAATTGGAGAATGGAGAATGGAGAATAGAGAATAGATCATACTAAAGTCTGTCGGATAATAATAATAATAATAATAATAAGAACAGTAACTTGAAATTCATTGGATAAGAAAAATACAAACTCACGAGACGGAAATTGGTCTCTTGCGTTTCCCGTTACGCACAGCGCCGGTACTGTCGTGGTCGTCGTCTTGATCATTCTCGTCCCCGCTCTGCAGGGCGTTATTACCGTCGTCGCTGTCGGGTTCCTGTTTGCTGTGTAGCGACACGTGGTTCTGCTGCTGGGGTCCGGATACAGCTCCGTTCTGAGATTGAGCAGCTTGCATCATGTCTCGGTATCAATTACAAACTTTGGACCTCTGCGACTCGGGGTTTGTGGGCGACAGCATCGCGAGCTGGCTCTCTACTTCGGGGTAATGTTGAGTAGAGGAGAGACGTGTGTTAAGTGGAAGGGGGCTGGCCGAGCTAGTTGTGCCTCGGCTGGGGTCTCGAATACTTTTTTTTTTCCTCTCTATTTTAGGTCTTGGGGGAATTGTGGATTATGGGGGGATGGAAAAAGAGGGAAAAATTGATTCGCAAAATAATAGTCACGCCAAGATAAAATTCTAGAGGCTCGTGAGTGCTAATTACGAAATATCAGAGTACTAAACCCTGAATGGACTCGACTCGTTCATGGGGTATCAAGCTCTTGTAGCTTTTGTAGCTCTTGTAGTACCTAACTAGTCATGTAGACACGATATAATAGGCGGTCTGGTATTAACTGCGATGGAGCCATAGGAGAGACGGAGGGTAATAGATCGGTCGATGGTGGGTGTCCGAAGAATACCGGACGACGATAATTACTGGCTGTTTCTAAGAGTACTGTTACAAAACCTATCAACTGAGACTTTGGAGATTTAGACGGGCAGTTATAATTAGGTATAGGTATAATCAAGCCGTCGAGAATATAAATGCCCGTATACGATAGTTTCGTATCACATTTTCCCTAATTTTCCTAGCTTCTTTACCAACCTAGAGAGGATCGTTACTAACATTTGCGGGGGAAATCAGTAGATGGGACTGGCTGAGATGTCAAGCCCAGAAGCGTGGAGGAAAAAGTTGGGGAGGCCAAGAAGGGAAAGGGTGTCAGGAAGTGGAGGAATTCAGATGCGGAGACCAATGATATATTCTCTGCCGGGGTATTTCTTGGTTATTTACAGGGATGTTCCCTTCATCACACGTAGTCCCCTGAGGCCCTGTCGTTTGTAAATTGCGACTATGTGAAATCTTGTAGAAAATCCCACGAATATTCTCGTACTATATCGTGTTTGCTTCAAACTCGAGTCAACATTTTACATAATTCGAAATTTATATTCTTTATACCTAGGTAAGCAAGTATAATTCATACTAAGCTTTATATAGTTATATATATATATGGCAATATACAGCATGTATTGGACGCGAACGCTCCTATCCAAGATCCAAGATACCTTCCTAACGCGCAAGTCCCGACCCAGCAGCCATTACATGCAAGTCGACCATTACTACATTAGGCGGATAACCCTCCGTAGGATTCCGTTCCAATATCGGCAGTATTCACCGGATTTTCAACATATGTCCAACTGCCGATATTTCATTTCATGCTTCCCTCACCCTCCTATTTCTAGGATTTTCCTGCGCCCAGCATTCACTTGAGTAAGTATGGCTAAGGATGATATGGGTGTGAGTATGAGTATGAGTATTCTGGTCGTTCAAATTTATGCCTTTTCTTTTCTAGGCGCTCGTAGCCATGTTTTTTACGCCCTCTGTCAGATGATCTACGAGGCTAGTTTTTCTTCTCGGTAGGTTCCGCCTCCGCTTTCTGGGCATCGGGTAGCCCTGTTGCGTTCTGCAATATACTCGCCGGCGGCGGACTTAATAGATAGTCCGACGGAATCAGCTTCGATCTAGCGGTAGGGTTCAAGGTAAGGCCAAAGCCAGGCTTATCGAGGTCGGCCGCAGTTAGGAAACCTTTTGTCGGAATAGGTTCGTCGAGGAAAAGGTCGCCGAAGACCGGTAAAACACTCTTTCCGTCAGGAGAGTTGGCTAAATACTCTTGGAAGGGAGTATTAGGTTGAGATATGACGAAGTGGTAGCTATAAGGTCCACTAGCATGAGGCACGACAGGAATATCGTAGGCGGCAGCCATAGCAGAGACCTTGAGAAGCTCTGTCATGCCGCCGAGCCACATGACGTCGGGTTGGATGATATCGAGATTGCGCCCCTCGATCAACTTACGGAATCCGTACCTCGAGTACTCGTGTTCTCCCGTTGTGAACTTGAGCGTAGGATGCGCCCTCTTGATCTGCTCGAAGCCGTCGGTATCATCTGGGGACAAGCATTCCTCCCACCAGTTGATGTTCAAGTCTTCACACTTCTTAGCGATCTCGATAGTGTACGACACGTTCAAGCTCATGTAGCAATCGACCATTATGGGGAAATCTGGCCCTACACTCTCGCGATGCTTGCGGAGGAACTCTATGTTCTTCCTCAGACCCTCATGGCCGTCGGCCGGGCAGAACGGAAGTGGAACTTTGGCTCCCCAGAATCCCATCGCCTTCGCAGCAATCGGCTCTGGTCCCGTGCAATAAAAGTCTATCCGCTCCCGTGCCGCGCCGCCGATGAGCTTATATACGGGCTCATTTCTTAGCTTGCCGATCAAGTCCCAAAGAGCAAGGTCGATAACAGAAATGATAGCTATCGGTAGTCCTTTACGGCCGTAAAACATAGAGGCTCGGTACATCTGTTCGAATAGTAGGTTGGTATTTCTAGGGTCGGCACCGATCAGAAACCGCTCGAAGTGTTTGTGAACGATCCAGCAAGCTGGCGGGCCTACGTAGAAAGTATCCATTAGTCCAATGGGTAATTTTATTAATCCGCGAAACGAAATGGGAGTTCTTACCGCCAAAGCCCGTCGCGAAGCCTACCGTGCCATCGGTGGCCTCGATCTCGATAAGAAACGATCCGAGAACGTTGATACCCCAACTTGTACGCGATTTCTTATACTTGTCCCATATGGAACACGGTGTTGAGATATCCGTGTCGATCAGCCTACAGTAAGTATTGTTAATACCAGTCTCGCTGTCTTAAGGTTCTCTCGTAAGATATGTCAGCTTAGCTACTCACCAATGGCCACCCTTAACGTTGTGATAATCACCACCTATAGTAAGTTAGTTACCATATGACTGGTCATCCCCGCACATCCCCGTCTTGACATATAAGGTAGCTTGCATACCTGAGCCAACGCCGCCAATCACATACGACCTGATGGCTTTGATGGTGGGAAATTGTCTCACCGAAGCCATCGTGGGACTCTATCACCTTAGTACAAGTCGTTTCGTAGGTTTACTTCCCGCTAACTGCTAACTATACCAACAATATGTGGTCTGTTACGAGAGCGTCGTAATATAAAGACGGAGAGGGGGGGGAGAGAGTCGAGGGAGAAGGGAGGAGAAACTAAAGTAGCAGCGTCAAAGAAACACATCCACAAGCGTCGCGGCCGGAATATTAAATACGTCTAGAGCAAATTATAGTAGCGTCAAGCTCGGCTTCCCGAACAGCGACATGCCCTGGGTTTTTTTTTGAAGGCGATACCCCAAAGGCCGAGCAGGTCCGTAGGCAGCGGGGTGGCCGGGATAGCCTTGGAAGCGTTCTAGCTCGTTGCCAATAGACCCCGTTCGTCCCCATTCGTTCCTATTGTTGGTTTTCTACATGGTATAGTATATGGGTCTAGCTCGCACTTACACATGCATTACGTTTCATAAGAGGACTTGTCGTCCCTAGTCTATATGTAGATCGGTCTCCAATCGCCCGACAATAACAAACATAGCTCATCTTGAGCTCCTATCGAATAGACATCGTATCAGCACAAGTCACGAGGACGATAATATGCTGCAAGCCCATACAACCTACATACGTAGACGCATAAAAGCTTGTGTTATAGGTTAGCATTCCATATAAGTGAAGCGTCTAGGATATAAGGTGGTATTCCCCCGCGATTGGACTCATATATTTCCACTAATGCCAAAGTGAGGAAGATCTGGAATGAAACACGAAACACACGAGCTACGATGTATCACGGAAGCTTATAGGTAATATTATAAAAGAAACAACTGCACTTCTAACATAAAACGTCATAATTAAAATTCCACGTGTAAGATACTTATAAAAAACCAAGGAGACCCGTGCTTTCGATACCTATCTCTTGGTGAATGGCGAGGCGGGCCACCTGCGCCTTTTTAGGTGTAAACTTCAGACGAAATCTCGCTACGCATTACACCGAGATCGTGGGGTCAAGTGCTGATCGTACGCAACTGGGGTCCATAGCTCGAGACTCCATAAACTTGGACTAACCAGGTTACTATAGTAGTAACTTGGAGATGTGTGATGTTTATTCCTGTGTAGTTAGATTGAATATTTACATGTTATTAATAATTGATATACGTAGTAAGGAAGAGAAAAATTCAACTTGACGAACTACTACATTTCTATTTTCTTTCTTATGACTTATACTTCACTTATAGACAATATAAATACAACAACGACAACAACGACTAGATTAAGTTATACTAATCCTCATCACATGCCAAGGCTACTTAGTTATTTACCCCTATACCCCGCCATACTTAGAACCCTAAAAGCTCTCCTCATCTGCAGCATATTTTGAATGCTTCCGAGAAAAGAAAACCGCATCGCAGCTCGAAACTTGACCGAGCCAACTTCTTCACCACCTTCCAATTCGACCTACCGACACATTCCCTACTTTAAATATAATATACACGAAACACATACAATAAAATGCCGGCGACGAATCTGCTGCGGGGAAAAACCGCCATCATAACAGGGGGAACTACGGGTATTGGCCGAGCCATTGCCCTCGAATATCTGCGCCAGGGGTCCAACGTAGTAGTGAACCATCTAGGTCTCGAGCGCGACCAGCCTCATCTTGAATCTCTAGTCGCCGAAGCCGAATCTCTTAAGACCTCCAACATCGATTCTAACGCAACAATAGGCTCGCTCGACCATCTCGCCGGCGATGTCTCGGACCCGGCCACGGGACCCGCGCTTGTAGCTCACACCGTCTCGCGCTTCGGTCGCTTAGACATATGCGTGAGCAATGCGGGAATCTGCCAATTCGCGGAATTTCTAACTTTAACCGGGGACCTGTGGTCGCGGACGGTACGCACGAATCTCGACGGGGCGTTTTACGTCGTGCAAGCTGCAGCTCGACAGATGGCATCTCAAGAGCCGTTACCCTCGTCCTCTTCTTCGTGGGGAAAACCACAACGCGGGTCCATCATCGGACTAAGTTCCATCTCGGCGTTGGTAGGCGGCGGGCAGCAGACGCATTACACGCCGACGAAAGCCGGGGTGCTATCGCTGATGCAGAGCTGCGCGGTGGCGTTAGGTACGCACGGAATTCGGTGCAATGCGCTGCTTCCGGGAACGATTCGGACGCAGCTCAACGATGAAGATCTGGCTGATGATGCGAAGCGCGCTTATATGGAGGGTCGTATTCCGCTGGGACGCACCGGTGACCCCCGCGATATGGCGGGACCGGCCGTCTTCCTCGCCTCCGATGAGCTGAGCGGTTATGTGACCGGTTCGCAGCTACTGGTTGATGGTGGTTTATTTGTTAATCTACAGTGACGAAATACCGGTCGACAACTATAATATACCTACACATCCATATATCCACCATCATCGGGAATCCGGGCCCCTGTTCCTATTCTCGCCCTTCATCTTAAACCGTGCATATTCGCCTTACCAGCATGCATCCAACCAACCATTGGTAGTAACTAGGACTAGGCTAGCAGTTAGGCGAACACGTACCTATTTCAAGCACATACGTATTTGTGTAAGTGTGTATGCGCGAAGATGCCGAGAAGAGTGGGTGAATAACAAGGCGCTTATGTGGAAGCGTCGCAGATCGCGGTGGCAAATGTGACATATTCGAACAATAAGATCGAGATGTGGGCTGATCCGGGAGTTCAAGTTGATTAAAACGTTGATTTGAGGCTCAAAAAGTAGGGTCGGGAGACGATATATTGAAGGTCTGCGTGACTATGATTGGTGTTAGAATATAGTTATGTGTTAACATTCGTCGAGATGATACTTACCGACCTATTAGCAAAGCAATAGTCAGAGTTGAGATATCCCAGAGGCTCATCAATGCAACATCAAAAGCATTTCTCTCCAAAGCTGAGAATTTGCCGGTTTAAAATGCCGAAGTAGTAAATGTTACATGGAAACTGCCTTGCTATACAAATCATATTACACAGTTAAGACTTAATAGTAGTTAAGTTGTAAAAATGCTTCATTAAAAGAACCTGATTATATCGGTTTTATATCAATAACGCCACCTAATGCACAATATATCCAACAGTATTTAGATAGACACAAGCTCCGTCGAACCCCAATAACGACATCCCTAGCGATACCAGAACGAATGCCCCTTTCTACAGCATGATTACATGCGCGAAGAGTATATAGTGATAAAATAAAAATAAAAATAAAAATAGTAGAATGGAAGAGATGGTAAATGTAATAACAATGGTATCATGAGAATGTTCCCTCTAAAAAGTAAACCCGGTTCGTGATATTCGTAAAATCATGCAGTGAGCTCAAGGGGCCGTTCCTCAGCAGGGCTGAATACGGCGCAGTCCTGAGCTTCTTCCAAGCTCAGCTTGGGCATATCGGAAAGACGCGGCTTTTGCGTCTTGTTTTTCTTCCTGCGCTCCATCTCGCGCTCGATTCCGTGGTTTACAGCATCCAGAACTGTATTTACGGTGACGCGAGGCTTATAGGCCGGTTCGGTGCCATCCTGGTAGACACCAGTCTTGACCAGGATGCTATACCAGTCATTCTCGGCCTTCTCGTTGTATTGGTTGGTTCCTCGGATATCGCTCTCGGGGGTATCGCCGACGAAGTAAACAGTCTCCGGGGCTTTGTTTAGGCGATGCTGGTTCATGCGCCATCGCTTTAACAGGCGTGTGGCAAACTCAAAAGTTCCGATCTGAGGCTTGCCAAAGGCGTGAGTCTCCAATGTCTTACCCTTGGTGACCTCTTTGAACGTGTATTCGACGATACCCCGTAAGGCTCCCATGCCGAGGCGCACGTTGTCGTGTGCGGCAGACCAGACCACGTCGTTGTGAGAGAAGAAGATCGGTGGACCCTCGTCAAAGGTCTCAGAGAGAGTTCCGATGCGGCCACCCTTGGACATAGCTAGGTCTAAGATGATCTGCAGGTCTCCCGCCCAATCACGTGAATCGGCAAAGACGAAGATAGCTTCGATAGTGACTTTGCTGAAGTCACGCTCCTTTGAGTTTTGGTGTTCCTCAGGTGTCAGTTTGCGGAACGGCGTCGTAGCAGCATCGGCCTTGATGATGTCGCCGGGGGTGACGACGTCCTTAAAGCCGTAGCCTTGAGCGACGGTACGGCACTTCTCGCCTTCGCCACCCACGACCAGGACTGTATTGTACTTGTTGGCCATCTCGGACATGGGCGTATGTCCGCAGATGAACTGAGCCGGGGAGATCTCAATGTCCAGCTGGCTGGAGAGATCACCACAACGCTCAGCTTCGCTCTTGCCGCCGCCGTTGGTCAAAAAGATATACGGACTGCATTAATCAGTATAAATCATTCGAATTTTATATTGATGTTTCCAGTATTGGACTTAAATGGTACTTACATCTTGACTCCGTATTTGTTATTGCCGTTTAAGACTTTCATAGCCTGGACGGCTTCGGGGATGGGACGGCCACCTCGGACTAGGACGCCGTCGATGTCGAAGGCGAAGGCGAAGCTGTCGGCGACGAACTCTTCGTCGATAGGAGGAGAGATGGGAGAGATAGCAGCGTCTGATTCCGGGGTTGTAGACGTGGCGCTAGCGGCTGGGCTTAGCGACGGGGCCGTCTCCGAGTCGGACGGGCTGGTAGCCGGAGAACCGACGAGAAGCTTGCGGGCAAGATCGGTTCGGGCCGTTTCGATCTCGTCGACAAAGCTGCCGCGGTGGAAAGTAGGTTGTTGCGGTTCCAAAGACATGGTGAAAGAAGAGAAATTGTAATGATCGAACTCTACACGCGATATAAAAGCAAATAGGTAACTGTGGACTTAAAAAAGACCAGTCAAGGCGGTTGTTGATTTTGTTGTTGAATGTCTTGTAGATTTTACTCTTCAAGACGAAGGATACTTGAGATCCTGTTGAATAGCTGATGTGTTGATTGAAGAAGAAAAACTAGATATATTCTCGAGAAGCTGGGTAAGGGGATATATATATTTACATAAACTACCCGGCATCGAGGAATAGTGGTTCTATCTGGTACATCTTGAGGTAAGAGTAAACACATACCGTCATTTGATAACATCGACAAAGCAGCAGGAACGCATACCGTCAACGATTCCTTGACATGTACAATGATGTGTGATATGTGGCTACGTACTAGCTCAGATGTACCATGATAAAAGTGTGGATGGGGGCGTGTTTGCTGTGTGGATCCGGCCTTATACTAACCGGCTACGGTACTACCTTACAGGGTATAGTTAGTACTTGTATAAAATACTACATAACTGACTTATACACGGTAATGTGTACAAATAGACAAGAAGTCAAGCTAGAAAGGCAAACGGCTCGGTTATCGCTTCGTCAGGTACGTATATACTCACCACATGTATATACATGATGAGATTTGAGTCGGCGAGCGCGGAAAGCCAATGGAAAATAATGTACTTGGGTATTTTGGCATATGAACGACAAATCTAACCTATTAGATTCGAAGTATTGTCTCACTACTTGCCAACGTCAGCCTTGTGTGTGTCTGGCGTTACCGACCTGTAACATCGAGATATACTCTGTCTCTTGTTCTTTACAGGAGGCGAAGTACGAGTTGCCAGATAGTATATTGTACTTACGCATGGTAAAATAAGAATTCGCGAATGAGATGAGAGAACCGGTTACTAACTTTACAAGGATCGAAAATCAGGGTCTTTCTCTTTCTCCTTTGTTCTTCGCTTGGGCTGCCGAACCTGGCAAGGTCGGACCTCGTCACGGCTTGGAAGCATCGAGCAACCCGACAAGTCTTCGTGGTGTGCAGAACCAACGACGTTAGCCTCACCAGGTATGGATGACGCTGTGTCCGAAAAGGGTTATGATCTGTGACGTTGGACGCCGCGCTTAGCAGTGCTATCTATCCGGCTTTCTGCGCCGGACGCTAGTTCGCATGTTCGCATACTGTACGAAGATGTAATCGTGCTTTTGTCGATGCTTAGAATTAATAAACCATTGTATCATCTAGGATGTTACTTTGTAATATTCTCCGACCTTGAGAACCCGTCAGCCCGCCTCGCGGGCTGTCATCGGGATAATTACTAGCGATGCATGTATATAGCCCCAAATAGTCTAAATAGCATCAGGCTGGATATATTGGGTTACATAAGGCCAAACGAGAACCCTACAACTTATGTAGGGATAGCCCGAGTAGGCAGGCGAGTGACCAACTTGGTTTAGAGCTTGAGGCACGTGTAAGCCGACTCTTCACTTCTTCGCTCTAAGTTGATGAGACGTGACGGCTGCGGTGCTATTACTCGGCCCGTAATATAGACCATCCAGGCCTGAAGCGAAAAGTAAGCGAGCGCCCCGTATCCCTTTCATCAATGTTGGGTTGGTCGACACGACAAGTCATGAATATGGCTGAAGTCTACAACGACGTATCAATCCGTCAAAAGCCGCCGTTTCGTGTTGCTTTCTTCCGTTACATAACCCGGGGGAGGCCTTACCCAAGAGACGCACGATGCAAGGATATCTGATAGATCGGACCGAGAAGCCAGGCTTCTGGATGCTTGGATGTTGCAATGGTTCTCTAGGCGATCTTATCATATTCTATCTTCTGTATCTGAGAGCGCGTCTACGAGTATCTCTCCACTGAAATTATATAAATCTGGTACGACATGGCGGTTAAAGAAGGATATAGATATCCACAGTAATTATAGACACTGTCTCTTTTGATTGTTCAGGTGCAACGTATAATATGACTTGATTGGATTGTGATGGTTTGTAATAAAGATGTGAAGGTGTTATCGAGCGATTAGAGAAAAGTAAAAGTCAGATAGCCGCAGAAATACTGACGTCAAGCGCAGCTGTATAAGTGGATACTTTAGTGGGACTCTTAATTCTTTTTTTTTTTTTTTTTTTAATACATTATTCTTGTGCCTGTTCGGCCATTTTAACCCCTGATCCCTCTCGGCAGCATTAGCCACCCTTTGGCCGAACACATACCCCCCCTCCCCCTTCGCCCCCCTTTTTTTCTCTTTACCCCTCAATCAAAAGAACGTAGCAATACCTATACAAGTCTGTGCCCCCCAAAATGCCCCCCATTCTGCTATTCCAAGACTTCAGATTCCCCTGGAGATCCATTGGCATAACCAATTAGCCATCCATCAGCCACTACATTCGATATAGCTTGATATAGTCGATATACGTACACGGCTCCCCTGGAGCTACGGATGCCCACATAAGGTAAGCGACGGGTCAATCAGCCTGTGAACGGTGTTACGACGGCGGTTATAACGGAAGGGAACATCTCACATTTCCGACTTTGTTAACAATCATCCATGCCTAGACCATATAGACCGGCTTAAATTCGATAGTAACATGTTTATGTTCATATGGTTTACTTACAGGCATCTCTCCCTCTCTTAGATTAGGCGTCTAAGTATGTAAGGGCCCATTCATGAAAGAATACATCCCTACGCCTGACGTGCTTTCGTAGTGTATCGAGCAGGCTACATGTATTTATTTCTAGACATACTTTTGAAAAATAATACAAGAACACTAGATGATGATATACAGAGGAAGATTCCCGTCATCCTCTCTATCTTGCGTTAGTATCTTGACTCTTATCAAATTGTTAACTATAGAGTGGTATATGATTAGGACTTATACGGTCAAGACCATGTAGATAGTAAAAGGACGACTAAAAGTAAAACGCTCTGAATAGATAAGTTGATCATCACAGCAATACCCACCGATGCTCGTGTCGATATCCATATTCTACTCCTCCCCCGGACCCGTATTCTAGTGTAGCCCCGACTTCCCCATGTCTCCGGTTCAGGTAGCAGCCGTCGGGCTCGGTTTCAACACTTGATAGGCCCTACCGACATCCTCACTTACAATTCGAATCCACCCTCAGCTTGCAATAGTGTAGATCTTTGGGGAAGGAAATCCACAAGGATCGAGGATCGAGGATCGGTTTAGTATTATTATCCAAACAGGGAACCCATGAAGAGAAGAAAGGCATATGATTATACAATGTCATTAGTGCGGCATTCTAACGTTGGAGGTTAAAGATAATCGACTTGTGCGGATTACTATAAGCAGCTAAGATCTGACTGCTCGAGTCTAAAATTTTACTTAGTTAATATTCTCTGACCTGTCTGTTTCTTGATACTTGTGGGGTTTGTTACTCATCAAAGCTATCAGCCAGCATTGTCCTAGCATAGTCATCTATCATATCTTTGTCAGAATCATGCGACTAGAGATCCACGTAAAACCCACAATAGAAATCGGTTGGCTCGAATAGAACGAAACGTTACGAGTAAGGAAGCCTATCATTGTTTAACGACTCGAGCCCAGTAGTTTGGATTGCCCTACTAGGCGACATGTTGCATCCACCCATGTTTACATTGGCAGCTAAGTAATATTATCTAACCGTCACATGAGGAGTTTAACATCGTGCTTCAGATATATGTAAGATTATGAGTCAAAAAAAGAATTCAGACCTATACTTGAATCGTACTGAAGACGGCGACTAGAAAAAATGTCAAAACTCTAATCTCCGTTAGATCTAATTATTTGTCCTATTTCAGTTGGACTGTCTAAGCTGTATATAAAATGCCACCATATCATGCACAGTGACGTCCCGTAGGAAGATAGTATCTGCAGACGCGGAATTGGTGCGGTAGGTCATATCTTAAACGTAAGGAACCCGTATAGCTCCCATCACCGTCATTAACCTATCATATGAAGCATGATTATATGCAGAATACGTTATTATAATTGCTAGTCTAGTGATTAAAGCTAAGTCGTATTATCATGTAGCATGTGGCATGTGTTATGTGGTTTGTATATGGTGCGGGGCCAGGGGGGGCTGAGATCCCTCCCCGTTGCGAATCTCCCCTTTGTGATGCTCTTAAAATATTCAATGGTTGGTTAGTCATTTCGCATGTAGGCTGTTGACTAGCCTAATGTTGGTGCTAATAAGATAAGAAGAGCCATTGGTGATGTGTGTAGTGGGTGTAGGACATGTTTACAGTCAGGAAAATAGGTAATCATACCTTTCTTTAACTAATGCATGTGAAAGTCACCTCCCTTGAAGCCAAGAAAAGCCAGTTGCTAATTTCCCTTCTTGTAGCTGCTTGATGACGACTTCACCACGACCGTGCCACAGAGTAGCATGGGAAGACAGTCAAAGAGCGGAGTACGGCAAATTCATTACAATATATCTATTCCTCTCCGAACTCTTTCACTTTTTTATTGTTCTTCTGATGAATGCAAACATCCATACCATCCATACGTAGTATCCATAGGTCCGACACCCTTGTCTGTTGACTCCCATGTAGTCATCTCATCATCCAATAGCAGGGGGGTTAACTTGTATAGAAATTACAAACAACCAATAAGAATCGCCAGAAGACAATAGTATAGCGATATGGTGATAGGGTGTACAAAGATACTGCGTTCTACATGTGGCGAGCCGATCGTTTCCTGCTGGAATGCCACATGGCCAGACGATAAGGCATAAGATCTACGCCATCCCCCTCCCAAACCCCAAGTTGTCGTCGATCTCATCTTGATTTTTTTTTCCTGGTACATGCTGGATGGATGAGAAGCCATTCAAAGGAACATTCCGCTCTCATTACATAGAAAACCATTTTCCCGCAGAGCCGCCGCCACTACCAACACGCCCTGACAGCTTGAGCAGTAAACACGATGACGATCTACCCTGATCTACCCGCTCGAACGTTGCTTTTTTTTTCTCTCTTCTTAGTTTCGCACCTATTGCATGGATGTATGGATGCATGCACATACTTCTGAGTCATCACATATCAAGACAGGGTTCTAAGTCGACGACTTATCTTCACCAACCCTGCTTTCCTGCTTGTCTGCTTGCACGTATTAGAATGGCCGAACGGATTCATCGATACGTGTTGGATCCAAAGGCTAGCTGACACGGTATAAGCGGTGAGGGCGTAACAACGACTGCGACGACAATAAACGTTCTGTGGTATGAGACGGTAGTATTAAAACAGGCAGCTGAATGCGAAATAGTTCAATTAACCAGATATTGCATTGGTGGTAAGATGCTTACCGGTAGAATCAGTAAAAAGCGACGGTAATGGGGGATTACGGTAGTTCTAGAAGCCACAAGGCCATAAGGTCACATAGGGGTCCATTTTCAGTTGGATATTATATCTAGAAGACCGTGGAGCTGCCTATTCCATGGCCCATCTAAGCAACCCGGACACTTTGATCTGACATTGTAGTTGGGGATATTCATTCTAGGCTGTCTCTTTGATTTTATATATTTCTCATGATGCTATATCGAGCAGACTTGACTGGCATGGTCGACTACGCAGGTGACCTTAGGCGTTTGTATACATACTATAGATCGGTTGGGAATTCCAAGAGTGAAGAGTGACATATATTAGAGTAACATATATCTCGGTACCTGAGGTATCATGATATCTCGACTCCTTTGCTAAAGTACCTTACCCATGTCTAAACGAATTACTGATCGGATCAGTATCCGAAATCAGGCCATTGCGTTTCCAGAACGTAGCATTAAGTACTTGCCTTATGTATGTACGAATATGTAGATGTATTAATCGGTCTAATTTCTTACCTCTCCATCTGTAAGTAAGGGTCACAGCATCGACGCCTTACATCCCCGGGCTGTCTTACCAAACCAACACTGAATGGCCTTTCTCTATCACAAGTAATCTATCCACCAACCATACCCCTTAAGCAAAATTCCACTCGCGGTCGAATCGAATAAAGCCTTATATTGGTATAATGGTAGTACCCGGCAACCGTGATGACCTCATCTTGCTCGCCGTCTTATCAAAAGCAAATTCGATAAACAAACATTTTAATTCGTTCGTATTTACGAGCATATCCCTAAAAGGTAGGTAAACTCACAAAAAGCCAGCAGGAAAAAAAAGAACCATCTGTCCCGCCTATCGACTTTTCGCCCGACATGCCGAGTGGTGAATAGATGCACTGCCGAACGAAAGGGAGACAAGATCTGCAATGTTGAACTGCTGTTGTTGAAACCAAATGATGCAAATGAAGCCATCACCATAACCCGAAGGGATCCCTCCCTCTATTTATTTTGTATGCGGAAGCCATCCGAAAACTCCCCAATGCTACCCAGCTTGCATTCGTGCCATCTCATACGTACACTAGCCGCCCATGTCGCCCCCGTGTTGCTTGCTGCAGCGCAAGGGGCAAACAACATAAGGAACTGCGCCTTCACCTAAATTTATCCTTCACACTGAAGGGGTGTGCGGCCTCGTCACGGCTGCACCGTCGAGGATGCATCTCGACGTCATTGTCTCTCTTCCCACGGAAGGGAATATGTCCCTACCCAGTCGGAGACCTCTGCGCGCAGCTGCACAATTTCGGAGTCTTCTTCGCCGGTGCCAAGGTAGTCAAAGAAGAACTTAAGCTTATATTTCTCGCCCTTCTCCTCAGCCGCGGTGCGCGCCGCCTTGTCCACCCTAGCGGCAATGGCTACGGAGCGGTCGATAATGTCGGCCACTCTAACAAAGTCGCTCTCAACGAAGCCTCGTGTCGTCATTGCCGGCGTACCTATCCGTAGGCCGCCGGGGATCATCGCCGACTTGTCGCCGGGGACCGTGTTCTTGTTGCTGGCCACGCCGACCAGCTCTAACACTCGCTCGACGCGGGCACCATCGACGCCCTGCGGTTTCAGGTCTACAAGTACAAGGTGGTTATCCGTGCCGCCGCTTACAAGCTTGTATCCGAGACCGCCGTTGGATTTGGATTCGCCTAGACGATTCGCGAGAGCCTGTGAATTCACTAGGACCTGTTCCTGGTAGGCTCGGAACTCGGGTGTCTGCGCCTGTTTTAACGCAACGGCTAACGCCGTGATGGTGTGGTTATGAGGACCGCCTTGGTGACCAGGAAATACTGAAGCATTTATAGGATTCTCAAGGTTATACTTTATCTCCTCCTTGGTCTTGGGGTTAACCTTTCTCACGCCTCTTCTAAAGAAGATTATAGCACCTCGGGGACCGCGTAAGCTCTTGTGACTCGTAGTCGTTACGATATCTGCAAAGCTAAAAGGACTGGGTATAACCTTGGCTGCAATCATACCCGAGATATGGGCGATGTCGGCTAGTAAATATGCATTTACCTTATCGCACGTCTCCTTAATAGCCTTGTAGTCGATAAACCTGCCGTAGGCGCTGGCTCCGGCAACAATAATCTTAGGTCGGTATACTTGAGCTAATTCGTCGAGCTTCTGGTAGTCGATTAAGCCGGTCTCTTCGTTCAACCGGTAAGGGACCGTCTCGAAGTACTTGGACACGGCTGAGATCTTCTTGGTAGGTGTTTGGTAACCGTGAGAGAGGTGACCTCCGTGAGGAAGATCCAATCCCATAAGCCGGTCGTGAGTGTCCATCAAGGCCGAGTAAACGTATAGATTTGCGGGTGCACCAGAGAGTGCTATTCATCGAGGCGAATTACTACAGGTTAGCCCTGATGACAGTTTGGCTATGTGACTAGTTAAAGTAGACTTACGCTGAACATTGACACCCCATTCCTTTTCATCTAAGCCAAATGTCTCCAAAGCTCTTTGTTGACATAGTCTTTCGGACTGGTCGATGAATTCGTTGCCTGCATAATATCTCGCCCCAGGATATCCCTCCGAGTACTTATCTATGGGTTTAGGTTAGCTCGGTTTTGTTGGATTTAACTATTGGAATATTGTCGTGACGTTTCGTACTTTGCATTACACTTCCTAGCGCTTCGAGAACGGCTTGCGAAGTGAAGTTTTCGGAGGGAATTAGATTGATGAAGTGCTTTTGCCTATCTTTTTCCTGTTGACATGATTTATTCCTTAGTATTTAATATAATATATGATAATATATACACATAATGACAGGATACAGGATAGTCTACCTTTTCGATGATATCGAATACGGCCGGGTCAGCCTCTTGAAGATGGGCCGATAACAACTGTGTAAATGAATTAGTATCGCTTCATAATACAAGCGATTGACGATAAAACAATCAATTCGTAATCGCTTAGAGGCTATTGCATACTCGTTGCTGGACGTCTAATGTAGCAGACGATTGAGCTCTTCTCGTCGCATATTGAAGCGTAATTGGCGTCGACCATCTCGACAACGAACGAAGAGCAACCGAAGTGCCTCGGATTCGAAGGGCAGGTAAAGACATGGTCAATTGGTCATTAATTGACTTGTAATTGATTTGAATTAGAATGACCTGCACTTTAAAATATTACAAATAAAGTTTATATGCCGTCATATCATAATTGGAATAAAGGAAAGAATTTACTAAATAATTCTGAGCTGATAGGAAATAATCATCCTATCGTGAGCTCGCCATTCAGAAGCTTCAGTCTATCTATTAGTTATTTATTAAAGGCTAACCGAATGCTAGACCCCACTAACCCGCTAACCGACAAACCGCTATTACATAGATAACAAACACTATCTGACTATCTACTCCGAGCGGCGGGGTTTTTTATTTAATATCAATCACCTAGAACCGCGTATAGATAGCGCAGGGAACTCCGATTCTTATATAAGTCAAATTGCGTAATTGCACACCTTGATCTTAATATAGTATAGTCCTACACGTGATTATGCAGTTTGGCTATGAATTTCGATCCTCCAATTTTTTTTCTTTCTTCCTTTTTTTCCCTTTCTTCTATATCAACTAAATTGGGCGTGACGAGCTCCGCTTCAATAACATATTCGGATTTCCGCTGTTTGTTCTTACGAATATCCAGCGGGAGCATGCTGATATGTCTCGGGCGGCACCTCACCACCTTTAACGGGACAATTTGAAGACATCTGATCCAATGTAGTTGGTCTTGTTTACTTGGCTATCCGCTTTTTATTTTATTTTTGTTAGGTAGTTCCTTGTTATTTTCTTAGCCTTTTAATTTAAGCGTCTAGATAGTAAATAAGATCCTTGGCTTTTACTATTAACAGTACTAAAATAGAGCAAGTAGTAGTAAATGACCTGGCCATCTCAGCAGCCTACACGTTTGCAGTATTTATATCTATTGACCGCTACTATGAGACTGGTATACCTATGTGGGTTGCATAATACGAAATTCGGATGGCTGCATATTGATTAGGGCTGAATCTTGATACTTGCTAATAGTTCTAGCTGCCGTTTAATTAATAGGGCTTAATACATCAAATGTAGTCAACAAAAGCTTGGAGACTCAAACATGATAACTGAGTACTTAAGATACTCTTCAGGGTATAAGTCACATTACGATAGGAAGTTGGACTAGAAATAAGGCGTCAAGATCATTGATTCCGTTTTCATTGCCATACATGCAAAAGCCCGGCGGTAGAAGCATTACGACCGAAGGGCGCAAGGAAATAGAGACCCAACCATTTACTCCGAATGCAGCCGTCTCAGATTCTTGTAGTCCATATGACGATACCTCTAGCTCTCCTATGTAGCTGGATCGTTTGCATATGGTAACGCATCCCCTAGTTTTCCGCTTATGCCTCCTCCTCACCCGCCAGCGCGTTTCGCTTCGCCGCCTGCCTCTCCAACTTACGCTCACGAGCAGCCTTGTTCTTCTGTCTCTTGGCGTCCATCTCATCCTGGAGCGCACGCTCACGAGCCTTCTCGGCCTTGGCACGGTGGATCTGCATAGAAAATTAGACACGAATGCCCATAGACAATTTTCCATTGAGAAAAAAAGAATTCATGGGGGGAAACGTACGTGTTCAACTAGCGCTCGCTTGTGCTTGAAGGCGTTACCCTTGCTGGAATGGTACAGCTCGTGGTAGAGGTGCTTATCGATCTTGCCGCTGGCACGGTACTTGACTAGAAGACGTCGGAGGACTCGTAGGCGTCGCATCCATAGAACTTGTCTATCGCACAGTTAGCCGATGTTCCGTTGCTATCCGATCATTCGTTTATTCCCTATTTAAAAGGTGGGAAAGTTATGATTAAACATACTGAGGCATGCGAGCATCGGCGGTACCCTTTCGCTTACCGAAACCTCGGTGTCGGCCATCTCGTCGGGCGAGGTTCAGTTCACGGGCGCGGGATCGGGAGTGCATGGTAACGGGCTTGCGGATGATGAGGCCATCGCTGACGAGTTTTCGGATGGTCTGACGGGAGTTGGCGTTGGAGATCTCATTAACCTCGTTGGGGTCGAGCCAGATCTTGCGCTGACCGCATCCGATGACGGACGCCGCAAGGCGCTTCTGAGTGCGAAGATTGACCCTGTAAAGTAAAATTAATTAGCTTAATGTCTGTTAATGGTTGCGTGGTGATGCGTTGGTAGGCGATAGGTGGTATGTAGTGTGTAATGTGTATTGCTATAATCGATGACGCTGCCCTCGAGATAATCGCGTAAACTCGACCAACAAACGAAATCGAATAGGATGTCGAAAATAGAAAAAAAAGACTCCTTCGAAAAGAATCCTTCATCAATGCGGAATTATTTGTAAATCAGTTTGACTTACATCTTGAATGCGAACGTCGGTTGATGGTCGAAAATTTGCTATTCGGTTAGTAAGGTGTGGAAGGGTTGAAGTTGAATTGAGAGCCCCCTCTCGGATCTTTGCACAATCGAGAATTTCTGAATCAGAGAATCAGAATAGGCTCTAAGGAAATTTTGTGGACTGTAAGGACCCAATTTGGTGTAAGCGAGAGGGCAACAAGATCACCTGACCTTATCAGTTATCTATAATGGTTTGTGTACATAGCTTTTCGCACAGGATCGTACTAACCATTATTACAGATGTGTTATTGAATTTGTGAGGTTACTTAAGGTACTTCGGTACCACTTATCAACTAAGATTCCTTTACTTCGTACATGCACCACATAAACTTACATTCATACATACGAAGAGAGTTATAAGTCTAAATGCGCAACATCTTGGCTAGGTATTTGGAATTTTATAGATTGTACATCAATTTGAATCATTAATCAGTTTACAACTTACTCTAGCAACTACGTGAGGATGCGAAGTTGATCATTGGTGCTTAAATATCTTGTAATTTTCTCTACCCTATATGAACTAACCTTCCATAATGCTTCCCATATCGCCTCCTATGTTCATAATTACTCTCTCTGTGCTATCCTTCACATCGACCATACGTACGTTAGAGTTAATCTTGTGAGAAGACACCACCTCCAATCTCCACAGCACCAACGCTCCATATCTCCTTTTCGTCTTCTACTTCGTCGTTGCTCAACCCTAATCCTCCTTGGCCACCCTCTGCCTCTCTCCTTTCTCGAGCCTGGCTACCGAGCCTGACAGCCACCCTCTTGAAATAATCTTGCATGCTCCGCTTGGTGTTTGCCGGTAGATCTGCGCCGGTGCCGCTAATGTACTTTTCAAAGACCTTGCCTTCTTCATCCACGACGCTAAATAGTTCAATAAATGCCGCCTCGGCTGCTAGCTTAACAGGTATCACCGGATCCCGCACTGACGCGAACACAGGTGGCGCTAGTAGTGGGAGATGAGGGCGGACTATATCCAAGTTGGCTCGCGAAACGGTGCGTACTATTACCAACGCAAGACGACGGGAGTCGGACGGGTTTCCAGGGCCGATTATGGTGGCTAGTGTCGAGAAGATCGGTTTTGTCGATTCGAAAGACTTTGGAGAGTCTGTTAGTAAATATTTGCCCGTTGCTAGAATGCTATTATCTGCTATGAATAGCTATATATTACAAGTTAGCGAGACTCGGATCTAGAGCAAGACTTCGTCGGTGGGGTTAACTCACGTTCTTGTTTGACATCCCTTGGCAGAGCAGATCGGGCAGGTCCTCTGCTACTGGACTCTCTAATAACGCCTGCGGCGACTCTACGAATACTGCATTTAGCGCGAGAACCGACGCGCTGGTAAAGTGGCCTGTAGTCACACGGTTCTTCAACAAACCGTGCGCGATCTCGGGAGGCACATTCTTAATGAGCGCGCCGAGTAGCTTAGCATTGGTCACTATCATCGCCGAGTCAGTCGTGTCTGTGTCCATATCGATCAATCCTAGCACCGCCGTCCGCGAGCTCTCGCCCATATTAGAACCTGCTTTGCTAATAACTTCATATAGAGCCTTTAGCATAGCAGTCCTGACGCCTGGATCCGACGTCTTAGAACCAGTGACGAGCTCCGCAATCAATGGATCCACCCGCGGTGTAAACTTGATCAGAGTGCCCAACGCCTTGGCAGCCCGCGACCGTAGCAATTCGCTGCCGGTATCCGCGAGCGCTCTTGCGAACGTCCGCTGGAGCTGGGGCAGGAAAGGTTTGAGCGCCGTCGGCATCTTCTCGAGTAGGTTGTTGAGTGTTAAAAGAATGGCCGCTTTAACATCGGTAGATCGTTCTGATACTACACGGATGAGAGGGCCCGTTATCTGCGTGACAAACGGCTTAAGAGAAGCTTCGCTTGTCCTATCGACAATATCAGATATAGCGAGCGCGGCACTAGTTCTCTGTTCTGCAGTCCCGTTCATAAGACCTTGGAGGAAGATAGGTAGGATAGCGTTGATACCCTTTGGAAGCTCGAAGCCTGGTAGGTTGGAGCCGGCGACACCAACTTGCAATAATGTTTGCCTTGTAGATATCACAAGGGCCTCCATATCTTCCTTCTTTAGCTTCTTGGTGAACTCGCTGAGCGCTGCCCACGCTGCCTTGACGACCTCTACATCAGGGTCGCCGAACGAGATCAAGAGGGCACGAATGATATCTTGGTTATACCGTGAGTAGTCTACGCTAGAGCTAGTGAAGAATGTGGCAAGTCGTGATGCTGTTACAGCACGTTTGTGGTGATCATCATTCTTAACCAGCTGCAGTAAGACGTTCATGACCGTATTGAGCCCGTCGTGGTCGTCTATCGACTGTATAACCGTGTCGAACGAATCCTCGAGGTTGGTACGGAGCTCATCGTCCTTGGCATTCACAATATTGTCCATGAGAGAATTGATAATGCTCGGTAGGCGCCGGTTCATAGCAGGGCCCGCCACCCGAGACAGAGACGCGAGAGCCTTAGCATTGAAAGTGGAGATAGGGGGGGTGAGTAGTGTCGGGATGAGGTTCGGCAAGATGATGTTAGACCTAGTAGTCTCGGTGAGGAGGGTTAGGAGAGCAGACAGAGCATTGTCTGCCTCGTCCTCAGAGCGCAGCAGGCTGAGGAGGTGTGGAAGCACTTGGTCGACGGCTCGTTTGCCGATGATCTGCTGCAGCGAGTCGAACGCCTCAGCAGCGGCTTCTCTAACGTCCTCGTCAGAGTCTATTAGAGCCGTTCGCACGACGGATATTAATGTCTTCTCATGGTCCTCGAGGGCCTCGTCTGAAGCGGATGCGATAAGTTCCTTGAGTGCGAGGCAGATTCCTTGCCTGGCGTTCGTATCTATCGAAGTTTGGAGGCCTTCTTCGAGCGTTGGGAGCAGGCTTGATAGGACGCCGTCGCCAGCCTTCCGGATCAATTCTCCCAAGGCATTGCTGGCGATCACCTTGTGTTCCATGTTAGAACTGCCAAGGCGGCGAATGATTAGTTGCGTGAGAGTCGGCGTAAGTTCCTTCAGAGTTCTCGGCGTAGCGACTAAAGCCTTCCACACGCTTACAGCAGCGGCTCGGACGGCACTGGAAGTATCGCAGCGACATATATACAAAGCAGAGAGGATCTTGTTGCGCTTCTCTTCTCCAAGTACCTCGCGTAGAGATGCGCCTGCCTCCTTTGCGCTCTCTTCCTCATCTTCCGCGTCGGCCTTTCCGCTAATACCAGTCAGGTTAAATAGCAGGTCACCGACTAGCTCGACGGAGCTCAGCCGGATTCTGTAGCTGTCATCTGCTAGACCACGCTCTAACTCGGGTAGTAGAAGATCGACAGCTCTTGCGGCAAAGTTCTTGACCAACAGCCGACCGGCTCGGAGGGCGGTCTCGCGGATCGATTCGATATCGTCAGCAAGGCCAGCAAGAATAGGAGGAATGATCTTGCTGAGGTAGTTGGCAAAGCTGTTTCCGAAACAGACTGGCAAGAAGATGAATAGAGACATAAAACCTTCTCTGACGGCAGGTTTGGAGGACTCCACGTTCTGCAATATCGTAGGAAGCGTTTCCTCCAATCTCGTAGTGCCAAGCCCCGCCAAGACTTCGCTGAGAGCTTGAGCGGAACCGAGACGGTCTCCGGCGCCCGTATCCGACTTGAGGGTCTGCATGAGTCCGGGAATTAGATCCGGTAGGGCATCCTCGCCGAGCTTCTCTACCAGCGAGCCCAGCGCACGGGATGCGGTCGCCCGCGTCGTCGGAACCGGATCGACGGCTGCCACTTTCAACCCGGACACGAGGACCGGCAAATGTGCAATTAAATCCTTCCTCTCGGTCAGATGAGCTAAGCTTCCGATGACTTGGGAAGCCTTGCGTTTTGTATTGGACCTGTCTCCCAAACCTCGCTGGAGAATTCTGGTAACGAGAGCCAGCGAAGGCGCGTCGAGGTAGTGGACGAATTGTACCTTGATGAGCGCGTCCAGAGCGTCATCGGTATATTTGGTAGGATCGCTCAGAGCCTTAAGCAGAATGTCGACTAAGCTCTTCACTTCGGGATTCTCGATGACCTCGCCGAAACGCTTCAAGCTCTTGTTGGCCGCTGTTCGCACTTCTTTATGACTGTCGTTTAGCACACCTGTGAGCGGCGGTATGATATCGGGAAGGCTCTGTGCAAGTTGCTGGGGGTCTAGGTACGCCATAGCACCCAAAAGATCACACGCGCCACGTTTACTACGCCATTGATCGTCCTCGAGACCGTTAAGAAGAGTCGGCAGAATCTGCTTAACACCGTACGAGCTTAGCTTCGCGAAGCAAGCCTTAGCTGCTGCTAGACATGCGTCTCTCACATCTGCATTGGTATCGCCGAAGCCAGAGAGAAGCTGGGGTACAATCTGAATGACGTACGGCTCGAACAGACGACCAAGGAGTATCGCAAAGAGTTCGAATGCGAGAAACGCACCCTCGCGCTGCTGAGGTTCCTTACGGTTTTCGGTTGCACTCTTTAGCGTAACGAGGATGCGATAATCTCTCAGCACAGAGATACCTCTCCCCTGAACCAAGCCGGCTAACCCGTATGCGGCACCTCGCTTTTCGGCATATTTCTTGGATGTCAGGAGCGTATCGAGGAGCTGTTCGAAATATTTAGATGATTTGTCGCCGCAGGTCCGTACTAGAGGCGGTAGGCATTCTGCCACTGCGTATTGCACAGCTTCAGACGGCGTGCTCAAGGTAGTAAGTAGCCTCTCCAGAACAACCGGGATCTTTGCGTCTCCGGGCTTCAAGTGCCTAGCAAGAGCGCCGTACATAACGATAATCGCTTCATTGACACGATCTGCCGCCTCCGAACCCTTGTCTGGCGCAGCAAGTGTGCGCTCGAATGTCTTCATAAGCTTATCTAGGAGCGCTCTACCGTGGAGGTCAATAGCCACAAGCGCTGCATCAAGCATCTCACCGCGCACAGTAGCGTTCCGGTCGCCCAAAGGACCACCGTCGATGAGGAAGTTAAAGAAGTCATCGATCTGCGATTTCTGTAGATGGGCGGCAAGTTCTCTGAATGCCGCCGCAAAACCGTGTCGCGCTTCCCAGGGGTCTGATAAATCAGTTTTTTTAGGCATTCCATATTCGTCTAGCTGGGCAACCCGAGGCTTAGCAAATTCGACATATGAAGATCGGAGCTTTGCTAGTATGTCATCGATGGTTGAAGGGTACGCTTTGCACGCCTCGGCGAGGGACCGTGCAGCAGCCCTCCTGAGCTGGGCATCTTTGCTCTCGAGATATGGGAGCAATTTAAAAGGAACATCTTTGGATAGCTTAAAACCGCTCTCTTCCCAAATATCGTGACCAAGGTCGACGTTTTCGGGAATATCATCGTGGCAAGCGATCCAGATTTCCTCCGAGAAATCGAGATCGCTCATATCAACATCGGCACTGATCGACTGCAGAACAGTCTCGCGGACCGAAGCTTGCGGGACAATTGCACCTTTCGCGAGGACGGTCATCTCGTGAATACTAATGTTCGGAGCAACGCAGCGGACCATATCCGTAAAGCAATCCTTTATGATCTTATAGTGCTGGTTATATTGCTGCATCGAGGATACCAGGGTAGATATTAAATCGGCACGTGGGATTGTCTCGTCGGCGCAAACATGAGTATGGAACGCAAGGAATTCAATCGCCAACACCAGCTGTGCGTCCCGCTCGTCGGCACCATTTCCGACGCCGCCCGTTCGTAATATCACAAATACTAAAGATAGCATGTAAATCACGGATATGGCATCAAATGGCCGCTGCTCGCCGGCGAAGCGAAGGCGATACAGGACTCTCGTTACGAGTTCCTCTAAGCCCTCCTCCGTCATATTCTCCGGCAGAGAAGTAATCCCGAGAGCACGTAGAGTTGCGACACCGATGAAAGGCCGAATAGCCCCTAGTCGGGGAGTGACGCGATCAGAACATGCCAAGTAAGCCGTAGGGCCAGCATCACCAGTTATGAGACCCGCACCAGCTTCCAAGGCTGCTAGCAGAGCGCTAATTGAAGGACCGATCCATAGGTTCGGCTCTGTCGGCGGGCTGCTGACGAGGTTCCTGATGATACCGAAACCGCGTATGAGCCGTGATTCCAGATGCTGAATCTTCCGTCGAATTTCAGATTCTTTCTTTAGCTGAGCATTAACCTTAGCCTGCTCGTCGGCAGTAAGCTTCCTCTGCTGTCCCTTTTTCTGAGCCAGTTGACTTCTGAGTTCTTCCTCCCATTTTAGCGTATCGTAGTCCTTAGTGTTCTTATCCGGAAGCGTCTGCTTTTTTGCGAGGACGTCAATAAAGGCTGTACCCTCTGGAGTTCGGAATATTGCCGCTTCGACGGGTCCGATATCTTTAAGCTCCTCCGTCGTTAGATCTGCCCGGATGAGCTCGACGATCTTTGGTGTCATAGTATTCGGTGCTACAAACGCGAGGTCCGCTGCTGCGTTACAAGCAGCCTGCTTGATTGCGCTCGACTATATTCATCAGTCTTATATTATAATGCTCAGCTGCAGACTTGCTCACCTTCTGGTCAAAACTTGTCTTTTCTATTACCTGCCGTAGTAATTCCTCCTCGTATTTCTGGGCTAGGCTTCCAGGGTCGAGGCCGACTCTCAGACAAAGATCTATCCAGCTTGCTCTGGGGACCAAATCGTTCCGGGCGATAACGAGTAATGAGCACATCTGCTTGGCCAATCCTTCTTGAGATTTCTGGGCACCCAAGTGTTTGAATTCGTCATCACTTAGACAGATTGACCTAAGGATTAGATGCAAATGAGCATTTTCAAATTTGGCGCTTGCTGCTATACTGTCCTTATCCTCCATGTGAGATGATTCGATCCACCGCCATAACCCGTCGATAGCAATTTCCGCAAAGAAGTATGGGTCTCGGACGTAAAGCCTCGAAACAGTTTCGTTGGCCTCCTTGCGAACCTGGGGAGGTACGGTGATTGAGGATACAAGATAAATGAGGGCTTGAAACCAGACTACTTGTACATTTTTAGGGGCTTTTGGTACATCGTTATAGATAGCTGCGAGCGCTCGCAGAAACCATCTCGCATCGTCTTCCGTAGATAGTCGACCATATACTCGGTGGTTGAGAAGAAATGAAGGTTTGGGATCGGCCACAAGACATTCCTTTGAAACAGCTGGCTTCTTGAGGGTAGGTTTAACAGTAACACCATCGGTCTTAGGCAAGACTTGCAGGGACAGAGCCGAAGAAACGTATGCGCCTACGATCAAGCCGCTCTGGGCCGCCGCTGCCGGATTCTTGGTGATTTCAGCCCACGTATCTGCGAGCGGCCCTGAAATAGCCTCGATCAACTTGGCTGCATTTTCCGAGACAGACTGAGATTCTTGGGTAAAAGGCACGAAGACTTCTCCAGCTTGAAGTAGCCATAATCTACGTGAAGGTATCTTTCTGTCGCTGAGACCTTTGACAAATGCATCAACGACAGGCTTCGGTAAATCGGTACCATCATTCAATAGATAAGAGACGGCTCTACCAATGACAGATATTTCTGCCCCCAGAACCCCTTCATTTCCTTCTTTGGTTGCGATAGGAGGAAGACCAGTAGCTATCTTGGTTGCGATCGAGTTAGATAATGGCACATGATCTAGCATCTGTGAATGAAGAATACGATGGTCCGCAGAAGCCAGTTTTCCAGATTTAAGGGGATTCAAAATCTCCTCGGCAACTTGATCTGTAAGTTTTTCATCATGACTGCGAGCCACAACCTCTCTAAAGGCGGCTAAAACGCCGTCGCGAATTGTTGGATTACTAGATTTGGCATTTGATAGTAGGGGTTTCAGAAGACGTCCGTTCAAAGCCTGCGAAAGATCCAAGTCTTTGGGGAGAGCCCGAATCAACGATGCTAATAAATCCAAAACCACTTCTGGGGCACGTAGGAGACCTTTTTCGATAGGGGGGATAATGTCCTTATCCAAATCGTCTAGGGTAACAAAATCGGAAAAGAAATCACCCAGGCCAGTCGCAATATGAGCAGGGACGGGTGTGCGAGACCCTACAAGCTCTCTAGTGAAAAAAGTAAAATATTCCGGCTTTGTAGTAGTCAATATATTCTTGGCTTCAGCATGTCGATAACTCACTCCTGCGATTACGCCAAGTATGACAGCATTCCTCGCGGTCGGTTGAGCTCCTTTAGTCGTAAGGGCCTTCACAGCGTCCTGGATCACTTTCTCCCGAAACTCGCCGCACCAGAACGCTGCGCGCAAACCACGACGAGTAACCACTAAAGCCGACTGCGCGACGTTCGGCCTAGTTGTCGACTGAAGGCATTTTTCAAGGGCGGCAGCGTCGGCATAAATAATTTCCAATCCGAATTTGTCCCATAAAGGCTTGCCAGCCAGTTCTTGTAAGAGAATGGAACACCACTCGACCAAGACAAAAGCACTCTTGGCGGCTATTCCGGGCTTCTGAGATTCCTGTCGCAGAGAAGTAATAAACGGCGTCAACACTTTAGCATCACTAGTTGTCGCGAAGACGGAAGTAAGGCAAGACTCGACAGCTCTCCTAGAAGGTCTATCATCGTATAAACGGTGGGTATCAAAAAGTAATTGGAGTAGCGTAGGTATTGAGGACTGATCGATAGCTATATACAAGTACAGACATCAGCATATAACAATATTATAAAACCAAAACGACTTGAAGAGTTCAAGAAAAAAAAAAGAAAAATAAGAAAAATCAAGGTGCCTTACTCTTGTCCCTTAACTTCTCGTCAATAGTTTTTAATTGAGTTATACGGATCTTGGTAGAAGAGGAAAAGAGAGCAGGCTTGGTTGAAAGAAAGTCGATGCCAGCTTTAGAGGCACCATTCGCAGCCGCTTCAGTCATTTTGACGGACCGATGGAAGATCTATTGACATGATAGGGAAGTTGAGAAAAGGCCCCTTAGCAGTGTCCCCCCCTTATTGCACAGGGTTAAAAATGGGAGTAAGCTAGGAAATTATGCAGAGGACCGATTTATCATGACATTAACCTTCGTCGGGTTCATATTTGACGATGTGCCCATGTGGGTTGAAAATATCGGTGGGGTTATATTTCTAGCTTATCTTATCAAAATAGGTATCTTTGGTGAATTATACATTATAGGTGCTAACCTTGTATCTTCCTGTGGACTTTGCAACGGCGAATGACTCAACTTTACTATGTATACCTGGTACCTATAACCGACATACACTAGCAACACCTAAGTTACCTAATACCTAGGTACCTACCCGCCTAGCCGCTAAAGCCAATCCTTCCCCACAACGCCCGTCACTACCCACTCGGCCACTATGATGACCATTACACCTGAATATTGGAGCTCGTTTACCAGTAACAACATTTTTTTATCTTTCGAATTTTGGTGTTTTCGCGCGGGTGAGATTAGGCCTTTTCTTCTTCTTCTCCTTCCTCCCATTCCCTACGTAGCAGCAGAATATGGCCCCAAAAAAGAAGAAGACAAAACCAGTAGCCAATCCTGCTCGAGGCTTTGCTACAACGTCGATCGCCTCGAAACCGAAACCGCGAGCTGAAATAGGTACCAAAGAACCGGCGCAAACCGCTATTGAGGGAGGGAAGCTCGATGCCCCTCCAACATCGTCATCTCGCGATCCCAATGCCCCACCATCGAATCCTAACTTCGACAATACACCCCAAACTTCTCAACAAAAAGAAGTTTTAAGCCCAGAAGAATTCGAGAGACAGCTAGAGGAGTCCGAGCTGCAGCTTCTAGTCGAGAAATACGCACAGAAAGTAAAGAGGGATGCTCAACGCCAAAAGTCTAGGCTCGAGACTGATCGTCGATTACTTCGTGGACAAGCCGAGCCATTAAATACTAGGAAATGGCTACCTCAAGAGCTTATGGACCATATATTGGATTTGATCCAGGCTGAAAACCGGTTCGGCGCATCCTCACTGGCACCAGAAAGTACAAATAGTAATGGCAAGTTACCTTCGGAGGAAGATTTGGTGATTAGGTTGTGGACCCTGCAGCAGACCCTGACGGGCGCCAGCTTTTCCGAGGACAAGGTTAAGGCCGTATTACAACATGTGCTTGATATTGCTGCCGCTATCGGTAGCACGAGTAAGGATAACATTTGGGGTTTGGAGGAAGCTCTGGACTGGCTCGCCCGCGAATGCACGAGAGACGAGCTTCATGATTACGATTATAGAGGTAGGCCCGCAAAATCTCAAGCAGATACACCAGCGGACAGTCCTTTACCGTCTGGTGCGAATACGCCTCGTCTTTTAGATATCAATAACGGGCAGAAACTCGCTAGTTCCAAGAATGGATCACCAGCTCTAAAACCAGCCGCTTCAAAGAGAGTTGCTATCGTCTGCCATGAAGATATTGAGCCTGATGATCTCATCCCTGCTTACCTTGAAACTAAGGCCAAGTTATTCCAACTCCAGCGACCAAAGCAGGATAATAAAAAGGGGAAATCGGCCAAAACTCATAGCTCAAATAACACAAAACATTCCACCACGGAACTATCAGGCGACGATTTAGAAGAAGCCAAATTACTAGCTAAGATCGAAAAAATTGAACAAGATGTACTTTTCGATAAGATTCTTGCTGAGTACAAATGGCGTACGGATCGTATAGAGCTGGAGAAGGAATTCGCAGCCAAGAAGAAGGCAGAAGCGGAAGCTGAAGATGAGGCGAAGGAAAACCCTGACATATCCCTTGGGGTAGAGTCGGACGATGAGGTTACTAAGGAAGCTCAACGGATCGCAGCGGAGATCTTACAGCAGGATGACGACGATGACGATCAAGCACTATCTGACCTTTTTGCGAACCTCCCCGTTCAAGAAACCGATACTGTAACGGGCAAGACGACCACCGTGATCAATGGAACAGATGGTGTCAAAATTACAATTCGAGATTTTGGTAAGTGGACGGGCGTTAGCCCGATGCGTGCTTTAGAGGAGGCTTGCAGATCAAGGTATTTTAAGATGCCTCTGCCACTTAATGTCCGCTAAATTTTCCATTTAGGGACTCCTCTGCCAAGATCATATATAAACTTGTATCTGAGAACCCATATTCCCATCGCCATCTAGTTTCTATCCAATGGTCTAAACCGCAGGAGCTGATACCAGTTCCTGAAATTCCGTCTGTTGAGAGTGCTATTTCTCCTCAACAATTCGTTTTCCAGATGGCCTCTATAGCGACCCCTGACTCTAAGCAGTCCGAAGCATATATTGCTACTTTAGCACTCTTCGTGGTTTTTGGTTCCACTAAGGAAGAGAAGGTTTTCATGAGACTACCTGCAGCATGGAGGGAATTATGGTCGGAGCTTGCAGAGGAGAAGAAGAACCAGACCGATGCTGCAGACCGAGTAGCAATTAGGGAACTTCGCGCATTAGTTCGCGAAAAGCATGATCAAGAACTCGAAGATGGCGTACTTCTCCAAGGCGCTTTCAGGGGGCGTGGTTCACAACGCAGTACCAACGAAGTAGGCGACGAATTTAACGCAGAGAGAGGAGCCGCGAATACAATCGAGTCGGAATACTATCAGAGGATATGGGCTGATAAGTCCAGTACGCCGAGATTCCAATCTATGCTGGTTAGTTAGGTATCTATTGGATCGCTTGGGGCGTAGCGTCTGACATATTTAGCAATTCCGAATGCAACTCCCGATGTGGCATTTCAGAGACCAGGTCCTTAGCACTGTCGAGCGCGAGCAGGTCGTTATCATCTGCGGAGAAACAGGATGGTATGTATACATTCCAAAGTATGAACATCTTAGCTAACCAGTCTAATTCACCCAGCGGTAAGAGCACGCAGGTACCATCGTTCCTTTTAGAGCATCAGTTATCTCAAGGCCGACCGTGCAAGATTTATTGCACAGAGCCTCGACGTATATCTGCCATCTCGCTCGCCCGTCGTGTCAGCGAAGAGCTTGGCGAAGGAAGGAGTGATCTCGGTACCTCAAGATCTCTCGTGGGCTATTCTATTCGTCTGGAAGCGAATACATCAAAGGAGACCCGGCTCGTTTATGCCACAACCGGTATAGTAATGAGGATGCTCGAGGGGTCCAATGAACTACGCGAAATCACTCATCTCGTCCTTGACGAAGTCCACGAGCGCTCGATCGATTCTGATTTCTTACTAATTGTACTGAAGAAGCTACTGATTCGAAGAAAAGACCTAAAGGTAGTCCTCATGTCTGCCACTGTCGATGCGGAGAGGTTCTCAAACTACTTAGGACGCGCACCCGTTCTGAATGTGCCCGGTCGTACGTTCCCGGTACAAGTTAAATATCTAGAGGACGCTCTCGAGGCTACTGGTTACGTACCTGACCAGCTTAGCCACGAGAAGATGACAGACTTGGACGACGACACAGCAGAGATTGACGCTGCTGATTCTAACACTACTACAGCCGCTGCTAAAGAGTTGCGACAATACTCGGCCAGAACTCGAAACACGCTATCCCAACTCGACGAATACCAAATTGATTTTGACCTCATCGTGCAACTGATTGGGCGAATAGCTGTTGATCCGACTTACATAAATTATAGCAAGGCAATTCTAGTATTTCTTCCCGGAATTGCCGAGATTAGGACTTTAAATGACTCCTTACTGGGTGAGCCTTTCTTCCAAAGGGGCTGGGAGATATTCCCCTTGCACTCCACCATCGCTACCGAAGACCAGGAGCGAGCATTCCTCATCCCCCCAGATGGAGTGAGGAAAATCGTGTTGGCCACCAACATCGCAGAAACGGGAATCACCATTCCGGATGTAACTTGTGTTATTGATACCGGAAAACATCGCGAGATGAGATTTGACGAGCGGAGACAGTTGTCGCGTCTCATCGATACGTTCATCTCGAGGGCGAATGCTAAACAGCGACGAGGACGAGCAGGACGTGTTCAAGAGGGTCTCTGCTTCCATCTTTTTACAAAATACCGACATGATCACTTAATGAGCGATCAGCAGACGCCAGAGATGCTACGGCTCTCGTTACAGGATCTAGCTATACGTGTCAAAATCTGCAAGATCGGTGGCATCGAGGAGACTCTGGGCGAAGCGCTCGATGCGCCATCCGCTAAGAATATCCGTAGAGCTATTGATGCTCTTATCGACGTACGAGCTCTTACAAATACTGAAGAATTAACTCCATTAGGACATCAACTAGCAAGACTACCTCTCGACGTATTCCTTGGCAAGCTTATCCTTCAGGGTACGATTTTCAAGTGTCTCGATATGGCTATCACCGTAGCCGCCATTTTATCATCTAAATCACCGTTTACTGCACCTTTTGGTCAACGAAGCCAAGCCGACCAGGCGCGAAAGGCGTTCAAGAGGGGTGATTCTGACCTACTTACTGTATATAACGCTTACCAAGGCTGGAAAAAGGTGTGCCAGGCATCTAACAACGACTTCCAATATTGCAAGAAGAATTTCCTATCTCCACAAACGCTTTCCAACATTGAGGATCTGAAGGGTCAGCTACTTGTTGCACTCGCAGACTCGGGTTTCTTACAACTTACCGACGATGAGCGACGCACGCTAAACCGTCTCCGATACTCTAACCGACGACGTCAATTCTACGACCTTCCCCAGCGTGTTAATATACACAGCGACAACGACGTTATCACAACTTCTGTAATTGCGTGGAGCTTTTATCCAAAGCTCTTGGTGCGCGAGGGTAAGGGATTTCGCAACGTCGGAAACAACCAGAGTATCAGCATCCACCCGTCGAGCGTCAACAAGGGGCGCATGGAGCTTCGGTGGTTATCCTACTATCATATTATGCAGTCAAAACAGTAAGTTTCATGTTATATATGCACGTGTGGATTATTGTGAATATTTTGAGACTAATAAGACAGGTTCCTTAATGCTCATGAAACCACAGCCGTCGAGAATTTCGCCATCGCCTTGCTATGCGGCGACGTGCGTATTGATGTAAGCATCCCGTCTTTCTTCCTCTCAGTCTAGGCTATATCCCCATAATTACCCATTTTCTTCAACCATTAGGGACCACATACAATCTCCTTGTGCAGAGAAACTAACCAAGGAGAAAAAAAGATGTACGCAGGTGTCATCGTTCTCGACGGCAACCGCGCGCGCTTTAGCGTATCGGACTGGAAGACGATGCTCGCGATCAAAGCGTTGCGAACGCGACTCCGCGACGTTCTCACGCGCTCGTTCCGCATGCCCGGAAAACTGCTCACGGCCCAACAGGAGAAGTGGCTCGACGCGTGGCAGCGCGTCTTCAGCCAGGACTTCAGCAGTAAGGCCTAGGAGGCCGCTTCGAGGCCTTGTCCAAAGGCAATAGAGATCTTGCGATTCAGAAAGCAAAAGTCGGCGTTGGCGGGGTAAACGTCACGGTTATGGTGGTCCGCCGATGTGGACTGGGGAGATGGATGATTATACAAACAATACCTTGGCTGGTTGCTTGTATACATTAGGTACGTATGTGGATATCATATGCACCGTGTTGTGAGGTGGATGAGTAGGTAGTTAGAAGACCAACCAAAGTCTAAAGGTATTGCACGTCTGCGTTTAGAGTTATCTTCCCTTTGCTCTCATAGATCCGGTCCGTCTGCGGAGGCGAGGATATTATAGTGGAAGGGAGAGTAGATACAACAATAGCAGCTCGAATACAAGTTTACTTCGTGAAGATTTCTAACCCAGCGTCTACTTGCATATTAAGCCTATACCCTTCCAATACGAATAGACACAATAATACTTCATCTCACTTATCAGCACCATATAAAACGCAGCGCGCAGGAAATACCTCGACCTAAACATCGATTTCATTATCTTCAAATAAACTGAAAATACAATTCAGCCAAATGATTAACGTAATACGTTGACTATGAGCCCATCCGCCCATCCATGCAACTAAGCTAGATGAACAGGTTTTAAATGCCATATGAGAGCGTATGAAGAAACATGCAAAATAAAAAGCCCTTGTTGGAAATGACAATGTGATGAATACTGGAGAACACCTCGTACGAACCATCCCCTTTCATCTCCCTTGCCGATGAGTTCGACCGAAAACCGAACCTGACCGAAACCGAAAACCGATGATGCCATGAATGTCATGCCTGTTCATTTGCCTTTCGTACCCCATTTTCTTATTTTTCATCTTCTTACTGTCTTCTCCACTTCTCTCGCGCGTAGAATAATTAGATAATCTTAATGCCGGGGGTATCAAAGGAAGGAATATCAACTCGAACAACGGTTATTGCTCGACTTCCGCGCCAAAAACATGCTCCGTAATTACCTCGCCTCCTTTTAGCTGAATGCATGCATCATGAAATGCTCATATGCACCGTCTACCATTTATTTAGGCCTTTCCTGTCCCATTGACTTGGCCGGCTCCAGCTTGGCCATCCTTGTTAGCACCAGTGCCTCCCTTTCCCGAGTTGAGAAATATAGCCTTGAAATCAGCATTGCTCTTGGGCTTCACGGCAGCCCCGGTGCCATTCGTATCTGCGGCTTGATGGTCCGCCTTGTTGTCATCTTTCTTCGCTGCGACAAAGCCCAGTCCTCGCTTCGCTCCACCTCGTCCGAGAGCCGGTCTGCGAACATTCTGAGGAGGGAGTATAAAGCCAGCCTCCTTCGAACCTCCTTTATGATTAGAGTTTTTCCCTTTGCCAGTAACGATTTTACTCTCCTTTATTTCGCTCTTCTGCTCGAAAAGTTCCTCCGTAGTGCCCGTGTGGAGCCGACGTCCAGGTGCGATTTCGAATCCTTCTAGAGCTAATGCAGCTCGTCCAGTTGTTGCCACATCTGCAAACTCAACTATAGCACCCTGATGGTCAGGTCGTAGAACCAGCTTCACGATATTGCCGTATTTCTCGACGGCAGCTCGGACTCGCGCATCATTAACGGTGTCTGGTATGTTCATGATGGCCATTGTGCGTTCCTTGATCTCCCTTCGCGTCGGATTGTGACCTTCGCTGCCGGGTTCGCCAAATCCGTCCGTCATCTTTACGTCCCCATCTCCGCTAGGAGCGGGCGATGCTGAGGGCCGGTCTCCTTTACTCGTGGCAAATGGTTTGAAGTTTGTCTCTCTGCTAAATTCGACCGAGAGGACTTGCGACTTGAATTTAGTCTTGTCAAGCTCGAGAGCATTCTCGGCTGCATCCTTCGTCTCGAAAGCAACGTATGCGGTACCGAGATTTTTACCGCCGAGATTTCTCATAATGCGCGCATATGTTACCTTGCCGTATTTGCCACACATTTCTTGAAGATCGATATCGTTCGCAGAAGAGTCTACATTCCTAAGCCGAATCTCTCGGCCTTCTGCGACGGCACCTTCGCGATCCTTCTTCCGACCAGGATCTGAGTATTTAGACTGCAACTTAAATTTACCTTCTACCAGCTTTCCGTCAAGTAGCGTCGCCTTGCGAGCAGATTCCAGATCTTTGAAAGAAACGTAACAGAATCGGCGATGGGTATTGTACTTGAGAGAAGGGAAACGCACGCTGAAGACTTCGCCGCAGTCTTGAAAGAGACGGCGGATGTACCCTTCATCAGCAGTAGGAGGGTAGTTGGATACGAAGAGAGTTAAGCCGGTACCGGGTTTAACGCTGATCTGATGTTGGTTGAAGAATTTCTGGTCTCTCAAGAGAGCAGACTGCACATCCTCTGTTGATCTAAATTCGATCAAAGCGGAGCTGGACTCGCCGTCCTTCTCCGTGTAAACGTCAAGATTGTTAATGTGCCCGTATTCCCTAAAGTATTTACGAATCGCCGTCTGCGTCACATCGACAGGTAGGTTCGTAACCATAACCGAGGTATTTTCTCGGTCACGTTTCAGCATCTGGTCGTTAGCCGTGCTATCTCCATCAAACTCTACGCTTTTCACTCGCTTGTTTAGACCCTGAGACACGTCACCTGGTGTAGGCTCTCGTTTCCTTTTAGAGCCAGACGGTGATTCCGGCGCTGCAGCATCCTCTACGGTCGAGTTGAGGGCTGCTTGTTCCTGCTGCTGGGCTTGTTGCAGATGAGATGCGTAAGCAGCTTCGGCTTTCTCTCGTTCGCGGCGCTTGGCAACCTCCTGCCGAGTTTGATAAACTGTGTCGAGAGCGCGATGGAGAGTATCGGACCGCTCGTAATCGTTGCAGTGCTGGAGATATACCTCCATGATCCGTTCGGGCCAATCCAGCTTTGGTCGCGCCATAGCACGTTGCAAGACGTTGGTAGCGAGACCGGGAACTCGTATAATCTTGGTGCCACCAACCGGCGTAGCTGGAGTAGGGCTTCGAGGCTTCGGCTTGGAGGAATACACCATCATTTCCCAGAGGTAGTAGTTGAGCCAGAAGTCATAGCTATCCGCTAGCAGAGACTGACTTGTCATACGATCCCAGTGGCTGCGCGCATCGTCAATTTCACCCTTTACCTCGGTGAGATACTGAATGAGAATACGCTGTAGCCTGTAGTTGGGGTCTCCCTGATACGCATCTTTGTACAAACGCTTACCCCATAGGTCAACATCCTCTAAAGCAGCCAGCAGTCCAACCTCTGCAACGTCGGCGGCATCCTCGGGGGCATTTGGGTCCATGGCGGTCCGCTTCAGAAAGCCACACCAGGCAGTGTACATATCCAGAACGCTTGTCATGCCGTTCTTGTCGAGTTCCTTCGTGCTCGTGGCGGCATGCTTGATCGACTCGACATTGTGAAAAGACAGACCTGCTTCCTCGGCAGTCAAGATGTATCGAGACCAAAGGGGGCCAGACCACGGACAGTGCGACGTAGCTCGCTGATAGAAATCTAATAAGTTGGGGAGGGGCAACTGGTGTGCCGATGTCCTGGCCTGCTGTTGTAATCCAGAGAGATAAATGGCGGCGTCGCTCCAAACCTCTTCGTCAAAAGTAAATATACCGCTCAACGCTCTCGCAAACAATCCGAAACATAGTGATACGGATAGTGCAACATTCCTTGCCTTTTTTACCTGCAACATCTCCCAACTCAGATACTCTTTCATAACAGTCTTCTGTGCCTCTTGATCACCTGACTTGGCAGCCTTGTTCAGCCTCAGCTCGTAAGGCTCTCTTGCCTCGTACGCGGCCTTTGCTTCTTGCGCGCTGGCGGTCATCTCCTTGAACTCAGATTCGTATGCGGCATTGTTATACGTGCTCAGAAAACTAGAGAACATCTGCGAAGTGTTGTCCCATGTCGAGTGGGGAACCTGAAGTCGGTCGCGAAAGAGGTGCGATATGCGCCTAACACCAACGGGCGTTCGAGTCCTAGCCAACTGCTCAAGCTCTATGGAGACCCAGCGGTTCCAAAACTCATGGCTATCGTTGATGCGGTACTTGATGGCCTCGTAGCCATCGCTCCAAAGACTAAGGGCAGCATCGAAAGAGAAAAGCTCATGACCTAGCTGTCGCTCCTCTTCAGGCCATCCAGCCTCGCTCGTCTGGCAATCGGTAAAGAGTGACCAGAACCATTCGCAGTAAGATAGCCAGATCTTCAAACTTCCCGGTTCGGATGAGACAGCGCTCTTAAAGAGCTCAACAACCTTGACACGCGCCTCAAGATCGGTAGCATGGCGGCTCTCCTCGTCGACATAAGCTAACCAATTATCCTCACCCACTGGCTTCGCCATTTTGACCTTGTATCGCGCAAAGATAGCCCGGCCGGCTTCATGTGTTTCGCGGCAGTAGTTGCAATCTAAGCTCGAATCGGTTTAGGTTACGGACGGGTTTCGTTTATTCAACTTTGCGGTCTAGAGCTATCCCTCTCCGCAAACGGTAAACCTGTCCTCTTCTCGATACGCGACTGGTTCAGTCGAAACTGGGGACTCGAACACACAATGATTGGCCAGGTCTAAGAATCCGATCGGTTAGGAATAATATCGAGGCGAGATATGTAACGTATGTATCGTGCCGTAGTTACGTGTGTGTGTGTGAGATATAATATGTGTTATGTAGGTAGTATGGGTCGTCCGGGTTAGAATTGTACGATGTATGGTCTAGGACGTGGTGCGCGTGCGCAGGTTGCTATGTACGGTATGTACTATAAATTGCCTGGGGAAAAGGATTGCGAGACCAAGAGAAAAAAAAAAGTAATGAAATGATCAACACGCGACGGAGAATTTTTAGTTAGGCAAGTTGATACCGCGGCTGGGTCTCGAATTTGCGATCGGCGAGTCGTTCTCGGTATTGGGGATAAAGAAGAACGGCGGGTTAATTAATTTTTGATGAACCTTTTTTTGGATTCACTGAAACATGGCCGGAAGAAAAAAAAACTAAATGTTGCGGGTTTTCCTATTTCCTCTGACTCTGACTTCTGATTCTTTCTCTTTTTTTCGATATTTCTCAGCCACCCTTCTGTTTCCTAAATAACTTCACCTCGTAAGAATAGACAACGAGAGAAGAGATGTTGATGATGTTGATAAGTCAGATGGGTCCGGGCAACTAATAAAAAATATAAAAAAAGAGATAAGTCTTAGGATTATTACAACCAGTACAACCAGGGGACCCCACTTAAAGATACATGTAGGTACGGAAGGTGCAAGTACCTAAATTTATGCTAGCGGGAGATCACTGTGAGTTTATTATGGATGGATAGGTACGATAGGTGCGATAGGTACCGAGTTAAAGGCCGACCCTAACGTACTGTACCTGAAATGCACGGTACAAAGACCCTTTGAAGTCCTATTACTTCCGTGCAGATCCCCCCGCTAGTCCGCCTTATTCTTTGATTATTTGGTACCTTTCCGTACATACCGTAGGGATCAATGCACATGTATATATATGTTGTATCAAATTCGCATTGTTATTCAAATCGCACTACCAGATAAATCATATGAGTAAAAAGAGAAGCTAAAGTATCAAAATGCGCCGTCTTCGGCGCATTCGGCATTGCATAGGTACCTTAGGTACGTATCTAAGGTATTTATTATCTAAAAGCTTATCTCTCTAGACTACGTATGTACATGTATCTAGTAAAGTCAATACCTATACGGTATATGTACCTAGAGGTAGGTATTATACTGCGTAAAGTGTAAAGAAAACTAAATGAAGTGACACGACAACAAGGCCAAGGAAGGGTCTGGCTGTTGATCTGGCTGTACCCGAGGTTCTAAAGATGGTTCTAGGCCATCCCTAGCACACTTAGCACATTTATCAACCCCTAGTAACCCCCCCGAATTGATGAACGCTGCAGGTGCCAACCGAATCATTTACGGTGATGCAGACGATGCCGTACCCGCAATGTCGTCATTTTGTCTTACAGCGGTCCCCCCCCTTGTAGTTCTTGTGGTTCTTGTGGACCCCCCTTGTGGCTTTTCTTGGCTGCATTGGAAAGGTTACGACGGAGCACCGAGGTCTTACGATTTTTCACCGTATTATTTTAATCCATTCGAAAAATCCATTCGATTGTTAAAAATCCATTTTCAATCTCATTACTCGAAAGTCCGGATCAGCCAACCTCACTCCCCCCCCCGTTTTATTTACATACCACGTGTATTGATCTATCTAAGCCAGATAGATATCTTAAACTACCTAAGGTTTATCTTTTATTTTTATATTAGTTATCGACAACAATAACCTCTCCTTTCCTACGGATCGGTAGACGACACAGCCATAAACTATTAATAACCATTCCTACTATGTACTCTCTACGAGTTTGTTCTATTTTGATTCGGATATCAGTATCCCATATTAATGATGTTATGTCCTATTTCTTATTATTCAATAGTTACTATATTTGACGTGAATCGTTTATATGGGAAATAGAGACGGCATATTCATCAAATTAAATATCCTCGCATGTTAAAACCCACTTCACGTGAGGTTGTAGATCTAACATCTCCTCTTATTAAATTACATGCATATATATGTCTATCGGAAACTCTTATTACGAAAAAGAAACGCAATAACTAACAATACTCCCGTTGATAGTCTGTCTTTACATCTTGCACATGACAATATCGTAAAGTACCTAACGTAAACCCTCAAGCTTAGTATATCAAATATTCTCACGTCATCCGGTTCGGTTCGTATAGGTAATGTTTCGTTGGTTACCTTGTTGACGGTATAATTTCTAATTTCTACGTAATGAATACAGATCCGTCGGTTATTATTACTCTTCCTCCTCATCTACTGTATCATCCCCCGCTAAAATCGAAGCACTCTGTCCATCTCCCCGATGATACAGATAACAATCAGGTTTCTAAGTCCCATCAAGCTATATAGCATTCAGGGGTAGTTACACACATAATAGCTAACACGCAGAATATAAATACTTTCTATTTGATAAGATATAGATCTACCGCCGGATGCTCTCGGTTTTATATATCCTCCTATTGAACCACACCTAGATGGGCCCATATACCGGATCTTGAGGTGGATCGACGTAGCACTTCGGAAGGCTCCCCACGGGGTTTCGACGAGTAGATGCTCTACCGAGAAAATATACTACGTCTCTTATGACAGATTAAATCGTGGAGGCAGTTATATGAGTAACAGCATCGACAAAAGCTTCTACGATTCCGATTGGTAGCCCGGTAAGCCTCAGAAGCTTTCAAGTTAGCAATATACATAAAAAAGAAATTTCCCTACTCTCCAAAAGATCGCCCCGGAGCCTGTTCAAGCTATGTTCCGTATTGCCGAAGTATTATAGACAGATGCTATTATTGCCTCCTATCTTTCAGCTTCAACTCGACGATACCCTAAGACTTGACGAGTAGATATGTTCTCTAATAAGTAGAACTGTAAGCTACTAACAAAGCACGTGCCAAAGTAGTGCCCCTCTAGTGACAAGTCTCGTTCACCTAGGTGAGGAACCCATAGCAACGGGCATACATAGTAGTAACTCTAAAGTTCCCAACAAGTGCCTCAAATTGGGTAGCATGCCGGAAGAGCGTCCGTCTTTCAGCATTATTAGGAAGAGTCCACTTGTCGTTCATATAAGCGTCATAATCAGGCCATCAGATCTGACCTATCAGACTATTATGTCTAGAACTTGAGCAAAATATATTACCGAATAGGGGCTTCCTATTGGGAGAGCTCAGTTTCCAGCCCGCGCTTCTCAGTTCCTTAGACTTTTCGGGCATCAGCACAGACAAATCTCTCGAAGGGTCTTCCAAGCCGGCTTTTTCCACGCCGAGCTCCCCCGGCGTGGATCATTACCACCCAGTGACGCACGAGTGCCATTCCCGACAGAAAGAAGCTGCTGTTGCAGCAATCACACATTGATGAGCACCCCGCCAGAGACTACTACCACGCACACACCGCTTCTAGAACGTGGTGTCCATTAGATAAGATGTCGGTTTTGGCTTTTACCAGGAGAATATGCATCTCCGAGGCATTTAGGAGAAGACTATCTAGACCTATCTACATGCGTTTGCGAACGAGAGCAATGAGGGATATTGAAACTGATAACAGAACAAATAACTGAGCTGCGGTAAATCCGGTTCAAATCGAGGACTATCTCCTTTGTCCTGGCCTGTAACTAATCTCTAGCTTCTAGCTAAGTATCTATACTTCAATTAAAATAAAGACACATTGTTCTAATTTATGTCAAATGGAGATTATAGTAGATTAACTAAGTCGTACATACCTACGCTTCTATGTAGTCGATTACATTTACTCATTAGCCTATAGAAGCTGTTCCAAGTTCGTAACTTGGGCATTAGTACCTGGAGGCTTCCGCAAGTAACGTTCAAACATTTCTAAGCCCTTAAGTAGGAGGGCTTGGTGTTATACATGTCCTATAAGGGTAGAACACTAGAACTCTAGTCATATAGCTTCGAGCGTAGCATGACTAGGTCCAAGCCCATCTAAAAGTCTTTGGCTCATATTGTATATTTTCTGGTTAAACTACCATGCTCATCTACATGAGCCTTGTTATATCCTAAGTCACTTCTACATGGTATTATCTACAATATCTCCCATAGACAGGTCAGTGTGAGCACTCGCTGAAAAATAGCACTTGCTATATAGGTGTGCAATGCGTCGTTGGAACCTCAAGTGTATCAAGAATATATAATGATAAGTCGACGCTAAGTAACATCCGTGGCCTTAAATATCGAAACGATCAATAGTGTAAAGTGGGAAAGGAGCTAACACTATGATAAGAATACTGACTAAGGCCAATCCTCTGGTTCTGAGTTCTCTAGTCCAAGGAAACCGGTGAAGAGGACGGTTCAACTCAGATTTCTTCCAGGCGCGGCCGACTTAGGACCTATGTTCAGAGCACGAAGGGTGATGGCAAGCCACATTTGATTCCCAAACCTCTTCAGGTTTCCATTTGCGTATCCGAGGCAATATCATACTCTCTCCCCTACGCGAAGTCGAATTGAACTGCATTACACCTCTCGGACTTAAAACTCCTATGCTTGAATACTGGGGGTCATCACAACTATGAGTACCTGCCTGTTATAACTATGATCGACTATAGAGGGTGTATCAGCTATATATGAGACTACAACGAAACTGGGTCTGATGACCAACAAGAATATCGAAATTGGCAGTTAACGGCCGAGCACTAGATTTTGCTACTTCCTCACTTGTGATTATAGATCAAGGGCCACGACACCGTTGTGCCTCATATAATTATCAGCCACAATGAAGACGCGTAATCTGGGGGGTGTACCCCGTGCAGAATGATAAAATGTAAATCTATAGGAGATAGTATTCCGTAGGGTTCTAATCATAGCATACCACCCGGATTTATAGAGTTGGATGATATAATTGGTATCCATCATCGAGCCTTTGAATATTATGAAAAGAGGATTGGGTTTCTTAGGGCCAATATGACCCTCTAAATAGGTTCAATATACTATGAAGTCAAGACTTCTTAGATATTAAGCTAATTAAGTTACCTACGCACTTGTACCTTACTCGCAACTAAGGAGAAAGTGTCGTATAAGGGGCCTATGTTGTATTCAAATTTACAACTAACGGATCTTAGACGATACAATCAACATTCCAATTTACAAATCACTAGATAAGATCATCTACGTAGAAGAAGAAGAAGAAGAAGAAGAAGAAGCCGCTTTCGGGTGAGTAAGTGGCTATCGCTTTATATTTCTCTATTAAGATATTATTCGATTCCTGGTACTATATCCGAGACGGAATAACTAGTGATGGGGGATATATATCGATACCCCGAATCTATTGGCTGAATTCCGAAGGATTATCTCATTGCCACATAATTGACCTAGGTGAAAACGATCCCTTTACATATGTCTGAGGAGTTCGAACTCTCAAGCTGAGGGCGTGCAACCCACTGATACACTTCTAACATACAAGACGGAGGAGCAGAAAGATGATAGGGAAACATGACATTCATAGTAAGTGTACTAAGGGCGCTTGCGTATATCAGGGTAATTTGCTAGGGTTAAATTTCGAGTTGGTGTTTGCTGCATGAATTTTCTCTCACAAGGCCCAATATTCTCGGCGTCTGATGTTAAGTAACTAGACATAAATTTTGAACTTGCTAGTATCTACTAGGGGCGGGTCGATGAATCGAAGAGTTTGCTAAGAGGTATTCACTAGTCACGAGCGAAAATCTCCTAGTGACACTATATTACACCAATCCGTATAGCATCCGATAAACTCCCATGAATACGAGTCTTTCGACCCGGGACGGACCTATAACTCCCCCACCACGCCGGTTGTGCTCCTATTTGCCACGGGAACTTCACACGAAGTGCTACTAGAACATAGCTAATTGCATTTAAGTAATAGCGTTCCTATTCTGGTATAACAAAGAGACGGATCGAGCGAAATTAAAATCCATCAAGTAATTACTAGGTTAGTGATGTAGAAAAGATCCTACGTTACCGAAGTTATGGCTTCCGAAGGAACAACAAACATACTCGATCCTTCAGCCTAGGGAATCCTAGAATACGACGGTAACGAGGATAGCGATAGAAATCGGCCATAATATCTAGGTAGTCTTATATAGATAACTAGGTAGGTACTTACCTGAGGTGAGTTTCTTTTTATTTTATAGATGCAAAATATGCGGGGATCAAAGCATGCTATTTCTAGTATAGCAAACTGATGAGATCCATGAGACCCATTTACCTCGGTCCTAAGTGTATATTATATTAGATTGAAAAGTAACGTATCCAGAGCTTTATCGTCAGTGCCGCTCAGAGCGCGTAGTTTAATTTCCCGCCCACTGGGAATTGGTGATAATCTTTAACTGATTGACGAGAGGCCATCACCCCTCTAATTTAAACTAGAGCTGAATTTTAGTGTAACGTGGGCGGCAATGGACTGATCTGGCCAATCTGAAGGGACGATCCCTAGTGGTACGAGTTGTAAGATGTCTTTGCTTGTCGTGGGGCCATCAATTAAACATACTAGTCTTGCGACACTCTTGTTAGTACCTGGTATTGGTATTGGTATTAGTAGACTTGTAAGCGTTAGACGATACACACACCCATACAAAAAAAAAAAAGGGATCGAAGAACATATCGCATGGTTTGTTCTAAAACGGACCATTAGTAAGATGGATATATTAAACGCGGAAGAAGCCAAGACTAGAGGATCCGCTTCGCATAAACAGTCACCGGCGGCTGATGACGAATTTTTCGGGAGCTAAAGGGTGATGGCACCAGCGGAAGCGCCCAATAAGGGGGACCACGGGGTCTGAAGGCCCTGGATTTAGGTACCCTGGATCTACAGTACATCGATTATAATTTATGCCGAAATTTATTCTCGTTGCTTGGAAACGGGGACTTCGGTAACAGTGTACTAGTATAAACAGCGGGTGATCTCCATAAGAGATGGAGATCTGGAAGCTCCTAAGAAGTGGTAAGTAGTAAAATCGCTTTAAAAATTCGGAGCCGATGGGGGTAGTTATGTAACTCTTGTAGTGTCTTATGGTGTATGTGGTGTTTGTGGTTCGCGGCGCGTCGTTTCTTGCCCCTGTGAAGATCTAGTTCTCTTCCATCCAATCTCGCAAAAGCATAAGCGATACGTACCGAGAGATTGTATATGATACTTTATATAATATAAGAGTGCCATGCTAAAATTGGAGGGTATAATATGTATCATGGTACCGCGTGTTACCCCTGTTATAGATGACGATGGCATTGACGACATGGTCTGGGGTTTAGCTTGTCTCGGCTGTCTCGCCAGTCTCAGTCTCGTTAGTCTCAACTTTAACGAGACCTGTAACATTAGCTCAATTCTCTCTTTTTCTAACCGCGTAAATCCCTTTCATATCACCTGTAATATTACTTTGTGCAACAAAACCAATCTTCACCATGTCTTTACCATCAGTTACCACGTGTGCCACCAACGGGATTCGATTAGGAATTAGGAGCGCACTTTTATGATGATCATGAAAAATATCTGACGGGATCTTCAGTGATCATAGCCGGATACTACAGGTCAGTATTTTAAAAGCTTAGCTGGACGAGGCAGGTGTTCGTAGAATTCGTAAGAACTCGTGGCTGGTGATCAACATTTCGTAAGGCTTCCATCAAGGTTCATCTGATAAGTCTAGATAAATTGACCGATGCTTAATTCTGCAAGCCATAGATCAAAAATAAGGAGCCGAAGGCGTTTTCATATGAATAGTCGGCCAATTATCGTCGACTCTTATCCTAATATGGTAGGCAAAGAAGAAGTACATTTAAATTCAATTGGATCAATTAAAATCAATTGTACATCGAGTATTCTTATCTAATTGGTACGTAGATAAAATACCTGACAGGCTAGGGTAGTACCTGACTGTTTGAGGTGAAAGGCACAGCCCCACAATCCTTGTTTGCTAGGATGAATTATTGACCAATCATATGCTTTAATCATCTTCAGCAACCTTCCCGATACAATTTATCCTCTCCTATGGGCTATTTCACGCCGACTAGGTCCCTTGGGTCTTTCCTGCACATGCAAACTGCCCGCAACTGCATCCCGAACGTAGTGGTCAATTCTGGTAATTCCATTCTTTCCTTCCTTATGGATATTCCATCCGGCAGTTATTGACTTTTAGTCCACTTTCATTCCTTTCGTAACTCTTTTCCATCGTGCATACCTCAAACCTCATACCTAAAAGGTATCGTACATTTCGGTCACCGACCACTTTCCATTCATTTGTAAAAAAAAAAAAAAAAATCATTCGTCAACTTCTATTCTAGTAGGAACCCTTGAGTTTTTACTCCTCTAGTTCTGGTAACCTATTTTTCCCTCTCAGTCACCTCGGCTGCGTACATACTGCATACTGCATACTGCCTGAGGAACCTCGTTGAGTTAAACGTCAAGTACCAAGTCCTACGCAAACGACGGGGACGAGCACCACGAAAACACTCAACAATCCAGAAATTGTTTGTTTGACTACTACTTCGTACTTCAGGTTTCCTACACGTCAGGTGTTTCCCCGTTAGGTTACCTTAACCCTTACGATTTCACACGGACTTCCGCGACTTTGGATCACATTGCACAAGTCGTCGACCTGCTGAATTCCGATTCTCATAATTCCTATTCGGCTTCATTTCGCCGTTGACTTTCTACTCACCATCAATCAGTACCTAACTACATTCTTCCGACTCAGAATAGCCATGGGCTACCTCGTGGGACTGTGACATTTACTCGTTTCGTCCTACGCAGTTCTCTTCTATTGTTTATTCTTCAATTTGGCCAGCTAGCTTGGTCACTTTCAACTTGAGATACCCCCGATATTCAACTTCCATTCTTGTTCAACTTCTTTCCGCCTAGTTTGCGAAGTTCTGTCGATTTGTCATCGACATATTACGTACCATACGATCCTCTGAATTGTTATTTACGAGTCTATACTCACGATCACGGATCTCACGATGATGTTCATCACCGTTTTCGCCTCCCTTGCCCTTTTCTTGGGCCAAGGTCTCGCTCAGGATGCCGGCCTCCTGCCTTGTGCTGTAAGTAAAACCTGTTCAAAAATGCAGCTGCCTACCTAATTATCTGGTTGATATGCTCAGCTGGACTACCCTCCCTTTCTATCCCGTGTATGCATCTGGGCTTTATAACTGACATGGGTCTTTTTATCTAGTCGGGTTGCGTCAATGGCGTCTTCGCCAATTCAGCCGCCATGGGATGCGACATGAATGATCGCCTTTGTGTCTGTGGAAAGGGTGCTGATTTCTCGGACGGCATCCGCGATTGTATCAACCAGGCATGCCCCAGCGACGTAGCTGCGGCACAGATTTCGATCGCTCAGGGTTACGGTAACAATGAATGCCAAGGTAAGCAACCATAACAGCAACCTAGACCCCCCTAATATTCTGCAAGACCTCTTGATTAACAAGGACATTTTAGCCGCATCATCTGCAGCTGCAGCTCTATCTTCTCCCACACCAACCCCTAGTACGCCGGCTTCTTCCACTGAGCCTCAACCTACCGAGCAGGCTGCCGAGTCCGTTTCCTCGACTACGGCTGCGGAAACTACCAAGGCCGCGGAGACTACTAAGGCCCCTGAGGCAAGCCCAAGTTCTACCTCCGAGTCGGGCTTCTCTGCTGCATCAGTTGAATCGATTGCTTCCAGTTCGACCCCTACTGCCACTGAGTCGTCAGCTCCTGCGAAGACTTCTGCGGCTGCCTCTGTATGTTCATTGTGCCTCTATATTACCGCGATGAATGAAATAACTAACCTCCTATTTAGTCATCAGTACCGTCAGCTACTACTAGCAATTCAGCCGTCGCCGCCGGAGCGACATCATCGGCAGAGAAGACTGATGAAGGATCATCCCCCAACCAGGATAACGGGTTAAGTGTTGCCGCAAGAGCCGGCATTGGAGCAGGTGTTGGTGTTGCAGCAGTTCTAGTAATGATCATTGCCTTCTGTCTTCTCCGTCGCCGATCAAAGACACCTGAACCAGAGCGCGCCCAGACCATGCAGATCTCGCAGCCTCTTCCAGGATCTGGACGACAGTTCGCCGAAGGTGTCCGCTTACCCGACCCTACTTTGTCCAAAGACTTTACTCCGTCGGCACCATCACCAGAGTCCGCGGAACGCAGCCCTTCGCCTATGGCCCGTCCGTATTCACCATCGACCGCGTCATACGCTTCGGAACTTGATGCCAATGCGCGCCCCTATGAGGATCTGTCGCCGCGAACGCAGCCCCGAACTATGATCTAATCGACACCCCGTGCGTACGACTCTGCGTATCAGCCCATTTCCGATTAGGATTTCTTTGTTGAGTTTGCGGATGCTTTTTTCATGAGTTAGGAACCCGATATCCAAGTCATCCCTTTCAAGGATTTATTGCGGATGGTTACAGTATGGACTCGGCTCGTTTTAGTGGTAATTCCACTGGTGTTCTAATGACCTACTTTGGAGGTCTAAAAGAGAGAGAGAGGTTTCTCCAGTTTAATCGCACCGATTTACGTACGAGAGATGGAACTGGTAATTACAGTCAAGACGCAGAAACCGAATGATGTAGTTACAGAAGGGGATGGACTTGAGATGAGGCTTTGCTATTTATTGGCATGAAAACAACAACACAATAACAATCGCGTTTTGTAGTTGATTGTGATACGTAGTTACGTGACATTAATTTTTGCTGGCCAGCTTTGCAGATCAATGGCCCCCTTTTTTGTTGTATTTAAGGTTCGCTGGTAGAAACCCATAAATACCTAGGCGACGCAAATCTCGCTGCTTAGACGGCGGATTTAATTCCTTTTGTAATGTTTTTGTAAAGCTCTTTCTCGAAAACAGAGCTATTACATATTCTGAATCGAGTCGATTTCTTCTTTATGGTACATGTACCGAGATGATACGATATCTCTTACATAGAAACATGTGCAATCATGTCCGCTATTCACAACCGCATCATCATACATCATATTTGACCCTTGAATTAGACTAACTATTTGCTCTTTACCAGCTGTAGTAAGGTCTCTGTGCCGTAACTGGCCGGTTCGGTAGATGCACCCATGGGCGTTTCCGCGCCTGCTTCTCTACCTTCTCATCGTGCAGTCGCATCCTCGTCTTCTCCTCCTTTAGAACGAGGGAGATGGCTATAAAGAGGAGAGTTCGTTAGTTTTGGCACGACGACTGGAAATGTGTATGTTGTCGTTCGGGCGAAGGTGTGCTGTAAAGGGATGGCAGATGAATTCATGCTCGGACACTTACCAGCTGTTGGCCGCCACATCTGCGACATGCGGCTTCGCGCGTGGTACTGTATGCGAATGCCACGCCAGGGACCCTTGGTGACCCAGGACTGGTCGACGTACAAAGTCGTCGGATCATTGACCTCGAGCCAGCGGCCGTCCTTGGTCTGGATCTTGCGCGGCTTCTCGAGGGTCTTGCCGTCTGCGGCGCCAAGTCCCATACCGTGAGCTACGATGGCTTTGTCACGCGCCTCCTCCAGCTGCCACTTGACCTCGCGGGCCATCTTCTTCTTGCTGAAGCGCATCTGCGTGATAGCGTCGTCGACCGTCTTGCCGGCGATCTGGCGCGATAGGAACATCAACTTCTTAGTGCTAGTTGGTAGGTACGTGCTGGCGCTCGTGTGTTGCTTCTCGGTAAGCCGTATGCGCTGCTCCCGCGTGAGCGGCTTGTCCCCGTCCCGCACCATCTGCATCACCTTCTTCTTGAGGAAGCGCACGCGCCATCGGGGATCGGGATTCTCAGCTCGTTCCATGTGCTCCTTTACTTTCGTACCGGCACTATATCCGGGCCCTCTCCGCTGTCCTGGTTGCTGTTGCTCGAGCTCCTGCTTTTGTATCCTCTCCGTGTCCTTGATCTCCTCGTCGAAGATGGAAGATCCCTGTGTTCGTTGCAGATTCTTCTCGGCTATCATCTGCTCGCGTTCGCGCCGGGAGATCTCTTGGGCAAAGGGCGAATTGGCTTTGGGCTGGGTGCCCCAGTTGAACCAGGCATTGCGGCGCTGCGTTTTGGGTTGTAGATATTGTAGATGTAATGAGGGTTTGCCGGCGGTGGCCTGCGCTGCTATAATTCTTTAATTAGCTAACCTATAGGGTGTAATACGACTAATATAAAAGTACCGGCTGTGGCTACCCGCCTTGCCGGCAGATGTAAGCTCATGGCTGTTATGAATTGGTTACGTTCGGCAGCATGAGACGGAGCTGTAAAGCGGGTTCAAGGGTCTTGAAGTTGTAGTTAAGAAAAAGTTCAATATCGAAATGGTCGAGATAATTATTTACCGGGGTTTAGCCGCTGTCACCTTTCGGCTATCGGACTAAAGGGTACAAAAATACCTCTATTTCGTACGGTTACATATGTATGAACTGTAATTATTTCACGTGACTCAGCGCAAGAAGCTCCTCTCAAAGCTTCGCGCGAATTGGGAAACTTGATCAGACCATTTCCAACTTTTGAACGATAGACTCGAGAATTCCACGAATTCGACCGCAACCTTCCCGCTAAACCTACCTCTCACTCGTCTTCCTCAGAATCGCATTCGAAATGGCCATCGCACCTATCACCGGCGTAAGTTATCTACTACATCCAATTGCTGTCCATACCCCTCCAAATTCATGAGGCTGATTTTATAATTACAGATGCTCCGACGGGGCCTTGTTACCGACCTCGGCATTGGGCTCGGTACGTCTATCCTAATATTGGAAAGCCTTCCAATACTTTCCGATATCAGACATCATGCGTGGGGCTCTTAGCTAACTTGAATCGTAGGATTGGGCGTAACCTTCGGCTCTCTCTACTGGTACGAATATCATTTATAATTATACTCTGGAAAACTCGGAAGATCGTTATGGACAGTCATGATAGACTAACTTGCGTTACTCAGGCACGGATATCACATGCCGCGCACCCACGCCCGAGACAACTTCTACAGACAACTCGAGCAAGAACGAGCTGCCGCGAGAAACGTCTAGATGCGTTTACGATGAAGGACCAGCGCAGAATACAGAGTGCGAAGGGGAGGGAGGAGAGAGGGCGCAAGATACTAGACGAGAACGACTTTTCTATTGTATAGTTGGAGAATGCCGTAGAAAGTGGTTATGCTTTGGAAGCTGGGGACGGCCGACTGTATTATACGAACGAGTACCCGCCCGCCGAATTCAGGCTCCCTTGAGCATTCTTCTTATCCGTTGGTCCGTATAATACGGTCTGATGGTTAGTTTAACCAAGCATGCTATATATATGTGCTGGTTTTGTTTGTATGGCTATGAGTATGACGTAGTTGTAATTATACCCAAGGTATGAAAGGTCGTAGATGAGTGATGGTAATAGGTTAGGTGCATAATACGAGATTGTCGTAATATGGGACATGCTGTGATGAAAGTAGCGTTTCCTTTAAACTTAGAATTGTATCCTGTATCAACATCTATAAATTTATACCTATAATCAGATATAACTATTTGACAAAGAATATTCTCAGGATGAATTCTCCGTTGAGAATATAATAAGAATTGATTAGCAAATATTAATACACTTATGAATCAGTATATCACAAAAATGATCAAGTATCTAATATGGTTTAATTATTTGATTTCTTAAAGCTAATGATTTTATCAAACTACATGCCGCCCCCGCCGGTACTCTCATCTTTCTTCATCCCCTCCCAAACCGTAGTCTCAACCATAAAACTCCCCTTCTTATCCTGACATCTAAACCGGACAATCAAAGAATCAGCCTACTTAGTCACATACTACTACAAATAAATAAATAAATACAAATTGAATCAAACTCACCGGCGGAACCATCGCTGCACGGGCCAACACCGAACGGGACTATTCGATACTTCGGGTCGGTCGATCTGGCATTCGTATTGGACCATCGAGAAGAGTTCGCAGGCGGACAAGTCGATTCGGCCGCCTTTGCGCATACGACCGTCTGTAGCTTGGATCTCAGATTCGAGTTGCGAGGCTGGGAAGACGCGGCACGGAGGCGCCATCGCTTCTCTCTCTTCTTGTGAATTGCTGCTGGGACTTATGAGATGTGAGATGTGATGTGGAATGGTTAGATTAGATTAAGAGGATGGATGCTGCGACGGCAAAGCACGTCGGTGCTCGATTGCTAGGTGAAATCGAAGAGGGGAGCTTAGAAGAGGTATGTATTCATACTTTAATGCCCAGCTTCTTCTTCTTTTTTCTTTTTTCTTTTTTCTTTTATAAGTTGTGTATATGAAGGATTGAAAGATGATTCATGTCCAAAGCTTCAATTAAATCTTATCTTATCACTGGTTCATATTACTTTTATTCTTAGTTTCATCCCTCCTTTTGAGTCTTTTTTATTATCATGAGGCTCGACACATTATTTTATTATTATAACTAATTTACTCATTCTAGCTTCTAGACTCCCTTCGTGTCAACCTCACAGGCGGTTCCTCTAATAATAATATTCGTCCGGATATCCCCATCCCGACCCTCGCCAACATCGCAGCTCGCTATCACAAGGCAACACAATCCGCGCCGCCACCGGTCTTCTCAGTAAGCGGGCGCTATCTTCCGCTCCTATACCACTTAATATCAACTCTCATTGCCGAACCACATAACTACACAGTAGTCGTTATCGACGCCGAGAGTCGTTTCAATGTAGCCCGCCTTATATCTTCGAGCCCCTCGAACAATATTGCCAATAGCAGCTATCCAGCACAGCTACCTGATCTGCGCCATGTATACGTGTACCGGCCGGCACAGGGGCAGGACCAAATGCGGGCGGCGGTGGCGGCAGCAGGCGAGTGGATGCTTTACGGGGCTCACGGGAGCCGAGCTCGCGAGTGGTGGGGCACGGTGGTGATCGGTGGGGGAAGTGGTGTAAGTGTAAAGGGAGATGTGAATGCGGGATGGAAGGGCTGGTTGAGGGTCGAGAGGGAGGAAGTAGCCGGATTTCCGGCCGGTGTTAGTGTCGAAGAAGCACTACGTGATAGAAATAAGAGGCAAGAGGTTGTTGATGATGCGGGATGGGTTGCGGGTTCGAGGGTTGGGAGTTATGTGTGGAAGAATTAATTAGATATTTGAAATATATATTAAGGTGTAGTTACTTCCTTATTTTAGAGAATTAGAGTAGTAGAATTATTCAGTTACTTTATTCGAGATTCTAAGAAAAGTTGTATTATCGTGGTGTATATCAGGTGTATATCATGGTAACAAGTAAAAAAGGCTTGACTGTTAATCAATCATCAATATATGGATATAACACCGTCTAAATAAGAAAAGCAAGGGTTATTGCATATTAGATCTCATATGTGCGACTTAGTGGGGTTGAACCCATATCAGGTTAGACTAATCTTTGTTAGGGGAACAACGTCACCTAGGCCGAACTTAAATGAACTTAAACTCAATTCTCTTTCTTTACACCAACAGTCCGCGAATCCTTCTACTTCCCATATACAAACGGTCTAGTTTAATAAATCGATACAGTCAACATATTCGCATAATAAAATATAATAAGAGTTAATACATAAGGGATGGCGTCGTCGCAATACAATTCCCTTGCTCCACTCCAGCAATATAATCAACTGTCCTTTGCCGTTATTCCCGAACACCAACAGCAACAACATCGACATCAACAACCGCAACATCAATCTCAACACCAACATCATTCGAACTCTCATCCCCATCCCCATCCCCATTCACAACCTCAACCTCAACCTCAGCTTCAATCTCGTCACCACCAGCAACAGCAACAGCAACATCAGCAACATCATCTACATCAACCCGCTCCCACCCATACACAACCAATCGTTGCACCGACGTACCAACATCCACCAACATTACCATCTACGACCAACATCAACCCACAACCACAGCGACAACAACATAATATCAATATCAACGTCGATTCCGATTCCAGTCCCGATCCAACGCCATTATCGACTACACCCGTAGTAAACCATGGCGCCAACAACAACGCAGATCCCACATCCTTCGGCCCACCCCAGCGCAAACGTCGTCGCGTAGGCCGACCACCTAAATCGCAACTAGAGCGTGACTACCTCGATCAGCGAGCCTCTAACAACCTTACACCCCCTCAACAGCCGCCGCCTCCTCAAGTCCATTCACCACACCCCTTAAACAAGGGACCTTATAACTCGGCCGAGGATGCCGTCTTCTCCCTCCAACTTCACGTCTTTACGTCTGGATACGGCGTGTCGCAGAAGCGTACCGTCAAAGAAAAGCTCCCCTCGGGACGTTACGATCCCGATGGTGACGTCATTCGCAAGGACTTTGCGTGCGATCGTGGCGGGGCCGACTTCGTATCGCAGAGCACGGGGGAACGACGGCGTGAGAGCAAGAAGTGTGGATGCGGGTGGAAAGCCGTGGTGCGACGATTGAAACGGGAAGGTGATTTATGGTTTATTGATATACTAGAACCGAATCACAATCACCCCGTCACTCCTCCGGATCAGATGCACACAATCGCATCGTATAGACGATGGCAGCGCGAGAACAACGCCGGGATACGGACAGCAATCGCAAGACTGGCGCGTGCCGCCGCTATGCCCGCTCGACAGGTCGCCGACTACCTTAAAGGACAATTCGCAGACCCAGATCTAGCTCGTATCGATCGACATATCCTACGCGCTCTCAGTATGAGCGATGTCGATATGCCAGGTGGTGATGCGCAGCAGAGCCAGACTGTATTCGACGTCGTCGCGCGGAGGCCTACAATTATATTGCAGGAAAACGCTGGAGAGAGCGGGAGCAATGGGAATCCAAATGGGGGTGCCGTTACCGGTGTTCCTATCGGTGTGGGTGTTAATCCTACTGGTACCCCTAACCGGTATCAATGAGCAATTGCATTTTTCTTCCCCGTACGAAACTAGGGTCCTAAGGGTAGGAGTATCAATACCTAATGTTTGAAATATCTTGTCTCAAGTAATCGGTTGTTTTGAAGGTTTCCGGTATCTGGTTCATCTACCGCAGGTTGCGGCTTGGTAGGCGTATAAGGGGGTTAGGGGGAATCCCATCGTTGGCTTAATCACGGCTCGGTGCCGACGGGCTATATTTATGAGGACGCGTATAAGAACGTCAGCGTTTTAAGGGTTATTTGAATTGTCTGGCTACGTAACACACCTAGATATAGTATATACCTAGGTGATATAATTCAGTAGGAGACGAAAGAGAGGAAGATATGAGAGGAACGGTCTGACTTGAAATATGGCCAGCTCCTGAGAACAATGAGGGTTGGCGGTAGTAGATGAAGAAGATGAATAATACCAAACTAGTGGAAAGAAATACACCCTGCGAAAATAGGGGGATTTTAAGCCTGAGAAGTTAAATAAAAAGACGAGCCCATTCCATTGCTCTTATGCACATATATCTATAAAACAATATCACATACATAAAAGACTTGATTAAAAAGCAAGGAACTAATATCATTCAAATTTTCATACGGGAGGTTAGTCAGTCTAGGAAGGAGATACAGCTAGACTATTACGTTGAATCAAAGTAATATTTTGAATACATTTATACAAGTGATATTTATAGGTAGGTATCTTATTCTAACATCTAGTGCGAACGAGTTCACGATGATACATTAGTTCGTTAGATTAGTATCTTATTTTACATCTCGGTACTTCATAAGTATTGGTAGATTTGCCTGTCCATATTATTCCATCTTATTTCTCACTGTAGAGGAAGCCAGAAGCCAAGCCATTTATGCGCCCATACGGATGCTACGCTAAATGTGGACGCCTCTCCTTTAATAGGTATATAGAGGCTTAGTTATAGGTATTATCCAAGATGTCTATTCATCCCGGTTCTTCAATTCTGTGGCGGCATCGCGACCTCTTTAGCGAAATAAGGGATGAAAGCCTAAGCCTATGTCGGCACAGTGGCGCCGGGAGCATCGGTGGATTTCTTCGGCGAGCAGGTCGCGGACACGGCTATTACCTTTTTGACCGAGTCCAGCGCCTCGATACGCTCGTAGTACTTTTTCAAATTCTCGAACTCGGCTCCATCTTGTTCAAACACGTCTTGGCCTTGAACCCTGATTATATCGTAAAGGACAGGCCAAAATGCAAAGTCGGCCAGGGTCATAGTAGGCCCTGCGATGAAATCGTTGCCTTCCGCTGCATAATTCTCCCATGTACCCAATTCGGCCTTCAGCGTTTCGTGCTTTTTTAACAAGGCAATCCCTTGCTGAAAGCGAGTGCCCTCTTTCACAAAATCCCTGGATGGGTTACTTCCGGCTTTGGGGTCGTAAAAATGCTCGAGGTATAGCATAATTGAGCTCTCGCCCTCAACAGTCGTCTTTGGAGAATCATTATCGACAAATTTGATAGGGAGGTCCTTGGGGATGACGAAGGGGTCATTAGTAGGCTTCCACTTGAAGAGCGGCGACATGCTACCTCTCGCATAGCTAACTCCGTACTCAGCTAGCATCAATTGGATACGCATATTAACGACCGGATCCGATGACAAGAATAGTCGGGGTGCGGTAGAGAGATGCAAAACATCAAATCCTATGCCGTAATATTCTTCCCAGTTGAATTCTGTCGACTGGTTTTCCCTACCGAATCCTTGCAGCATTTTAATAGCCTCGGGCGTTTGTCCATTGATCACATTTTTTGCGCCTTCCCTCGTCTTTGATGTAGCCCCTTGCCCCCATATCAGCTTGTTTTCACGGTCCAAGAAGGTCCCTATCCTTCTGAACGTCAACGAGATGCGACCACCGTCGTAAGCTAGCTCCGCGTCTGATTTTTCGCGTTTAATCCTCTTGTCTTGTCGAATGCCGTGGAGCCATCGCATATTTGTCTGCAATCCCATCTGAAAAAGCGAATTGTGAGGTAGACGTGCTCGTTGGACTTGACGTTTTATCGTAGGTAAAGGCTCTGCATCTACTGAGTTCTTATTTCTCGGTTGTCGCTTTGTCCGTAGAGTCATAGTTCGTTCGGCACCTAGGCTAACATTGGCGATAAAGCTATCCTTGGAAATATCCAGCGTTTTATCGCTATGCTCTGAGATATAGTCGTTACCGTCACGGTAAAATTGTATAAGGACATGGTTTAGAGGATGTCCTAATTGTTTTTCGACTACTTTCTTAATCTCGAGCACTGCAGGAGAGAATGGTAGTAATGGAGGCGACTCGTCTGATGGATGACGATAAATAGGCATGCTACCATCCTCATCCACTTGTCCTTGGACAGCGACGAGCCTTGGCACCTCGCCGCCTTGGTGAGACATGCGCTGCCATTGCACCTCGTCTCTTACCCTCTCGAATATGTCCTCGGATACTGGGTGTGGTAATATGTCGTAGACAACCTTGGTATCACCCTCACATAGAAGCTCTCCCTCCCTTGGTCTTGACTGGTCTCCGGGTGCCATTATTCTACTATCGTCAACTTCAGTGCTCGAAATCTCTGACGGACCTTGGATCCGTTCTGGGTGCTTCTCGCTTGATGTCTCACTCACAATCCCTGATGATTCAGTTGTATTTTCTAATGAAGTTTTAGGATTACTGCTCTCTTCAGCTGACTTGTCGGATTCGTCGCTTTTTAATCTGACCGAATCAGAAATACTTGATTCCTCCTTTTTGCCTGGTTGTTTTGTTTCCTCCAAGGTTTGTTGAGAGACAATAGTTTTATCCTGAGTTGGTAATTGTGCTTTGTCCTGTGGTAAAACTTGCGTATTATCGTTATTTTTACTGGTATGACTACCTTTTTGTGAGTCATCGTCATCCGATTTTTGTTGTCGTGGCTTCGATTCGATCTCACTCACGGCCGCTACCGATGAACTGGCACGTGACTTTCGATTACTCTCCGTTGTTGGTTTTGTTGGTTTTACCAAGGGTTGAATCGATGGCGTTGTATCTTTCGTGGATGATTTGATACGGGGAATATCGGCTGCGCGCTGAGAATTTAGCGACAGGTTCTCAAGTGAGGGTAATAAATCTGAGGCTGAGGACGCAGCGAGATCATCCTCTTCCCCGGCACGACGTACTGTAGAGTATCCGCCGGCTGGAGAAGTTGCCGGTCTATCACCTGGCCTTCTCGACGGCTTCGACTTCGGCTTAATGGATGCTATGATGTCGGCTGAAAATAAAACATCGCAGCCCGTTGTTTTCGAAATCTGCTTGATGGAATTACGATGTTGCATTATACTATTATAACCGCAGCAATCATCAACTATCGTGATAGTGTATCCATGGCTTGCAGCGTCGACGGCGGTAGCCATAACGCTAATATTAGTCATAGATCCGCAGATAAAAAGCTCTGTGACAAGTCTCATACGCAGTAAGCGAAGTAGCTGCTCTGACCTGAAAGCCGAGTAATAAGTTTTCACGACTGAAAAATCCCTAGGTCCGACAGCCCCTTTTATAATTGGGTGCATCTCTACCCCAGAAGAACCTGGCCGGACACATTTCGGTAGGCTTGGAGATTCCTGGGTTAGAAACGCCTCCGGAGATTCGGCTTGCTGATTCGTCTGCGGTGGCGTTGGCCGTCGCCGACCCCGCGAAAGATCTGGGGATTGGGAATGGCTCGACCGATCCGATATGAGAATTTGTTCTTCCTGAGAAGACCGCGATTTCTCGAATCTGCTACATACCCAGATGATATCGTCGCCTCCTGCCCGTAGCGACGTCGCCAAGCCCGCTATCCGCTCTGGGAGATCCGGTGGCATTTTAATAGGTAGGGCGCCATCCTTAGCCAGAAAATCGTTCTGGGGGTCAACCACGATCAACGCTCTGCGGGTAGTCAGAGACGGGAGAAGGCTCCTGTCTATAGGAAACATGTTTATCAAGAAATTCGCTTGCAATGTCTAAAGAACTTCTAAGCCGGATATTAGTTCGAACTATGATATATAAAGGCGTAGTCGGTCAGGTAGCCAACTTACTTAATGTTATTTTTTTTTATTTTTAAATTTTCTTAAAGGGTATATCAACTGTTACGACATGCTCGGAAATAGCAGCCTCGTTCTCGGAAGACTCGAGGTTGACGGCGAAGGGCGTGACATAAAGTAGAGTCTACCTATACTGGGATATATGTATCACTAGGGCTGTAGAATAAGCTTGGCAATCCTCGTCCGGACAAATATAGTTGGACAGCCAAGGGGAAAGCCAAGGAAGGCCAATCCACCAATACCAAGAAAACAGACTAGGATTCAAGTGGATGAATACACTATACTTGAAGATCGGAAGCGGACCAAGATAACGAGAAGGCCGATATAGTATAATGGTGAAGAGCAATGAAGGGACCAAGGTCAGGTGAGAATTCGCGTCGACGATATTATATACGGTACGACATAAAGATGAATGAATATGAAGGTAAAGAAGATATGATATGTACAATTTGAGTTAGGTGGTCTTAGCCGAATTATTAAATGTATCGACGAAGATGAAGAATAGAGGTTGGTCACAAGTCACAAAGATTAAGAGACCGTAAATGGAAAGATCAAATTAGGAAGTATGGATAGAGGTATGGATAGAAAGGTATGGATAATAGTATGTAGGTAGTGTATGGATACCGTATGGATGCAAAGACGGGGCAAGGGTTTTACTATAAACGGTCCTGTCCTGATATGACGATGAATAGCATCTGCATGCATGTGCAGTCATCTAATAACAGCTCGACATATTGCTGTATACCTAGTAATAGTAGTAATAGTAAAATTTCCTTTCTTTTTTATTCTTCCGTTCGGGGAATGAAAATGAAAATGGGGGGGAGAAGAAGAAGTTGACAGGGGGGTAGGGGATTGAAGATGGGGGGAGTTGGAGGGGTGTGAGACAAGGAAATAAAATAAAAAATAAAAATAAAAATAAAAAGAGAAGTACCTAACTTAGGTAGATTAGGTGACATTTAACTAAGGTAGGTACTCCATTTCTCCTTATCCTTATTCTTTCCTTTAAATATTTTAATATTCTTACACCTTCTTTTTTTTTTCTTTCTCTTTCCTTTTCTATCTTTAAGAGAATTATGTAGAAGAGGTACATTACTACTACCTCTTCGTACCTACATCATGTATGTATCATATGTATCGAGGTGTTGTTGCGTTTTTAAAAACCACATGGCAAACTAGGGCTACTTAGTGGAAGTTCGAGGCGAGACCCCCATCTATATCATTCCGTCCAGTCCGTTTTGTACCTCTTTCAATGTTTTTTTTTATTTAGGTATTTTTTATAGTGGTGATGCAACCAATATATAGTGCATACAGTAGACATATCTACTGGAGTTTAGTGGTCAATTTAGTGGTCACGGTGATCCATTGAACCGTAGGTAACAGGCGCCTGCAACGGTGGATACAGTTTTTTTTTTCTTCTTCTCTCTTTTAACCCCACCAAAGTCTACTAACGTTAATTCGTTAATTCATTAATTCTACTTCTATTCTTTTCTTTTCTTTTTTTCAACCCCCCCTCAAATTGATTCTTTAAGACAAAGCTCTATAATATTAGAGAAGATACATTATACCACAGCCGAAACATTTAATGCTGTATCACTTTAAATATTTAATATTAAGTACTTAGATACTGTATTTACATACCCATTTACATCATAAGGTCCATGTAAATACCATGTGCCTAAGTACTTCTCGTATCAAAATACTCATCTTTTTAGTACGACATAATTCATTTCATATTTCTCAACTCTGATTTCTACTTATATGTATACTAACACGTATTCAAAATGTGTCAAATATGTACGCTCGGGCCGGTAATCTGCGAAATCTGATGGGGAGGTCAATGCGGATCTGCGAAGCTAAATCTATTGCGGTAGATCCGAAGGCCAACGTGATTCCGCCAATCTGTTCTAGACCTTCTCATCGAAGGCTTACAAGACCTAGCAGGACCTTGACAGTATCCCCCCCGGTCCCTGTCGAGCCCTGCTAAGAAGCCCTGTTGACGAACCGAAATTCTCCGCTATGACTGAGATGACTGAGATGACCGAAATGATTGAGATATCCACCAAGCGGATGCACTTCGTCCCCTTCGTCCCTTTCGTTTGAGCTTGACTCGATTCGGCTTGTTGATCAGACTATAATGCTCTGATCTAATCCTCTCCGGTGCGGATAGCAGCATATAGCAGCATATAGCAGCATATAAAGCGCATATAGACGCAAAACAAGTCACTACGATACCTGCTACGATCTACAATGCCGCATGCCAAACCAGAAACGAGCATCTAATTTGCCTTACTGATTTACCTTGCTGCATACATACCCATACATGCCCATATATATTTATATTCCCCATTCGAGGCCATATAATTAGGCCATGCTTCTCCTAATTGGCTTGGCCACGCATATATGTATGTATGTCTCCGTAGTCACGGCGCTATGCGTGAGGCATTAATCATGTGCTGTTTTGCATGCCAGATCCAATTTGACACGAACATCCGTCATTGATCGATGGCGAGGCAAATAAGCAGAATAAAGGAATACGGTCTCGTGCTGACCGCCCCTTGCGTAAGTCCTGTAGGTGACGAGGTACGTAGGTGTAAAGGTGTGTAGCTCCTGACGATCCCTCTGGATAGTCTCACGCCTCGCTATGTATAGGTGGTCATATAGACCATGTAGGCCATGTAGACACATTCACACACATGGCAACGATTCGTTTACTATCTGGTAGTATTTTCACCCCGGACCATAGATAGGTTGATTGCCCTGTCGACGGCTACACTACGACGTGATACAGAAGGTACAATATAGTATTTAACCGCTCGCAAGGACAACCATGCCTCGATTAATAGAAAGAAGAAAAAAAGATGACGTTCACGTGGGTGAAACTTCATGATCTTTGCCCATCTCCAACTGCAATTCTCCATTGTCATTGGCCGCCCTATCTGCTAACTACTTAATGTAGCTCATCTTTTACCTGACGTAGGGCCGTAGGCAAAATACTACATATTAACATGCTAAGGCGTGTAAAAAAGAACCATGCAGGGTGTGGATCGTTCCCCAGTCCAACCCCACGCCGATGCCCTGTCTTCTCACGACTAGCTTTGCCTGCCCGTGTCCTCTTAGATATATGAGACTTACCCTCCATGTTCTCTTGCTCGGTTTTGGATAAGTTGGGTAGACACCCTTACGATCGAGTAAAATCTACGGGCCCGCATTCCCCCGTAGGACTTCTAGAAGGCAGCAAGGATCTTTTTTTTCTTCTGTGTGAAGGATGCAGGATATACGCCTAAGGCTGGCCGTGCGAATCCTACGGGAACGACGGGAACGATGGGGATCTTACTGCCCTCGCGAGTCATAGCCAAATACTCGCGGGTGTTTAGCCAGGCACTTCAGGGGGGGGAACGAACTGTCAGCGAGTCACACGTAAGATGTTTATTATTGTAGCCGTCTTTTTAATTCGAAGATTAATTCATAGGCTGGTGAACGAGGCGGCGAGGAAGAAGACCGTTGTGGGTGTTACCTCGATCGCACTGACAACTGTAGGTACATGCAGTCGATACAACCCCAAACGGTCTCCTGCTTCTACATACAGACGGATACGTAGACGTACATATAACAAGCATGTGCTGCTACATATACATACATAAATGTACATATTCTTTCGGGTCTTCCCCGAGGGCCGCGTGTCGGAACTGTTTGTGTCGAGCCGGGGTGGGAAACTTCCGAGTGAGATACGAAATTAGATGGCGAGTCCTTGTCATATAAAAAAAAGATACAAAATGCAATCAATCAATGTACAATATAATAGGTACGTTATACTACGAATGTACGAGCGGGCGGTTCCGTAGTTCCCTACATATTCCCGCAGCGGGAGGAACGGGCTATGTCTCAAAGTGGGAGGTGAATATACGGAGCTGAGAAAAGAAAAGGGAAATAAAAAATTAAAAAAGACGGGCCAATGTAGAAATGAAGTTACGATGATGACGACTCGGCCGAGTAAGTTCAATTTACACATACCTGCAACTGGCCATGTGAGATGTGAGAAGCGGTTGGACGGCTCCCCATGTCACGTTTGTTACGCCGTCTATCCATAGTAGACAACAACATGTAGTGACCATCCGAGTCATCTACCACTATTTCAACCTACAACCGACGTTGGGACTTTAGTAGACCGTCTCCGATTCCGAGAGGCGTCGGCTTTACTGGTCCGATATCAAATATCTCCTAGGGGGGGTTGTATTAAGGACATGACTTTTTATACCCAGTTATCGTATCGGATCTTTAACTTCCTTTCTAGTCTATCGCTTGTCTATGTATAACTGATTCTAGCAAAATCTATCCGACCTCTTCTATTTCTCCTGACTCTCATTGGGCCGTCGCTCGTTGGGTTTCCTTTTTGCCCCTAACCGCTTTTTTTTTTCTTCTAGAAGAATTATATTCCTGGTCCTAACATCAGCTACCTACCTACCTATCCACCCCTGCCGTATGCACAACATCGTGTAGCAGCATAATGGAAGGAATAAAAAAATGGATTAACAGATGGAAATTCTCATCCCGTGGCCAACTTTCTCATCATTCGTCAGCTTGAGTTGAGCGAATCTTTCGTCTTCAGAGCCTGATTTGCAGCCTTCGGATCATCAAGACCCAACCGAACACGTCCGTCACTTCGCCCGCGGTAACATTTGTGATTACAACCTCATACTGTAGCAGCTGCCAGCTGTTGATTTATGGCACTTAACTGCCGGGTGATCTCACTAAAATTTGGCCGCTTGACTCCGGTTGGATCCGAACATTCACGATGCAGAGCCGCGAGCAGCACACCGACTCGCAATTCTTGTTCGTCGAAGTTGGGCCTGATGATTCGCCAAACGTCTTCGATCAGGTGGGCGAAGGCGAGCGCTTCGACCTGCTCGATTTTCTTGTGGTTTAAATTGCCGTAGATAGATGCTGCGCCGAAGTCGCCCAAGAGCGCGTGCCCCCTTTCGTCGTAAAGCACGTTATGGGCGTATATATCACCGTGTGCGACGCCTCGGTCGTGCAGGTGTTCCGCTGCGGCAGCGACTCCCTGAAGGATTCGCAAGCCCTGCCGTGTGGTTAAACTGATCTCCTGCGAGAAACAGTCCCTTGTACAACTCTGCAAGGACGGCGGGAGTCCTAGGGTTCCGTATTGCGTTGTGACAAGTTGCATGACAAGCCCTTCCTTATCGGGGTGATCAGTAATTTTCCCCAGAGGATCTATGAGATTAGCGTGGGATCCCGCTGTGATGCACGCCAGCATCTCATCGGCAGGAGTTCCATCGCTTGTAACATCTCCCTTGAATAATTTGATAGCTACTTCTCGAGCCTGATCAGTTCCGTTCCATAAGTTCCATAATCCCTTTGAGATAATTCCCGAAGCACCCTCACCCAGAAGGTTGTGAACATGAAGATCTGTCCAGCTGACCTCGGGAAGAGAGCTGAAAGGAGTGGTGTCACGAACATCCTTTGATGTCGCGGTTAACGAGCAACACGGATTACCAGCAAATGAGAGGAAAGCCAGCTCGGGTAAGTCGAAGAGCCAATTTGGAAGTTCTTGAATGCGATTGGCAGAGAGTCTTAATAGGCCGAGCTTCCTACATGCGACCATCTCGTCCGGCAGGCAACGCAGCTGGTTTCCCGCCAGCATACATTTTTGAAGGCGTCCACACCGCCCGATGCTTTTAGGTAAGGAGCTTATCCGATTGTTGGTCAAGATCAACCAACGAAGTTTCGGAGGCAAAGAATCCTCCGGTACAGTGGTCATCTGGTTACCGCGAAAAGCGACCATCTCGAGCTCGGGACATAATTCTAACTGTTTAGGAAAGACAGTGAAGTTACAGTCGGAGAAGAATGCTATCTTGAGCTTCTTTAGGCGACCAAAGTCTTCTGGTAAGCTGGATAGTCCTGTCCCCGAAAGATCGAGATGTTGGAGCGAACCGGCTACGTCAAAAATGTTGGTTGGAAAATAATGTAAGGGGTTTGCTACTTTCAACTTGGTGATCTCGCCTTGAGACCCATCCTCTTTACCCGAACTCGTCTGTAGATGCATTCTGCGCCCGAAGTTGTTTATTAACTCGATTTTATCATGCTTATAGAGAGAGTTATAGTACGAAGCAATTAAGCCCAAACAAATGAGCTGGGATGTTAGAAGCGCCACAGGATAAGAAGGATAAGCCTCTACTTAGTAAACGACGATAGAAGCATCACATAAACAGTGGAGATTATTAGGTATTCAAGTCAATTCAACCGTTAATTGATAGGTAGATGCTACAATCTACCTAAAGTAGTAATATTGAATGATGAATAATTTAAGTCGAGATGTACTTTATGATTACACATGGTGTTATATGAGGTATACAGCGGTAATTAGGTTTTCATATATCCCACTTTACAACAACAAGATTGAACTTCTTCAACATCAACATAGATATTAATGACATAGGTATAATCATTAAGCTGAGTCTTATGAATTCTTCGATATCAAACTAACAAATGATTATTATGCATCTATCGGTAGATATAGTTATACAAAGAGCTCAATTTGGTTTAATATAATTCATTATTTGTTATTTATATTTTCACAATCACAGCAATGAATAGCAACAAAATAGCTACGACATCATCCTTCACGATAATAATTCAACTTCTTTAGTCATCTCTAAAACAGTCAAGCCACAATCAGACCTTGTAGCCACATGTATACTGCAGATGTACGTACTGCAGGTGATTTAAGTAACACACTAACCTAGGCAGTCGTAGCTCCACTTTATTCGATAACCCGCGAATTAGAAGATCCCTGTCGGCCGAGCTTGTTTCCTTCGTTAACATCTTCAACTTCAAATGGACTAAAGCAGCATATCCCTCTTTAACACCTGCTTCGCATGAGGCTATTCAACATATTTTCAGTATCGCATCTTCAGATCTTTAAATCCGACATTATATTCCCCTCTCAAGATTCCCCGAATCTCTTCGAGAGATCAGAGATCCGCCATTGTCGCCATCGTTCGCAACATCGTTGTTTACGACTCGATAGCTACGCGACATTCGTTCCTTAAATACTAAGACCAACGAGACTAAGATAGAATCTTACGTATCTCAGGGAGGGCATATGACGAGCAGTCAAGCTCGGCGAGCTTGAATCCTGCAGTTTCCTTCACCTAGTTACTCGACATCACCTTAGTATTAAACACACGATATCTCGCTAGCAATATTCAACAGTCTGGTTTCACCTCGCATACGACGATAAGGCCCGTGTTCCTAGCTATTCCACCGGCCTTGCTTGTAGCTATTTTTGTGTTACTAGAACGAACCGCGTGGAAGAACTAGGATATTGGATACATACATACTATAAAACTCCTGCAAATATCTGATTTTTAATTAAGGCTTGGAGATCCGTGCTTTTTACAACTTCTTCCCCAATCCGGCTTCTCTATACTCGCCCCTACAGTCCAGCGATATTCGTATCCTAGACATTATTTACCAGTTCGTTCGATATCATGGATCCCTCCCTCAAACGCGCCGTTTCTACCGACGACGAGAATCAAGAGCCCGAGGCTAAGCGACAACGAACTATCGAACCCGACTCCCGCTCTGTTACACCAGCCGAGGTCGACTTATCAGAGAGACCGATTTATAATGTGGTGAGACGCCCGAATGCCGAAGACTTCGGCAGAGATGGGCTACGACGTTCTATCGGTGTGGCGCTGAAGCACGTGGGTTTCGACGCTGCTACTCCTGATGCCCTAGAGGGGTTTACGGAGACGGTTGACACGTGTATGTGCAAAATATACACCTCGTCCTATAACTTAGTATTCTAACTACAATGTAGATATCACTGGCTTCATCGAGCACCTTCGCCGTATCGCCAATGCGGCAAGAAGAAACGAACCTATACCCGAAGATTTCGAGCTCATCCTTCGTCGTCACGATGTTGACCTATCGTCTCTAAAGCTACATCTTAAGAATCCTGTACGGAAAGAGTACGTTGCGCCATCGTTCTTCGACCCGGTAACGGAAGACGTCCAATACCTTCAGAAGCCGCGGCCATTTCTAGGTGAAGAATTGTCTGGAGAGAAAGAAAAAGAGACCCGACCGTGGATACCCAAGAATTTTCCTGCATTTCCCAGCGCGCATACCTACCGATTCACCCCCGCGGAGCAGGAGCCCGATGTCGAAAAGGAGCAATTGCAGGCGGAAGCAGATGCGAAGAAAGGCGAGGCAGCGCTGAGACGAATCAACCGGGCTGCTAGAATTAGTCGACAGAAGGAGCTCAGAAACGTCGCGCAGCGCGATCCGCTAAGCCGCAAACGACACCAGAATTGGGAGGACATGATGTCTGACTTGCTACCCAAGGCCGGCCCAGTGACGAGTAGTGCGCCAGATATTGCCGACCATAGCTCGATTGTTAATTTCGGGACCAAATATGGACGGAAGGGAATACCTAAAAACAGCCGACGACCACAGGCTGACCCCTTCAATGGCATGATTTGACGACTACATATCGACTAGTCGATCTCTGATGAAGGAGGACATTATTAATATTAATTGGTCATGATACCTAATATTTATAGTAAGATGTTCCCCTATGAGACTGGTTTGTTCAGAGACTTAATTTGTTGCTTAGAGAGGTTATCTCATGCAGTGCTTTTACGGCTATGGAGATGAGCTCTATTAAACCGTCTCAATCGTATATAGTGGTTCTCTACTACTTCAAGAAACTGGTCGATGTTAGTTCTCACGTGCCCCCCTGTAAGTACGTCTAGACTTTGGGGGGGCGAGCGTGATACATGAGATACGGCTAGAGGAGAAAGTCGTCACTGAGGAAGAGTCGAACCTCTCTGAGTTTAACGATTTGGAGATACACATTAAGATTTTATTGTTTAAAGATACCCAATTCAAGCGTTGTCATTATATTCGATTCTATTTTGAGCATCGAGATAACCTTGGAATTTGGGTATGTTGATGTTTTACGGCGGGCATCGTAGAAGGTACTTAGAACCCCTTTTACGTATTAGCTACGTGTACGTAAGCGCATAGAGTCAACTAATTACATAACCTAGGGTATAGATTTGCCAGGTGTGAGGAGAGCTGACACAGCTGGCATAGCTGACATAGCTAGCACCAAACTTAGGGTGTCAATTGAGATGCTGATTGGATAAAGCCCCACCAATACGGCAACTCTGGTTTGGTTTTCCTAGCACCTGCCGTCAATTTAGCGATTTGACCCTAAGAAATTCGCACACAAAATTTGTCGGGGAAAATTTCAAGTTTGACGACTGTCATTTCGATCACTCGATCATCCAGCGAAGCACATCAACAACTCCTCCCTCGCCAACAATCTAAAAGGTGTACTTCGCGAAAGATTAGAGTATCCCTTCACAATGGCCGAGCAACTTATTCTTAAGGGCACTCTCGAGGGTCACGTAAGTAAAAATTAATGAATTAATTAATTCATTCATTCATTCATCACCTGAATTCAATTATCTGCGAAAAGCTGTCAATAGTAAACAATAGCTAACGAATTTTTGTGTAAATAGAATGGCTGGGTTACCAGTTTGGCTACCTCCATAGAGAAGTATGATCTATCACCTACAACGTCGCCATTTTTTTTATAATCGCAAGCTTACCTATCATCATGTAGCCCCAACATGCTGTTGTCCGGCAGCCGTGACAAGACCCTGATCATCTGGAACCTCACTCGCGACGAGTCGCAATACGGATACCCTAAGCGATCTCTCCACGGCCACTCTCACATCGTCTCCGACTGCGTATGTTATCTCGTTTTCCTACTGAAGATAGAGTGATGGATAAAAAAAAAAAATTGAAAAATTGGCTGACGGATTGGTATTCAGGTTATCTCTTCCGACGGCGCCTATGCTCTGTCCGCTTCTTGGGACAAGACCCTCCGACTGTGGGAACTCGCTACTGGCACTACCACGAGACGATTCGTCGGTCACACCAACGATGTTCTTTCCGTCTCTTTCTCCGCAGACAACCGACAGATCGTTTCGGGCTCTCGTGACCGAACCATCAAGCTCTGGAACACCCTTGGTGACTGCAAGTTCACCATCACCGACAAGGGCCACACCGAATGGGTATCCTGCGTCCGCTTCAGCCCTAACCCCCAGAACCCCGTTATCGTCTCCAGCAGCTGGGACAAGCTTGTCAAGGTACGTTTTACACCACTATTTTTATTACGAAAGAGAAGGACTCGCGAAACCCTTTCAAATGATGCTTTGCATTTTAAAAAGTATTTGCTACTTCAGAGCTTGTTTACAAGCCATGAGACATCTTAACACCATTGCACTGATGATATACACCTCGCTATTATTTGTTTACCACTTTCAAACATGAGATTGGTATCAAGTACTAACTCGTACCGCGTTAGGTTTGGGAACTCTCCACCTGCAAGCTCCAGACCGACCACATTGGCCACACCGGCTATATCAACACCGTCACCATCTCCCCCGACGGATCTCTCTGCGCCTCCGGTGGTAAGGATGGCACCACCATGCTGTGGGACTTGAACGAGTCGAAGCACCTGTACTCTCTGAACGCCGGTGACGAGATCCACGCCCTCGTCTTCTCTCCCAACCGATACTGGCTCTGCGCTGCCACTGCCAGCAGCATCATCATCTTCGACCTAGAGAAGAAGAGCAAGGTTGACGAGCTGAAGCCCGAGTTCACCTCGGTCGGCAAGAAGAGCCGGGAGCCCGAGTGTGTGAGCTTGGCCTGGAGCGCGGACGGCCAGACTCTGTTCGCCGGTTACACCGACAACGTTATCCGAGCATGGGGTGTCATGTCGCGAGCATAAATCCTTTCCCCCGGGGGGTCGATATCGGTCATTGACTGGGCGTATGGGATGGGCTGTCATTTGAGCTTTTTACTAAGGGAAATGGCAATCTCTTGTGGCTGGCAACGGAATTACATTAGAAACGTTGCGTTGCCGCTCGGTTGCTGCCATCAGGTAACCCAAAATTTTAAGGAATTGTGAAGACAATAATACCGTCTATTCCTCGTGCTGATATTGTGACACGAGTCTGAATCTTGGAAGTCTTCATCTCTAAATTCGTAGATTCGTATGAGTTCTCCTGGTTGCCGGCGTCGCATAGGAGTTAGGCTACTGACATGGAATATTAGGATGTAGCTAAACTGAAACAATATTCATCATAAAAAGCCTATGATATTCCTATTGCTCTAAGTCGGTAAAATTATCTTTGATGGTGTTATACATAAGATTCACAATTCTTTTTTCTTTCTTTTTTTTCTTCAACTCGCTTACGCTTCCGACCTTACCTCAGGATCCTTCTGTACTTGGGCACTCGAGCTTCCTTCTTGTATCTCTTCATGATCCGTAGGTCCTGTTATTCCATTCCCTGCCTCCAAATCATCAACGTTCCCGCCGCCCATAGGTATCCTTGGGCTCCAACGCATACTACTATCTAAAGTTTCCGAGTCCCCATCGGTTTTGGAAAGGGTACGAGATTGCTGGCTAAAAAGAGAGGGAGGTAGAGCAAAAGAGAGTTTACCGTTGCCGGTGGCAAAAAAAGGAGAAGATGGGCGGTGGCTTTTTCTCCTATTCAAGTTCCCTCTACTCCCTCGGCTTGACCGTCGAAAGCTTGAACCGACTGAGTCGGAGCCCCGGTAGAAGGCGGCAATGCTGATGAGTGGTAGACCAGCGGCTACGAGGGTTTGTACCCAGGATCCAGCGTCGAAGGGGAGAACGTGTGTGTTTCCTGGTCCGGCTGCTATATCGAGCCCGGCGAAGAGACCTATTATTATTATATTAGTTTGGTTCCCTTCTCTCCTCCCTCCAATAGACCAGACCAGCCAGCAGAAGTGAAATAAGAATTTCTCTCAACTTACAAGGCGCCAACATAAGAATACCATTCCCAACAGCCAAAATCTCAAGCGAGCTCAATCCCCTCCCACTGCTCCCACCTCCTTTCAAAGACAGGGCAATCGACAATTTGCGTCCCTTGCCCCGAAGCACACGCCTCGTGGCCGCGAGGTGCAGTGCTAGATGCGTAAAGAAAACGCCGCAGAAATAAAATACCGACATCGCGCTGATCACCGTAGAGGCCTTGCCCACATCGTCGAGAGGCACAGGGAGTGTATGTCCCTTAAGATCTTGCGTGTAGTGCGCTACCCAGACAGCTCTAAGCGCGACGGCGGCCGCGGCCAAGGTCACAGCCAGAAAGAGAACTGGAGGGCGCCACCAGCATTTACCGATTCTAGCAGTGGTCGTAGGATTGAATGAAGGGTTAGCGACGGGGACAGAAGTACGGAGAGATGGGGACGCGGAGTACACGCCCCAGGTCCGAACTAAGACGCGGCTTTGGAGCATGAGAGACGATTCAACTAGAGCAAGTTGCAACACGCTTAATGCACTAGAAGCCGTCGATATATAATACGCCTCAGGCGGTAAAATGGAGGCATCACGGGTCCAGGCCACGTAGTATTCGGTCAGCGGGCCGGGGAAGTACAGCACCAGTAGGATGAGCCGAGTAACTGAGACGACCAGACATAGGACCTGTGATAAGTGTACTGGACGTCGGAGCTTGGCGGTAGGAAGAAGTAGGAGTGACGTTAATAAAGACAAAAAACAGAGACCGAGTTGTACGCCATAATTGATAGACGTGCTAGCAAGCCGGACGCGTTGTGCGTTGATGATAGGTAGAGAAATGGCGATTGAAGGGGAAGGATCGCTGGCGTTGATGTTAGAACTACCGACGATGAAAAATGTCTGGTTCCGAGGGTCGAAGGATGCATCCATCACAGCACGGTTGGGGTTGGGACACGCCCACCTACCAAGCAGGATAGAGGCAATTTAGAAAGATGTCGTTTGAGGATTGTGGGAACTGTGATGAGAAACTGTGGAGTTTGAAGCTCTTATAGTTTGCGCCGTTCTACTCCATTTTCACTTTTAGGGGCAGGTTCATGAGTCGTGTTACTACTGACCACGATACCTAGGTATGCATATGATATGCTCTATACTGTATTATGTGTATCATCTAGTTGGGAATGTTTGTAAACAAATACGTTACGTTAGAAGAAAAAAAAAAGAAGAAAAGAAACCTAGGTGCGGCTCCCCCGTCGATATTAGGTAGACACAGAGACACATACATAAGCCTCCCCCCTCCCCCATTCTCAGTAGATCAGGGCGGGTTAAAAAAGAAAGAAAAAAGCAAATATAAATGTCAGCCCTGAATTACGCGGCAACGCCTCTAGACCTTCCTACTGGACGCCCGCCTATATACCTAGGTGTCTAGACCGTATATTGTCCCAAGACTGGAGTTATAGACGGACAAATACCCGAACGCGTGTCTTAGATTTGAGAGATTTCATTCGTCCGATCAAAAGGGGGGCGATGAGATGAGAAGGCCAACAGGCTTGTCCGCCGTAGCTTGACAGGATGGGTATAATGGCATTCTTTCCTCAGCCTCAGGTTTTCTCCATAAAGTTAGTTGGTATGTCATGCAGGGGAGATAGACATCTTAGGAATTTGACCATTTTGGTGCTGGCTGTCGGTGATTAGTTAGTTTATGAGCCACTGGCTTTTGTCGTCCGAATTTTCGGGATTGTGGCTGGCTGGCTGACTGAGTCTATGTCTGTGTCTATGGGTAAGGGATAACCTAAGCTATATTGTGTGTCTTATATTTAGTTCGCTGCATTATGTCTTCTCTTAATAGCAATATGAAGCTCAGAACGAAAATTAATAAAGCGATATAGTCTGATCGTACGAAGAATACTTGCATTATAGATGTATTTTATATAAAGAATAGTACATATATAAATTACTCGTTACTCCTTTGATATATTTAAGCACCTACCCGAGGATTAGCAATTATTTAAATTAATAGTTTATGGCGCCACAGTGAAGATGTCCTCGCATTCGAACTCTCATTCTCACTGGTTACTGTAATCTTGACTCAAACTTCCTAAGACTCTTACGTCAACGATTATCGAAGTCATGTACATATAATACTAATAGCCATAAACCCGATCTAGGACATGAGTTGTAGTATTTATAATATATTTTCTGATATACTATACGAAAGCGGCAGTGCCCAGGAAGATATTCGGTTCTATCCGGCATACTATTAGTATTATTTTACATTATATAATTAAGATTGGATTGATTTCACATGTGAAGAGGATACCGCCTTGATCATTATCTTTACCGCTCGTACAGTTTGAAGAGCAGGCATATGTTTCTACATGGTGATATGATTTATTCATGAGTCTCACCTCGCTAGAGCATCAAGATAAATAACGTATTTGACTTATAAATCTATATATTATCGCTATTATTATGAGTAAACAATTTCGCTAATAGAAGCAACGTCGAACTCTAGTAACAACCACATGCACTTAAACTCTGACGGTTCGCGGCACAGGAGAAGGCGGGTATTAACTCAATCTTGTCATGCTAAATAACTCATTCTCGAATTCATAACGGTACAAGTACGTTTCCTACTAGCCCCTCCTCAGCTGCATAGATTAATAGTTTCGGACCTCTGATCGTAAAAACATTGATCTCGCAACCCTTGACGCCCATGTGCAAACCTAGAACTGCCATCTTCACTTATGAATTTCGGTCGAATACACCGAGGAAATAGACAACGCCGGCCCCATGCATTTTATATTCGGGCAGAAAACTGACCCTATGTCATCCGCCATCTTACCGAGACTCTCCCCTCCCCTATTACCTGGCCCTAGCAGGCTTCACGAAGCCACTAGTCATCTTTAACGGATGCTAGCGCCAGAACGGTCGGTGAACAGGCGGGTCCCGATATTCATAGCCTGAAGCTCTTGGAAGAGGAGCTTGGCCGCGTACGGGATGTGAACCTGTGCAATCTTGGTCTTGTTCTTGCATGGGCGGCACTCAAATGAACCCTTGCTTAATATACTATGAAATCAATGTTAGTATTTGATGAGACGAAATCTAGAATGGGGACTTACGCAATAGGAGTCATCAGACCACAAATCTCACAGACGTGGACTCTGAAGGCGTCTGAAACCTCGAACAGACGCTCCTTGAGGAAAGAGGCGGCACCGTGAGCTATCATACAGTCACGTTCCATTTCTCCGAAACGGAGACCTCCATCCCTAGCACGACCTTCGACGGGTTGTCGGGTCATTATCTGCACGGGACCACGCGCACGCGCGTGGATCTTGTCGTCTACCATATGTCTGAGACGCTGGTAGTACGTGGGACCGAAGAAGACTTGGGCTCGGAGCTTGCGTCCTGTGTGACCATGATACATAATCTCGAAGCCGCGAGATTGGTACCCGTGATCGCGTAAAAGGCTCGACACTGAATCAACAGTGACATCGGTAAACGGCGTAGCGTCTCCCTCCATTCCCTTAAGGGTGGAGACTTTACTAAGCAGACACTCGATTAAGTGAGCAATGGTCATTCGCGAGGGGATGGCGTGGGGGTTAATGATGATATCGGGGACGATGCCTTCGCGGGTAAAGGGCATGTCTTCCTGGCGGAACGTGACACCGATAGTTCCTTTCTGTCCGTGACGAGAAGCGAACTTATCTCCGATTTGAGGAATCTTAGTGGTTCGAACTCGCACTTTAACATAGCGTAAACCGTCGGGGTTCGTAGTGAGGATGACGGAATCAATAATACCGGTCTCGGTACTACGAAGAGGCGTAGATGCATCACGCTTGACATGTACCTTGGTGCGCTGGCCCATCTCCTCGTTATCCGGATTGATTGGTGACGTCTTTCCGATGATGATGTCCTCTCCCAAGACACGGACACCAGGAGCGACGATACCATCATCGTCGAGTTTGTCATATGTGCCTTGCTTGAGACGTAGCGTGTCCGCCCGGAATGGTTTTTCAAACGTCTCCACTGTGTTGATACCCACCCGTTTTTCGCAGTCGCTGTACGATCGGAAGAAGAGACTTCGGAAGAGGCCTCGATCTATACTGCTCTGGTTCATGATTACAGAATCTTCCTGGTTGTATCCCGAGTAACAGGCAATAGCCACAATGGCATTCTGACCGGCTGGAAGTTCTCGGAACTTTAAAAATTCCATAGAACGAGTCGTACCTAACGGCTTCTGGGGGTAGTAGAGAATATTCGCCATAGTATCCATACGGCGGTTGTAGTTGGTAAGATAAAATCCCATGGCTTGCTTACCCATAGCCGACTGGTAAGTGTTTCTGGGAGACTACGTGGAAAAGTTAGCAATATGACAAAGGGGTTAGGGGCTGAGCGCATAACATACCTGATTGTGGTCCGGGAAGGGAATAATGCTCGCGCAGATACCCAGGAGCATGCTAGGATGAATCTCACAATGCGTATACATGTGCGTTGTAGGATTCACCTTAGTTTTGAGCCGCTTATTAATCTCATCTCCATTATCCTGGGACACATCGTATCCGAGCTTGCTCATCCGGTAGGTTTCCAAATCTTCAGGGGTCATGCAAATCATAGCCGTTTCTTCTTCTTCGGCATCGAGGTACTCGATAACACCCTCGTTGACCAGACCCTGCCAGCCAAAGTACCCCTCGCTTTCAGGGTCTACATCGACATCCGCCTCCAGCCTCCCGATCATCTCCTTATTGATAGCTAGCGAGCCCTTCGTAGTACCAGCCTCGGGATTATCCTCTTGCTGCACAACAAATAAGGGCCGCATGACACGACCAGCATCCGAGAAGATTTTGAACTCGCGATCACGGATGTCGCGAACCAGCGATACTTCAGAGGGGATCTGGTTGGCCCGACGAAGTTGCTGAACGTCTCTAACTAGAGACTTGGGATCCTGGTGCACACCGATCCAAGATCCGTTAAGAAAGATCTTGGTGGCATTGGGGTATCTCATCGGTTCATATTCCTCCAAGACTTCCATATTCCTAGTAATCATATAGTCTACGATAGGATCTGTTGACGTACCCACGCTGATAGAGCACATAAGCGACAAATTCTTCACCAAACCACAAGCTTGGCCTTCGGGCGTTTCAGCCGGACAGACCAGGCCCCAATGGGTATTGTGAAGTTGTCGAGGCTTCGCGAGTTTCCCGTCTCTTCCGATAGGCGTGTTCGTGCGCCTTAAATGAGAAAGAGTCGAGGCGAACGTGTATCGGTTCAGAACTTGCGATACACCAGCTGTGGAGCTCATCGCCTTCTTCTGGTCACCCCAGTTGCCTGTGGCGAGAGAGTACTTCAGCCCGTTGGTTACAATAGCAGGCTTGGCGGCGAGCTCAATCTGGAAACGCCTGCCTGAATCGATACAACGTCTGAGGTGATTTGTGATCTCCTGGACTAACCGTCGAACAATATTCCGGAATAGCTTCGCAAGGAGAGGGCCTGCAAGGTCAAGGCGTTTCTTACCAAAGTGATCGCGATCGTCGGTGTCACGTCGACCGAGAGCACATTGGAGGAGCTTGTGAACCATATAGCCTAGGAAAAAGGCCTTTCTCGTTTCGCAACCTTCGGTTTGGGAGATATGCGGGAGCATCTCTTTCTGCAGAATGTCCTTAGCAGCTCTAACACGACGATCACGCGCTACGTTGTGGGACTGCCTTCCACGCTTTCCAATGTAGTCTAACGCCACTTCGCGGTCTTGAATGCAAAATGCTTCTTCGATGCAAGGGCGTAGCTTCTCAAGCATCTGGCTGTCATTACGGTCGTAGCAAATGTGGTTTAAAATCTCCTCGTCACTGACGACACCTAGAGCTCTAAAGACAATGGCGATCGGTAGGTCGGCCCTCACGAATGGGAGAGTAGTGTGGATAGTCTCGCCATATCCTCCTCTGGAGGCGTCACCCTTAGTATACAGCTTTAGCATAAGAGACGAAATAAGCCGCGAGCCTTTCTCGAGCGCACTTCGGATCTCGGCCGTGTAAGAAAACGGACTCGGCTGAGCCTTCTTGAAGACCTGAACAATATTCGCAGCGGACCGTTCCTGTGCGATGAGGACCTTCTCGCTTCCGTTGATAATAAAATAACCACCTTGGTCGTATGGGCACTCGTTCAACATGAATAGATCATCTTCAGTCTCGCCGCTCAGATGGCATGCCTTGGACTTCACCATGATCGGGAGCTTGCCGATAAAAACTTGATCACTAGTCTTGCTTTGGCCGCCCTCGGAGTCTAATACGTTGGTGTCTTCCTCCCAAATCAAGCGAGTCGGGTGCTTCCCAGTACTGTGCGCCTCGGCCTGCTGCTCCTCGTCCATCTCGTGGAGGGGAATGTCTTGTTCGATACAGACGGTAACTTTACTATCTACTTTCACATAGATCGGTGCTGCATACGTCATATTTCGATCGCGACATTCATAAGGGAGGAGAGGACCCGAGGTGTTGTCGCTCTCCATGGCGACGGGACGGGCAATGGTCACATGCCCAAGTTTGAGGTCATATCGACGGAGTGCGACGGTTCGGGCATCATTGGAATTGGGACTGGGCTCATCGACGCTGATCTGCGAGTACTCTTCGATCAATTCTTGAATGGTAGTTTCTTGGAAGTCGTTGAAAGAGTCAATCTGTTGGGAAACTAAACCCTTCCTCTTGAAGTAAGAGCCAATAACAGTCCAGCAGTCTTCTGGAGTAATGGTGTTATCATCGCTATACTCCTCCTCGTACTCGTAGCCTTCATCGTAGTCCGCCATGATGCAAATCTAGCTCTATTCGGATATGTCGGTATTGCAATTGAGGTTGAGTGCGACGTTCGGTTGGCAGGGACAGCCTTGCGCGTGGCAGACCGCAATCATCAAAGAGCTTTGTGATTAGGAGGTGAGGATATCAAAAGTTAAAAATGAATGTGTAAATTTGATTATAGAGATACGCAGGATCCAAGATACCAGGAATCCTGCTAGAAGATGATAGAAGGAAGGCACTTGCAAAATAGCAGATGCCGAAAAGCAGCTTTGGTAGATATCGAGGGCGAAAACAAAAAGGCGAAGGCAAAAAGTGCGCGTGTTGCTTTCCGACCACGCTGGTTCGACGTGATAGGTTAGCGGTACATTCTATATGTTAGGATAATATTAATCGCATTAGAAAGGATGAGAAAGTATGAGAAACCCACCACAATCCTTCTGCACCGACAAAACCTGATGTTTTGCCAAGTTCGGGGGTAAATTGCGATGGAGAGAAGTAGATGATGTTTTTTTGTTTGAGGATAACTCTCAAAGCTTTGAGGCTGACCAAGCAGAAGAAAGATTCCACCTACAATAACGCGCCCTGAGTGGCGAAAGTGGACTAGCCTAGAACAATATTAGTGGGTCTTTTATTTAAGTGACAGCCTTCTTCACACAGCTCACATACCTGTTACAGCTATCGATACCATAACCTTGATAATAAAATAGAGTATCGATAAGGGACCGAGGGCTTCTTAGCCAAAGCTTGAATGCCTTCTTTCTTTATCAATTGATTCCATAATTAATTAAGAATCTACAATTATTATCTTATTTGTATATTTCAATCTTCATGCTGTTTTAGATTGTGTGGTATTATTGTGATAGGATTAATGCTACTTGAGATTACAGAGCACGCATTGCATGGGTTGGGGTCCCGAAATGTTGATAGGAAGTCTTTACCACGTTCAATCTAGTAAACTACACTTAAGGTTGAGTCACTCAACATGAATGACTCTGGTTTAAATTTTGAACATTGTTGATTGCACTGTTTATACGCCTTTAGTCACTAAAGGGAGTGTCTTTATTAAATCACAAAGCGTGAGTATGATAATACTTAGTGGCTTCTCTGAACTCTGTTCTTCGGAACAGAAAAGGGGTTATGAAATCTTTCAATGATGCATGTATTGGCTAAATATAACATGGTGTATTAGACTAGGAAGCTTTAATGCTATTATATATACACGTATGGTTGCGTCTAAGAGTACAGAGGGAAAGTATAACCCAAATCCTCTGACTTGTTTAGCGTATTAATGTACTTATCAAGGTATTAGAACGACAATATTTTAATAGTTTGCCTATGGCTTATTATTCTCGAGGAATCTATATAGTATAATATGGATATGGATATGGATTAAAATTCGGGCATAGTCTCTAACTTTTGAATATAAGGAAAACCAGTGTACCTAGCTCGAGCAAGTGAAATCTATATACCTGATTACCAAGCTGAGGGGCCTTTCACTTCTTAAATAAAATAAACGTATGAAGATAGGAAATATTCCATCAAAGAAAAAGGTAACAGATAAACATATATAATTGCCGGTTGAATAGCCGGAGTGTTGTGCATGCCAAGAAAACGATATGTGAAGTCAGTTCCATAGCTGGAAGGTGAAAACAGCATTCACCAATGAGTTTAGACCTCAGCCCTACAATGCAAGAAGATTCTAGACCCTGACGATCATCTCTGAGGCTCTTTACTGGTGGAGGTCGTGAAATAGGGGTAGTAAACGCCACATGCCAATATAGAGGAAGCCAGAATGCCTATCTATAATCTATCTACTACTGCTGTATTCCTAGTTAATTATAATTTATGGTGTAAAGCATTTCTGAAAACATCCCATGAGGATGAGAGTCAATATCAATGCATTGCTTATGCCGGGTAAAGCATTACGGCTTACGACAAAACGGTACTCGACTACATACTCGACCACAAAGCCAGAATATTCACTAGCTTGTGCTCATCTTGGCCTAAAGCAGATGTAGCTCATACTATTATAAGTAATAATCTTGATCACCTAAGCTATTAGAAATATGATACCGTCAGGATCGTAAGCCTTTAGATTTATGTATAGTATTGCTATCCAACGTGCTGTGTAAAGTTAAGATTCCTATGAGCTGCTTGCACGGATTATGTAGTAGGATTTATAAGTAGGACCCCTATTTAGGATACGTTAGTGGCTCCCCGAGGTATGTATATGGGCCAGACATGCTAGTAAGATTTGATATTTAATGAGTTGCCGTAAAACTACATATGGTACCACGTATTGTCGTTCTACTTGATCCAACTGTACGCCACCAACGATGTGTCATGTATCAACAGCCATGTTGGTAAATATATCAAAGCAAAATACAGGCATATTAAATCTCGTGAGCTTTGTCTACCGCAAAAGGGCATGGCATACCCTGGTCGTGCTAAATAGTAACAAGCATTGCACTAGATTAGCTAGGTTAAGTAGGTACCTGTCAGCTAGCATCGAAATTTCCACGTTCCCACGAGACACCGCTCCAATGAGCAGGGATGGACGCCGACAGCCAGCCCTTACATCTATTATTGATGCTTGCGTGTGGAATTTCCTCTTCCCCTCACGAAATGATACCATCACAGTCATAGGTACCTGAGTGGGACTGCCAAGTCACTAAGATTCTTGTTTTGTCATTCTTGTTGGCTCTACGTGCGGGAGGAATATGGGAATTAATACTGTGTTATTAGGGTTGTGAGTACATGAAGCGGTCCGTTCGTACTGATATTTGGAAAGCTTAAAGGGGGTCATCGAAGAAAAAAGGCAAGAAGCGAGAAATTGTATATAGAACTGATTAAATTCCCTTGGGATATTTGTGGTTTTGGGGGAGCGGATGTTAATCGAGAACAAGCATTTGCTAGCTTGGCGTTAGTTGAGCTCGGCCCCATCAAGTGCGGAGAAGGTTATGATGAGGAACAATCTCCCCCACGTTACCTTTGGTCTACATAGGTGGTAGTATATACGTACCTTATGTATTGTAGGCAGCATGGAGAATTTTTATTTATTTTTTATTTCTAGCACTATTCTAGGTAGTTTGCTATATTCTACAACTTATATTAGCATACCTCAAGATCACTGCTTTAAAACGTCACGTATTTAAACCGCGATACCTTAGGTGCTTGGGTGTGTGGCGTAAATATTTACATCCTGGACGTATACATTCCATCCAGTTAAAGTGGCTATTTAATTGAGGAACCCCTTAATAGCTACGTATGTATGATAAGATAAAGTAGTACAATGAGGTATTCGTACTCCCGGTGGTTTGGAAAGTTGTATATAGAGATCTACCATAAAAATGTTTTACCACCTAGCCACGTGCAGTAAAGATATTTCTAGATCGTGGTTTGCTAATTGACAAGCTAATCTCTTTATTGATACCGTACGCTTGGGTAGAAATTGGTTAGAAATACATTCCTAACATATATTATTCTTTCTCATATATTTCACGTATTTCATGTATTTTATGTATTTCATGTAACAATCCTATGCGGTGATAGAAAGTAAAAGTTGGGGCCCCGCATAGAAAGGACTGACATTAACCAAGATAGGTAATTGTTATCCAAAGATATCCCCCCATCGTCGATTGCTAATCGTCAATCTCTCGCTTGGCATAAAGTATATGCAACATAAGTTACTTCCGATGTTAGACCCAAATGTAAGCAGTAATTACCTAGGCCTACCGATTCCTGCCGAGGTCCTGACCGGTTCTTACCCGGTTCCTTCTGTTTACTACATGTACATAGTAAATTTTAAGTTCCGTCCATGTAAGCCGTGTCACTTATAAGCTCCCGCCTTATGTGAACTTCCCCAACTTCTTTATGATTTAACTGGTTCTTACCCCTGGTTTCTCCCCACATTTGCGGCACCTATTTTGCTTGGTGTACCTGATGTATGTACAAACCACGCTATAAAAAAAGTCGGGGTAAATAATTAAACATTTAAATCCTACAGAATTTGACCCACTTCGGTCGTGATGATTTTCTAATTCACATCTCGCGTTTTTTTTCTTGTTTGCCAGGATCCATGAATGACCTGATATTTTCTAAGGGTCATTATTCTGCCAAGTTAGACTAAGTAGTCACATTATAAGAATCCGGACGCAAGGGATCTCTGTTTAAACCTTCTTTTATTATTGATGAATCTAGACTCAAGTGCCGAGATTCCTCACTTCCGAATCATACCGGTCATCAAAGTTGCTGACCATCATCTTCTATTTCGCAGCCTTATACTACAAAATCTATATTGCAGGCTTAAGGCAACAGTAATAGCATTATACAAGCGAAGAGCGGGACACGCCGGGAAGAGCTAATGCACATCGGATTCGGTCCTTTTTAATCTCGCGGTGTTCTCGTGACCTTTAAGTCCTTTATTCCGTCTTATTCTTCGGTCCCTGTGCCGTTGTTGATATCATTTCTGACTTGTCCACGCTACTGCCACGCTAGTCCTTCTCTTTTCGAGACCCGGCAGTCCGGGGGTGTTACCGAAGCCTGGTCTATTTTATTTTATTTTATTTTATTTGTTTAACGTCTATGTACTTTTTCTTCTCCAACGGACTCTACATTCTATATACCTTGACTAAAGACTACATCACCATAGACGTACTGCATTAGCATTAGCCTTTTTCTTAATTATATTGAATGCGTGTATAACCCTAACTATCTAATATTTCCCCACTACTCCTCGCTTTTACTTTTCCCGAGTACGCAATTGGCTTGGCCTATGTCAAGCCAATGTCAAGCAAATATCAAGTCATACTCATTCTCAATATGTATATGGTTATCCGATGAGGATTCGTTACCTTGGCAATGCATATAAGACTACCTAATGTACCTAACATATATATTGCATACGTAATACCTGAGAAAAGAAGCATGGGGATATGAAATCCCGAATATCACGTTTGGATTCCGATCCTGTTCTGACAGTCTTGGTTCCAATGGAGCCGCTGGTCACAGACTTTGAACCCCCCCCCCAGGTCTAGTGAATCTCTATAAGATCGTCCAATAACAATATAATGTACACAGCCTCATAAAATCAGCTGCCGCATATCCTCCCTATGCTAAGACTAAAAGCCAAGCATGCTTTGCAGCTAACAGGCCAGATGAACGAGTACCAAGCTTTCCTGACTTAGCGGTGACGGCTCTAGTTTTGCCACCATGTCTTTTGTTCATCGTACATCGACTATGGGTCAAGTACATAGTAGTTCTATGTTCTATGTACCTATATCCAAGCCGCTAAAGGCTAGCCGTGGTCAATATTAGGAAGGTGAGCAAACATTCCAGTCTGGAATTGCGGAGAATCCCTACCATAGCTTGGGCATAGCTTTGACGTGAAGCTTTCCCGTTCACATCATGTACCATTTCAGAAGTTTATTTAAACAACGGCCAGCCTGCCAGACTGCTCCATCATGACGAGTCGAGCCTTTCTCCAGTCTCGCAAGATTCTTCTTCGACCCGACCGAGTTCTTGAACCGCTCTGCACCTAGCGGCCTACTTTACCCTCTCACAAAGATATCAGTCTACTGAGGGAAAGTAAACACGATGCATTCCAACTCGTTTATAAACCTCTTAACTCTAATCCCAGTGCTGGGCAACCTAGCATTGGGATATAAAGTCCAGGTCAGGGCGTCCCAGCCAATTGTCCTAGTTAACAAAACCGAGAGCTTACACTTTATAGACTCCTCCGCTTGATACTGATTGGACCTACTCTGTTGGAACAGATCCTTGGCCGGAATATCCGCGCCCTCAGCTTCAACGGTCTGACTGGAAGAGCTTGAACGGCATCTGGAAGTGGAAGCAGGGAGCCTACCAAGGCGAAGTTGTGCCGGCTGATAACAGCTTTCAACAGGACATTCTCGTACCATCATGTATCGAAAGTGCTCTCTCAGGCGTTATGCAACAGAACCAGACGTATTCTTGGTATTCGACCGAGTTCGACGTTCCTCACGCATTCGCCCAAAAGGGTCGTCGAGTCTTGCTGAATTTCGAAGCTGTGGACCACGAGGCGACTGTCTATGTCAACGGTGACATAGTCGGCACTCATAGGGGAGGCTACTGGCATTTCAACTTCGACATCACCAAGTTTCTTACCCCTCATGGCACTAACACCCTACACGTCTTCGTATTTGACCCTACGGATCATGAAGGTAAGCAATTATCATTTCTCTGTTTGATATCATGACTCATTAATATTTCTATAGGTTACATGAATCCTGTTGGAAAGCAGACTCGTACTCCTTCGCACATTTTCTATACACCTTGCACGGGTATCTGGCAGAGCGTAAGTAATCATCTATATATGGAATCCGTTTTTACGGATATTCTTTGAGTTAGAGTATACGGCACTAACGCTGATTCCAATAGGTATGGTTTGAGTCGGTCCCAGAGACATACATCAACCAGCTGGATATCATTGCTGACATGTCCGGACAAGGTCGGTTTATATAGGAGACGCGCTTCGCAACTCGTACTAACATGTCATTTATATAGTTAACGTGACTGTTGGAACTGCTCACGCGAGTTCTGATCAAGTTACCGTCTCCGTCATCGATAGCAAAGGAAAGGAGGTAGCTTCAGCAAAGGGTGTTGCTAACCAGGCTTTTGACTTCATTGTGGACTCCCCTAGCCTATGGTCTCCGGACTCGCCAACTCTGTACGTCTAACCTCCCCTTTAACCAATTTATCAAAAAAGTCTAATAATTCATATAGTTACAATGTTACCGTTAAGCTAGGGCAGGATACTGTAAACTCATACACAGGCTTCCGAACTTTCTCTGTCGGCGAAATTGACGGAGTTAAGCGCCCGCTTATTAATGGCGAATTCATATTCCAGTTCGGCACGCTCGACCAAGGTTTCTGGCCCGATGGTATTTACACACCGCCCAACCGAGAAGCTATGGTTTACGACCTTCAGGTCCTGAAGGATTTGGGTCTCAACATGCTGCGAAAGCACATCAAAGTAGAGAACGCTCTCTTCTACCGAGCTTGCGATGAACTCGGACTGTTGCTCATCCAAGACATGCCGTCTATGCCTCTTCGAACACCAGATGCAGAGGAACAGGCTGACTGGGAACGCCAGCTAGACATTCTCATCCAGCAGCACAAAAACTACCCCAGCATTTACACTTGGGTCATCTATAACGAGGGATGGGGTCAGATCACAGACTACTACCCAGAGTTCAACCTCACAGACCGCGTCAAGGCGCTTGACCCTACAAGGTTTGTTGACGCTACGACTGGGTGGCATGACCACGGCGCCGGCGACTGGCACGACAACCACCACTACGCAAACCCGCAGTGTGGTACTCCTTTCTCCTCCATCGAGTCCACACCTTACGACCACCAGCGCATTGCCATCCAAGGTGAATTTGGAGGAATTGGCCACAATGTCTCCGAAGAGCACCTGTGGAAGGTAGAAGCCGCTGTCAACAGCATCAACCAGACCTACGAGATCGACCTGGATCTCGACGCGTATAACTACCGTGGCCATCTCCTACTAAGTGAGCTGCGCGACCAGATCGAGAAGTACGCATGCTCGGCTGCCGTGTGGACGTAAGTTTAACCCCTTTTTATTTATAGGTACCTTTTCATATCATGAGCCACAACTAACGCTGATGCAGTCAAACCACCGATGTTGAAGGAGAAGTCAACGGCTTCCTCACTTATGATCGTCGTGTTCTCCGTCTCGACAAGAATCAGTGGCAAGCCGATATCCAGGCTCTCTACGATGCCGCGGCGGCCCGAGGCGGCAAGGCCTCGAAGAAGAGGATGGCGCTATGAGTATAAATACTGACATACCCATTTAATCTCTTATATACCTCTCGGTGCAGATATACTTCATTTATAAAGAGTTGATGACTGTATGAGTAATACCTATTTATATAATATAATATTTGATATCCCACATTGAGATATATATTGTAATGATACCGGTCGCCCTACCCTGGGATTGTTATGCCTATTTCTTACCCCTTGATTCAAGTTTCATATTCATATAGAGTGACTCTTCATATAATATATAGACGGAATGCTATAAAAATTCATGTAGACTCTTATGTCTTATTACATAAAGTACCAACGATCGTATCTAGGTAGACTGGCAATTATTTACCTAGACATACTCATACTACATAACTAATAAATCCATGAAATTGCTTTTAACCTGAAGTTTATATTTAGGCGTTCCTTATGACAGTGTTCGTTTTAACCTAACCAAGATAGTACGACGCTCCGCAGTTGATAAATTGATATCATTGAAACTACCTTGGTTCCGGGGACTCAGATAAGTTGATCAGCAATCTTCTCGGGTGGCCATTGCCGTATGGGAGTTGGACGCCGTAAATTCCAGTCCTGTGCCGCACGCAGAACTACAAAGGGTACGCTTTTGTAGTCATTCTCAAAGTCAATGTTTGCAACAATACGTCGGAATTTGCGTACGTGATGCGGTTGCCAAGGCCGAGCTCCCGGTAGCTCAGCAAGAAGCAGCATGTCTTCAAGCTGAACTAGACCCTGATCTGCGTGCGCGATGAGCTTATCTCGTAGTACCCGCGCTTGAATGGCTCTTCGTTCGTCTACGAAGAAAATAGCCAGGCGTTGTACGGCTTTTATGAGCCTGTCATGGCTCTCGAGGTCCATAGAAGCTTCGCTGTAGCTATAATGGCACACGGTATTGCGCAGTACAGTAACCCCCTCGATCTGGTACTTGAGGCGTGTTAAATCATGCGATGTCCCTAGTATATCCAGTGTATTAAAACCGCACCAATAGTTAAAGAACTTGTCGATCTCAACGCGCCCGAACTGTACTTCTTGCGGACACTCCAGTTTATCGGCATAGAAAGGAAGGTATTTATGGACGCCGTGGAAAAATATCTCCTGAGCAAGACGTAAACTTCGCTTTAGGAGATCGTATACACACCCGCTTCTCATCGGGACATGTTGAAGATGGCTTGGGCTTTCTCGCCTAACTTCCGATCTTTTCCGGAGCTGTTCCATGGCGGATTCATGTTTATCGAGCTCTTCTTCGTTCACGGGCGGATACTCTCTTGTCGTCATACCTGGTTCTTCATAACCACTATTATTTCCGTTGCCCCGGTCGAGGGAGTCCGTTTGCTCCTTAGCCTCTCTCTTGCGTTCCCATAAAGCTTGTACCCATGGGCCCAGCCCTTTCCTCTTGTCACACGACGATATAGTACACTCCAAGTAACGAGGCTTCTCCCAGGCACTATCGACCTTCACCAAGTTCCCGTCCATGTATCGGTATCCGTGTCGGTATTCGGTATATGGGTACTTGGTATATTTTCCACTGTCCCAAACTACCACGCTCTCGGTACATGTCGATCTCTCTTGCGTAGGTGTTTGAATACTCCGACCGCGCGAAGCTTTTGTTGCCTTAAGAAACCCCTTCTCAATGGTTGGTTGTGGGGCTATTGGGCGCTTCGCTTTGGGTAACGGAAGGTTATTTCTTCTAATATAGACCTTGAGCTGAAAGACTTCATCATTCAGCTTTTGGATTTGTCTTTGAAGATCTTCGTTCTTTTCTTTGGCCAGGACTAGTTCGTAAGATACAGAGTTGATTAACTTCGGCATGTTGAATAAGCTATAACGTGGACTATCATAAAATGTGAAGGTGTTCAGAATTGTGACTTGGGACTGGATACACTTGGGTTAAACGACTTTTTGGATTGGGCAAGAGGCTCTGTCTCGAAAGCGGATAAGACGAGTTGCATGAACATACCTTGATTATTTATAAAACTCTGGAAGAATATTATAGTAGTGAGTCAGGATATTAGAGGTAAAATTCGTGACTGTGTTGTTGTAACGGGGTGATATATATTATTCGTCACCTAAGTACCTGCGTACACGGTATTTTTTCTGTTACGAACCTTAGTACATAGCTAGATTCGGGTAAGTGAAGCCCATTATTTGAGTAGGTACGTGTATATATACACCTAGACAACGAATTGTTCCATTTCGTTGAGATAGAAATAAAATTTGCCATAGTCATGCCAATCATAATAAAGGTACCTTAGGAGGTACCTAATATGCGTGAATGGTTACGACTTCATAAGAAGTTAGGAGTATAGAAAGGAGGCTTGATTTGAAATGGAAGGGCATTACTAAATGGAAGTGAACTTGGATTATATACCTTAGGTACCTAAAGACATCTCTACCTATAAAATATGTCATATCCAGATTGGCTTCTAGTTTGGTAGTTATTCTGAATGGTTACGGGTTTGATACAAATCTGTCACAAGCACTATAGTCAAGCTATTCCTACAATATCTAAGTAATCAAAATGATACTACCCAGAACGTCCCCCTTATATGGTCAGTATTTGGAAACAGCGGGATCATGGCTTGCTAGATTAAGTTAATAAATAATGGTGCATCTCTAACATATTTACTGTCAATGTGGTTGGGACTCAGCTGGCAGTTTGTTACATATTACAATCCCAGCCAAACTATACACATTACACACATAACGAGAAAATGCCCACAATAGGGTACCAACAAGGCAATAAACTTATATCAGTAATTTAAGTCTGATATCTTCAACTAGCAACCACCCCGTGGTATCCATCAAAAGCCTTGTGATCCACATCCTCCTTCAAAATCACCGCCAGCTCGTCCTGTATGTAACTCTCGCTCAAGCTCTTCTCTACAGGCTTCCACCCCAACTCGCGCAACCGCACAGCTCGGCTGCGGCTATTAAGGCCGATAACAGCGGACGTGAAGTCTAAGAATAGGTCACCGTAGTTCTCTGGCGGGATCGTGCGTGGCTCCGAGTTAGGGATCAGACCGGCCTTGTGGAGTTGCGTTCCGATGAGCGAGGCGATGTCCTTCCAGCTCGGTTCGTTGTCTCCTGTCGTTTCGCAGAAGTAGTAAGGATTTTCAAGGATGTCGGGGCTGTCAGCCGGTGTGGACTCTAGGTGGTGTAGTAACGTGACATATCCTCTCGCCAAGTCGTTCACGTGGATGTTGCTCTCGACGGCAAGACCAGCGCCTACGTATCCCGCATATCCGTGCTTAAGAGCGTACCGGGTGAGTACCGGGATTTGGATTGAAAGCCGACCGTGGTGCGGGTTGTAACCGTAGATAGTGGGTGGGATCATGATGGCGATCTTGGCTTTCTCCCTTAGCTTCTTTTGGGCCCTGACAATAGCAAGGTCTATTTGTCGATGAGGCGCATTGTCAGGAACGGAGTCGATCTCGGACACGATGTTATCATGGTACACCTTGTCTCCCTTGTAGGCCCCTGCCGCCCCGTCATCTATCAAGGACGTTCCAGAAGTGTGGATATAAATTGTGCTCAGCCCCTTTTCAGCTCGCTGCTGGACGGCTTCTAAGATAGCTTCCACACTTGGGAGATGGTCTGCGGTGGCTGTGTGAATCACAATGTCATGGGATAACGCGTGTTTCGTAATCAATGCCTTGTCGTTTAGGTCACCAAGCACCGTATCCGTAGCACCAGAGGCCTTGATCTGATCTGCGTGTTCTTTCCTCCTGACATACCCCGTGATTTCATAGTTCTCCTTTGCTAATAGATCAAGAACGGCCCAGCCGATGAAGCCTGGTCCGACAATAAGAACTTTCTTTCCTGGCGCCATCTTGAGGCTTGGATTAGTTGTGCTTTCTAGTCTTTAGTATTGCTATTATCTTGGAAAGTAAGACTATGTAGAAGATATGTGTAAGTTTAGTTAAGACCGTAGACGTCTATATGATGAGAGGATATGAGAAAGAAGTATGAACGCGACTCTATTGAAGAATGATAATTTATAATTTAGTTGAGATGAATTATTTATAATAGCTAGTATCTGGGCCATTCTTCTATGCTTTCTCAGTGGTCCGGCGATTTAACATATCAAGACTATGGTCGCAACCATGAAATAACTACGGGCTCTAAATTTCCCTAGCCTGTGAAGTTGAATTTGGCATTTGGAGAATTATTCAATCTCGATGATGCGCATTTTATTGCTTGGAGTAGTGATGTCGTGATGTGCTAACGGGTAGGAAATATTTGATTGGTCTATTTTGGGGATCTAGAGCAGGGTCTAGAGTTTGATTTATAATTGAATTTGCACTCTTGCTCGGTTGGAAATAATAATTGATAAATCATTACCTATCGGTTTATTTATCGGTGGTTTCCAACCTGCTTAGGGGGTTTATATACCTAAGATATGTCACCGTAGTGTAGTTCAGTGGCAATAGTTACCGATCTAATCTGCCTAAACTAAGTCAAGATGAAGAACAATTTATTATGATGTAGCCATACCCATAATAATACCTTAGGTACTTGATTTATCAGAGGGACACTTTATACACCGTTTATGAACTCGGTGTATGTTACTTATAGTATTGACATGTTATAATGTTATTCTGATGTTACCTTATAGAGTTGAATAGAAATGACAATCTATAATCTAGTCTAGTTATAAGTAATAAGGTATTGACTGTTGTTACACGGAGGCTTATACACTACCCCTTTTCTACTTAGAGAGACAAGATCTCTATTATCAATTAATTCGGAATTGTCTTATATAATAACTAAAGTCATACCAATATTCTATATTTACTCTTCAATGAGTTGAAATTTCCCCTGAATTGAAACTTTACCAGGCTTCCCATTGGATAGCTGCCTAAATCCCTATCCAAGAACAGCTCTAGTTCGACAGCTGCCTAACTAGTAAATTAGATAAGTTATGCGGCGAAGGACCGTGCCGTGCGCTAAAAGGAAATGACAACATATTTTTGCTGTTTCAATTCTCTTCTCCTTTTTCTTTTTTGCCTCTTTTCTTACAAAGTGCAAATCTTTCCTTTCGTGGCAACCCTAAATAAAAGGGCTGCCGTCCATTCGTTCCTACATACTGACCTTATATACTGCACATCATCTCCAAGTCTGAATTAATCCTACCTCTTGGCAATTTACTCTTGTCGTATATCTTCCTCCGTCTTAAACGCCATGTACGCGAAAACCCCCACGGTCCTCCTGGCCGCATTACTTGCGGGACAGGCCGTCGCCAAGACCGACATAGGCGGCTGCGTATCGTCCGCAACCGTAAGATATGGTGGTGCCAGCTTAATCTGGTACGTCCCAGATACCGGCGAGATCTGCGAGTTCCTCGACTGTGGAGGTGGGCGTGCACCACCCAAGACAACCGTTCCGGGCTGTGATGGCTACCAAGGAACCGCCACCTATTCGCCTAGCTTTCTGCCGGGTTTCGGTGCCTCTGCGACTCCTACTTCAACTGAGACCTCTACCCCGGCCTCTACTTCGGCCTCTACGCCCACGTCCGCGCCTAGCTCCAGCTCGGCGTCCGGTGAATCTTCTAGCGAATCTTCTGAGGAATCCTCTGGTTCGACAGCCACCTCAGCAGTAGGCTCAGCTTTTATTACTAGCGCAACAACCGGTGTAACATCTGTTGCTACCATCACTCCAGCACCAACTGCGACATTGGAAACCAGCACAGGTGTTGCCTCGAACGGCGAGTCTTCTGCATCAACTGGAGGCTCAACCGGAGGAAGTTCTCAAGGAGCTGAGCCTGCCAGCACTTCTGGCACAAGCAGTGTCTCCGAGGCGGCGGCTATGCCGACCGCAGCTGTGAAGGGTGCTATGCGCGTGGCAGTTGGCTTGGTGGCGGGTATGGCAATGCTATGAGTAATGGTCTTAATTGAGGACAGTCACTATTGGACTGAATGAGTTCAGTTGGATGTAATGCTTGTATTGAATCATAAATATTAATAGATGCCTATCAGCAACAAACTGAAAGCTTTTTGGAGATGAGTGATTTTTGTGAAATTCTTGTCGAAGGACTGATGTAGAGCACATCAAGAATATTATTAACATACCATCCTCAGTCGTCTTTCTCCCTCAGAATTTCGGCACCTATAGTTTTTGCTACTCACATCTGTATTACGTATCGGACTTAAGCGCATTGATCAAAATGCTGAACCCGGCCAAGCATCACAAGAGCTAGTGTAGACAACCCCTACACCTAGGATAAAGGTTTCAATGTAGTATTTATGCCCTAGTTAACTCTCGAGATGCTAGTGTACATACTTGATGTAAAAGACATACCTAGGTAGGTTAGTCGAATGCAAACGTATACCTTGACCGAAGTGTAACTTTTTAAGGGATTCTTGTATATATATAAGAACAAAATTTGCTGAATAAAATATGAGATTGATACATAAAACGCCCCTAAAATCAAAAAGAAACGAACAAAAATACGTTCAATCCAGTGCCATAAACAGGACACCGGTAATAGTAGTACCAAGCAAGAACGCAGTCAATATCCCCGCGCCGGCCTTATCCCCCGTAGTTACAGGGGTCTCCTGAACCAGCGAAGACTTGGGATTTCCAGCATTGGGATTGCCGATACTGGTGCCGCCCGTGCTGTTAGTAACGGGCGGATTCGCGTCCTCGACGAGTAAGCTCGTAAGCGCGCCGAGAACGTTCATCTGCTGGCCTGCGCCGGTCTGGCCGTCGTAGACGCCGGTTGTCCAGTGGAAACCACACTGGCGACCATTGGCACCGCCGGTACATTGCTTGACGGCGTGTTCGGCGGATGAGCGGAGCAGCTTCATGATGCGTTCGCGGGTGAAGGGTGCTGTTAACGTCGTTACGGCCAACCATCGGTGTACGTATCCCTTGTAACTCAACATGTCCGAGGTACATAAACCAGCCTCGCAACTTGGCTCGTACAATGTGCCGTTTACGAAGAATATACGCTCCATCCCATCCAGAAGTCCGCTGATCCGGTCCTCCCATAATTTACTACCATTAGTCTGCGGGCTAGTTAGCTGCCTAAGTCTTCTTTCTACCCAGTTCCTTTCTAGGATGCCTTGGGATATATGAATATGAGAGGTTGCTTACATATTCGTACATGTAACCCGCTCCCGACAATAAGATAGCGGCGTTATACGAATATTGCTGGCGGTTGATATCCGTACAGTTGTACTGCACATGGCCGCCATCGAATACATTCCAGTCTTTGTCAATGTACCCAATGTCATAAATCCAGTCGAACGTTTTGATCGCCCACTCCGCGTAGGTTTCGTTGCTGTAGTATCGAGCGAGACGAGATGCTATGTTAAAGAAGCAACCGTTGGCAATAGCTATCGGTTCATGTTAGCCGGTTTTTATTTCGTATTCCGTTCTCCTCTTTTCTCATCTTCCCATTGCTGATGCCTTTTTCTCTTTGTTAGGTATAGGGATTTCTCACTGTTTTTATAATCATAACCCTTGTTAGTAGGGGCGATCTGCCACCTCATGCCACCACCGCAGATGCCATCGTAGTGATCCGGTGCGGACTGGTCGTTAAAAACAGCCTGAGCGAGGGCAATCCATTGCGGCTTGTCCTTAGGAGGGTCCCGGAACTTGTTTTCAGCCGCTAGCATCGCTGACATGCCCCAGAAGGACTGATCGTCATTACCGAGTGAAAGCGACCAATTCCGGGGCGCGTAATCCTCGTTTTCGCCAACCTGGAACTGCATTGCCTGGAACGTGACATCGTTGTACGTATCGTCACCTGTGTAATGCCAGTAGTCTATCATCGCACCCCAAAGCGCGCCTCCTTGCCACCTGATTCCTCACCGTTAGTAAAATTGCCCCTCAGCGCGAAAGAAGGCATCGAACCAGTAGTAGTCTCCGTCCGGCGGCGGTCCCGGCAAGATACCTGGTACGTGACCTGTTTCGTTGCCATCATAGTAGGTCATCAAGTCAAAGGCGACCTGTTTCGCGGCATTTCTGATAGATTCTAAGAGTATATTGAGTATTAAGAATTTCTCGTGGGCGGCGCCAGGGAGTCTTGGGGAGAATCTTGCGCTGGTAAGAGAAGAGATCAAAAATGCTTACCTTTTGAATTCAGATCAACTTCAAGCGCTCCTAATACGACTGCCGGAGCAAGGCATAATATTTGAAGGCGGCGAGCAACGGATAACATGTTTGCGACTTGGAGTCGCGCGACGCTATTGAATTATCGACAGTCCTCGTGAATCGTGAAGCGCAATTGTTGATGGAAGAAATTCAGACGAGTAAGGTCGAAAATACGAATGTCATTATACATGTAAGCACGTACTACGGTCGTATTGCAAGTCGAACAGCAAAAAACTCGGATAGCTTTGCCCTTAATAAGAATTGTCCTATGTCCTTTCTGGTCAGATCCGTACGTGTGGTCGCCAAGAACTACCTAATAAAAGTTGAAATCTACTGGATTATGAATTATGGTGGTGGTTGTTAACTATGGTTTACCAACAGCAAAGACTGACTGCGCCTCGGTGTTAATAGAGAAAATAAAATAACGGTCTACCAACAACGAACAGCCTTATTAGCGAAATGTGGTCTACATAAGGATATGTTGGGGTCCCCCCGTATGGATGTTTCGGGACTTGGCGGATCTGGAAGCCCATTATTAGCATCCAACTCACACAACTCAGCGCGCTGATCTGTAATAAGATAAGTGACTTACTATGTATGTACGTACTACCGTAGTATGGCTGACGTTTTGAGCATCCAATGGTATGTCGAGTATATACAACGGATCTCGTATAACGTAGGGAATGTAATCCAATCAAGTTGAAGCGCTATCGTAGTACCTGAGGCTGTGCAGTATCAACCGGAAACATGCCTGTCAACTGTCTGGACGATTATGTAAAAATCAGCTGTAACTTGTATCTTCCAACTTGTAGGATGAATAAATAACAAAACGCCCTGTTTCATCGGTACGAATGGGGATGGTCCTCAAGTTAGGATGGGGTCATTAGATGGAGACCACTAGCACAGCCTCGATTCTTCATTTCGGTCTGGTTTATTAGCCAGAATCACCATTTACTATGTAGACGCTTAAGTAGCGTCAGAGTAAGGTGAAAAAAAATAGATGTTGTATGAGCTTTCTCGCTTTAATCTACTATACGCGGTTATCCTGAAACCTGAAACCGTACTGCAGGGAACATTTGACATATGTAATTATATATTGGCCATGGGTCTTATCCTATCCGGAACCGATATCTAAAAAGCCGTCTTCAATATCCCCGGCCGTTCCCGCTTCCGTTGTCTTTAACATCCGGATCTTCTCCCGGCAGCTCCGAACCTAGTACTATGGGGTCGATCCAGCTCCGGCCGAGCCCTCCGCCTTTCCCTCTGGTAGACTCATGCTGCTCGAGTCGATATGTGTCTTCCGGATTGTTCACAGGCGCAAAGTCGAAAATACGATAGTCGGCGTTAAAGTACCAATAGCCGGAGACTGCGAGTCGCAAGAAGGCTGAATGAGAGACGACGATGATTACCTTTTCCGGACGTTCATATAGCTTCTTCAGGGCTGCTTGAGCACGTGCCAAAAGAGCTGCTTTCGTGAAGTGATAGCGACTACCTACTGGCGACGTCTTATCTGGGAAGACCGGGTCGACCTTTGAGAAGTCGACCGTAGGGAACTCTTCTACGAGCTTATCGATGGGACTTCCGGTGTCGCATCCATGGTTTGAATTTTCTATTGAAACGGCTTAGAATGGGTCTGCTCGATGGGCGGTTCTGATGAGAGAACTTTTGGAATTATACCTTGCCAATCCGCATCAGCTTCTATCTTGACACCCTTCTCAATAAGCCAGTCGATGGATCGTAATGCTGTCTGCATCGTCCTGCGCAAGGGAGAGACCACAATGAGCTCGGCTTGCTGAGCTAGTGAGTTTTCTATGAGACTCTTTCGTAGGTCTACACATTGCCCATGTCCTTCCTCAGTCAAGTCTGGATCAGGTATTGTAAAGTTTTCTAGGTGAAGTCAGAATCAACACCTTGAAAGCGCACAGCCCAAAATCGCATCGTAACAAACTAACTTTCTGCATTATGGCGAGCCTGAGCGTGACGAACTAGTATGAGTGTTGGAGGCATTCTAAATGAGATAAAAGGTTGGTTTATGATGTGTATTTAAATTTAGGTGAGATCTATATCGTGTCTGATTTTTTGTAAGATGTTGAAGGCTAATAGCAAATACCTAATGAACAAAGTACGAAGTATAAGATAGAAGTATAAGATATTTCTACCCAAACATGAGCATTACGACGAATAACAACCGCTAAGCAAATACTTGGAGGACGGGTAAGAATAATTAAATGAAGTTTGAACTTTAAGTATTTTATTATTTCAAGATTGCTTACTGTTATGTTAGTTTGACTCATAAACCGAAGCTACTGTTACTAAAATGCTGTCACTAAAATATAGTCGCACCCGATATGCCTACAATCTCTACAGAGGTACTGTGGGGTTACGTCCAATGGGCCTTACATCATGTACCTAAAGAGGTCCACTACGGGTGGGTTATGGAAAGTACACCGATCGGTAAGAGCTATGTAATACCTACGCACTGTCTAAACTTTTAGAAGTCAATTGGAGCTTTTAGGTACATTTCAATGTTTTAATTTACATACAACCAATGTTTTCTAATAAGCTATCTTCTTCGCGACACCCCTACATCAACCATTTCATAAACCTACTACACAATGACTAGCATAGATGAGCTATTCAAGGTTAGTTAGTTGATATCCCTACTCTAGTTCTAGTTTTCTAAATTCAACTAACTTTATGTTATAGGCATCTGGCGTCGGTAGCAAGCGCAAGCTAGAACCTCTTCGAGACCCTAGTATGCTTTGTCCTCTTTTCTTCCTACTGATCTAGAAGTCTTGTTTGGCTAATGTGTAGCTATATGTAGATCAAATATACAAATCTGCCCGTTTAAATTCGAATGGTAACAGCAGCCGACATGCGCGCGTCGAGGACGAGAGTGTAAACGATAACGAAGATGATGTCGAAGCAGGACCTGCGCCCCCTCCAGAAGACGAGGAAGGTGACTACGGACCAGATCTACCACCCGACGACGATGAGGACGGACGATTCTTTGGTGGTGGAATCACGGCGCAAGAGAACGAAGTATTAGACTACGTTGATGATCCCGATCCCAGCGCGGACACAGCACCCGACAAGTTCGACAGCGCGTGGCTACGACGAACCGCCCTTAATTTCGAAAAGCGAATAAACAAGAATGCCGAACTGCGCGCTAAGTTTGAGGATGATCCTCAAAAGTTTATTTCGAGCGAAGCCGACCTCGACGCCGACATAAAGGCCCTCTCCATCCTTTCTGAGCACCCGGAGCTATATCCCGAGTTCGCTAAGATCGGAAGTGTCGCGAGCCTTGTAGGGTTACTCGCACACGAGAACACCGATATTGCGATAGACGCTATTGAGATTATTAACGAACTGACTGACGAAGATATCGCGGCCGAGGATGATCAATGGAATGCACTGGTCGATGCCCTACTAGAGGCTGATTTGCTGGGGCTACTTGTGTCGAACTTCGAAAGGCTAGATGAGGAGCAGGAGGTTGATCGGAGCGGTGTCTACTACGCGCTCAGTGTGGTAGAAAACCTATGTAGCGGACGAACGGCGACGGCAGAACAAGTTACGGAAAATGACAGCCTACTAAAGTGGCTACTTCGTCGTATACAGGCCAAGGAGGCCACTGTCAGTCAGAACAAACAGTACGCTGCCGAAGTTTTGGCAATATTAGTGCAGACATCGTCGAAAAACAGGAAGAAACTGGCCAGTTTAGATGCCGTGGACATCATGCTACAGCTTGTAGCATCTTATCGAAAACGCGACCCCGAAAAGGGCGGCGAGGAAGAAGAGTATATGGAGAACTTATTCGAGGCTTTGGCCTGTCTCGCGGACGAGCCCGAGGGCAAGACCAAATTCATCGAGGCGGAAGGTGTCGAGCTTTGTTTAATTATGTTGAAAGAGGGTAAGATGAGTAAATCTGCCGCGCTCCGGCTCCTGGATCATGCCGTAGGAGGCCAGGGTGCGGCGGGAACTGGTGTATGCCAAAAAGCTGTGGAGGCGGGTGGATTAAAGAATATTTTCACACTATTTATGAAAAAGAATAACGACAGCCAGACTACGGAACACTTAATCGGCATATTTGGATCCATGCTGCGGCTGTTGCCAGCCGACTCGGCAGAACGAATCCGAACCCTGGCTAAGTTCGTCGAGAAAGACTACGAGAAGACGGAGAAACTGGTTAAATTGAGAAGGGAGTACGCGGCGCGCCTTGGTTCCGTGGACGAGGCGATCCGCGCGGAACAGAGTGGGATGAGCGCAGAAGAGAAAGAAGAAATGGCAGATGATTGGTTCTCGCGGCGGCTCGACGCTGGCTTATTTTGCCTACAGACGCTGGACGTAGTGCTGGCGTGGCTAGTGGCGGAAGACAACGGCGCCAGGAAGACGATACAGAGGTTGCTTGCCGACCGCGACGAAACCTTGGCTACAATTAAAGCTACGCTACAAGAACAGATTGAAGGCATCGATGCGGATGATGCAGAGGGCAAGGATACTAGAGAAATGCTTACAACCCTAGTGGAATTTCTATAATAACTAGTACAAGCGGACTGGTAGTATGTAATAGTATAGTAGTGATCAATGAATAATGCGTATCGTGCCGGCTTCTCAGCGCGACATCCCTCAAATCTCTCTTCTATGAACAGACAGACAGGCCTCTTGCAATCAGTAATACCGACCTATCTTTATTTCGGGTTTCTTCCCTTCCAAGAACACCAGTAACGTAACATAATGCGCGCAACTACACACCATAGCCTCAGTCTTCCAGCAACCAGAATCCACGGTGTGATATGTCGACCCCTTTCCCCGCATAGTATTCCTTCCGGATTCGCTTCTCTCTGTAGACTAAGCATCTCTGGCTAGTTTAGACTAACCTATGCCTTCTCAGGGGGTACAGGCTTGACGTCGAACACGGCCTTCAGCAGATCCTCGGCGACCTTGTCCTGGCTCTTCTGGCCGGCGGCATGAATTTCTTTGATCTTGGCATCGGCTTCGCGGTTGGCATCGTCTTCGGCTTGCTTGTTGCCTTGGGTGTGCTGTAGTAGGGGTTTAGATTAGTAAACCGGATTTGTATCGATTGGAGGGCTGGATTTGAGCTGTAGAAGGTATGTTGTATGTACATACCTCGGCCTCGAATCTCTTAAATTCCTCTTCCTTCGCTCGGCGGTACGCTTCTACTTCCTTCTTGGCTTCGTCTCGCGCCTCTCGTACTCTCTTGGTTCGAACTATAGGGCGGTAGGTTAGTGTTGGTTCACGTGTTGAGCTGCCTGGTCTCTGTGGATTGATTGAATAGCAGATGTGGTGAAAGCATAGTACTGACATTCGCGAGCTTTCTGGACGATTTTGGAAGCTTCCCTCTCGGCCTATGCGATCGCGACGAGCTACCTGTTAGCTAGACTTGATACATTGGATTCGGCTATGTGGCCTGGTTATTGCGATGACCTATAGGGGTTCTGCGTACATCGAGAAGGGTTTGAATGCCTGTCGAGTTCTGGGCCGACTATATTACAGAGATAGTATGATTAGCTAGCTATATCGTCTTCTTTATATATACAGGTTTAGTTGAATCGAACATACCATCCTGCTAAGCTGCGGAGATCTGATTTACTTTGCAAGTCGACTCGGACGAAAAGGGCACACGGAATGATTTATTGGTGGTTTGCTGGTTTGGTAACTGACGTATGATGCTGGAAGGAAGATTAATCGTGATAGGTTAGGAAGTATGTCGAAATGATAGGTAGCTAATAGAGGTAGAAGCTCGATAGGCGAATCAATGATAACCTTCAAAGGCAAGGCTGGTGCTGGTGCTGGGCTGGGGTTAGTTGGGGCTGAAGTAACCTCTATGGAATTGGAGCTTATAAGGTACGTACCTACTTCGCGCCGTTTTAAACCGAAATTGAACCAATGCATGTGCATAACATTTAGCAGCGCATTATGTATTTCATATTATATGTACGCATATTAATTTATGGCTGCATCTGTTACGCTCAACCTTCCGTTTGGCACGTTTTATCATTAACGTATCACCCCCTTTTTCTTCGAGTATTAAGGTAATTGATAAATAACAAGGCACATCTACAATACGCCTACCACATCAATATTTTATTTATAGGTTCTTATTTAAGTAGCTATATACTCAAACCATTCCCAGAGCTCAGGATTACGGCGATGCTGATCTGGGCGGTCTTTTGCCATCCATCGTTGATTATTCGGCATCATTACATACTCTGTATATTCCGGTATCTTCTTAACATATCTACTCTTCCTTTCACTCATCAACTTATATGTAGTCTCTCGCACGACACCGTAGATATGCCCATGTACAGAGACCCAATTTGGTTGATTCGCAAGATATACCGTTAGGTGGATCTGATCGGGCTCAATTCCTGTTTTCGTACGCCTCGTCTGGCCTTTACCAGCCTGGGCGTAAGTATTGGCAGCGTCATGGAGTTCCTTGCTAGTCAATATCAGTATAAAACACTTTCAATTTAAGGCACGAGAACATTACCGGATGATAATATGTGAGAACCCTAAATTTCTAGCAGCTTCTTGAGCAAAGCTCTCACTCGACTGTAGAACATCTTGCTGCTTTCTGACCAATTGTTCATAGACTACTTTCTTCTCCCAATAGACCTAGGTGAATATGTATTTGATTAGCTAGATGTTAATTAGATAGACAAAACACGGCCCTCGAACCTTTGGGCATTGTAACGTCCCACAGCCGATACTTGGCTCTGGCTTGATAAATACGGTTGCACTTTTATCCTCGGTATCTTTAGGCAACGGACCACCTCTCGGGATGGCCATGTCAGGATGCCATTCTGATTGAGCATCTCCAACTTGTCCGTAAGGGGTTATTTTTGGCATGGTGTCGGAATCTCTAATGTAAGAGGTAAGGTGGCGTACGTACTAGGCATGATATGGGCGCCGATTATACACCCAAAATTTTCTAAAAGGATCTCTGCTGCTTATTTCTAATAAAGAACATGGCGCTTTCTACAGTGCTATTTTTGTAGTACTTGTTCTTTGAACTTGGTTTGCTTTCGGAAACTTCTTAGAGCCTCTCGTTAACTTGCCTCGTATCCCCCAACTTATCATATCTAAATAACGTTTAATACTACAATATTCCATAGTATGATTTTGACTGGTTACTAATTAATATACCTTATGTACCTAGACTTGGCGTTTGTCACGACGTTAAAGCGAGGGTCTTCACGAGATAACATAGGAGTATATAGCTCCAGCTAACCAATGATCCACTTTGATATAAAACATAGAGTTAGAAAATTTAAAATATTACTACATATGCTACATTCATATTGTCTGCTGGGCGGCCTTAAGTATCCTCATATCGGCCTGTAAGCACGTGTAAGTGTAGAATAAATATACGCATAACAGCCCCAATACTGGAACCATCCAAGTAGCTACAAAGTGATACCAAGGACACTTCTCCGTGATTTGAATGGTTCGTACTTCTGTCACCATCATAGGCGGCGCAGTACTCTCTGTGTTTAAAGATTTGGAGACCTTATCTGGAACCGAGTGATCCTCTTCCAATTCATCCATGAGCGTCATGATCGGTAACGTATAATCCGTGGCCGTCTCGTCTTCGTATTGATGAGTTTTAAACCATTCGTGTTCTAGTACTTGAGATGCCTCCTGCCTCTCCGCTGGGTCGTATATGAATAGTTTCTCGAGAAGATCGCCAAAAATAGGGATTTCATCTCTCGGCATATCTGCTAATCCTAGCGCAATATGTATAGGATTGCTGAATTCTGAGTGAGTTGCTTCAAACTTCTCTTGTAGGTTGAGCGGCTCAGTTAATGATCCAGTGACTGCTTCGTCTTTTTCATAATCTGGCGGTGGTTCATCCGGATCACTTGTTTCGTCGTGTAGCATCTTTACAGCAGTTGGGCCGTAAACAGATGGGACGGGCCCTATGTACCGCTCCATGCGCCTAATAATATTCCATAGATCGCCAGGGAGGGGACCAATTTGAACTTCTAGTAATGTATAGGCCAGAGACCAAATATCATTTCCTATGCCTGTTTGATTGCCAAAGAGCCATTCAGGACCGGCATACTTAGGTGGAATATTTAGCCTCTCAGGAGGGCTATGGGTTTCAAAAGATTCGCCGAAGTCGACGATGGCGATGTCATCCGATATCATGTGTGAAAGATTTCCGTTTCTGAAGCTAAACGGTAGATATGCATACTTGGGAGCATGAGGGCTTCGCTCGTCGCCATCTAGGAGTTGTTCCCCAATAGCTTCCCCTATTAGAGCTTGCATCTCATCATACCCGATCTGGTCAAGGTAATCAGGCTTCAACCTCATTAATATGTTATCGGGCCTGAAATCACCATGGCAAATTCTTTTGCTATGCAAGAAAGCAAGCGCCTTGGTTAGTTGATAGCTGATTTTCTTCCGTCGGTCGAAGTCTTCTCCTATTTTATCCTCCCAATCCGTGAACTTTGGCCCAGCAACAGGTAATACAGAGCATAAGTGCCGGCCATTAGGAGACTCTACAAAGAAGGTCTGTACAGCTATCATGATGCTATTATCGTTGAGCTCGTCAATTCCTTGGGACTGAGCTTCAATCATCCGAATTGCCTTTAAATCCGAGCAGTCATCTGATGAGTGACTAGCTGAATTAATTTTGAGCGCTATCCATCTCTCCTTTTTTAGATCCCAGCAGAACCAAACTGTCGCAATGCCGCCATGTCCAAGCTTGTGAATAACCTTAAACCTATCGATTATCGTCTCGCCTACATCCAATGGGTAAAACCCGCCCGGTTGGTACCACTCAACGTCTTCAACTTCGTCTAAAATCGAAAGAGAATTATACTTCCTGGCGAAGGAAGTACCAGAAGCTGTAGTATTGGTACTCGGCATCGTGTAGTAGTATGTATCGTCATATGTCCCATCTACTCGGTCACTGTACACTAAACGGCATGCGCTTCAGAACTCGTATGTAAATTAATCCAGAGGCTTGCTTCATGTCACATGTCAAGTGTCTTTGTTCTTCATCTTTCCGGGATCCTTAACTAAGGGAATTAAGACTAAGGAACATTACTTTTATTGATCTGCATGCAGATACTTTCAAGAAACAATGGGCTTCTGGAATATCATTAAACAATCTAATAACACTGATCCCGATGGCATCCAATACGCGAAACATTAGAGTCCGCGTCTTTACCCCTTTTTCATTCCCTCGTTGTCGGCAACCTTTTGGAGTGCGTCTTTCCCGAGCGTATAGAGATTCGGTTGATTAGAAATACGAAAATAAAATAAGCTTAGTTAAAGCAAGGCTCATATTTCGTGTATCCATCTTCTTGCTTGTTGTTTGCATTATGATGATAGGGGCTAAAGCGGGAGTTTCATGGAATTAAATTATAGTTTGAAAGTATTTGACTGACATACCTGGGTAGGTATCTGGGGGCGAATGCAATAGATAAAGGCACATTAATTAAGAACATGCCATAAATGAGATGAAGATAGAGTAGGAGAGCGTGGAAGTGTAACCTATGGCATGAATGATTATGAAAAGAACCGTTTTATATGTAACTTTGTTTTTTTTACATGTCACTACATACGGTATTGGGTACATACACTACAGTACGGTACGGTACAATGACTACTCGTTATCGATAATAGATTTACTCTCTAGCATCACTTAAGCTTCCAAGTTACCGGGATTTTTCACCTTTAAGCTCGATAATTGAAGTTGAATTTACATCGTCAAGTGTTCCCGTACTGGCATTGAAAAAGAAAGATTGGGATGGGTTTATAACGAGACTTAAATCAAATTTGTCTAGCTTATCAACTCGCGTTCGACAAATATGTCGCGCGCCTCGAAACTCACCCTAGCGGGCACCTCGCTCTTTGCTGTTGGTACAGTTATTATGGTTCACTTCCAGCAGAAGGTTGAAAAAGAGGTATAGAAACCATCGCCTGATCCGTACTAGATATAGGCTTACCACGCATTTCTAGGCGATGCATCAGGGTGTTGTGCGCGACATGGAACAGCAGCGGGTCAAGAAGGAGCGCCAGCTTGATTTCGACATGCAAAGAGTATTGGAGGAAGAGTATAAGAAGGGTCAGACTGTTCGAGATACTACAGACGAAATACAAGCCAAATCGTTACCAGATCGGTAATGTAATGCTTGTATTTCATCGCAATCTAAGTCTACCCCTCGTCGAGTAGTCCTATGGCCTGCTACGGCGGTCACTATGTCTCGTCTGGTCTGGCTTCACTCAAATAGGGACATGACATTTCGCGAAACTGGTATGCTTACTAGGTGCGTTAAGAAGTTAAACTTAGTCGTTGGGAGTAATATGGTCCGAGACCGATTGTATTTCCACTAACATAAGGATTGATAGGCGAAGAGCTCAGTTTCAACATTCTTTCTATCAATGCCAACACTCTCCTCCTAGACTAGTCCTAGGAGGCAACATGCTACTCTACCAGCTCTAGTTATTAGAACACTTTAATGAGCACCTGCCGTGATAATGTATCAATATATTAAATTTGAACTTACTCTTTTGGATAACATGATTGATGTCAAGTTAAAGGCATAACTTACTTAACCATCACATTATCATTCTAATGCACAGTATAACCGTTAAAAATCTCCTCGTATAAGTCTTAGACTCACAACGAACCAAGCAACCAACCGTTGATCGGATATGGTACGACGAAAAGCATCAGTTCCGCGCGACCAATAGGATGAGCTATAACCTCCCACGGCTCCTAGTTATCTACCCCCTGGATTATTGGACCATTGTACGAAGCTTGCATTTATCATTTCTCAACCTCACCGAGTCTACGACCTGACGCTTAAATATTTTCTTATGCAAAATGAATTATTTGATTCAAGAAAGATAAGCTTATATACACCATTTCGTACACCATAGCGCCATTCAAAAATATACACCCAATCTTCACATACAAGTTACCTCATGTCAACTTTCAATGTTCGTCATCCCATCGCCGTCATATCGTGGCTTGCTCATCAATACATTAAACCTTGATCTTCATACTCGAAATGGCGATCTGGTCGTGATAGCTGCTCAATACAGCTCCCTCGACATGCTCTGCAAATACGTCCACATCGGTCGAAGCAAACTTCCTTGCGCTAACCTTCTTCTCAAATAGTAGATCAAGCTCTGCAAATGTGCGACCGGCCGGTTCGGGTACGCGGAAGTAAGAGTAGACAAAGCAGAGGAAGCATGACCCCGCCTGGTTATCGTCAATAAGTAGAGACAAGAGCCAACACACGCGAGGGATTACTTACCCAGAAAAAACCGGCATAATTACCCCAGTCCCAAGCCGAAGGGTTCAACATGTATGGCGTTAAAACGCCACAGATAATGCCGACAATGTTGCTATGATCTATTAGCATTGGATCTTAACTGATCTGCTAAGTAGAACAGTCTTACTAGAGGATACGTCCGAGCACCACTGTCTTGATTTGAAGACGTCTAGTTGAAATCTCTGCAACGAGAGAATAACATACGGTGCCAACTGTTAGCTGGTAACACAGAGCCCACACGAGCATGATACTGCCTGTCGCAAGCGATGCGGATTCTCTATCGGGGGCTAAGCCGAGGAAACCGAGGATTAAAAGCATGATGAAGAGACCAGCAAGGCCATATAGGTATAACGTCCTACATGCGATGTTAACATCTTAGATAATTCATATATGGCGTTTCACCTTACCTTCGTCCGATTCCAAAGGTGATAAGCGTCCAGGCTCCGAAGACGCCGGCGCAGTTGATGGCATATTGACCCATGGCAAATGAGTATGCCTTGTCATTATCGAGACCAGCTTGCTGCAGGAAGTACGTCGAGTAGTTGGAAAATGAATTGCCGCTCAGGTTCTGGATCGCCCAGCACATGCACACAATCTATCTCAGTTAGCATCACGAGGACGGACACAAGTATAGGGGCTTCAGACGTACTTCTGTGCGACGCCTATCGACACCCTTGAAACAATCTAGGTAACTGGCTCCCTTGGTTATCTACGTATAAAGGTTAGCGATAAGTACGAAAGCATGAGTGAAAGAACACAACCTTCTGTTCTAATGCTGTTGTATGGACCATCATCGCAACCGTCTCGTCCACATCAAAGTCTGTCTCCCGATCCAGACTAGTCAAGCGGAGAAGAGAATGCTTGGCGTCTTCAAGTTTCCCCTTTCGTACAAGCCACCAAGGGGATTCAGGCGCAAAGGAGATTCCAATTATGAGAGGCAAGGGCCACATCCATTGAAGCGCATAAGGCTATTCATATCCGTTAGAGCTTTTTACTGGAGAATAAAGTCAAGGAGAGTCTTACTATACGATACGCCCACTCGTCGGTACGCCAGAGGTTACCCATAATGACACCAATACCGATCATCTGGCCGATACCCCAACAGAAGTTGATGTAGGTTGTTAGATAACCCCGCAGGGCTACCGGACAAACTTCAGAGGCATAGGTGATAGTCAAGGTTTGAAAAACGCCCCAGGGAATGCCGCACAGGATCTCAGCTACTTGAAGGTGTACAACCGTCTGCGCCGTGAAGAAGATTGCGGTAAAAGCGATGATAAGTACGAGGCAGAATATGACAGTATATCGATATCCGAACCTCTCGGAGACCCAGCCGTTTATCAATAGGCCAATGATTTCACCCTACAAAAAGTCAGCGTTAAAAAAATCATCAATCACCAAAACAATGAGAAGGATCTCATCACGGTTTATGCTGTGAGACCCTTGGTGAAAAATATAAACGCCGCCATTGGTAACTAATGACTCGCCATGGATTTAAACCCGGAAAAGGGGCAGACAATTTCAATTTCGAACGCACTGAGGTACGTCAAGATCTAACTCACCACTACTGCACCGTTGCTAAGGCCTGCCTGCCAGGCTGCCGAAACTTGATAGGAGACGTTGCCATTCGGATCTGTCACCTCAGTGCCGTACTTCTGGTTAAACTGCGGGAAGGCGTAGAAGTTATTGACTAGGGAGATATCGTAGCCTTCCATAACAATGCAAGTCGAGATGAGGACAGACCACGCAATCGCTTTGGGGTAAAGTCGAAGGCCCTGCCATAAGGTCATGTTGTGCTCCTTTTCGGTAGCGAGCCTCGCATTCCGGATCACGTCGCTCATGGTCTCATGCCCTTCCTTCGGCGTCACAGCCGGCATTGGGGCCGTTTCGACGACATCGTCGCTAATACTTTTCGTTGAGCCTGAGGCCATAGCTGTGATGTACGAACTTTTGGGTACCACCGCTGCTAGGAATTGTTTCCAAGATGAGTTGGACTTTGTACTATCAGCAAGATAATATGCTGCGCGATAGTGTAGACGGTACTGTCGTCTTAATTCGACTTTCTCGCCTCTTTTTATCTGGGGAAAATTATAAACAAAGGAATATTCTAACCTAGCCGTTTAACTAACTTTAATAATAGTCTGAAAAGTAGTGCGCTAGGAATACCGAGGCAGCTCGCTATACTCCATAAGGGGTTTAGTCTAGTAGCATTTTTCTTTTCGATCCGTTGCCAACGGTGGAGAGAAAGTTGCGGGGAAGAAACACTTGGAATTCTGGAATTCCTAATCGAACACCCCTGACTGCCCTGACTGGCCCTGACCGGTCTAGTTACCTTGAATCCCAAGTAAGCTAAGATTATCAGGAGAATTAATTGGCCAAACTGCTTTAACGTAATGGTCAGCTAGGTAGCTTAGCTTTTACCCTGTTGTGTATATGCAGGGAAGTATGTATCACGACTCTATTCGCCTACATATCCACACATACCAACTAGTATGTACATACATAGTATTGGCGCGTTACACGAACAAGACCTCGTGGACCCCGTTTAGGTCCGTTATTCGGGAGACGGTCCAATGGGGAAATCCCTAGCCGGCCAATTGGGTCTGGGCTTCGGCGTCCCATGAACCGGGTCAGTTTGTACTACTTTAGAACCATCCACGTCTCCCGCTCGGCGGTTTTGCCCATCTTTATCAGATGATCCTCTCACAATTAGGACCTCTAAGTCTATCTGTCGGTAACATTGTCCGAATTATACCGAGTAAACATAGAAGACTGTAGAAGCGACGACGTTGCGAATGCCCTCATCAGAGCAGATCGAGTTGCTCGCTACACCATGGTACGATATCCCCATCTATCTACTCCGTAAGATATGCTGAAGCTACGCCGAGACCGGTGTACTCTCTAGCAGACTAGATTTTGTGCTTATCCACTTATATCTCATTTTGGTGTTGGACAATTGCTGACATAGACTTGGCGAATAGTGTCACATGCCGTGAATATCATCTTAAATGCGAGTAATATTAGAGCTACTTGTTATATCTCCAAGACGGCTAAACTAATCGTTTTGAACACGAGTAGGCGATCGCTCGGTTCCAAGATGTGGTCGATGTGTCCGAGCAGGTCGTGAATGCAAACTGGGCTTCAAATTCAAACCTAGTAAAGGTACTGCAGTTAAATCTCCATTATTTCTAAGCTAAACCTCATTCTTATAGACACGTTCAAAAGAAATCAAAAATGGCTCAAGCCGCCGAAAAAGTGTAAGTTTGGAATGTCACATCGAATTAGAGTAAATCTGTTTGGCTAACTTATCCAAGTAATTTACGTCGATGAGAGACAAGGTTTGACCATAGGAAGCCCCTCAGAGGATATTTCTCCGTATGAGTTTCATACAGACGAAAGTCATAATTGGCATCAGGAATCGACCTCCTCGAGCGTCACACCTCCATCCATTCCTAATTCAACAGAGTACAATAGAGCAGATGGGCAGCCGGTAGATGTTGTTCAAGCACATAATACACCGAGAAACAATGGAGGGTTTCCAGCTAATGATATATCCATCGCTGAGCTTTACTCTCATGGGCATATTCCAGGGTCTAAATCTGCTAGTTCCTATGATTTGTCGTCTTCAGATATAGAGAAAGCACGCGTACCCCATGATGGGAGTATTCTAACGCCTAATTTCAGCAATGCTTCAAGCCTGCCGCTTAAGGACCGGACAGAAGCACTGTTATTTCGGCATTATATCCAGAAACTAGCGATTTGTGTAAGCCAAACGATACAGTAGCCACTCCTAACATTCAAAATTCTAACTAAAGCAGCTAGACTTATGCGATCCACATCGACATTTCGAGTTGGTAGTTCCAGAGCGTGCTGCCGAATGCTATATGCTCTTGAATGCTATTTTTGCTATAGCTGCGAGGCATCTAAGTCATACGACAGATTTTGACCCTCTGGCCTCGAACAGGTATCACGATGAGTGCCTAAGATACCTCATCCCAATGTTAAATCACGCTTCAACGGTATCAGATGAGAACTTATTCGCGGCAACGATTATCTTGCGTATGCTTGAGGAGATGGATGGTGAGATAAGATATGTTTGGGGTACTCCGGAAGTTTCTTGCTAATAAACGGACAGTTCCAACAACAGGCCAAGACACCTACAGTCATCTACTAGGTATTCATGCTTTCGTTAATGTCGGCGACCAATATATGGGTCCGGGAAGTTTAAGTGCAGCGTCATTCTGGGTAGGACTCCGACAGGAGATCTATATCGCGGTCATTACGCAACAGCCTGTCAAGGTGTCTTTAGACCACTTTGTAGTGGACCGGTCATTTGAACCGGCCGACGACTATACTTGGTCAAATCGGGCGATTGTACTTCTTGCGGACGTCCTCAACTTATGCTTCGGGAATAACTCGTTGGCAACAGGCCATTGGAGTGCCCTAGATGAGGCATGCAGAAAGTGGTCTAGCACTCGACCCCCGTCCTTCAACCCCTTCTTTTACAAGGAACGTACGGCAACCTCGGCTTTCCCAGAAATTTGGCATGGGTCAGGTTGTCATGGTAAGCATTGAAATCTTCTTAAATGTTATAGGCATAATATAGTCGCTAATTTCTTAGTCATTGGAATTCAACATCATATTCTCGCACAGTTATTCTTAACTCAGTTTGATCCTTCGATACCCAAAGTAGGTACAAATCGCCGAGCAGCAGTAAAGCAAATGACAGTAAGTCTATACCATTAAGAAAAGTTCCTATATATGACTTATGCAAAGACAGCATCGGATTGAGAACCTTGTAAGGGAACTCTGTGGTATCGGGGTATGCAATCAGTGGACTCCACCGGGAATGTTTACTGCTTGCATGGGCATCGCTATGTGTACGAGCAAACCCAGTTCGCTAGTATTAATACCGAGCTAATACGAATTGCAGTTGGCGATCAATTCGGCGAAAGGTCCGACCAGGAAGCTCTAATGGACATTCTAAGGAAGACGGAGGCAGATCACGCTCGTCCGACTGCATCAATACAGCAGCAACTGATGAAAGCGTGGGGCTGGTTACCAGAAAACGACGAATGAAACTAATATCAACTCTGATTAGTCCTTTACCAAGCGAAGACATGGTACACGAGAAACCGAGGGGATTACAAAGTGGACTGGGGGGAGCTTAGGACCGCCCCAGATTGCCGAACTTGGCCAGGCTTATATACCACGCTATATAACGTGGGGATATACTAGGATTTATGGATATAGATACCAGGTGACGTTCGAATGACGTTTCTCTTTCTGGGGTACTCCGGATACCTACTGCATATGAGCGCGAAATATGCAGACCAGTGGATGAGATAAACTTACATCTGGGGTTCGGGCGATTTTACCGTTTTCGCAAAAAGAAGGGGTAGTTACTTTGCGGATCTCGTTCCGCAAGGGAGGCGTACCTGATTCCCGCTCGGGGGATCGTTGCCTGCGCTAGTCAGCTCAATATAGCTGTCTTCGGCGATTTTATCCTCATTCATCATGGGCCATACATCAACCTTATGTGGGGACATTTACCACTTACACGAAGCTCAGAGTATAAAATTTGATCGAGGACAATGATATCGGAAAAGTTATAGATTTCTGTTTAAAGCGCATGGTATTTTTTGTTTTTAATCACTAATCTATAGTCTAAGAGATACCCCTTTTTTGCTATTGACTCTTATATACTCCCCACCACAACACAATGGCACCAGGCATATTAGTTGACGACACTATAAGCCGGAATGGCCTCGAGCTTGAGGAGACGTCAGATCACATTGACGCGGTTAATGTGCTAAAAGGTCAAAATCAAGCCAAGTTCGACGATAAGTCCCAATTCGATTCAACCAAAGACAAGACGCAGTTCAGGCAGTATGAAGAAGCCTGCGACCGCGTTCAAAACTTCTATCGTGAACAGCATGAAAAGCAGACGGTGGCGTATAATCTAAAAGCACGCATCACATTTAAGACACGGCGACGCGAGGAGATGACGGTGTGGCAAGCAATCGAGAAGCTCAACACGCTGATCGATGAGTCGGACCCGGACACAAGTCTATCGCAGATCCAACATTTACTACAGTCTGCCGAGGCAATCCGGAGAGACGGCAAGCCACGATGGATGCAGGTCACAGGTCTAATCCATGATCTTGGCAAGCTACTCTACTTCTACGGCTCCGAAGGCCAATGGGACGTCGTTGGCGACACATTCCCCGTCGGCTGCGCCTTCGATAACCGCATCATATACCCCGACACATTCACCGCAAACCCAGACTCTAGAGATCCCGTCTATAGCACCAAGTTCGGCATCTACTCTCCCGGCTGCGGACTAGATAACGTGATGCTGTCGTGGGGCCATGACGAGTATTTATACCATGTGGTCAAGGAGCAGTCAACGCTACCGCCTGAGGCGTTGGCTATGATTCGGTATCATTCGTTTTATCCTTGGCATAAGGTATGCTACTACTTTTTCTTGTCTCCTTGTTTTACTTTTAGAATGTCTACTGATTCGTTATAGGAGGGTGCATACCGCGAGCTGATGGACGAGCATGACAAGGATATGCTACGTGCCGTGCGGGCGTTCAATCCGTATGATTTATACAGCAAGAGCGATAAAGTTCCTGATGTAGAGGAGCTGAAGCCGTATTATTCGGAGCTTATCGATGAGTTTTTCCCGCAGAAGGTTGTCAAGTGGTGAGCGCATGTGTGGACTTGTTGTCAGCTATGCTGCGGTAGCATAATCACCACTATTACGGAATTACCTCTTAGTAGTAAGGTGGTAAATTTAAGACGGATAGAATCTTCGCTTATGCTTCAGCTTATTCCCTCGCAAAGGGGTCAACTACGAACACTCACGATGCCGAGCACGAGCTTAAAGGGCGAGGCAAGCGAAAACGGTCTGGGTATTGGATGCCTTTGGGTTTGATTTTATATCATATATACACCTAGGTATATATATTAGGTAGACTTAGATAGTTCTATACGCTTTATGCCCCTGGGGAGGAGTGCCCACAGCGTTGATTATATTATTATTTCATTTACTTTTGGTGAGCAAGGCTAAGATATGTACATCACTCACCTGAATATGATTAGTCAAGTTTCTTGTCTAATGTCGAACATATAAAATATGATTTTGTAACAGCACTTTTGCTATTGTTGTATATCTGATAGGTCTGGACGATCACGGCCAAGCCTTGTGCATATTTTCGTTTGCATCTTAGGCTCTTATTTGCTCGCAGAATCGAACCCTAAGGCTTTTGACATATTATTTCTGCAAGTGGTCCTTATTGTTTAATGGTGGTGTTTAATGGTGGGTGACACGACCTGTACAGCCACCACACCCTTGGATATTTGATATCTACTAATATCTGCCTAACATCTACGGGCATCAATGAAACATAAATTCTACCAAAACCGTACGAAATATAAAGATGTCTGATCAACCAAGAAGCAGTTACGCTGGCGTTATTGCGGATGCCCAGCAAACCGTGACACTCACCGAGACGATTATATCCCTAGTCGGTAATTATGTTTCGACCACCTATAAAAATAAACGCGCGACCGAGGAATTCCGTGAAAGGTTAGGAGAGTGGGCCGACGAGGCTCTTGATCCAGACCGCAATGGAAAATGGCGGCAGCCATGCCTCCGTATTGAAAAGTTTGAGAAACACATGATCCAACATGACGGGCAATTTAAACCGAGCGGGAAGTGCACATCTTCCTTTGCCTGGGCGCAATTGCTTTACGCACTTGATATCCGACCTGGAAACAATATTGTTGAATGGAAGACGATAAGCATAACTGCCCCCGACCCTGTCGAATCCGGCCAAATATCGCTCGAGGTGGACGGGAGTGTTCTTTGTCATATTGTCAACCTCTTCCGGTATTATAGCGATCCCGATCCAAATGAGTTTGAAAGACCCCTCGCACGGGTTGATCTTGGATTTGGCAAGTTAGTCGTCAAGCCCGAAAATAACGAGGTTGAAGAGAACCAGTTGGGGGTATAATGAATATGAGTTCCAATGCCACGCTATCTAACCGTTTAGTTGCCACTTTTCACCCCGGGACGAGCGGACAGTTATCAACGAGTCGAGGTCTATTTCAAGGGGGCAATGACCATAGGTTAGGGTGTATACTGAGATTCGACCGCTCAACGGTCATGATTCAATATCTTCAGGCCCTTTTCGCCCCTAGTGACACGCAAACTTCGATCAAGTTACTTGATCCAAAGGAGGAACTGCCAAACCGCTGTCGTGCCTTGTGCTCCTCTATGAGAGCCTTGGAAGAGACATCTTGGAATAGTTACAAATGAAATGGAGACACCGGTAGGAAATGATACCTCCAAACCCACGGATTTGTCTTGGCAAGCTGAGATTTGGACGAGGATAAGTAAGATGTGTATGTTTAACAGCAATACCTTTACCGTCTTTTGGTCTCGTCGTGACGACTCTGGTAGGCTATTCAAGCCATTTGAAAAAAATACTGGATGACGCATTGCCGTCTATAGTAGATGGATTGTCCGAAGCACCTCCAGGATCGAGGTGCCATTCACTATCTCAAATTCCCGAATTACTGGAAGTTCTGCGCTTACCACATTGCATAGAAGATCGTCCAATAATTGTTCTAGAATTAACTACTGAGCATAAGTTGTGGCATTCGACCTGTTTAATCCAAGGTTAAAGGATACTATAAATAGCACGAGATAGATACAAGTTCTTGACTACCTCATAGGAATATATGGGCAAGTTTGCAATCATAAGACCAAATTGATAATCTAGGTTAAAGGAAATAATTCCTCTTTTCGTGTTTGCGTGTGAAATATCAAACGTATATTTATAATGTCTTACCCCTGAAGGAAGAGTTACAATTCTTGGGGACTTGTCTAGCATCTCGTTACTATACCTACTGTAACGATCCTAACCCGAGACAAAAGCTTTAACCTAGGTAGGTAAGTAATACTACCTATCAGTAATTGCAGATGCCGCCAATTTCCTCATCCATAGTCCAAGTCCCAGCAAGACCATGCTCAATAACCGGCTCATCTGGCACCGATTTCTCCTCTTTACCCAGGAAGAAATCGTTCTGACCTGAGACCTTAGTTTGCCTGCTCATAAACTTCTTGGCCCAAACCTCGATTGAGGGCTCGCCAGTCTCGTCACGAGCCTGCTTGAGAAAAGGAATGAGAGCTGTACCACCGGTTCCTTTAACCTTTTTATGCTTCTCGTTTTTAGAAGCTGTCGCCAAATTTACTCTATTCCTAATAGCTTCAGGGCTACGCGATCGACTTCGTGCTCTATTCTCTCGAGATGGCAAGACAATGTAGCGCGTAACGATAGCGATGTGAATATCGCGGAATGCACGGAGCATGGCAAGACACGCGTCGTAGGCGATGCTCAGAGGACGGTCAGAGGCAGCGCGGCTCTCAACAAATTCGCGAATATTAGCAACCGCTCCGACATCGTTTAAGAAGCGCGCGTGCGGTCCTGGCATATAACGTCGCATATCCTGGATAAAATTGTGCTTGGGGGCACGGCTTCGTCCTTCGCGTTCCGACTCAGAGGACGGATTGGGCTTCTCACCGGTGGGACGATGCTCAACGCCAAGAATGATATCAAAGAATTGAATCAAACTGCTTTGGGCGTTGCTAGGTCCACTGTATTGCACATACTCAGATTTGCCTGAACCATCATCATACATGACACCATGCGGCAAACCTGCCTCGGCCATATTCTTACTACCAGCAAGGAATGTGCGAATGCGACGGTAGAAGAAGCCAGGGTCGCAGCTTTCATGCATGCGACGCAATAGTTCGCCGAGGTCATCGAGGCGCTCGGCGAAGGCATGCAGGCAACGTGTCACGGTTACACTATCGCCTTGTCGAGCAGCAGCAACTGCAGTTAGCATCAGGGGGATGATGGGGCCGCCACGAGCCTCGATGGCAACCGAGACCAAGTAGAACCAAGACTCGTCAAGAGACCCAGTAAAGGTCAACAAGGTGGCGAGATTGTCAAGATCGTCGATCTCTTCGTCGACGAAGAGGGGTTTGAAGTTCCACAGCACGGAGGCGGCGTAAGTAGACACGGGTGGAATCTCGAGATGTTGACAAATATCCAACAAAGGAACAGAGATGCTCGGTGGCACACGATCACAGGGAGTATCACCTCCCCAGATGTAGCCGTGAGCAAAGAAGGTCAGGAGCATGTAAGCTCTCCTCCATTCTGCGTCATGTTCCAGACCGACGGTGGAGAGAACAGGAAGACGGTCGATAACTCCTCGAAGGCGCTTGCTCAGAATTAAATTCTGTAGATTGGCGCCGATGGATTCCCACTTGTTATAGTAGGGGTCCGGAAGCCTAGTTAAAGGTAGGACGTCGGGCAAAAAGCCATACTTTGGCGAGATTCCATACTCGGATAATATTGGGATAGGAGGTCTCATTACGACGACGTAGTTGTCTTTCGAAGACAATACGTTGAGTTGACTATATGGCGAAGCTATATAGCTTGGTAGGTGAAGAATCAACCTAACAGTTGATTTTTTTTTGAATAGATTCAAGTGGTTAAACTAATAAAAAGTCTAATTCCTGACGCAAGGAGTATACAGATTTATTCTGTAATACTCCTCAGCCGTGCGAAATAATAGTTGAGTTGTGAGCATGTAATTGCGTTAAGAATTGGCGATAAAAGTCTCTTGTCTTAAAGCTGAGTATGAGTATGAGTATGAATATGAGTACTTAGATATGTTTTGTAGGAGAGGGAAACAATTAAAGACTCAAGACTAAAGAAGTGGGAAAAGTCTAACTTATAAAGAGGAGAAAAGGTGTAATTCCTTAACCTAGGCTAGACCATCAAGGTTTCGGAAAGGCGGATCCAGCGGGAGTTTAGGTATTAATAATGGATCATTTTTACTCATCAATTTAATTGTATGAGGAGAGAAAAGGGGGGAATAAATATCCTTAAGTTGTTGACCGAAGAGAATATAGACAACTCGTCTTGTTACATACATGTGGGTGGTGATTAATAAAAGAAAAAAAATGGCACATGGCACACTTCACCTGCGGGTGATATGGCGCCATTGGTTTTCCGTAGAATCTGATAATGTGGGATGGATCTAGATCTAGACAAGTCAGGTTATCTCATTGAATAATTAACAATAGTTAAATTGTATAAGTTCTTGTTGGAGCAGCTTTTAAAGAAGAACCCGATGCCGGCGGATGTTAAGTTATCGGGTATTACCGCGCTAAAACTTAGAATATCTTCCGGGTCGGCTGATCCAAGATGTCGCAAGGATGCTCGTGCAGGAGTATCCTTGGAAAAAAAAAAGAAGGGTACTTTGAGGCGTGGGATGAAAGAAAACGGAGAAGACTTTGGAGAAGAGAAGAGAAGAAAAGTTGCCTCTGTGAAACTATTACATAATTGACATGTGAGGCTAACCTGGGAATTCATCGGCTTAAGTTTTGTAAGTGTATGTTGTAGCTGCTGTACGCTGTGTTTAGTACTTGCTTACGTCATTTCTATTTTTCAAGGGGAAACCCCACTATGATTGGCTATACTTTTATAAGTGTTTTATCAGCCTTGGCGGGCAGCTCAGTGCAAGGCTTCCCATTACATTCTCTCCATTATTATCACAAAACCCCCCCCGAAGCTCAACACCAATCAATTATCATGACGCGGCTACTACGACCATAATTCGCTGCGAAGGATTCCCAAAATGGTGGTCCAGCAGCACATATTGAATTGGTTATATAGCGTTTTAACGAGCGTAAGATATATCATGCAAATAGCTTCATATTAATTCTAATAGCATCAATTATATAGGAATACCAAGATGTTAACCGCACATACAACGATGTAGCCCAAGCGCTATCTCAATACCCTTCACTATCGCCTAGAACCGATGTCCATAGTACGAAACAATTATCTACTATTCATCATTCTCAATTAATAAGCCCTTTCTAACGATCTCCTAGCTTTCGACAACGGCGTGTCTGCCCTCCTCTTACACTTATCCGGCACCATCCCCGTCACATTTCGCGGTACCACCTACCGATTTCCCATATCGTTATGGATACCGCACGCCTACCCGCGCGAGGCACCTCTAGGCTATGTCACGCCTACAGAGAATATGATGGTACGGCCTGGCCAACATGTTGATCCCCAGGGACGCATATATCATCCTTATCTCGTAGGATGGGCCGAGTTCTGGGATGTATGTATATCGTCTATAATAGCTGATATTTTGTCTATACAATAAAGTACTAATAGTGTTTAACCAGAAATCTTCTCTGTTAGACTTTATCGCTATACTCAGAGACATATTTGCGAAAGAGCCTCCAGTTGTCTCGCGCCAGCAAGCTCCTCCTGTACCGCAACAATCCGTTCCAACCCCGACCCCTCCACCGGTTCCTCCTCTACCCCCTGATATGTCAAGGCAGACTCCTCAGCAGGTTCCATCTCCACATACACAGGATCCAAGGCCGCCGCCACCTCCTCCCAAAGGCAGCGACCTTCCTCAGGTAGTGTCAGGCCCGACCACTTATACGGACGGTCCCCCACGACCACCTCTACCAGAAGATTTTCATCGGCAGTCAAGCCAGTATGGTGCACCAGCAGCAACGCAGTCTCCGCAACCAAATCGACTCTCAAGATACGACGCAGCACCTCCCCTACCACCCCATCCACCACAATCGTATCAACAACCACCCCCTAATGTCCAGTATCAACCCCAGCCTCAGCAGCATGTGTATCAGCAAGGCGGCCCACCTCCTCTCGGACTTACACCACAGGATTCCCGCCGCGCATCCATGATATCCCCCGTAACTCCCATCCCATACAACGCTACCGTCGTCCCAGGACAGTCACCATACGCCGGCCCGCCTCCAACTTGGCAGCACCCCCCACCACGACAACCTCCAGCGCAACTAATCCCCAAACCTCCCCCACCCCCTGATCTCATGGACGAGCCCTTCTCCCTAGCCTTACCAGAGCCCTCCGCCAATGACCTCCCACCACCTCCCATCCCCCCGAACCCCGAAAAGGACGCCCTCCTCCAACAACTCGCCTCAACCCTCTATGGTCTACGCCAGCACGCCCGCGTCCAAAACGAGTCCTCCCTAGCCGGTCTCTCTGCCCAACGAACCGCCATGCTCTCCGCGTTACAGAACCTACAATCCGACGCCTCGGCCCTAGGCCCCTTATCGGCAATGCTAGCGTCCAACAACTCGATCCTGCAACACTCCCTCCATGAAGCAGATCGTGTAGTATCCAACGCACGCACACGCGCACCTCCTCCTATCGACGATTTATTAGTCGCGCCGACCGTCGTCGCAAACCAGTTATACGATGTGGTAGCCGAGGAGCGCGCTCTCGGGGATGCGATATTCGTGCTTGGACGCGCTGTTGAGCGCGGTCGTATAAGTCCTGCGGTTTTCGCCCGGACGACGCGCGGATTGGCGCGGGAGTGGTTTTTGAAGAAGGCACTTGCGAGGAAGATTGGGAGGGGGATGGGACTTGTTGGGTAAGTTATATAAGGAAGGTATTGGTATGAAGATATGAAGGTATGAAGGCTATTAATATGGATAGCTACTTTGGTGTAAAGAAGTCGCTGGGTCTACAATTACCTACCTGGCCTGGTATGGCTGTCTATCCAAACAAGGGTCTAATGCCTACAGTTTGATGTTTAGGCTTAGTAGGGTCAAGACGCGAACGGGAGATAATGGAGTTTTAGTTGTTAACATAGGAGCGTTTCAAGACACCTCGAGTCTATCGAAGTCCGCGGTGCTAGACAGAATATATGTATTTCTCATAGCGCATACCCGGATAACCCCTTTTCTCTCATTGGCTAAAGGATGTCTTCTGTATCTTAGGTGTTCCATTACGTCTTCTCCTCCGTGGTCCTCTAGCTAGTTCGATAATGGTTGACCACGGGGGTATCCAATACTCGATAAGACAGCTCTGTGCCACTCATGGTCGTCTTCCCCTGTTTCCTTCATCATTCGACAGGCTCCGAGTCTACAACATCCTGATAACTAATACTATTTGCTTACCGCTCCTAACCTTTACGCCGATGCCTAATACCAGAAAGTTTGCTGGTTCAGTTGCTTGACGCGCCTGCGGCACCCGTAGTACCTGACCCGGAGCTAATACCGCTTCCCTTGCCGAGTCTGATCCCGCTGGTAGACTTGTCCTTGTACATGTTGACAATCTTTTTTATTTGACCTGGTCTCCTCGGCTTCGGATGCTTCAGCTTAATATCGTGGATTTGTCTCACCATAAACCCAGAGGCCGTCTTTTTGCTCCAACTACTTTCTTTTTTCTTGCCTTCGGTATCCTTGCCCTTCTCCCTATCTTGTGCACTCTCCGCTCCCTGGTTGTCGTCTATTGCTGCCTCTTTTCCTTTGCCCTTTTCTATCGCCTTTTCTTTATTTTTCTGTCTCTGCTCTTTTCGGAGCTCTTTCTCTTCTAACCGGCGACGCTTGCGCTCTGCCGTCGTTTGTTTAGACGTGGTACTCGATACGGCGTTAGAATCACTACAAGACAAAGGCGAGGATGGGCCTTGTGAGGTTTGTCCGGCAGATGACCGATCCCGTCGGCGCATGGCCTTGGACAATACGGAGCCGTCGAGTCCAAAATCGTCGAATTCATCTGAACAGCCTAGATCATCCGACATACGAGCTAAGAAAGGAAACGTTTTGCGCATTGATAGATAACTAGACGGTGATCGCCTATAAGCTATATATGGATGCTGACTCTCAAGCCTCTCAATTAACTCTTCATTGATATTGATATTTGATCTTGTATAAACCGAGTCAGTCGATGACTGAATTACTTCAGATGTGCGGTACAGATGATAACCAAAGAGATTTGAACGACGATATCGAGGTCGACGACGTATCGAGGATGATGGGACATTATTAATATCATTATCCCGGCCTGAACCAGATTGATCCCCGTGATTACCGTTGTTATTCACTCCGTCGATCGATCGAGTAAACGTATTCGAGATTCGCCGCCACAATCTTACTTTCCGTTGTCTAAGCGAGCGCCGATTAGCTTGAGGTTCTGTTTGATTAGTATCGGCTTTTTGTTTAATAGGAGAAATATTTGAGTTAACATCGTGGTAACTCGGAGTTGAAATATTTTCTAATGCGCCTGTTTCCAAAGTTTCGAACTGTTGGATACGATCTTTTACAGGGGATTCTTGTTTAATTGACTGGCTTCCAACGGTATTCGTTTCCGCGTGCGCCCCTGGTGTTACTGGTCGCGCACCATCCTATGGCCCAGAGAAGTCACAGGCGAAATCATTAACTGATATCTCTGTTGTTAACTCAGGAAATTTGACCTTATTCACGGGGCCTATCTGTGTGGTCAATGTGGTTGATGACATATTTAAGCCTTGTCGAATAGTAGAAGCTTTTTCTGTTTCGACTGTTGGCTTATTGCGACCCCTATTTTGCCAAAAAGACTTAAATGAGTTCGGAGACGACTCTCGAGGTGAGGACCTCTCAAAGATTCTCCGAAGGTCAGCTACTTTGGCTGAGCATCTTGCTGTAGATGCCTGTTTTGATACTAACTTTGATGCAGGCTTTTGAGCCCTGCTTGATTCTGGCGTTACTCCATTATGCGCTATAGGATGTCTACTTGTCATTATGCTGTTGAAGCTTGCCTTTGAATTATTAACTAGGATCGAATGAATTCTACCTATACGGGAGGATCTGTTTCCTCTAATGGCTTGAGCATTGGGGATGGCCGTGGTGCTGGGTTCATTCAGTCCTCCCGCGGCATCTGGAGTCACTTCGTCCTCAAGCGACATAGCTCCATCGAGGTTACGGTTGTTTATGTGGCGAGGTCGACTGCTCTCCGGCTGATAAGCTGTCTTGATAAGTTCTGATGTGCTGGCGGTATATGGAAGTGATAGAGACTGTTCTGATAATCTATTTTCAGACCTGGTATGGATAAGATTTCGATTCCGAGGCGGCTGGGTAGCTATACTATCTTTCTGGGCTGTTTTTCTGGTGGAAGAAGTACTTCTTCGATTGCAAGAGTGATAGGAATGGACTGTTTCCTTGCTAATTCGAGCAATACGATCGTTGAATATCTCCGAAGATAGCTTAGACTTATCTGACATATGGGGTTCGGGCCCAGTCGCCTGTATGTTTTTCTCGAAGGATTTGCGAAGATCTGCAACGCTCATCTGTGCCCTTTTTACAGGGATTTTTGATGAAGCCGTAAGTTCACCTTTTCTGTGCACTAGCTGCTCAGTGTGATGATGGTGACTTTGCTCATCTTTTCCGACACCCCCTTTTTGAGGATATTTGAGAGGATTATCAGTAGAGACAGTTTGAAGTTTGGACTTGGTTGGTGAATTTCCCTGAGGAGAATTAAGTGTCAGAAGAGGCTGTGATGAGTTAGTTGCCAGAGTAGACACCGTCTTCTGGCCCGCTAATTGGTTTGAGGTTGAGCTTATCGACTTGGTGATAGGGGAACCTTCTATCCATTTAGCCTTGCCCAATATTTCATCCTAACAACGGAATCTTCATCAGCGAACTTACCACTACTATTCTCAAAAACCCTTTTCCGATCTGAAATCAACCTTGGATCCTATCCAGGTCCATTGCCTGTCGGAGAAGTGATATTTTGGGGATAGTCCGAACTCCGATTACTTTCTTTCAATTCCCGAATAGACGAAACTTCTTTTTCCGGAGATTTCCCTTTCTCTTTGATGAATTTGTCTTCCTTTACTACCCCGTGGAAGCTAGAGCTTGCTTCAACATTATCTTCCACAGAGGCTTTCTTTGGTACTGTTTTGATTGGGAGTTTTGGCCTATTGCTGAATGATGGTGGGGATTCAACTTGTCTTGGAGGAACATCTAAGGGGTTCGCAGGGGTCGAATACTTCTCTGAAGCAATAGATTGTAAAGATTCACTCGCTCGGCTGTGTCTCAATGGCCTCTGGACTTGGGGAATCGCATTAGATTTAGAATCGAGAGGTGAGATGGTATCAGCATTCTTTACTGCATCAAGGGTCTCGAATTTTGATACAAGAGGTCCTAATCTGTGGGCTGGAGCGCGGTGTTGCGATAGACTCTTGGCTAGTAGTGGAGGGCCAATACTTTCTCGATGGGCAATAAGAGTAGAATTATCTCCGTCTGCAGTAGACATTTGTTCTTCGGCTACGGAGTTCGTTCCATCGAGATTCGGATCAGTTCTTCGTCGAGGGAGGCGCAGAGGCGCGGGTTGAAGTTCAATAGTTAAATCTTCAGGATCTTGGAAGGAAACAGGAGAAGAGCTCGTCGAAGAGCTTGAAATAGTCGACGCCATTACAAAGGTGGTTTGATACAGAATATAATGTATGCCCAAGAAGACTAACTCTTAGAGCATCATATTTACTTGAGTAGAGCTACAGAGCTCTACGAGTAAATTGACAGATCGGATTTGGCATGTCATATATCTGGGTAAGAGACATGAAGAACGGAGTTGTTATATTGTAAAGTGGAAAGTCTACATGTACCTAAGGTAAGAAGAGAAAAGGCTAGAAGGGAAACCCCTGTGTGTAATTATTTCTGAGACAGACTAGCGACGGCACGAGGTCACAACTTCTTAGACGGTAAACTCTATATATGAGTCAGGTACTAGGTGTATTATGAATTAATAATTTACGGCAAGGGCTACAAGTTTGTAACGATTCTAGGTACTTAATTGAAACGGGTTGGGTTAGGTAATAAGTACTATTATTCTTGTATGAGCATAAATCAATATTCATAATGCTAATAGTGTTTAATAGTGATAAACTTCGAAATATAATTAAGTAAGAAGGAATTATTTATAAAAGACTTTGACCTAATAGAAAGATGAATCCAGATACTCATTTGACAAGATAGGAAATAATACCTCACAATATCTTTAACATCAAAGTCTCCAATAACCTCCACACATATCATTCAGCCGCTATTGATCTACCGACATCAGTTCTCCTACGTGCAGTTCGCAGCCGCGGATAAAATGCTACTCGCGTCATGCCGTGTATTTTCCCCGCAGGATATTGGGGTCTTGTTTCCCCCCTGTTTCGCAGTCTCCTGTATTTTAGATAGGCGAGTATACAATTCCACATGCGCCTAGCCTCCCTGCATATATGTATAGGTGTCTATATGAGTGCATTGATATATTATATGTACGAATTTATAAGATAATACTCATGAGATCCCTAAGTAAATAAATTCGAAATAGCGAGACACGTCTTAATAGAAACATATAAACAATGGCGGACGGAGACTACACTATTCAAAAGGAAGCATCGCGCATCCTACACTCGGTGCTTCTTACGGATCCACGTCTACAGATCCCGCAGTCTGTCCAAGATGCAGTGCAGCGCACTTCGTTTGATTCTTCGGCGCTAAAAGTACCCTTCTTACCCGCCCCCATAAAGTGCACCGAGTCAAGTGCGGCGCTATGGGCTTTACTCGCGACTTTTGGGAATGCTGTGGCTACTGAGCGGTATGGTCTCACCGACCAGCGCGTTGTCGTGAACAGTGACGTCGCCTCCGCATTTCTCTTCTCGTTCTGGCTTCTGCGGGTCGGCGGGAAACCGGTTTCCGACCCAGAGCTAGTTAAGCGGTACTCAATCTATGATACTACGCAGCAGTTCACATTCTGGAGGCGGCTTGTCACTAATGTTTACCCGACGCGGGATGGCCGCTGGTTCCACTTACATGGCGGCTTGGATTCCGACCGGAGCCTCCGGATGCTCGGGTTGCCGGCGCACAAGGATGTTGCAGACGAAATGGAGGCGATTAAGGGGCTCTCGGAGAGAGTGCAAAAATTTGACGCAGATTGGTTGGATATCGAAGCTAACGAGTACTGGAGGCAGGCGGGCGGAATCTGTTTTACTCCCGAAGAGTACCGCGAGACTGAGCAAGCAAAAGCTATAGCTAACGACGGGTTGTATATACTAGAAGAGTTTCTTAACGAAAATTTACCGCCGGTGCCGTGGCCGAAGGTCGATACCAAGACATATAGGCCCTTAGAGGGTATCAAGATCGTTGATCTCACACGGGCGATTGCAGGCCCAACGATGGCGAAGCTGGCGGCGTTGTTTGGGGCTACTGTAGTTAGGGTATCGAATACGAAACTGCCTGATCTAGGGATTGTATTATTCGAGAGTAACCTCGGCAAGCGGGACGCTCACCTCGATTTGAAGAGCGAAGAAGGACGGGAAGCACTCCGGCATCTAATAGAAGACGCGGACGTCGTGCTCGATGGCTACCGGCCAGGCGCTCTAGAGAAGCTCGGATTCGGACCAAAGTATGTACATGAGATAGCTAGGAGACGGGGTAAGGGCATCGTATACGCGCGCGAGAACTGCTACGGTTGGAAGGGCCCATGGAAGCATCGCAGCGGATGGCAGCAGATCAGCGACGCCGTGACGGGAGTTGCATGGTTATTTGCTCGGATGTGGAATGTCGATGAGCCGGTGATGCCATTTCTGCCCAATTCCGACTTCCAGACTGGCATCGTAGGGTGCATCGGTATCATAAATGCGCTAGACAAGCGATCGAAGAAAGGGGGCAATTATCTTGTGTCCATGTCACTAAATCAGCTCAACAGCTTCATAATATCCCTTGGAACCCAGAGCCCGGAAGTACAGCAGTCCTTACGCTATATGTGGCCGGACTTAAAATCGCGGCACTACGATGATTTGCACAGACAAGCAAGGGTGGTGAGTACTGTGCTTCAGAAATTTGTGCTCGCTGTGAGTTCATGTGCTAAAATATATTTATTAGTTGGTACGCGGTTTGCCGGAGAAGGTACCGCAATTATTAGATCCAAGATATTACTTAACTCTCAAGGCTGACCTTGGAGAGCCTGATGAGGATATGGTATTTGTTGGGCCCGCAGCTACATATGAGACGACTAGGTTAGTATATGATTTAGGGAGCTGTTTAAGAGGGACGCACGAAGCCAAGTGGCCAAGTTAATGATAGGATAGAATAGACCCAGCCGATGCTATTTGCATTATTAGTGGTATATGTAGGTACCCAACTAAATCAATTTGGATATCAACTCACTATTGAGGCAATTGAACAAGCTGATATGTTTGGTCAACGTTGAAATGCGGCCTTTTCCTATCTATTAGGTATCTCAGACTCCTTAAAGCGGACGTTTTAGTCCGGATCCTACACCGTTGAAAGCAACCCACGGTGAGCCTTCGTAATCACTCTCCCCTTCTTTTTCCTCTTCATCATCCTCTGCCATCTGATGCTGGCTATATATCTCACCATATTCCTCAGCTTCTATTTCATCCAAAGACTCGTCCATTGAAGCAGCGCCGACCAAGCCCGAATAAGATCCACCGGGGTGCGAAGGTGTTAGTGAAGCAGGTGGGAGGCCAATATGCTTATTGGATATATCGAGCTGGCCTTGACCATCGAGCGTACGGTCTATACGTGAAGGTCGGGTCTTCTCAGCCTCGACGGTCATAATTGCTGCTTCCCATTGCATTATTTCAGCCTTCATCAGCCGTCGAGATCGCGGTGACCATGAACGAATTAGACGGAGCTTGTCGCCGAATGCATCTGCAGTAAGATTCTGCGGTGTAGGTTTGCGAATCATGTGCCCATGATCTAGTTTGTACCTTGGACTATAGTGAGGAGTGCTATCAAGAACAGAATTAGGTCTCCGGCCAACGGGCTTCATCGGGGTGGATTTCTTTAACTTCTGGGTCGATCTAGCCATCCGACTCTTCGCTACCAATTCCTCGTCATTGATAGGGAGATTTGTACACTTCTTATGCTGATTCTGGTAGGTGCAATTGGCACATGCGTGCCTAATGCTGCTCAATGCGAGAACTGAGGGAGGTGACACGATACAGCGGGCGTAGGGGCCATTCTTTAACCGACAATTACGACACGGATTTGGGTTGACTTGTCCTGATAAGTAGATCATCAAGGAACAATGGTCAATAGCTGTCCTTGGTTTGAATCCACCTTGCTGTCTATATGCATTCCATTCGACTTGACGTAAGGTATGCTGCTCTGCCAAAGCTTGGGCGAGCGGGTGAACCGGGAGTGGCGTATTTTTCATCTCATCCGGTAGAACTTCCAATGCGCTTTCCCAGGTACTTAGATCACTATGGAATGCCGAACCATTCGTTGCCGGGCCATTTATTGCCGGACCCTCATTTTCATCTACGTGGTTGGAACCGTCTCCTTGTCGACTACTACCTTTAGAAGACCGTAAGTTATGGGTATGGCGTACAGACGGAAAACCATAATACTCACTATTAGATTGGATATTTTCGGGTGAACTCGTGTGTCTCGAATACCACGTTGCAGCAGCAGCATTGATGATGGAGCGAAAATCGGAATCCGCCTGGTTGTCTGTCATGGCGAAAGTAGGTGCGTTAATGAAAGCATCAAGTTAATCGAGGCGTTAAATTGACATGAATGTATTCCGTAGATACCTAAGGTATTTAAGTTGGAGAAGGAATAAGTGTGGTGTGTTGAAGATAATGAGGAATATCAATGCATAACAATCTGTTTGTCACGAAGAAATTCCGAGTCTTTCGATATGAAGTATTCGGTACCTGTCCTTTTTCCTTTTAGAGATCAATAAATGAAGTCAATTTGACCAAATGCTTAGAAGTTAAATCTTGAACTTTTATATTTAAATAAACATACCTACCTTACATGTAGTAGGAATGAATGAAGCTATGAAGCTGTGAAGTTGTACGTAGAAGCTCCACATTATGTTTTTTAGGGAATTATGCATGTACATGTAAGCCTTAGGGAATCGAGGGGCAGTTACAGAGGGTATGTACCACGTTAACCCCACATACCCATTCCTTCTGCAGCATTTTACCACTCAAAACATTAGCTGTATGTGTAACACCGTGCTGTAATTTATATCAATACATATCGACTGTAGCAAGAGGCACTTGATTTTTAAAGTTTGGGTGTCAATAGCATAAACCTAACCTAATGTTTGTGCGATATGGCATTATATACCTAATTTTATGTTAGGCACCTAAAGAGGTACATGTATTTATGTAATAGAATTGATTATGCATCTCTCTTTAGCTATCGATAATGAGCTGGGCTTTCTAATAAAAACAACAACCAACTTAATGTATTCCCATCTTGACATCTTGACATCTTAACACCTTGATTCATGAGGATGAAGCTACTGCTCTCTTCTCGATCTCAACTAACTGCAGCGCTAGATCCTTGATAGATTCTGCAGCCGATCTATACTTTACGCCCAGTACCTCTTCGGTTTCAGGGGCGCTTGCTCCGTAGAATCCCTCCGGTTTCTGCGTCTTCTCTGGCTCGCCTACGGGTATCACGTCTCGCTTTTCTGGCAACGTCTCGCGCAGATAGTTGGCCATTTCCTGCTGACTTAATTCGCCTGCAACGACGAACCATCGTTTGTTTGCAGCCTCGGGTTTAGTAGCAGCCAGTATGTGAGCTCGTGCAAGGTCGCGTACGTCAACCCAAAGATATAGGAATGTAGGAGGAACGGGATCAGTCGACTTCAAGCCAGGCCGTAACAAAGCCTGATAAATTAAGCTTGTGCTCGTATTGAGATCTTCTGGCTTGGCAATTTGAGAGGCGTCAAAGAGTGGTCCGTAGACTCCGGGCGGGTTTAACGTCACCAACTCAAAGTTGCCTTTACCCTCTTTTACAAAATCCCACGCCGCCTTCTCCGCGAGCGCTTTACTAGCCGGGTATGTTACGTTCGGGTCATCCGTTGCTAACGCTTGTTCAAACGTCGTAGGGTTCCAATCATCTCTTGTAAAGATTCTTTGGGGGTTTGCGATTGGGTTTCCAGCCATATCACCAATAGCAGCGAACGATGATGTGACGACGACCCGCTTGACGCTTGGTGCCACGCGGGTTATACCCGACAGAATTTCTGTTGTGCCTTTAATAGCTGGGTCTAAAAAGTCTATGCTCTTAACCGCCCGGATGAAGAAAGGCGAGGCCGTATGGAGGACGATGTCGAACGGCGGGTTAGATACCAAGACGTCATCGAAGGCGCCGGCAACAGTGATATCGGATACGACACCAAAGTCTAGCTGCGGCGTGTCCACATATTTGCGAAAGCTCTTTTTGAGGACGTCAATCTTAGACTCCGAACGAACGACGGCGCGTACCGAGAACCCCGCTTCAAGTAGTTGCGACAAAATATGCTGCGCAATATAACCGTTTGCTCCCGTAAGGAGAACTCGATGCGGTGCTGCCATTACAGTTATTTGAGCTCAAGGAATTGGTGGTTATGGGTTCCTTTCGAAAACTTGGAATGTTTTTTCAAAATGGTTGCGAGAGGTGAAAAGGGGGAAGAAAGCTATGTCAAGGTGTTTCGGTAATCCGGAAGCTTCAAGTATCATATAGATGGCACCCTTTATACTCTACATAACCCGATGTTTTCACCCGAGCGACTTGATCTAGACTAACGCCATAAGTTATATCTAGGAGGTAAGTAGATCACTAGGTTACTCCGATTCGGTAGTTGACTCTAAGCCTACTCTACCGCATATAGCCAATTTTGAAACATATAATACAATTAACCTAACCAGACCAATACCTCGGCATAATTGTTAGCTCCGGTTTAAGCATGAGACCCCATCCGGATCCCGTCGTCTTTATTGGGTCTTATCCTGGAATCCAAGGTTCGGAACTAAACGGCGAATTCGGTTGCACCGTGCCCGGCGCCGCATGACATACTTAACCTACGCCGCATTCTACCCCATTTACTATGTAGACGCAGGAATTTACGGGTTTAAACAGATAAAAGCCATTAACAAGCCATAACGAGCTAGGATTTAATTGTACTATTAATCAGCAAATATATGTTAAAGCCGATGGTCATGATTCATAATTTTCAGAGTTTACGTCATATTTGCCTTTCCACCGCCGTTCCGAGGCTTCGGAAACAGCATTGTCTTATTGCTTTTTAACTAGGCTGGCAATATGACATCTTTGAGCATTAATTGTTTCGCTTGGGTAACTATGAGCATTAAGTGAATATGATGATAGTTAAAAGCTCAAGTGTTATAATTCTAGAATAAATAATAGTTTTGGGATATACGACTAGTAGTATTCATAACACATTGGTATAATGAGTCTACTTCGTAATACTAAGGTAGGTAGGGATACTACAGGACTACCAGCTCGGTGTCCTACGTAAGTTCGAAATCTTACCGCGCTCTCTTTAAACATAGTCATCGTTTACTAGTTACTACATCAAGTTTTAAGTAGTAAAATAGGGATAACTTTTCCAATCAGCTATGAGGACACAACTTTATTATTATTAAGAACAATAAATAATGATATTATCCGAGATTAATTCATTATATTAGATAGTTATTAAGAGTTTGACTAGACTCTAATCTCATTGCAATGAGAAGTCATGAATGAATTCGGACGTTTTTAAGTTAGTCTTCAGATAATAAACATATTTAGAACCGGTGGCTATAGGAATTTACAGTCGTGTTACGTTGAAAAGAGCTGTAATATATGACCAATACCAACTCAAGATCTCAACCTGGGTATGTGTTTTTGACAGTATATATGTGACCTAATCATAATCGTCAAGTCCAAAGCCGTTAGCATAAAATCGTTGTTTTCTTTTGTGCTTCTTAAATAACATATAGTTCTTTAAATATATCTAAACCTTGCCCTCCAATTCACAATCAGTTGGGTACTGTAATGATATCGATTCGCATCTTGTGGTTTGCAACTGATTTCAATCTTCAATTTAAATAAGCGTTATGACATTGCTCACGATAATACAAACCAGTTACTTAAATACTTGTATAGACCTCATATTCGATTCCAGAAGATGTATGAATTTCTATGGTGTCCTATATAACTAGTACGCTACCACAACATCGAGAATATATCTTCCATATAGCTGCTTAGGATTGATATACACGACATGGGTAAGCACAACTTCCGCCTATAATACGAGATCGTATAAAACAGTGTATAGACTAAAACACCATGCTCTCTAATCACTGACTAGTCCGTCAACGAACTAATCGATCGGTCCTATTTCCTATTTAGCACTCTACAAAACCTAGCGAACTCGGGGCAAATTCACGACGAACATTGTAACCGACGTAGCAGCACCTTGCATCCAAGCGTTTTAAGACTACATACCAAGACCCTGTCGGCAGCTGTATAACAACAGTAACCAGAGCTAATGGTTGGACAGGAGAAACCTCGGAGCCCCCCTATTACGGCGCGCTACTGGGAAATCTTCGGACGGGAGCGCGGGTCAAGCGGCCCGTGACCCGGCGTCGATCTACACTACTTTGATAGAAACCACTTCAACCTTCTTTTCCTTGAATGGCTTGTTTCCCCCCCGATTGTGTTCCGGTTTTGAGGGTCACAATTCATACGTTTGGGGAAGGAAGGGGGTGTTTATACCTTGCCAGGGAAAAATGCTGGAGGGTCACAGACGATGGGACGGCAGACGAGAGCCGATCTTACATGACCCCACGAAATACGCTGCCAAGCTGTAACTTCTATGAATTATGTATCCTACTTGGTTAACGTTAGTCGTACCTCCTTGTACGCTATCTGTTGTTGAACCTTGTATGTGATAGGAAAGTAGTGGGCGGTAGCAGCGGTGGGCTTAGTTTCGAGCTATAAAGGTAGTAATAAGTAATACGTTATTCCTTGAGTAGCTTAAAGCATAATCTCCTCCTCTCTACCTTTCTTCCATCTTTTCTTCACTGTCCTAGATACTCGGTAGCTGTTGTTATCATCACTACTTTTTCTCTACGAGCTGTCGTCGAGACAAAGTAAACATGGCGGATATAAATGTAGAGCAGGTTCTCAAGAAGCTCTCTATGAGCGACAAGGTTGATCTTCTGGCAGGTATCGACTTTTGGCATACAAAAGGCCTCCCAGAACACGGTATTCCTTCGTTGCGTTTAACTGACGGGCCCAATGGTGTCCGTGGTACCAAGTTCTTTAATGGTATTAAAGCTGCTTGCTTTCCTTGTGGAACCGGATTAGGTGCTACTTTCAATCTTGAACTTCTAGAAGAAGCAGGAAGGAAAATGGGAGATGAGGCCAAGGTAAAGGGAGCACACGCAATCTTAGGGCCTACTATAAACATGCAGCGAGGTCCTCTAGGTGGCCGAGGATTTGAGTCGCTTGGCGAAGACCCTTTCCTAGCTGGGTTGGGTGCAGCTGCGCTCGTCAGGGGTATCCAGTCAACCGGGATCCAAGCTACTATTAAGCATTTCGTCTGTAACGACCACGAACACAAACGAAATGCTGTTCAAGCAATCATCACAGAACGAGCACTGCGTGAGATTTATGCGCTGCCGTTCCAACTAGTCGTTCGCGATTCCAATCCGGCGTCGTTTATGACAGGTTATAATGGAGTTAACGGGACGTACTGTAGCGAGAACCCCAAGCTTTTGGACCAGATGCTACGTGGGGAATGGGGTTGGGATGGAATGATCATGAGTGACTGGTACGGCACATACAGCACTACAGAGGCGGCCATAGCTGGTCTTGATCTTGAGATGCCTGGTCCGCCACGGTTTAGGGGCGAGCCGTTGAAGTTTAATGTCTCAACCGACAAAGTTCGCACCCATATCCTAGATCAAAGAGTGAAGGCTATGTTGGAATTTATCAAAAAGTGCGCGGCTAGTGGCGTGAAAGAGAACGCCCCTGAAGGTACAGCTGATACCCCTGAAACAGCTGAGCTTCTTCGACGGATAGGCAATGAGGGTATTGTTTTATTGAAGAACGAGAAAGATATCCTTCCCCTTAAAAAGGATAAGAAGGTACGATATTCTCCATCAACTCTGCCCAGAATGTAACGTTCTAATAACTAATTGTTTGATATTCATAGACCGTAATTATTGGACCAAACGCCAAGGTTGCAACATATCACGGAGGAGGATCCGCGTCTTTGGCTGCATACTATGCCGTGACTCCATTCGACGGTATGAGTAACAAGTTGTCTTCGCCTCCGGATTATACAATAGGCCAATACTCACACAAGTTGTTACCACTGCTCGGTTATTCAACTAAGTCAGGCCAGGGTGCACAGGGAATGACCATGAAGGTTTACACAGAGGGACACGATATTCTGGATAGACAACCAGTTGACCAACTAGAGCTTCTTAAGACGGAGATGCTACTAATTGACTACTCGAATCCGAACGTGAAAGGTCCTCTCTGGTACGCAACTCTTGAGGGATCGTTAGTTGCTGAGGAAGACGCGACCTGGGAATTCGGCGTTGTTGTGTCCGGATCGGCAAATCTTTATATTAATGACGAGCTAATCGTCGACAACACCACAAAACAGACATTAGGCGAGGCTTTCTTCGGTAGTGCTACGGTCGAAGTAAAGGGGACCTACAAGTTGGAAAAGGGAAAGACATACAACTTCAAGGTTACGTTTGGATCAAGCCCAACGTCCAAATTGGGAGGCGGTGCGGTTCTTCTCAACGGCGGCGCACTCAGGGTTGGTGGCTGCAAGATTGTCGATCCCAAAGCTGAGATAGCGCACGCTGTCGAATTGGCTCGGGGTGCTGATCAAGTCATTGTATGCGCCGGTCTTAACGCGGAATGGGAAACCGAAGGCAATGACCGCACCGACATGAGCCTCCCTCCTGGATTAGATGATTTGATCGCTGCTGTCGCGAAAGCTAATTCTAACACCGCGGTTGTTATGCAGTCCGGAACACCGGTAGAGATGCCTTGGATCAACGACGTAAATGCTCTTATCCACGCTTGGTACGGCGGTAACGAGACGGGAAATACCATTGCGGATATTCTCTTCGGTGATGTGAATCCTTCTGGAAAGCTTAGTCTTAGTTTCCCAGTCCGCGTCCAGCATAATCCAGCATATCTGAATTACCGAACCGAAGGCGGTCGAGTAATCTACGGCGAAGACATCTATATCGGTTACCGATACTACGAATTTGCTGATCGCGAGGTCTTATTCCCTTTCGGACACGGCTTAAGCTATACAAGCTTTGCCTTTTCAGACCTGTCGGTAACCGAGAAAGACGGGGAATTAACTATATCAGTTGCCGTTAAAAATACAGGCAGCGTAAAGGGTGCCGAGGTTGCTCAGGTCTACGTGGCGCCTAAACAGAAAGCTAAGGTAAACCGACCAGTTAAAGAACTCAAGGGTTTTGCCAAGGTAGAATTGGCACCGGGCGAAACTAAGACAGTTTCTGTAAAGGTTGCGAAGAAATACGCGGCCAGTTACTGGGACGAAGAACGAGATCAATGGTGCGTCGAGGAAGGCGAATACGATGTCATTGTCAGTGACAGCAGTGATATTAAAGAAAGTAAAGCCGTGAAGGGTTCGTTCAAGGTGGCCGATACATTTTGGTGGACTGGGTTGTGATGAATTCTGAATGAATTCCAATATGGGAATTGTTGCCCATGAAATGTAACGAATGTTGATGAAAGTTATGGCGAGGCGTCTTATTCGAGATAGGTTTATTGGAGGAAAATATTTGATATGATTGAACGAGATGAGAAATAGATTTTACTTTTGTTATAGAAGAAAGAGTATCCTTAGTGTTGTATGAATCAGCAATACCTACTAGGTACCTGTAATAGTGCTAGTCCTTATGTAAGGTTAGGTACCTCTATATACATATGTACATCTTGGACCCTGAATGGACCCCGCAGTGGATCCGTAAAATAAAAACGCGGGGTACATTTCCAAGACGCGACGCGATCTTACAAGATCTTTCTATAAGTCAACTTAATTTGTAACCATTTCGAATAGTACCTAGGTAATCAACTATACAAATAATAACCCAATTAGAACACCATACTTCTCCCATGTATCACCACTCAAAGAATTAAACCCTTCAAAACAATGCGCCCTATATCTTAGCTCTACTATAAGAGAACACCACCACTACCATCACCATCACCACCACCATCGCTATGGCGCCCCCCACGATCCTCGCCCACAAATCCTCCTTCCTTACCGCGCAAACCCTCCACTTATCCCAATCCCTCGCACCAAGTAACACATGGCGCACATCTAATCAGCGCGTTCCCGAAAACGGCGGCAGCCTAAGCGATCGCGTCGTCGACGAGGTGCTGTATCGCACGAATCATATCTTACAACAACACGCCCGCCGCGTGTATGCGCCCCAGGCTAGCCGGCATGTCGCGGAGCAGATCGAGACGTTGTACTTGGAGGCTGCGGAGAGAGCTGTGCGCGGGGAAGGCGGGAGAGGGGAGGATGATGAGGATGGGGAAGATGTAGGAACGGGGTCAGGTGGTAGAGGGCCCAAGTTTTTGATGGTGGGTGCGGACTTTGGTATGTTTACTTCTTCTACAATATTATATCATATCATATTATAAAAACACCAGCTAACCTATCTCTAATACAGCATCTGACGAGGTCATTGCTTCCCTCCCTAACACGTGGGACCAACACTCGACCTCGCAATCCGAAGCCCACCCCGCCGAAGCCCTACGCTACGCCGACCTCGCAACCTCGCTATCAATCCTCTCCTCGCGGCGACAAGAAACCCGCGCGCGCCTCGATCGTCTCCGTCGAATGCGCAACTTACTAGCCCCCTTTTCTTCCACCACAAATACTACTACATCTTCCTCCTCTTCCGGTCTAGAGTCCTCCAACCCGCAAAGTAGTGGTGGTGGTGATAGTGCAAACGAATCCGGCATCGAGAAAGTGCAACCGAACCTCGTCACGCGCGACGGCGAAATGGAAAAGGAACTCGAGCGCATGCGCGTGCTGCTCGTGCGTGTCGCCGCCCGCGTCGCCCAGTTACCGGACCCGGAGCCCGGCGAGGACGTCGCGATGGAGGATCTGGAGGCCATAGAAAGAGGCAAGGTTGAGAGGTTGCTTGACGGGCTCTGATATGTGTTAGAAATCTAGTTCTTTGATACTGCGTGTGGACTTGAAGATGAAGAAAGAAAGTGGCGTCTCGAGTTTTGGAGCGGCCAGTTGATCTGGTTTGATAGTCGACTCGCCATGACGTTACGGAAGAATAATGATACCCCCCTTTATACTAGTAGTACATATCTACATACCTCATACCTAGCTATACAAGGTCGATAATATGAGAAGAGATATTTATATTCAAGTAACTGAATGGAGTAGGTATTCTACTGGACTATTATTCTCAATCTCTACCTAGGTACCTGTTATAGTCATACAGGTTCCATTCTCCTTCATCCAATCATACTCGTAATAGCTTACTCCTCATAACTCATTATTCGGATCCTTACCCTAGCTAAGCTTGCGGCGTAAGAGACATGATGCTCTTCTTCCTCTGCTCCTGGCTACCTTCAAGCGTGGCATCCTTAGAACTATCATCGACGTCTAAGCCCTTAGAGGTCTTGGGCTCTTTTTCATTCTCCTCATCCTCATCCTCCTCTTCGCCTTTCTTCTTATCGTCCTTAGCGTAGGGGTTCGGGCGGACGACGCGTAGCTTTACAATCTCCTTGTCCCTATCCTCATCAGACACCTTGTAGTAGACGCGTAGACCGACTGTAGCGACAGCATTCCACGGGTCTTTCTCAAACTCGTCCTCTTCCTCCGGCGGCTCGACAGGAGGTGGTGGCGAAGGAGGAAGAGGGGCGACACTATTGGCGTGACGCTTGAACTCATAGTCCAGCTCTCGGTCGCTAATCTCGGAAACAGACGATATATCACTCTCATCAGACGAGTCATCCTCTTCATCTTCCGTCTCCTTTACCCCCTTCTCATCTGATTTTTTACCGACATTTGCCTTATTTGACGAAGTAACGCTGGAATCGGGCAGTCCTTCTGTACCCGGCTCAGTTTTGCCATCAACCTTCTCAGACTCAGATGTACCCTCTACTTTAGATTCCTTAGATATCTCGGGGTTTTCAGTAGGATGCTCTTTGGATGTCAACGGTGAATCTATAGCAGACTTTTCAGGCTCTGTAGAGGGCGTCTCCACTTTGGGATCTGTACTCGATTCAGAAGTCGGTTCCTTCTTAGGGTCCTCTGGCGTTGGGATAGAGCTTGGCGATAATACGTGAACGTGCTTATCTGCGGGTTCCGACGGTTCTTCCTTAGAACTGGTCTCCTGTTTGTCAGCCTCCTTGGCCTTTAACTTGTCGGCTTTCGCAGCCTTTTTGGCCAGTGCTTTGGCCTTGGCCTTAGCCTTCTTCTCCTGGTCCTTCTTATGATGTTTGACGCGGTAATAATGATTACGTTGCCGCATCTCCATGATCTTTTTCTTGAGTTCCTCACGCTCCTTATCCTCCTTACGCTTCTCCGCTTCCTTCCGGGCCTTCTTTTCTTCAGCAGACTCGATAATCTTCCCCTTGCTGTGAGCTAGGTCGTAGGACATGCCGACAGCAACTAGCTTGTCTCTACGATCCCGAGCATGGTTACGCACCACTTCTTCTATCGGTAGCTTACCCATATAACGAGTGGCATCAATTTTGAGCAAGACCGTATATTCGCCCTCTTCTAGCTCGAGTTCAACATTGACTGCGCGGTTCAGACGGATAGAGCTAATGCTGCGAACAACATAGTCTTCTTGGCCGTTCTTGTGCAGGCGAAAATTCAGTTCGAATCGGTACTGGCCTTCAAGGCCTCGGTAGTAGCGCTCATCTAGCTGAGAAAGTACAAGAACAACAGGCCCAGTCTTTGCGAGAGAAAATGCAAAGTATGTATCGTGATAGTCTAGTGTCCAGGGAACCGAGAGAGTCGTCCAGAGAGAGGTAACTTTCCACTCGGGCCCGAAAAGTCGAGTTCTATCAAAAGCCTGGTACTTTCGAAGTAGGTCATCATACGAGATCCAGAAATTCCCATCGTCACCGAACCGATGGTTGAGCTTGACCATCCACTCGGCTGTCCACTCTTTAGACCCGTCACTCCAAGGGCCGGTCCATTCACCTTTTCCCCAGGGGTTCTTGAGTAGGACAAGCCGTTGGCCGTCAATGTCCACAGCCTTCATTATCGAGTAGGCATGAAGCTCATAGATGCCCTTACGTTCTCCCCAACAAGCACCCCACATTCCCGTGGAGCATCCAAAGAGAAATTCATCATTTACCTTCATCAACTCTTCTTTCCAAAAATACTCCTTGTCAAGAATATCCGTGGTATAGAGCTACACAATGTCAGTAGGAAACCAATTTTAAAAGATATGACTAAAAGAGAAAACCTACCTCGGACGTAACTCCACCGGTGAGATCTTCGATCCCCTCTCCGGTGAAACCGCCATCTATCGATGCGTAGTCACCATGCGCTTTAGCATACGCCTTCTCGAGAAGTGGTAGCCAGGTCTCATTTTCGTGCTCGCACTGGGCGAAATAGAGAGCTCCGGATCCGCTCTGATATGCCTTTCGATATTGCTCCTCAGAGTTAATCCTTTCGCGGTCTTCCCAAAGTATCCGCTCGAGAAAGCTCTCATCGAAGTCGGGTTTGGTTAGGAACAACTTATCATCGATAATCTCTGAGATCCACTCGCCATCGCGGTGGAAAACAAAGCCGTAGACGCCGACCTGCTCGTCACGAGCTACGCAAACCTTCTCAATCAAACTAGGCTTGTTGCTGAGAGTACATAGAGCGGCGAGCAGCCAACAGTCACCATCACGACCTTGCCTGACATCATTGGCGGTGGGACCCTCGATATAGAACTTAGGGTCGTCAAAGATGTCTACAACACGCTTGACGCTCTTGGGCGTGAAGAACGATTCAGCTTTCTCCTTAGTGTTGCAAAGGGATTCTAGAGTATCTCGGCTACCCCATTTCAAATCGATCTCGAGATCGAAGTGCGGATCTCGATATTTTTGATTTACACGGCGACACTCCTTGACGATTTTGGCGACCTTGGCTCTACAGACAGCAGCAGCTTCTTCGTATGACGTCTGAGTATTTGTGCCAATAGCTTTGGTAGACCTCTTCGCCGCTTTCTCGGCATATTCGTTATGCGGGATAATAGTAGTTGCTAGTGTAGGTGAGTTAATAATGTCACGCTCGAAAACTAGTATACTAAGGTAATATGGCAATGAGGGTACGAACCTTTTCCGGGAGCTTTAGTTGTAAACTTTTTCCAAAATTCGTCAATCGCTTCCTGGGGGGTCTGCTTCTTAGGTTTCTTAGGGGTTTGCATGCTCACGGGCACCATGGCCATCACGGTACGGTCTCTAGCTTCACGGTCTAAATATCCTGCCTCCGAAGACGAGGCTGAGTCAATGTCGGACATGGTTGTTTTATTTTAGACCCAGGTGAGATAGCACGAGATCCTAAGTTACAAGTAACACGAAGACGTAGGGGACAAACAGTCACCTGGACCTACCTTTTCTCGTCAAGTCGAAAAGAGAAGAGAAGGTAAACGGAGAGAAATACAAATAGCTAGTACGATTAGCTATTTGACAAGCAGAGGAGGGGCTGTGCTAGTTCAGAAACAGCTAAGGGGGGAAAGAGAAAAATGATGGAGAAGGTGATATGTGTAAGTGAGAAGTAAGGGAAAAGGTGAAGGAAATATTTGTAACTTATAAACATAGGTTGACACTAGGACGAGGATTATGTAGTATGTAGACAGAAGAAAAATGTGGTTTACCGAGGGCAGAGGAGTCACGTCTGCATTAATTAAGGAATAGCTCAGCTCATGCAACTGTTTGTGATATTGTGACATGGTGTGATGCTGACTAGAACTTATACTACCAGTCTTGCTTATTGCATAGAAGTATACGAAGTAGAAGTAAAAAGTAGAAATACACCTACCTATGTTTAGACGATGCGACATTGAAGAAAGAAGATGGAGGGGAAAAGGAAAAGCTACTGAGTACCTAACTTACATATAACATGTAGCATGTACATATGTAGGTAAGAGGTAGGTACTACTATAATAGGTACTATAATAAGTACCTAACATAATAAGTACTATAATGTTCGGTAAGTGCTATACATACACTAGTAATTGGTCGTAGTTGTCGTAGCTATTGTATAAAATGGAATGTTGCAGGGCTCTATATGGGTCATAAGTGGATCTTATCCCGTAATGCTAAGATAAGTTTGGGAAAGCCTGGTTCAGCCTGCTTGTAAATTGGGGGCTAAAACTCAGATATTAGCCAATAGAAATTCTAGTACCCAGCCTTCATTTTATGGGTCTTTCTGTCTTACATTACATATGACATGATCTATCATACCGAATTTTCTACATAGTTACATCAAATAGGTAACATACATTTGATGATCTTCATGTTGAAAATATTTCCTCATTTGGTACGATCTTGCGGCTCTCGGAAATTATGAGAAACTAAAAGAAAAGATAGGTAACTACCTGTTAAAGAAAAGGAACCAATAATTAACCAACTAACAATAAACAAAGACTTATGAAAAGAATATGTAAATGATTACCTACCTATTTACTAAACAATACTTTTGTATAAAGCAATACTAATCTTGGTATATCTACCTCTCATGTAATCCATCTACTCTTAATATGGATAATTGAGAACATCTTCGGTTATGATCGGAACCCGCTGAAAATATGTTCATCCCACGAATTCCAGTTGAAATTCAGGGGAAGACTAATATTTTCATGTCTAACAAGGTCGACAAAGCGTAGTTGTCCTAGCCGTGGGCTCCCATCGGCGTTGGTCCTCGGAATATATGAATACCTTGGATTCAAGTCGATGATGGTATTGAATATTCTAGCATATTGCTGGCACCTGGCAGATTGAATCATCACGTCTATCAATTGCTCTTGGGTTACGCCTTCTGCGTCACCATAGCCCCCTTCGTATCTTATAAATGGAATAATGACTCTCCATATTTGATTTAGCAACTTCTCTGCTATATTGGCGGGGACTGGTTGTCCGGTTTTGGTCTGAATAAACCCGCTAAGCACCATAATACACCCCAAAATATTTCGGCCTGCTCCATCCGGATGACCATGCCAGGACACGCACTCAAGAAGATGATCGAAACCAGCTAACACATGGTCAATATTGTTCTGTACATCGGCGTGATTCCTAAGCATAAAGTCGACGGCAGTTGCAAATCCCATGTTACAGGCGGTATGAAATGGCAAACCAGTACAGACAATGAGGCATTCGATCATTTCTGTCGTGAGATCAAACTGGGAAAGATAACCATCTATTACAGGAATATTATGGATGCACATCTCGTCCAAGAAAAGGCTAAGGCCAAGTTCTGTTCGCCGCCTGAGGATAACTGCGACGGCGGTAATTTGGTTTTCCTTTATAGAATTTCCCAGTAACATTGAAGGTTTATCGATACCCCAGAGGTCTAGAGAAGGCACAGTGCTTGTCGAAATAGCCGTGTCGATGAGAAGTTCCAAGCATTTATATCCCTCGGGATTGCTGAGGCATTGCCTCATAGAATCGAAGTCGAGAACTTCTCGCACAACTGAACCAAAATCCACTATGTGCGACCAACCCTGTGGAGCTCTCACATTACTTGAAACTACTATATCACGAAAAAAAGTTAACAATTCAAGATTACCATTTACGAAAGCATACTCAATCGGTTGAAGAGCACGATATCGATGTGGATTCTCGTAAACATATCTTACGGCGTGGTTGAAGACCGCACTGTTTAGTCTCCTGTTCATACGTCCCATTCTGAGACCTTGCCAGATCTCCATCTCCTGGGCAATTCTCACCATGACGTCGAAATGAAGCTTTGGCTCCATTGTGAATTCTTGGTTTTTGATACGCAGATATTAAGAGATTATGGGTTATGATGATGAATTCAGGTTTTGTACCGAATATGATATGTGAATATAGGATAAAATTATCATGTCGGATATTTCTTTTCTACTTTAGTACTTATACTAAAAGTTTTCAGCGTTGTTACATATTTGTATATCCCTGTTGGTTCGCTGTGCTTTAAAACTAAGATTGACAGATCAAACAAGGCGATTGTTTTTCTACTATGATAGGTAAATTAGGTATTTATACCCTCATGACTTCGAATGCTGTTATTAGTGTTGACCTTCAAGGGTAAGTAATATTAGGACTAATAAATACTATCAGCAAGGAATGTCACATTTACAAGAATAAAGGAAATGTAACATTATGCGATGGCTATGGAATCGAAGCGATTATTACACGTTAGTCAGCTTACATTTACCAATTCTAGGTATATCAAGCGATATTGCGGACTATTCGACTGTATAGTCATAACATACCTATTCGTGCTTTTATGTTCTAGGATATATGCCGCGATTCTCTTAGTCAGAACATGAATAGTATTTCGTCAATGGATCTAGTCACTCCAGCTTTGGATATATTCTGCGAATTATTAGAATAAGGATCATATTCGCGATCATACGTCAAGTAGATAGTGAAGAGGAAGCAACATGTGTATATAAAAATCAAGCATGCCATCGAGTTCTTGGTTCTCGGGACACTTGAATCAGCTCATTATAGGATATAACTCTAAACGCCTATGACATCCATTATCACATTAAAACGACATTCTCTATTATTGATATTATCACTACAAACTTCTTCAGCATAATGCGTCTCGCTCAACTTCTCTCGATTCTTTCCCTTGGACTGGGTGTCTTTGGCCAAACCCGCGAGTGCTCGACTCGAGATGATTGCACAGGGAGCAAAGTTTGCCGGCGTAGGTGAAATAGCTCAAGCGAATACTGACTTGTTGTCTTTAAACGCTCTATTGCGAAACACGATACTAATATTATCGTATTTGCAGATAAAACCTGTCAATATTATGAGAGTTGGATCTGTACTGAGCCAAGTGACCCAGCCTGTAATAATGGGGTTCAAGATGAGTGCTACCATGACTGTGACAAATGAAACATTGTGCTGGGTACGGAGGTATATGTGGTATATATGTGGTATATACCTATTGATTGGGACGTGTACATTAAAAAGGCTTCGTTTATTGACGTCGATAGAATATTATCTCAAACGCTCATTACCAGTCAATACAATTTTCAATATTCCGTTTGCTTTTATACTTATAACCTCCAGAGTCTTGAATACGGGAATATAACTAGTTCTGTTTCGCTTTTACAAGGCTGAATATAGCCTTCTGGAATTCTCCATGGAGAGCAATGACTTTAGGATGCATGGGCGGAATAATCTGACAGACTGCCGTTCCACAGATACCTGTCTCATGGTCAATAAACCACATACAACTCGGGAACCCACCCCAAAACACGGTATTTGGCGCGAACCAGCCCTCATGGCCTTGTTTCACTACTAGGCCTGCGAAGCTCCACGTTTTCCTGATAGACAATGGAATCTGTAGACCGAGGTATTGCGTCTTTTCCGGCGAGGAGGCGATATCGTCGTTTAAGCTCTGCTCTAGCTTTTCATCAAGCTGCGGGCGGAATAGTTCTTCATACAACGCAGGTGATAGGAGCTTCGGGTCTCGTCTAAATACAGCGGACAGAAACGTGTAATATGCCCTTGGAGTCGCGAATACGCCTGCACCCCCTAGGCAGTCGGACGCTCCACCCTTCATATCGAAGTCCGAGGCATCCACTGCCGGCGGTTCTCCCTTTTCGTTGAGCGTACTAAGGTCAGCTACCCTATCTTTCATGCCGTCCCTCGCTTTTGGAAAGAAACTAGCGTCATTTTCAATTCCTAGAGGCGTCCAGATACGCTCTCGCATGAATTCGTCGAGGCTAAGGTGGGTAACAGCTTCGACTGCCTTGCCAGCCCATTCAAAGTTCACACCGTATGAGAATCCCGTGCCCGGGGGGTACACTAGAGGCAAGGTAGCTATATGCTCAGCATCTGGGCCGGAGAATGGCCTTTCGCCGCGTGAGGCGCGCCATTTCATAAGCAAGGGGTTGAACCAATCGTACTCGTGGCCAGATGTATGAGTAAGTAGCATCCTGAGAGTGATAGGGATGGAGTTAGGCGTAAATACGCCAATATTTTTGTCGTCGTCGAAGCCAGTAATAATGCCGTATTTTCCGATATTAGGAAGCAATATCTTGATATCCTTGTCTAGGTCCAAAGTCCCGTCTTGGACACATTGCAGAGCAGCGACCGCAGTCATAAGCTTGCTCATAGAAGCAATACTGCTGATTGTGGCATCCGTGTAAGGAAGATCAGTGCCCTCTTTGAGACTTGCCTTTCCAAAGGACTTGGAGTAAATCTCATTGCCTATTTAGTAGTATTAGCAGTTGAATATAAACAAGTGTTGTTAAAGTATTAATTCAATGTCTTTGAGTACTAAATAGCTATCTTATACGCAGCCTCTCACCACCTAACATTTGCATTAGGCGTATAATTGGAGAGAATATTTACCGTCTTTATCTCCTGCAATAATTGAGACGCCAGGAAGTAATCCTGAAGCTATAGCATCTTCATACAGTCTTTCAATATTTTGCGTCATGACTGAAACTATGATTGGCTATAAGTTTAAATTGAATACGGTAGGTTATAAGTGGAACGGGGGTCTTGGTAAAAATACGTAATTAGATATAATAACCTTGAAGTAGTGTTATGTAGTGACAATCACAACACAGAGGATACAAAAGACGTGAGGGGTTGGAGATGGTGGATAGAAGATATACTGGTCCATCAGGCGATTGGTCAGCATGGCGTTTTGTCTCCAAGGGAAAATCACACCCCTATAGGTTAGTGGATAGGATCTATAGCTGAATACGTTAATGCATAACTGGATCCTTCTCTCTTTTATAATGTCTACTTAAGCAAGACATGACTGTAATTAGGTACAAGGTGAATCATAAGTATTGACAACGAATTATGCTACTTATATGGTATGTTGTGTATATATACCTTATATCTATCGTTGAGACTAATATGTAAATAGTTCTATACTAAGCTTTACCTCAGATATCACTGTGCCCTATAGAAAGATCATACTCTGTGTTTAAGTACTCTAGTTTAGGAATTCCTTTACCCTTTCCTCACACCATTCGAAATACTCCCTTGCCCGTCCCGATCCCCCTTCTTCTTCCCCCCTCAGTGCTAGGAGAAGATCCTCTCTCTGTCCTGGATGCCATCTTCCGTCACAAATCGCATACCGTCCCGTCACCGCATCCTCCATAGTGACCGAGTCTGAGAACGCCGTCCAGAGATACGTGTAAGCACCGTACACAGGATAGCGGAGGATAGGTCTAAGAACATATCCAAGTAACGCAGAAACGTGACGCCATATTCCCGTAATATAGTTTCCCGGGTTGGTAGCAATATGGACAACTCCCGTGCCGAATACTCCAGCCTCGGATTGACGACGTGCGAATTCTGAAGCCAGGAACCAATTTGCGGTTTTAGAAGAGGCGTATAGCTCATTTTGATTCTTAATACTGAAGGGGTCCTGTAAATATTCTTTCCGGATCCCACCACGAGGACTTAACACGTCGACAAGAACTGACGCAGCCCACACTACGCGCACCGTATCCTTAGGAGACTTCTTAGCTGTTCTAGACATAATAGGGGCGAGTAATCGGGTGAGTAAGTGGTGCCCAATAGAATTAGTAGCAAAATGATATTCGTGTCCCTGGGGAGTTTGAGGAGCATTTTTCCGAGCGCCAGTACCCGCATTATTGAATAAGACATCGAGTCTCCCATCTGGCTCCTCGAGCGACAGAAATTGTTGGGTGGCGTTTTTGACACTTTCAAAATCTGCCACGTCCATTTGTATGAAATGTAAGCTCCCCGTCTTCACATTCGAACCCCCATCTTGGTCATAGTGTGCCTTTATGCGGGTAATAGCATCTTCAGCATTGTTTTTCGATCGTGTAAGCATATATACTTTGCCACCCGCGCCGTACAAGATCCGTGAAGTCTCATATCCTATCCCTGATGACCCGCCTGTTACGATGAACACCTTGCCGGCTTGGCTTGGTAAGTTGGTGTCTGTTAGCGGTGCGCTATTGCGCGGTGGGAAGAATTGTGTCCAAATTGCTCCGAGAGACATATTCGAGTGCTGGTAAAGGAACAATAAGAAATGGAGTTGTTGTGTAGAAGATAAGGAGAGACAGTCGCGAACCCCTAACCTAGGTTTGTGTCATTCGTAGAGATCCAATTACAGTTAGAACGACGGACACCCCTGACGACGGAATACCGGGGCGGCGCGGTATCAAAAGTGGTTGGGTAGTAATATTAAATTGTGACCCAGTAACATTGTTATGTACACGCAAGTTTATGTGCTAGGTATTCGTAAGCTAACGAATCAGAACGCCTCAACTTTGGTCTAATGGAATAAGGTGGAAACTCCGGGCATGTTATAAGACCTAAGATATGTAGAGATGACCCTTTAGAGAAGATAGTTACAGTTGGACTTATCTATCCTAGTATTATATTCATCATAATAAGGTAAAGAATATAAACTTATAATTATAACATCAGCATCTAGGTAGGTCCATAAAGGAGGCCGAATAAAGGGGGAGGAATCTGATAGACATGTATCAGGCACGTGATCAAGGTTATAAGTCTCTTCGTCAACTCATAGCTATGGAACGACCTACCTAATTCCTCGTAATTATCTCATTGTTACTAGAGACTCTTTCCTGCTTGAGTAAATTTTACTCAGAATATAAATTTACGCGGAGTCTAAACTCTAGTGCTCCTCTATCATTAAGGGGAAAGGTTATTGAAAAAATATTCACATAGATATTGAGCTACATAAGGTAAAGTTAACATCCCAAAATTCTAGTCCGAGCCAAACAATAGGCCAAGAAACGTAACCCTACATCGTATATGTTAAGATCTTCCACTGTAATGAGACTGGTGCGGAAAGATTTCATCCAAATAGCATAAGTAAAACATTGCCTCCGAATTACAAGGGACTCAAATAAAACATAGTATTGTCAAGCTTAACTTGTAAAATCATCCACTCATCCCGCCATCAACCGGAAGAATCGCGCGAGTGATGAATTTGCTCTCGTTGCCTAAGAGGTATCCAACCATTGCAGCCACCTCAGTCATTGGTAAGTACTCTTTTAATAGCACTGAGTATTCTGCGAAGTTTATCTCAGGCTTGTCCTTGCGCAGCGTGTCTTGCATTCCCCCGTCCACGAAGCCCCTGGAGAGAATGGTAGTTAGTTACTAAGGAGTCATCTGATATTCGTAGAAGGGGGGAAGCCAAAAGCAGTGAAATACATAGTCCTCTGTATACCAGCTCCAGTTCATGAAACTGGGAAGATAAGAAATAGTGTATACTTACGGGCACACCGCATTAACCCGGACATTGCGGTGCGCGTGCTCGGCAGCGGCTATTCTACTCAAACCAATGACCCCGTGCTTAGAAGCTGCGTAGGCTGGCAAGATAGGAGTCCCGCGTATGCCGGAAGTACTAGACATGTTCACAATGCTACCGCCATCTACGATAGCGCGTAGTTGGAACTTCAGACAGTTAAACATGCCAGTTAAGTTGACATCAATGACTCGAGACCAGTTCTCGTAGCTCATCTCCGTTATCTGGTTTCCGTCACCAAGGATTCCTATTTCGTTACATCTCGATAGTTAGTCAATGTGTTATAGTAAAGTTGGAGGAGGAGATGGGAAGTATGGATAAGTATGGACAAGTTTGAGAGGGGATATCTATCTAGATGGCTATATATCGTAAATTCAGATCAGCGTACCAGCATTATTAACACATCCGTCGATCCTTCCAAACTTCTCCTTTGACGCAATGACCCATTCCTCGACGGACTTTGGGTCCGTGACGTTCACAGTCCATGTCGACACTTGAATATCGGGGTAAGCTTCAGAGATACGTTGTGCCGAGGAGTTGAGCTTGTCTATCTGCAAATCTGCTAAAGACAAAGTTGCACCACGTGCCGCGATGTAGTCACTTATAGCTACCCCGAGCCCTTGGGCCGCCCCCGTGACGAGTATAACCTTTCCTTTAAGGGGCTTTGGGTCTGCCATTAGCCGTGAGATCAGTCAGGAATAAGCTAGGAATTTGTCTAGACTGTAGGAGGGGTTCTACTCGGGTTAACTAACAGAGACGTAAATATTGCGGGATACTCATACTTTTATAGATAAATATTTACTCCAACTTCAGAGAACTACCTAGAGATGGGATAGCGGCGTGTTACACAAGCCCGCTCCCCCGGATGATATGGGTAATAGCTAAACATTGGCTACACAACTAGCTACGTAGCCAAAGCGAGTAAGATTCATGATAGGTGAGTTCTTCATATATTATTCAATAGGTCGTATTTATTCCCGCGGTAACCCAACATTTTTCGATCATTGACGTAGGTATCACGCCGGATGCATGCATATGCAGCTGAGGTTGGACATCTCTGTCGGACAATACGTTCGAATGATCTCAGTAGGCTCGTATTATTGGTAGATTGTTGACTACTCTTGCTTACTCTCTCGGCTTAGTCCCCGAGAATAGGTAGATTGTCGATAATCGTATCGTTCTAAGGTGAGGGGGTGTTCTAAAAAGGGGGTTGTTGAAGATATAGTTTACCGGGCATAGCATAACGAGTATAGATCATCTCCAACTATCTATACCGCGAATGGAAGTAGACTCACTTCCCCATGTAATAGTTGCTATACCGGAGTTATATTAAAACAAACCTAAATATCTTCCGATGTCTAATATAGAGTCAATTATTAGTTCAACATGTCTTATTCTATCGGACACAATATCTAAAGGAGAAAGACGAAAATAGACATGTATAGTATTACATTAGAATACATAATAAGTAATGGATTCGGTGAATAGGTGTGATGAACCCCGATGCACACGACCTTCTACATACTCCTCTATTCTCCTCTATTCTACCTCGGCTTTGCTCCCAGCCAGGGGCCGTTGAATACCGAAGCTAGAAATGAACTTGATGAATGCAAGTCCATAATCGGTAATCAGCCAGACCGGTATCTGCATTATGGTACATAATACCTAAAGATATAAGAAAAGAGTATGATATTTAATATGCATTAAGAAACAGTTGTCTCCGAGTTGGGTCACAAGACACGGGAAGTAAAGAAAATATTCGCTGATTTCAACTAAGTACCTAACCTAAGGTATGCATGGTTAACATACCTTATATATCATACTTGACCGAACTAACTATCTAACTCAACTATTTAAGAACTTTACTGTTAATATTTAATCCTACTGGTATAAAAATATACCTCTCTGCTTTAGGCTTTATTGGTCACTCTGAGCACTTCGCGCTGTTCGATCTTGCCTTTGGATTCTTCCGGCCGTTCCTCCTCGTGTTGTTTCTAAGTTGTTGATAGCAAGTTCATACATTCGACAATTTTTCCAGCCATATTTTCATATATCTTAACCTATAGCGGGCGTTCGAAGCCGACGAGGAATGTCACTGTATATTATCAAGCTCGATCTCGTATAGATTCCCGTGATAATACATTGCATTGCAGGTTGGCTTAAATCCGCTTTTGGTGAGCCGATATACCTTGTTTTCGCATATCACAATCCATCTATGAACCGAATTGAGCAACATGCCGTAGTGATGGGCACTGCTCCAACTGCATTCTAATGCGTCGTGCATTGCGAATACGAAAAAAAAACAGGATCGTTAATTGCATTGAGGACGTACATAGAGGAGATAACTAAGTGAAAGTGATAATGTAGGGTAGCCACCTCGTCCTTTCAGGTCTAACTCCTAGCCGACCTATATATTAGGGAAGAAGTCAATCCAGACCCCTTAATAGATCGTCGTAGGCACTACTACTTACAAGAAGCCAACGGAATCCCCCCCTCGATATCCTCTTTTTAACACCGGCGGCTTGTCTGGTGGCAGACCTAATGAGAAATTCACGATTCTCTGGAGTAGGTCGAAGAGAATGGCTGTTACTGTTGAAGATTACAAGCCGCGTAGAATCTAAACAGAAGATTGGCCACTATATATAGGAGGTACCTATTAAAGAAACTTGGCCATATACCTTCTTGAAACAGAATAATTACTCACTTGGATTGTCACTGCTTAGTAGAATAATTACCTAAGTTAGGTAAGGAGTAAGAAACTGCAATCTTGTTTCCGAATCCCCATTGCTAATGCTTAGAGTTAATACTCAGAGTTACCTGCCTTAGCTAAAGACCCGGTGGACATTTCCTCGAGTGAGGCAGCCTAGAATTCCACAGTTTTAAATTGGTATTGAATTGTTCGTCATATTAATGCGTCAAGTGGAGGGGTTTCCTCTGATGTCGTTGGACAGTCTAATGAGACCGGTCAGATGTATTTCATGCATATCCCCGTCTCCTAATCCATTGCCCAAGTATGGTACACCTGTATTTGTCCCATATCGTACATGCTTTGCAATTCATGATTCCCTCTCATCTCTTGGCCAGTGCACATTTATACTCTGAATCGGGAGTTAGTGTTTTGCGTAGATAGTTGATTAAAGTTTTAATTATATATCTCACGGTGGAAGAAGGTATTCGCTCCAGGGACTCGCTAGGAAAGCTACCGCAGCCTAGAGCATGTGTTAGTTACTAATATATTTGGTAGTTAGAAGGGAACATACACCGAAGATTGCTACGCTCCGTACAACGGAAGCATTTTCGGGAGATGTGAAAGCTTCGTAAGTCGAGCTAACAACGCCCTTGTTGGAACGACCACCGACTCTCTTTGGAGGCATTATGAAGGTATGTGTCGAGAATAGTAAAATGGGTAAATGGTAGATTCGACTGTGTGATGTGATGTGAAGTGAAGTGATATGCGATGATGATATCGAATACAAAAAAAAAAAGAATTGGAGAATAAATTCAAGGCTGAATAAAATCCGGGCTTAAGTTACGCTATTCCGTTGGCGGGACAAGTGGAGCTTTTGTGTGGGGACCTTGCTTATGATCTTTATGGGGCGATATATGGGGAGATATATGGGGCATGTTGTGGCTTATGTGCAGCTGACAGGCTAATGCTGTACCTAATGGCGTCACAAGGCTGAAGTCGATTATTTAACTTTCCCATTTCCCATCATTTAAATCCCAACTTAAATTTATCTTATTTACATCAACTATAGATACCTATTCATAACAGGTATATATACGTCTCCATGATCGTAATCCAATACTCAAATATCATATATTCTTCTAAAGTCACATTTGAAAATGGTTGAAACACCTCGATTCGCTTACGGCAATGCCGGTGGTTTCTTACCAAACGGCACCTCATTGCCTTCTCCTGCTCCTAGTACAGCATCTAATAAGGTAGCCGCACGCCTCCCACGTCCGCGATCAAAACCTCTAGCTCGGGGTTCGAGGAAAGAAGAGTATGCAAGAAACTATGTCTCCGAACGACTATTACACATTTCGCGCCGATACGTTAAGAAGCATGGTATCCCGGATCCTGCCGATGAGGTAAACGGCTATACGGACATGGACGAGTTATGCAAAGATCTCGAAGATGTTGTTGATGTACTTTGGTTTTCGGGTACACGTATGTTTCATCCTACTCTTATACCTCAAAGAAGGAAGCTCGAATAGCTTTTATTAACCGACTTTTCAGCCAGTCTTCAAATCCCATATCTCCTTAATGTCGCACTCGCATTTAACACATATCTACCATCCTTCTCGCCATCACCGCTGCCCACATTCGCGCTTCTGAAGAAACTCGACCACTGTTTCGCTAGTCTCCTTGTAGGCCACGATATAAAATCAGGCCTCCCTTTACCAGGACTCCAAGGCAATGGTAGAGGACTTACGAAAACCGATATGGTGCGCTGTAAAAGTATTGCCGATGAGACCCGCATGCTAGTCGCAGTGATTATGAGCGACGAGCCAGATGTCGGGGCATACGCAGACGCAAGCGATGATGATAATGATATCGAACAGCTACCTACGAGGAGAAACATCGGCGTTTCATTATCTACGGGATTAATACAGACACCTATTCCGTACACCGGTAATAATAATAGCAGGGTTAAGCCCAAAGATATTATAGACTTTGAAAATGACACAGACTTGGGTGATGTCGAAGAACCACGCCATGCTATACCTAAACGTAAAGCAAGCGCTACCGATTTAGGCGACGAAGGACCAGAGGATAAGAAAAGAATACAAGTTGAGGAAGAGGAGTCAACGCCGAAGTTTAGTGATGCTGCGCCAGGGGCTCGGAGTCCAGTTCCGGCTCTTGATGGACCCGGTCCATATCAGCCAGACGGCAAGTTCCATTGGATGGTAGATGACGATGAAGATTCCGATGACGAAACAGCCTCGAATACAAAAGCCAGCTTTAACACTTCTACTACTCCTCCATCAACGATACATATGGCCCCTGATACTGAGCAGGATATGGGCGAGCCAAGTGTAGAGTTAGATGAAGAAGAGGAGGAGCTGCAACTAAATGTAGGTCAGGTATATGAAAAGACGTTGGTACAGCTCGGCAAATCACTAGGCGAGCCTATAACATATGATTAGCAAACTTCACATATAAGAGGTAACTAACTAGAAATATAAGACGGTATAGTTACTAAAATACATCATATCCAAATAATTAGCGTGATTATAATATAATAATAAAAAATAAGAAGTCAAGGTATAAAGCATAGGTTAGGTAGTTATTCATTAGACTATTAATCTCCCTACGTCCAGTAAAAGCTGAGCTTCATTTAACTTGAACAAATGCTATTCATTCCTAATTATAAAAGAGGTAAAAACCACGTACAAATCCAACTGCGCGATAGCTTTTTTAAAAAAAGCTTCGCAGGTAAGCGAATGCCTCTAAGGAAAATGTCGATGGAAAATACAATACACCATGAAACACAGCATTTCTGCTCTATTGAATACACCGAGTCGAAATAACCACAATGGAACCACACTAAACCAAACCATACCAGACCCAGCTTTCCATATCTACTCCTGCCTGCTTCTGCTCATAGTGCAAGAAGTTTGTGAATATGCATAGGTAGTCAGATCCTATCTCCCGGAACAGCTTTCACCT